AGTTTCCTTTTCACATTATCACATCGTACGATTCTGTTTCTTATTTTATGATTGGCCAGTAGTTAGAACTCAGTTTGTATCTCCTCTTGAATAGTTGTATATAGTTAAGACGTTTCTAGTCAGTAGTTCTTTAGTTCAAACCTTTCGTCTCTACATCTTGTAGCAGCCCAAACGTACCTGCTCAATCTCATCTCTTTTATCGTGATAACCTTCGTTTGAGTCCTAGTCTCTGCCCTAGCATTAAGTTGTTTAAGGGGTTGTGACAGTGTGATAGGTTGTCTTGCAGGCTGACGGGGGGTTAGCGGCGGCGTCGGAACGTTGATGGATAGATGTAGCACTCACATTCACAATACAGCTGAACACTGTAGGCAGGGAGGGTACCGGAGAGGCCGAAGTAGACCGCCTTGCGCTGTTCAGCCTTGCCAAGCAACAAGCCTTTTCAAGTGCGATCGCAGGTAGAATTGGGACACGTTTTGAATGGCGGATAGAATGTGTGCTGCGCTGTTGAAACGGGTGCGTTCAGCCTCACAGATCCGAGTTGAAAAGCATGTTACGGTACTGAGGCCATGAGGGTGTCCGTGTATCTCAAACAGTTCTTTCATCTTCTCACAAATGGCAAAATTGCCAGCCCAGATACTACTCTTCAGCGCACTCCAACACATCTTCACGTATGCCGGTGAAAGTACGCACGCAGCGCCGAGAAAAGCAACAACGCTAGGAGGAAGAAACAATGGAGGCTCGCGAATGTCGTATGAAGCTGGCTGCGTGAGTATTATGTCGTCCTTGAGGCCTGTTGCCAACGAGGCAAACACGAACATTCCATCTAACGTTAGGCTAGGGATACCCGCAAGACTAGCAGCGGCACGTTGTAGAGTTATCATCGTTTGTTGCACGATGCGGACGATAAGGACGGATGGGACAGATAGGACGGGTGGGACGGTCGGGACGGACGGGACGGGCCGGACGGGTGGGACGGAACTTTCCAACTTTCAGGTTCCCTCGACAAACCACTAGTCACGTGCAAAATTACGGTGACCTGCTTTTGACGCGCTCAGTCTCGCTCAGTCTTCTCTCAAGTCACAGTGCACACAACCTATCCAGAACCCCTCATCCATCGAGTGTTCGACTGCCAGTGGAACTTCTATCGAAGATATTCCTTGTTGTTGAGTGGGCGTTGGTACACCTTGGTATCTGTGGTACAAGCTATACGATGACGATGATGGCATCTTCGTCACACCGAGTTCAAGTTAACTTCGAAAACCTTGTAATGGAACGGGCCAAATTATATGCACCAATCTGTAGCTTACACATCATCAAGCGATGATCGGCTGACTTCTAATTCGCTCTTACTGCCGAAATATACGCCATTCCCACCTTGCTTCCTCCCATGCCATATATATGGAGTCCACTTTTCAGGGAGTTGCCCTCGTCTGGAGACCGTGCAGATTGAAATGCGAATACATTGGGTACAAACGCTACAAGTCGTTTGGCCATGTTTCTTTACGTTGAATCGGTGATTCCCCCATCCCTAACCATCCTCGTGGCGAGGGCAAGTTTATTGAAGTATTCAGTGGAGTCCATCATGATCTTTCCGCACTCCAGGAAATAACTGTCACAAGTAAACCAACGACAAAAACTGAACATCATTATGGCCGGCACTTGCAACTAATGCGACTTGCTATGGAAAACATCGTGCTCTACTTTCAAAACTCCTACGTAGTAAAGGCAAGTGCTTCTATTGTCCTCTGAACACCCCTTGTAGTGTGACGGTTGGCACTTTGAAAATATTCCCATGGTATATGAGACGGTATTTTTATGTTGTGGGAGGACCTGATCACCGTTCAAGGAACACAGGAATTGTCCGGAAAAGCGCGGTTCCTGTTCTAGAAAGTGCTTGCGCCGGAGTTTTTTCAAATGTCGGTATGTATCGAGATTGGAGGGGACCTAGCATTATATACGCGGGTGCCTTTGTGCGTCCACGCAAGTCACCGTGGCCGACAGACGGATTTATCAGGGGAGACTGACCAGGGCTGACTCCTGAGCTTTACATAGCGTGGATGGCCAAATTCACATCATCATCATCAGCATACAAATATTCTGATTGAACATCCTCGAGGCTCCCAAGGGCTCCCACCCTTGTCTTCGAGTCTTCGACGCGTCATGGACAGAAAATCAGACGAGTGCCTACTAGGAGAGAGCCCAAGACAGGACGCATACGACGACTCAGAGGAGCCATTCATTCCTTCGCGTGCCAAACCATTACCAGCTAAAGGCAGGAATCCGTCTCTCAGGACGATCTGCGCAGCTCTGGCAGGCATCTCCTTGCTCGGCTTTGGAGTTATTCTGTTCAAGCCCTTGAGCTATCTAGAAATACAGGATGCGCCCGTGTATTCTGCTGCCTTCGACTCGCAGTTATATGTCCAAGGCCCACCTACCCAACGCTTTCGAGGTCAGTCAATCCGCGAAGATGTCCCTCGGATCTCATACTAATGATCTCAGATAACCTGCTTAACGACACAAAGTATATTACATCATGGGCTTCAGCGGGATGGAGTACGTCAACTCCAGTCAACCATCACTTGCACTGCTGATCATAGTTACTGATTAGCGAATGACGTGATGACCTATGTAAGTCAATGATCCACTTCCAACGTTGTCCCAGTTCCTCACAGAAACTAGGGCAATTTGATTTACCTGGCACTCATAACAGAGCGTATACCCATAATCCCCAAGTTCCTCTCTTCTCATATTGACTCAAGTGCACCTCCATTTCCTTTCGGGGAAATTATTGATGTCCCTCGGCTTAGCCAAGCCATAGGGACTCCCTTACTTGAATGGCATGAAGTAAAGGATTGGGAAAGCCAGGTTCTCGATGATCTTGGTTGTTGGAGTGTTTGGGAAAGCGTTGAAAAGTATCAAGAGGATCCCCGTCCACGGGGAAGTCCCTCCATAGGCCGGCTCAATCTCGGTGAGACAACTTCGAAATATCCCTAGTCGGTCATTAACTGCGTGGCCATCACAGATATCTCATGGACGCGAACCCCAGATTGGGTCAAGCTGACACCTCCTGGCGTAGAAGACGATCATGCGTCCTTTTGGTCCCTTGCAACACTTGGGTTTCCGCAGGCTCGTTCGAATAACCTAGGATTAACGAATCATCCTTCTCCTCAGCATCAGGTTTCCCTTCCCCCGGATGATCACTTACTATGCTTCGATTTCCTTTACTTCGTAGGCGCACAAAATCCATGGGAATGGCAATCAGATTATTCTCCTGCATGGAGATTTGTAGGCCAACACATGCGATGGAATGCAACCATCGAAAGGCTTGCTGACGCGCATGCCAGGCGCGCCATGAACGTGCAATCAAACGAACCAACACCTCCCGTGAGTGAAATTTTCGGGCACAGCTTGCCCGCAGATCTAACTTTGAATAGTATATATCTGTCCACATACGACATGGCGACTTCGGCGATCAATGTAATGATGGTATTTCATTGGATCAGTGCTTTGCCCCGTTGTCGATCATTGCGCGCAGGGTATCCGAGGTGCAAGAGGAGCTTCGCACACAAAAGGGGGTTGAGGTTACACAAGTTATCGTGACGAGCGATGAGAGCGACCCGGAATGGTGGTCAGGGGTCAGGGCATTGGGCTGGACGTGGGTAGATTATGCGGCGGAGCGGACAGAGGAGATCTACGGAAAGTGGTGAGCCAATCAAATACTATCTTTTCATTCTGATGCTAGAAGCTGTTCCTGTTGCCAGGCATCCGGTGTTCATTGACGCTATCATTCAGTCGAATGGAGCTGGTTTCGTTGGCACTCGTGGCTCCACGATGTCCCTTCTAGCTCTCCGCAGAGTGCAATCGTGGCATGACGGACCAACTCGGATCGTCCAATGGGGACAACCGGGCGCTGATGACCGCTGATGTGATTGGAATGGTGGAATCGAGATGACCTTGCGCCGCAAAAATCATTGGCTGAAATGATTTTTCTCGTTTCATATATATATATATAATGCGCACAATGGCCCCTCCTGGGCTTGAATCTACATGCGGAGGCAACAAGAGGCTGGAACTCGATGTTCTTCTTCGTGTATTGTACTGGAACTAAGGTTCAGTATTCCGTCGCAAATTATGTTCATCTGCTCCCTGAGTATTGATGACACTTCTCCTCTCGATGGCGACTCACCAGAACACATAACTATCCCAGTCTTATTTCTACCAGATCAAACCGAGCCGTCATCATCTCCTGGACTGAGCCCCAGGAATGCTGTTATTGGGGTTCATTATCGGAGGCACTAAGGCACACCAAAGGCACCACAGGACATTCACCGGTAATGGCGGCATAGGAGATAGTCTCGTGGACATCATCCACCGACGTGGAAACTTTGTTTAAACCATGGACATTTTCACCAGATCGTACCTTGATGCGTTTGTGAGGCCTTTCATGAAGCCTTGACCTAAGGATGGTTCGAATCTACGGGCCGTTTCTCGTTTCTCGTGAGCATGGTTTCGTGTGACGAGCATGGTACTCCGTGATGCATTTTCACCAGTGACGATCTGGGATCATTGTTCCAACTTGTATGCAAAGGTATGCCTGAACTCACGAAGTGGGAAGGCGTGGTGGATAAAAAAGAACATGGAACGATAATGATGATATTGCCGATCAGTGAGGACATTAAGTTGTACCTTCAAGATAACCATTTAAAATGTGAGTTCCTCCGCCCACATAACAACCAAAGTACATCTTTCCAGCGGTCGTCGCATAGGTTGTTTGGATGAAAATAGAAGCACTTGCCTTAGTAGAGCACGGTGGTCTAGACTTTCCATGCCTTTATCGAGTGAAGAATGAATTTCCTTGGTAATTATAATACATGCTAATACACAGCAAAATATCATGGATCTGAGTAAAAGTCATACGCGCTGCGAATGTGATCTCATCCATCTAATCAATTTCTCAATCTCAGCAACTTTTTGATCATAAGACATCTGCACAACACAAATCAGCATCTCGACCGCTGGCGCGAGATAAGAGAAAGGACGTACGCGTAAAAACTGGAACAGCTTATAGTCTCTCGACCTGTGTCCTCTGGGGCGAATTGCCTTTGTTCCGTGAACGGTAGAATGAGGATCATTGACACGCAGAGGAGGAATGGAGACGGCAAGAGCAGATAAGTAGGACGAGGGAGATACACTGGCAGTGTCATTGACGGTGGTCGACGAAGCCGCATAGATGGCTGCAACGGAGAAATCCGGAAGATAGTACAGAGGGACGTCATGCACGACGGGTGATTCGGGTTCGATAAACACCTCCCAGTTGACTTGTTCAGGGGCGACGGGTGGATGAGCCAGCCAGCTTATGTTGTTCCATGCGCGGACCGGTTTTGGTGCCACGATCTCAAAAAGAGTGCCCATGTTGCGCTGCGGATATATAGATTGCTGGCCAATAGCTCCGTAGTTGTGCTGGTCGCGGGTTGGGAAAAAAACTTCGTCATCTTCCCGCCGCCATTCGTCCCATTTGACCCAGTCGTCTAGGTGAGTCTGCCCATCATCGTCCCACGGACAGCTGAGTGTAAAGGGATCATTTTCGTATTGCACGTATCCGGAGGGCTCCTCGTTGGCTTGTACGGGCGTGGGCTGGGTCGAGCAGGCGGCTGATCCAGCTTGTAAATCCTCGTGGACAGCTGCCATGACAGCAGTAAAATGATCCACCGAAAGGTCTTCCTGTTTTTCTACTGCGTCCCGCCAGTAATTGACAAAATAGTCCGTGTAGGTAGGAGTGCGGTCCGCGAAGGACAGGTTGAGCCAGTTCGAGGAAAGGCTGGCAAGAGTTTCGAGAGCCAAGGGGTTACATGTTTTGGCATCTTCAAGCAGGTTCATAGCCGCCTTCGCCTTGGAAGAGCGTCTGGAGCGCCTGCGCTTGAATTTATGAGGAGATGAGTCGTTGGAGTATGCAGAAAAGCGAGAGGTGTGGGGTGAAATGTCCTGGGGGACGATGGAGAAGGAAGACATGACCGCATCAGAGACGCTGGATTCGCAGGCGGAATGCGAGAGAGTGAAGTCGGACTTCTGGAGCCTGCCAGAAGTGAGGAATTGCTGGATTTCAAAAGCCATGGATGAAGAGAAGTTGTATGAGTATGCAAGATGGAGTTGTAGTTCAAGTTATGAGAGCGATGAGAAAGTCAGAGTGTGAGATTGTATACCTCTTGAATGACGAGACCAATTAAACTGTATGCATGACATTACAGTGAGACATGTGTGAGCTGAGGGACGTCATGATTAGAATTGAATTGAGTCGCCCCCTAGTCAGAATCGTAATTACTCACTCACCTGAGACATCCGCATTTCAATAGGCGGGCCGCGGCAGTCTGCTACTAGCAGCTCAACTATAGCTAGTGAGCGTGGCGGATCGACTGACTTCAAGGTCTGACCATGATGGAAGAGTCCTAAGATGAGCGCAGCATGGCGGTTGTAACTCGGCATGCTCCGCAAAGTTCAAACCGTACACTTCCCCTGAGGGCCTTCCCACGACTTTCAAGTTGAATCCTTTGAATTTTCAACCTATAAATCTGGGCGTCGTATGAGAAACTTTTCTTCAAGTCATCCGACCAAGGTCATTCCACCCAACACCCAACACCCCTCACTTTTTCGTATGCTCCAACGACTCACGGTGCGATGTCGGCCCTCCATAGTACCTCGTGGACTGCTGTCATTGCACTGGGACTTATGGTGTCACTGACCTGTCGGAGGTGGGCGGTCAAGGGCACGTCGTAGTGGTGTCGGATCCCTGCCTTTGCGTCACTTTGTCAATCGTTTGGGATCAGACGACGGTGGACAACAAAAATGCATGTTCCATTACATACGATTGTTGATAGTGTTCAGCCATTTGAGCCCTTCAACTATCTTGTGAAACATCATCTTTCTCTACAATGGCGAATTTTGAGGGAGGAGGTGCAAGTTCCGATGAAGTTCCAGAGGGATGATTTAGCTTGCTGAGCATCCCTCAGGCCTCAGTGAGACTCCACACGTACATGCTGGCAGGAGGTTGCATTGGCGTGCACAATTTGAACTGTTCAGGCTTCTCGGTGCAATGACAACTACAACTATTTTTCAACACATTCATATGTTCCACGTCCCATTGACTTTCGTCCAAGTCACGCGCTTGTCTTCTCAAAGTTCATCAACGCCCAAATCGACACCTTCATGTCCGCACTGCCCGCAATCAACCACCGAACACGGGCATGCTTCTCCTCGACGGACATTTCATCCTCGTAACCAGAAGTATCCTCCTCCCTCAAGTCTCCACAAAGAGATGCATTGTCAAAATGTGGATCGATACGAGAGGCGAACGTAACCGCCTGACATCCTTGCTTATGGTGCACGAGAGTTCCGAGCAGCTTCAACGTCTTCGTTGAGTATAACCGCACTCTGCGTGATAAGTTAGCTTGATCGAGTGGTGGCATGATCATTCGGTCAACTCACTTGCCGTCCCATCCTCCTATCGCACAAACTCTCCCGTCGCCCCGTATGGAAATAGCACCATTTCCTGGATGCTTGGTCTTGAATGCAGTTCCCGCGGGAGTGAATTCTGAGGCATCTGCCCGGGTCTTCTGTACAGGAAGTCAGCAAGTGCACTCATACAGAGCTTCCTGAATACCAACCAAAAGATCATACCGTCCCACCAGATGATCCGCCGATACGGTTAAAGCAAAAGTGCAATCTAAAGAAACCGCCATCGACATCACTTTGAACAGCAACTTCCATCAGAGTTCCCCATTAAACAGTAATATATTTCAATTTTCAACGAACCTGATTCCACATGAAGTTTGGAGTTCCACAAAACATCCCATCCACGGCCCTCGACAGTCTGTTTATTCTCGGGCGCAATCCGCTTTCGCAACACAACGCTTCCATTTTCGTACGCGCATAACAGGCGCAGCTCTCTTGACGACGTAGAGGACGAAGGTTTAGACGACGCAGCGTAAAAGAGATGCATTGACATAATGATTCCTGATTTGCTGCCCGACCTGCCATCCGAGAAGGTTGTCGCGGAGGTATTTAGTGGATCACCTATAGCGGCGTGGAGCCTTTGACGCGATGGAAGTGACCATATATCTGCCTGGCCAGTTCATACTGAGATTATTCCGCACCGCACACTGGGGGTTTATACCCACCAGAGCTGATTCCACGAGGTTTGGAATGGCGAGTAGACTTTCCTGATCGCTCGCTTCTGCTGGGAAAAGGAGAGAGAACCTGCAGTAGTTAAGGGCGTTGACGTCCATAGAATAACATATCGTTGGTGTAGATAGATCCGACAAAGTTGCAGGTCCTTGTCTGATGGAAGTGGACTCTTCTGGTCGTGCCCAGATGTGAAGTTTATTATCCCTCCCATGTCTAGTCACAGAATTAGAAGAAAACGCCAGAAGGAACACGATATCTACTTACGTTATAAGTTGAGTACCCCATTCTTCAACGCCTAGCAGGGAGTCAGTGTGAGCTTTCCATGAAGCAAGTGGTCGCAATGAGCGCGTGGAAGTGACGAAAACTTGTCCTGCGCTATCTCCGGAATAGATTCTCTCGTTGTCCGTCGAAATGAACAGGGTGCTCACTGCACTGGAATGTGAACGTAGCAAATGAATAGGTGAAGGTGCTGGCAGAGCCATAAGCACGGCGCGGAAGTTGCTGCACGATGCTTGTTCCAACAACACAAGTGTTGCGTAAGAGTTTGGGAGAGCGGAAAAGATGATCAATTCTGAGTCTCTGGTCGTTCGTCTTCTACAACGTTGCTCCTCGAGATATGTCCGAGAACCCAAATGTCAGTACTTGTTAGGTTGCCAGAGTATGCTGTCGGTGTTGTTCGAGTTAATCCTACGTATACGTAATTTCTACGTAACAAATCATAGCTAGCTGACTTACTATTCGGTCGAAGTTCCTGCTGGTTATCCGTACAAGTGATGTAGGATAACTTGGCGATGCTTGGTTCAGTCGCTATCAAGCATTCGTAGACGCCCGGACCGACCATGACATAAAGCAGTGAGAAAGCTGCGGCAGGAGCGCTAGATTTCCTCTGGTCACGGTAGTCCTTCGAGTCGCAATGCGCTCTCAGTCCCTTGTGGCAGCTCTCAGCGCTCTAGGATCAGCAGCTCTAGCATTACATGACCAGTTTCCAGTCAACACTGCTGCTGAAGAAACCGGTGTTCAACCCTGTGATGCCACCAACTTGAACGCTGGCAATGCACACATTGTCAACTCCAACAGTGAGCAGTGGAGGTTTGACGAATGCCCTTCCGAGAATGCTACAAGGAACTTGATCTTCGACACTGTCCATTCACTCCTGCATCTTTGGCCAAATACACGATATCGTAATGGTACGTTTCACTTTCCCCGCTTGCCTGACGTCAGAAATTTCACCTTTTCATAGGACATAACATAGTACCAGGAATGATGCCAACTGGTACTTTGCTCTATCACGGCACCTACTACGATACGATACCAAGTGGGCCCGAATGGACCGCCACCGACCCTGAGCATTCTATCATTTTCGCTGGTGGAAATGGAAGTGGCTGGCACCTCACGCTGGCAGCAACGCGACCTCTTAAAGTCTTGTACTTTGATGGAAGTAGTGCTGCTAAGGTACCCGAAGGTACGATGGATATGCAGGATATAATAGCCTGGGGAAAAGTGCAACCCGAGCGATTCTTCGATGAAAAACAACGAATTAAAGATCTCTGTACGTGGGGCAAGGTGTTTGGAATCGACGGTTTCGTGAGGTTAGCGGTGACTCATCTTGCCATGGTATATAACTGATTCTCAGATATTTAGGATGGAAGTGGACTTGTACGCAGCCTTTCGATTCTGTGTTACGCTTCCGTCTGACGAACTTCTAGTGAAGTCATGTTGTGTGATTTTACGGCTGGTGTCGAGGTAGTGTCTTTCCTGCATGTCGTAATACCAAAGGAGGAAATGCCATACCCCCGCTTTCCTCCAATTGAATCTGACGTCTGTCAGTATTATATTCCCGGTGCTAATATGACTGACGTGGAATCTTCATGAGCGCAGGGGTTCGCGCATTTGAAGTTACGCACTCCGGCTCATGGCACAATCGCTACTCAGGAGATTCTCGCATTGTTCTCGACCTCACCGGTCTTATCTCACTGTATGATACTGCCCTAGCACCTTCCCTCATCCCGGTTCGCGCAGGTCTTGAACGGTGCGACCACCGCGTGCTCGGAATATCAACAGACGACATATCGCAGGTCATGAGAAAGCTCACCGAAGTTATCAGTCGACCAGACCCGGTGGGCAGCGGTATTGACTGGAAGACCCTTATCCATGTCATCGTCGATCGATACGCGGATCGACTCGAGTTGATGCAGCACCTCCTCAATTTCACGTCATCAGACTCGCAAGAACTCTTTCAGCGAGCAAAACTCGCGCAAACACAGCTCCGTGTCATGCTTACGCCGTATCTATTAGATTCCACCGTCGTCCCTAGCGCAGGCACTCCAGGCGCAGATGCATCGCAGTGGGCATCCCCAATTTTCAGGCTATGCGCCACAGCACACACTTCCAAGATGATAAATTATATGTCTTCAATGACACCTTCGGAACGCCTGCTGCTGGAAGCCGTCAAGGACACAACGAGAGAGATCTGCCGTGTCACTACAAAAATGTGGGCTGATGGTGTCACGAGCGGGCTCGACACCCTTTTCCCCGTAGAATTTAATGGGGAACCTGACGCCACTCAAATAATGGATTTTTGGAGACACGACGTTCAGAAGCTGATGTCTTGGTTGGACTGGAGTGTATGGATCAAATGCCGACCTGCCTGCGGCCTAGAGGTGGGATCTAAAGGACTTCTTTCCTAGCCCACCGGACTAAGTATGATCTACTTCCAGGAAATGTGCTATCTCCCTACTTGGCCCATCAATGCCCCCAGGCCAAAGAATCCCCCTCCACTTCCGCGGGACCCACGGAACACCACGGATGCCCAAGAAGCTGAGTATCTTGCTGATCGCGTCGTGCATCCGACCAGGAGTCGAGCGATTGCAAATGCACTTTTATTCCTTGGGGCGCCGGCGGAGGATTGGAGGAAGCCTCAACCGAAGTGCATTAGGCGCTTCCAGCCGTACGCATTGTGATCCATGATTACCTTCGTGAGTCATCTAGACGTGTATTCTTGCTGGAGTGCAATGACTTGTATATGTATGTCAAGTGATACAATATATAATGATAATGAGGGGGTATATAATACAGCTCTACCGTGAGGAACGAACTGTTGGTAACGCATGCCTGCACCGCAGGTTTCTTGCCACAAGTTTCAAAAGGCCTGCCGGATGTGTCGGGCGTAACAAGGGGAAAAGGGAAAACAACAAACTCGATGCATACCCCATCTGGGTTTTTAAAAATTTCAATTCAAGAAAAATTGGACCAGGAAATCACAGCGTCTCTCGATTCGGCAGCACCCAAGCCAGCCTGGAGTACCCCTGCACTAGAGCTGCGAATAGGTCTTTCGACGCGCAGTCCCTTCATGGGCCTAATGAAGACCCATGCTGGGACAAGACCAAGCTGTACATTTTCTCCATTACTCTCCACCCTGGCAGAGAGTCGTGAGGGGTTGAATAAAGAGAATGAAGCACGAGAACGACGAGAGTTATTTTGCGCAACGAGGCACCAGCCATCATCAAACGACTGTACAACGTGGAGTTGCTCTCCCATACGCGAAAGAGGGAGTTCATCAGGAAGAACCGGTTGGAAAAATTGCCGAACTTTTCGGGCTTGGGTAGAAAATGATGATCGTGAAGAGTCTGGCGAATGCAAGGAACGCAAGCCCGGAGGTTGAGGAAATGAACGGGAATGACCCGAAGAGACTGATGACCCGCGACTGTGACGCGGATGTGAGGGATTGAGACCGGACAGTGCACGGGGACGTGGCAAGGGCGCGTCACATTCTGCAGGAACTTGAGAAGCAGAAATATGGTCGTGTCTTGAAGGTCTTGCTATTTGAGCAGGACGAGGGACAACAGCCTTTTGTGGGAAGACGACAGTTGTCGGCTGATTACTGCAGACGAAGTGAGTGGATCTATATGCAGGCTTATGGGTGAACATGATTCTTACCTCAGGAAATGGCTGACGGGTTCGTTCATTTCTTGAACAACACCTCGTACATTGAGGAAAGCCGCACCCCGTTCTTCTGCACGTTTTGCCTGGAATGTGCGGCGGAAAAACCTCAACGCAATCCATAGCATGGCCACAGCAGCAAGTAATCCAGCGAGGGTGAATCCGACTATATAAATGGCTCTGTTCATAGGAAGGGCTCCTGGAGCATCGGTGGAGCTCGATCTTGAAAGGAGATATGGAGCCATCGCAAGCAGATGACAAAAAGCAAGTGAGGCTGAAAGAGATCCCGGAGATTCGTCAACTACAACAGTCGATAACGAGTGCTTGAAAAAAGATCGTGGTAATCAAGGAATGTGAGCAGACTCCAACTGCAATATGTGAAAGAGCCCAAGTTGAACAGATGTAGTTCGACGTGGACGCTCCCCCTGCTCAACTATAAAAATAGGGACGTGAGTGATTGACTTGAACGAGACCTGGATCAGAGAGGGCAAACGCACCGAACCAGCGCAAGCTATAAAAATCGCAGGCAGAAGTACACAAGAGCAGAAGAAAAATCACCTGAGACGGTTCAAGAACGCCCATATGCATATTATAACATCTGTTCCCCTAGAGAAATGATGCAACTTGAATAAGTAAAGTTCGTTTCCATGGGAGGCAGCGAAGCTCAAACAATAAAATATCAATTATTTATGACTTGAAGTTATCTTACCAAAATTAAATATTCTGAGCTTCACGGTATGGGAAATTTTGGGTTGCCGAACGATTTTTTTTTTTTTTGGAAAAGCGGGTCTATTATATAGCAACTGACACTGTCTAGCCCTACATAAACGCTTATATCGGTATCTAGAGATTACCGTTCCGAGGAAAAATGCTCTTATGCACACTCTGATAGTAGAGTAGTGTGGGACTCCGTATTACCTGGTGACCCCGGATTGCGGGGGCCTGGGGAATTTTATACCCACTAAAACCTCTAGGGTGGTGACCCAGTTTTTTGGTGTCGGGGATGTATTAGATAATATTATTTCTGACCATGTGGATTCTATAGTTAGTTGTTGTTTTTTTGTTCTGTTAATTTTACTTGTTATGACTCTATCTAGGGTGAGTCTTCGATTAAGTGCGTTTTGCCAGCGTTTGATAACAGATTCTTCCGTGTGTGAGATGTCACTTATTATTCTTTCGCATCGCATAACCCAGACTAGGTGCGCTGATTCTGATATTAATATTCTTAAGAGGCGTGATGCGCCTCTCTTTTTTTTTTCTAGTTTCTTATCGTTGGGATTATCCTTGTCTTGTGTGTGTGGGATTTCTATCGATCCACATCCGAGGATTGTACCATAGGTAATCTCTGGCCATTCTATTATCGTTTGGGGCCATAGTTGTTCTACTAATTTCCAGATCGTTTTGCGTGATGGATCTTCGCATTCTATTAATATATGTTCCATAGATTCGTTATCAGTGTTACACGATCTGCATTTTGCTCGGTGTTCGAATTGGGGAATTTTATTCCAGTATCCCCCTACCCGGTGCGTGTTGTGAATTGCTTTGTAGAGGAACAGTTGAATTTTTTTTGATATGTCTTTATTTCGGCATTTCCGCCAGATTGTGCTATCGGTTTCAAGGTTGTTTGTTATTTTTTGTATTGCGTATCGGGCTATATCTAGGTGGCCGAGGGTATTTCTATTATATGGGAGGTGCGTCATATTTTTAATTCCATCATATGCGATCTTTTGGGTGATGGATGAAAGCTTCGCTCCTTGTAAGTCGAATTCAGGGGGTATTGTTGTATTTATATCATCGTAAGTGTCCTTCATTGCACCTTCGCTTGCTAATGCATCTGCTTCTTCGTTTCCTAGGTTCCCGTTGTGTCCTTTGACCCATAGGAAGGTTGTTTGGGCTGATCTTTTTCTTAGGTTGTACGCTGTCGCTTTAAGTAGCTCTTTATTTGCTATTCCTATCCATCCTCTGTCTTCCCACACTTGTAGGTGAGTTGTCATTCCATCTATGACGTACTTGGAGTCAGTAACAAATTTTATTGGTGTGTAGGGGTCGACTATCTGTAGGCCTGCTAGGACCGCCGCTACTTCGCCGACCTGATTTGATTGTTGGTGTCCTCTAATTCTTAGCGCCTTGTTATTCTGATTGTTATCTCCGAACCATACGCCGCTTCCGCATCGCGCGTTCTCTTTTCCGTTATTGAAGCATGATCCGTCCGTGTGGATTGTGATTGTTTGTGGGTTTGCTACTTCTCTATTCATTGGGGCCTGGAGTCGTATTGCTGGCATTTGGGTGAGGTTTTTTTTTTTTGTGAATATTCTAAAGCATTCTGCTAGGCTAGATTTTGCCGTTACTGATGGGTCGAAAATTACTTCGCCTTGCCTACTAGATCTGGCTCTGGAGTTTTTTTCTTTGCGGCGGTGTGTTAAGGTGAGGTTGTCTTGTCTTTGTGGTGTCTCTGTGTTGAATTTAGGGTGTAGTTTGTTTAGGATGTTATTTGCGGTGGTGGAGCATTTCTGGGGGTTCATACAGCCTTCATTTCGATCTTGTTGGCAAGGTGAGCAGGCACAATTGCTTCTTGGTTTATGCATTGGGTGAGTTTTATTCCGGTTTGCTATTTTCATAAGGTCCTTTATTGATTTGGTCTTATGTACTGTTTGTAGGCATGTATTATTAATTTTGTGGTATGTTCGGGGTGGGGCACCCAAGTGGTGCCATGCTGGTAGCTGTTGTTTCAGGTTCGTCGAGAGTTTGATCGGGGCGAAGCTAACATTATGTTTTTTTATCGCTTTTAGCATGGATGTTATTTCGTAGGGGAGCTTTTTAGTTCGTGGGCCTTGAACGGGAGGTTCCCAGGAGGTAAGGAAGGTGTTAACATCGTTTACGTGTTTTATGCCCTCAGGTTTTAAAGTATTAATGATTGTATCGATTACGAACGCCCATGTGGGGCGGTTAGGGGAGATATCGAGGTATGTGCTAAGCCATGTTATTGTTATGGCTTGGTTTCGAGCGTTTATGTCTAGTAGATTGATGCCCCCTTCTTCACGAGGTTTCTGTAGGCGTTCTAGGCTAATTGGTGGGGTTTTGGCTCCATCCCATATAAAACGCCTAATTGATTTTGTTATGGCTTTTTCTATAGTTTTTGGCATGCCCTGAGCTTTTGTCAGGAATTGTGTAATTCCGCCAGCAATCATTTGCACTATGAGTCTTTTTCCGTCTAGGGTAGGGTGACCGGTGTTCCACCTTTGTAAGTTTGACTCTATTTTGTCTAGGGTTGATTCCCAAGATGATATCTCGTTGACTTCGTTTCCAATCCAGGCTCCTAGAGTCCTTATTGGATTACCGTCCTTCGCTATTCTTATGTTTTCGGTCCATGGTGTGTCTATGTCATTCATTCTTTTGTTTTCTACTACTGTTGTTCTGAAATCTTTTGAACCTATCGGTAGGATCTCTGTTTTTTCTAGATTAAACTTCGCCCCGGATGCGAGGCACCAACTGTTTAATATAAGTTGGAGGTTGTCGTATGTGTCTTCTTTTCTTAGGTATACCGTTGTATCATCTGCGTACATGTTAACGATTATTTTTTCTTTTATTCCAGGGATGTTATACCCCTTTAGAAGTGGGGTGTTTCTTAGTTTGCATGCTAATGGTTCGATCGCCAGGTCAAAGAGGAGGCAGGACAGCGGGTCCCCCTGTCGGACCCCTCTTGTTACCTGAAAAGGTTCGCTCATGAATCCGTTTATGGCTACCTTAGTGAAAGCGTTGTTGTAGAGTGCCCGAATGGTATCGATGAACCTGTTGGGGATTTTGAAGGATTTTAGTGTTTCAATCAGGTAATCGTGGTTTATTCTATCGTATGCTTTCTCTTGGTCTAAAGCTACTATGATTCCATCTTCTTCAGTTAGGTCAGCATATGCGATCATCGTTTGCGCGAGTCTAATTGGGTTGAAGATGGATCTTTTAGTGATAAACCCGCTTTGGTCAGGATGTATTAATTGTCTAGCGACTTGTGCTAGTTTGATTGCTAACGCTTTTGTTAGGATCTTGTAGTCAGTGTTCAAGAGCGTTATGGGGCGGTAGTTTTCTATCTCGGTGCGTTCTTTTTTTTTATATATCGGGCACATCCATCCTAATGTAAAGTTTGAGTTTAGGGATATTCCGTGTTGCTGGATATCGTTTATCACTATGGTTAGTGTTTTTATTATGTTGAATGATGGTTTGTCATCTGCTTCTTGGAGTATATGGTGTTCATGTAGTGTTTTCCAGATTTCATATTGTATGCCATCGATCCCAGGGGCGCTTCCGGACTTAGAAGCGTATAACGCTTGTTTTATTTCTGTTTCGGTGAGTAGGTCTTGTAGGGGTGAGTCAATTTCATTTAGTTTTTGTGTTTCTGGTATTTCGTTTAAGGCGGATGTTATTGCGTTTTGTCTTGTGATAAGATTCAATGTCTGGTTGCCTGTTTTTTGTAGGTCAGCGTGGTGTTGTCTTGCTATTTCGGCCATTTCTTCTGATTTTCCGGTGAGTTTGTTCGTGGTCGGGTTTCTTAGTTTGTATATTAAGTCTCTCGGCTTCTTTGGTTTATTTATTCTAGACCAGTATTTATTAATTGATTCTCCTTTCAACGTCCATGTTGCTTGCGCTTTGAGGTGCGCATTTTTATTTCTTTTTTTGATTAGGTGATCAAGTTCTTTCTCTAGGACTACACGGTGGAGTCTTTTGTCTTCTGAGGTGTCTATGTCATTACTGTTTGTTGTCATAGTGAGGTCTTTAGTGAGTTGTTTTATTCTCATGTTGATTTTCGCTAATTGCGTTTTGGCGATTTCCTTTGCAGTTTTGGTTATTTTCTCTTTGAATTGTTCCCATTCCGTTTGCGGGTTTTTCTGTTCTGTGCGGTGAGTGGCGCATTGTTCGATGGTTAATTGTGACTCAATTCCGATTCTCGTGATGTTTTCTATTAGTGTTTTGTCTGTTATGATCCCTAGGGGCCATGACCATCGGCCCTTTCCAACATGTGGTAGGCCTGGTGGGGCGAATTTTACTAGTACTAACTGGTGGTCTGTTGGGACTGCACATGGGTTGGCTTGCCAGTCTGAGAGGCTGTCTATGTGTGCCGGTGAGGAGTATATTCTGTCAAGTCGCGAGAATGTGTTTGTGTTACTACTGAATGTAAATAGACGTTTATTGGGGAAGGTATGTCTCCATTGGTCTTGTACGTTTAAAGATATTCTAAAGTCTCTTAGGGCATCAGTCGCGGACTCGTTTTCGCGTCGCGCAGGAGCTCTATCGATGGGGTCCTCTGTTAGGTTGAAATCTCCCATGACAAAGTCAGGGTGTTCTAGGTTCTTAGCGGTCCAGAGTGTACTGATTCTGTTCCAGAATTCGGCATGTTCATTTAAGTTGTTTGGTGCGTAGACGTTGAGGATTCTTATTTTTTTTTCATTATGCCAGTTTATAGAGAGCGCTATGGCTCTTCCAGGGATTATTGTGGTGAGTTTTGCTGATGATACATTTATCATTTCTTTGTTGATCACAAAAGCTACTCCAGCAGAACAGCTTGGGCGGTCAGGGTCTTTTGAGTTAAGGACGACAAGTCTTCGCGAGAAGAGGCTGTCAATTTGTGTTTCGTGCTCAGTTGTGAGGTGTGTCTCTTGTAAACATAGTATTCCGATTTTTTTTTCACGCATCATTTGGTTGATGACAGTCCATTTTGTGATTTGTCCAGTGCCAAGGGACGGTGACGCGCGTCCCTTGCTGTTTAGTGTCGCAATGGTTATATTTGCGCGGGATTTTTTGTTTGGGTTTGTCGTTGCATGGTGTGCGGGAGCCGGGTGTGGCTGAGGGAGAAATACGCCACCGATCTCTCTAGGTGCGTCATCTGGGGGCTCCCCGGCGATGGTAGGGAGTTCCCCTCTGCACCTAGGGAGGGAGGAACCAAAGCCGTGAGGGGAACCGTGGGGGGGGTTAGTAATTTGTTGGTGGGTAGTCGGTGTACTTTACTTATCCTTCGACGAACAGATAAGTCAGGGGTTTCATTGCCCGGATTCGCGGGGGGACCATGTTAGAGTGTTCAGTGGTGTTAGACGCCCAAGCGCCTACCATACATACTAACTAAAACTTCAGCCTCTCGGCACGGCTCGTCCAAACCTGAATAGGTTTCCGTGGTCTGGCATGCGCCATGCATAAATCGATGAGATGATGTTCGCTTTCCTGTCCTGTTTGCACAGTCAGTATATTTGGGCGAAAATCTTGAGGGTTTTTTGGAGCGTGTCTCGTTCGTTCCAAATGTTGACATTTTTAAGGACTTATCTATCTCTACAGGTCTTGGGCCTGAGCTGACGAGTTCTTAATTTTATTTTATTTTGCTGGTTGCGCGTGTGTGAGGATTCACAAAAGACGGGGGTTGCATTGTGTGCGTAGTGTCGTGCTAGGTATGTATCGAGTATTCTAAGAGATGTATGGCATGGGGTGTAATGGCTGAGTGGGGTTTGCGAAGGGTATGTCTCGTGTTTCTACTATGCGTGTGTACTATGTTTGGTGGCGGCGTCCTTTGCCTCGGCCACTCCCAGCGGATCTTGCAGGTTGACCAGTGGATTTGTTCCCAATCTTAGGGCCATTCCATTGGGCGATAGATGGGAATGGACATAGTCCTCGTGGGTGCGCTATAGAGTGGCATATGGGGCAGGGTGATAGGGCGACTGCTGTACCGCAGCCGTCTAGACCAGTTGGATATTCTAGGATGCGGAGGAAGGAGCGCAGTTCCGTCCAAGCCTTTGCATCGCAGGTGGGGCTGTGCGCAAGGATGTTGAAACGAGGGACTGGTAGGCCTCCTGCAATTTTGAAGTCGAGACGTTCTACCCGGATGTTTCTGATGAGTTCCCACGTGGCTAGGTGGACTCTTTCTTCTGGGATCTCACTCATTGACAGAATATCGTTGATCTGGGCTCGATTGTCTTCGAAAGCCCATACATCTGCGACTGTTTTCTGGATTACACCGGTGTCGGGTGTGGAGAATCCGGTAAGGCAGAATAGGAGGTCGGGTGGACGGTAGCAGCTGAATGGGTGCGCTTCAAAGGTGATATCAGCAGCGGACCATATGCGTTGGGATATGATAAGGTCTTTCGTTTCTGGGGATGTGTTGTAGACGAGGAAGCTGAGGGGGAGCTCTTTAGCATCTTTACCACCTTGTGGTTGTGGTGGGGATACCCGTATAGTTTGCGCGCCCTGATGGATAAAGTTCGCGATGATGGATATGTTGGCCCTAATACGTTCCGCTAAGATAGCAGCTTTCTCTGATACTTCTTTCCCAGAGTGGTCGAAGATCCGGACTAAAAATTTGGGGTGATCGACTTGGAACCATGCTGTTAGGACTCGGTTGTCAACGTGGTCAAAAGCTTGTGCTGAGTGGGACATGTGGGTATGTGGGAAGCCACCAATGGGTGTTGGCGTGAACTGGGGAAGGGCGGTGCTATGGTGAGGGCCGTCATGCTGAACTATGGAGCGGTTCTGTTCGGCAAGTGCTAGGTGAGCGAGAATGGTTTGCTCTTCCTCGTCTGGGAGGTGCTGGGTTGTTGGGGGGGTGGGAGCGCTCATTTGGTGGTCATCTGCATTCTCTCGGGGTGCGTGGATGGAGTTTGCAAGGTCGCTGTCAATGGGGGAGAGGGTGTTCTTGGGTGCAGTGACCTGGGTCTCCTGTGTGGCGGGTAGGTCTGTGAGAAGGGGTTGGGTGTGCGTGGTCCTCGCGAGAGGGGTAGGGGTGACAGGTGATGTTGGGGATGAGGTGTGGAGGGGTGGAGGGGTGACGGTATGTTCTCTATTGTTAAGGTCCATATCGTCGTCTATCTGCAGGGCGTCCTGCGGGAAGAATTTTGGCCCAGCTAAAGTGGAAAGATTGGTACGGGGGGAGCCTGGGTATGGGCGAGAGGATTGTGTGAGCATCTTGATTGAGGTGGTGTGGGTGTCTTTCATGTTAGCTGGGCGAGGAGATAGTTTGTTCTTACTCGCTTTTTATTTCTTTTCTGTTGGGGTGGGTTTACCGTGTTGTGCTCGTTCGTGTGTTTTCGGGGGTTGAGGTTGGTGGGTTTTTAGGGGGTGGGTGTGGTGTGTTCCAGGGTTATTATGTGTCTCAGGGTGGTATGTAGGCGATCGTTCATGGTTGGTTCCTCTTTTGTTTATATTGTGTACGGTTCATTGACTGTTGGGGTGTTATTGAGTTGGGTGTGTTGGGTGTGCTGGGATATTATGTTTATCTCGGGGAGTTTCGGGTTGGTGGGTTCATTTACCAGGGGTACATGGATCAACTATGCTGTGTTTTAGTCTAGTTTGCACGTTTTTGTGTTTCATTATTGGTGGTGATATTACGGGTATGGGTTGGTCTTTGGTTAGGTGGAGGTTTGTTGACGTTACTCGTGGGGTGGGGGGTGTTTATAGGTTGCTTCCAGTATGCGTCTCATTTCCGATATACTTATTTAGGGGGTGCGCGTGTAACTTGCGTTCTGGGCCCTAAGGTAGGTTTACATATTAGGTAATTTTCTGTCGGTGGTGTAGTGTTTATGTTCTTGCAACCTGGGAGTGGTTCTGACGGGTAGTGGGGTGTATGGCGAGTGTTTTGGGATTGGGATTGGGTGTTTCTTTCGTTCTGTTGGTTCAAGGTATGTTAAGTAGTTTGTATTGAGGGGATTTTAGGATCTATTTTCCTTAGTATGTTCGTGTGAGCGTTTTGTCGTGTTTTCTTTACTACATTTTGTTTGTGTAGGGGTTTTGATAGAGTTGTCTCTGGTGTTATCAGGTTAGGACGTTGTTTATTTGTTTCCTGAGATTTATATTATGATTTATTGGCCAGTTTGTGCTGTGAGCCGCGACAGCTCGACCTTGCCCGCGTTTTTTAGGCGTGGGAATTTTCGTCCATGGTGGTGGTACGAGAACAAGGGCCCCCGCCGAACGATTTTTGCAATGCTGCAGTTCCTCCTTCTCTCGCTGCTCTCGACGCGCCTGAGCGCCTTCTTGGGGAACTTCACAACTTGGCGCTCAAGGGGACACCTTGAGTCTGGTCAGGAAGTACCCGACATTCGGACTATTAATGAAAGATGATATACAAAATCCCAAACAATCATATCAAATTATCCGTTTCATTGTTCGCATCACGACGTGTAGCGGCCAAAGTACTAGTTGGCACTGACTGTCACCTACTAATAGGCCACTATCACTAATCAAATCTGCGCTGGCCCAACGAGCTAATCCTGGCTAATATGTGAGTTATCATGCTCGTGGATGATAGTGTGATTGAACAGGATTGAACTTATCTGATTGCCAGATGTGGTCTAATCAAATCCAACAGATTCTTTCACTATGATGAGCTGCAGCTTTTCATGTCCGTAAGTGGCGGCTACCTGCGAAATGAGTCCTGGACAATTGGCCAGGCATGCACACTTTGCCCGTACTAATGACGAACCTTCTGCTTCTGCTTCTTCAAAAGATGTTATATATGGGCGGCATCTATACCGGGCAACTGCAAGGCACTACGTGCAAAGCAACCTATTGCCACTTATCACTCAGACCAGCTTCGATTGCACTTTGATTGCATGTTGTACAGTAAGTGCCGATTGCTCTCAAATTTTGGTGACTCGCTGTGATTTTCCTGTTAGTGACATGTCTGCACTACTCACTCAGATCTCTGATCATAAGTCATCATGCAGTGCTCTCAGTGCTAATAATATCGGGAGCCTTGTTCTGTCCCTTCGTCACACAAACTTGTCGTACACTCGAGGGCGAACTTCCGAACTTCGAGGATCAGAACCACCAGCTGCGCCCCATACGTCATGCAAACAGTTCGCGCCTCCATCAGCGCAAGAACACTGTTCGCAGGCGAGCCCAGAGGGATTCTAACAATCTGGAACCCAACGGTCGGTTGAGAATGATAAGAGCGGGGAAGACAACATTAAGGCCTTTGGAAGCTCACGGGTCAAGGAATAGGGCGCACTACTCTATGAACGTTGCAAACGAGGTTGGCAGGTCACCGATAGGTTGTCACAAGGAAAGAGCTGTTGAAGTCCATTGTGTTGGGTATTGTATATCCATACGAATTAAACCGAGATTGACCGAGCTTGCCCATCAACAAACTACCAGACTCCTCTTCGTTTGAGCCAGCTGCTAAAACGGCTTAAGGATAAAACAATCTTCGTCACCCGTATTATGTACCACCAGTGTGGGGTTGTTTTGTCAAGTTAGGAACGGAAGGTCTTGCCACACAAGGACAAACAGGAATCGCAGCAACCTCACAATACAGTGACTTGACAGGGACTGGCGATAAAGACCCATTTCTAAGGATGTCACTCCTTGCGCCTATTATCTGCGACAATGGAACTGGATTCTCGAAGATAGGGTAAGCACGAAACGATCAACTCTGACGCACCACTCACTCAAGGTCGATCGCAGCTTCGCGGGAAATTCTGATCCATCATAGTGAGTTTCATCATTCCACACAAGATCGCAGGAGGGAGACGCATTATAAATGACTCCAGTGTTTTCCCCACTGCAATTGCCACGCGTGGGCCTGCTTCTCAACCTACTCGTGGTGGTCCTCCAATTCCTTCGAAACCCGGGAATGTGGCATCGAAACGCGGTGTCGAAGACCTCGACTTCTTCATTGGAGACGAAGCCCTCGCGAATGCGAAGACCCCTGGTTATGGGGTTCACTATCCCATTCGCCACGGTATGATCGACAACTGGGATCACATGGAACGATACTGGGAGCAAACAATATTCAAGTATCTACGGGCTGAACCAGAAGATCATTACTTCCTTTTGGTATGACATCATCCAATATAACGCATTCCAAACTTTCTCATGATTATTTGTCTCGTAGACTGAGCCTCCGCTCAACCCTCCAGAAAACAGAGAGCAGACAGCCGAAATCTTCTTTGAGTCCTTCAACATCAAGGGTCTCTACATCGCTGTACAAGCTGTGCTTGCTCTTGCCGCATCCTGGACATCCAACCGTGCCACAGACAGGACGCTCACCGGCACTGTCATTGACTCGGGAGACGGTGTCACGCACGTCATCCCTTGCGCAGAAGGCTACGTCATTGGAAGTGCCATTAAACACATTCCCATCGCTGGTCGTGACATATCACAATTCGTGCTGAACTTATTGCGTGAGCGTGGCGAAATGGCTGCTGTTCCACCAGAGGATCAGCTACGGGTTGCCAGCAGAGTCAAGGAAAATTACAGCTACGCATGCCAGGATATCGTCAAAGAGTTCCGGAAATACGATGCGGAACCCTACAAATACTTTGAGAGATATGAAGGTGAACATAGCGTCACCGGCAGGGTTGGTGCCCTTTTTCAAACATGTCGCACAAACTGTTGAATGCATGTCGTTTCACCAGAAATACTCTATCGACGTCGGCTATGAACGTTTCTTGGCACCAGAGATGTTCTTCAACCCGGAGATCTACTCTTCCGATTTCCTTACACCTCTCCCGGAAATTGTTGATGATGTGATTCAAGCATCTCCGATTGATGTTCGTCGCGGCTTGTACAAGGTGACCGGTCTTCTTAGCCTTTCATTTACCTGCATTTTAATTACGACTATGTAGAATATAGTTCTTTCAGGAGGTTCCACCATGTTCCAGCACTTTGGTCAGCGTCTCAAGAGGGACCTAAAGCAACTGGTCGACCGCCGACTCGAGGCTAGCGTCGTTTCAAGCGGCAGCACTACTAAGGTCGGCATTCAACATTTCTGTTTTCTCCATTTGCTAACGAAACAATAGTCGTCCGGTGTGGATGTGGACGTAATTTCACACAAGCGCCAGCGGTAAGATACCGGTTCTCCATATGTCCCACCTCAAAACTGACTTTGTCTCAAGATATGCTGTATGGTTTGGTGGCTCCTTGCTTGCGTCATTGGTAAGGATATTACAAGCTAGGTCGCATTACAACTTAACCGTTATTTCAGCCCGAGTTCTATACGTCTTGCCATACCAAGGCACAATACGATGAAATCGGCCCAAGCATTTGCAGACGGTACCAAATATTCGGTAGCGCTACGTAGGTTTCGGAGGAGGTGACTGACCTCTTGGATGCGGAGGGAGTTGACACGTATACCGGCTCGGGTTGAAAAACAACAATTATATTGACTACCGCACGATGCACGTTGAGTTTATCTGCAATAAAAGCCGGAATGAAGCACTAGAAGTTCATGTCGTATATAGAACAAGGTATGTACAGCTCTAGTTCTACAAGGAACGGGGAGTTCGGTCACCAAAGAATGCCACAAACTGCGGCCGCGCTCCGCGATGAATGCCGGATGATGATGGCATCCGCATGGCTGATACTGTCTATTGATAACCAGCTTCGTGAGTCGCTTAGGACAGGAAGTTGCGGCGAATCTCGTCGATGCACTTGACGTATTTACAATTTTTTATATCTCCGACGCTTGGCAGTAGGGAATCAAGCCAGCTTCCAGCGGATAATGCTAGGTTGACGGTGCGCATTTGCAAAGCACGATGCGTACGCACTGGTGAATCGTACTGCAGGGACCGGTAGAGTTCGGCTGTGATCGAGTGGGGAATTTGAATGTGGCAGATCCTCCTGAGCCGGGGTTCCAGATGTCCAAGTTGTGCGCAAAGGGCGAGTGAGCCAGCAAGACCGTCGCTCCTCCTTTGATATGGATGTCACATGTGCAGTCTTGCGTCGTTTGACCGATACATGTGAGATGGATCGCCACGAGGCATTCTCTACTTCCGAGTCGCATGGATCTTGAGCGATTTTTTTGTCCTGGGCAGGCTGGGCATGTACATCAGAAGGCACCAGAGCGTGAGTGAGCCATGCGAGCAGGACTTCTTCTTGTCGCGGACGGCCCCAGCTCAAAAGCTGACGTTGTTTCCTAGCTATCCTAGGAGGATTGTCCTCTTCCAGCGAACCGTACTGTCGTTTCGTCTTTGCCTTCCATCCGATCTGTGGCGGACAATGTTTGGCCAACGTAGCGATTGTGGCAGACACACCCGATGTCACGGAAGACACAGATAATTGTGAATGCTGAAACGTTGCTGTAGCTTCAACAATGACGCTATCAGAATCGTGCTCGGCACAGATGTCAGACAGAGTTTCTCCTACGGCTATATCCGAAGAGCCTGATCAGCGAAGGTGGTCAAATTTAGATTTACACAGCGGTCTCACCTGGGTCTTGAGGGACTGAAATAAATTTGAGGGTTTCTCCGAAAGACCGACCATCGTTGTATTTTCTGTTCAGTAGAGAGTTGTCAATCACGTAAAGAAAAACAACACCGCATGTGAGAGCAACGTACGTTTGGTCAGTTTCGTCCTCATCAAGTAGGTCTTCATGCATAGCAGCAGAGCCTGACTGACGCATGTGGAGATAACGACCGGAGAGAAGTCGCGGTGTTTTCTGTTCGGGTACGATTAGTCGGAACGGCACGAGAATTGACGAAGGTTGGGCGCGCACAGAAGTTGGTGGAGCAGCATCAACACTGCCACCTGGGTTATTTTGAGGGAGGGAGGTTTTCATCGTTGGGTGTGAGGTATCATACCTTGGTTAACGGGGACGTCTTATACTAATGACCAGTGTGGATGGTGTGGCGTTACCACATCGACAGTGGGTGGTAGGAGTCCACACTGTTAACCAAAAACGTACCTGTTGAATTATTGTGGACCCACTGGGCAAAGCGGGCATGAACTAAGATTATGGTCTACACAAAACGCACAAGCGTGTTAGGGCCTCGCAAAGCGGATCTACCGTCGTGCTTTGGCTCACCAAAGCAAACTGCGAAGAAGCGGATGCTAAGCCTTTGAGGCTGAGGATTTTAAGTTACAACACATGCGACAACACGAGGGTCAAGCCCACCCAAGCTCCTCGATGGCAACGAGCCAGTGCTAACCAGACACAGTCACGGTGGCGTAGATGTTTTCAAAATTTGAATCGAGATGCTCTCACAAGCGTGAAGACGAACGGAATGAAGGAGTCGGCGGGTGCGGAAAATGCTGCCCCGGAAAGCGGAGGCAGATCGGGGAGGGGTACCTGACAGGCAAGCTATACGACTTCGATCGCCCATTGGACCACCCGTCAACAGTCAACACCGCATCATGAGGTAAATTGGCATTGGTAGCGAAAGCAACCGAAAAGCAGTGAATCGATTTAATTTTGAGGAAGCAAAGTGACACACAGCCACGCGCACTGCTTTCCCTTCAGACCATTCTGAAGAGTCGACGTCGGTTTCGAGGATCTTGAATATAAACAACGTCGTTTTACCGACGTCGACGTTCTGTCCTCAAAACCAACAACTAGCTTGCGAACTAGTTCACTTAGCTGCACCGTCGGTCCGCCTATTGCCGTCTTTAGTCGTGAGTGCACTCTCCCATAATGGTGCCTTTAATTCTCATGTACTCGTTGAATTCCTCTTATGTGACTCTAGTTCTTTAAAGAGCACCTCGTGTTCTTTACAGGGCTTCACCTCCTTTCATCCGTGAATTACGTCCGGCTTCGTCGGCCTGATCACAGTCATTCCGAGTCTCTCTCCCTCTCTCCCTCTCTCTCCATCCTGCTATCGTCTTCCAAGACATAATCTACCGATGTCTAGTTCTGTTCACGATATGAGCCCTAATGGCTCTTCTTGGGATCATCGTCGCCGATTCGCTACCCAACAGCACCTCTTACTAGAGGAAGAGGATCCCTATCTCCTCGCCGCTCAAGATATCCCCCAAGGATATCTACAGCACGGGCAGTCTAACGCCCAACACCTTTACAACAGTTCTTTATCTCAATATAACTCAAATCAATATGATTCACCCTCTGCCTTCCAACAGCGCTCTCCTTCCTTTGCATCATCACCTAATACGACTTCAAACCCAAATCAATCGTTGAATCCCGCATCAACCACGTTCACATTCACTCCACCAGGCTATGATACTAATTCTACTCGTCCTGGATATCAGACCGCCTTTCCATCAGGAATGAACGCGTCAACTTCTCCAGGTGCACACAATCAACAACTCTCCGCGATATCCACCACCACTTCGGGTCCCGGGTTTCCTATGCAGTTCCCGTACAGTCGTCAGCTACCTATTCGCCAATCTGAGATCCAGTCGCAGATCGTAGACAGTATGAACGCGACCATGGCTCAGCAATTAAAGCGCCATAGAGGCGATGACGATAACCACCAACCTCGTACTGTGATGCCCGACCCGCATGAACTCCAAGAGGCGAGCAAACCAAAACCGTGCGCCCTCCAGTTAATTACCCAATATTCATATTAACAAATCACACAGAACGGGTGCTTGTGCTCGGTGCAAAAGCTTGAAGGTACGTGGGTATATTTTTGACATTATTTCAAATCCCAAGACCTCCACCACGCTAGGTCCGATGTGAATTCAGGGGCGACAATGATACCTGCAAAAGGTGCACGGGTGCCGGTCAAGAATGTGTCATTCCGGGACGCAAACCACGCCGAACCCCACCGTACGTGCTTACATTGTTTTCAGCTGAGCAAGTTAAGACGTTGCGTTAGGAAACGAGAGCACCTTCTGAACCAGATTCGTGAACAAGCTGCTCAAATCCAGGAGCTTATGGCTCAGCTCGATGTCACCAACCGACGAGCTGCATCAGCCAGAGTCACCAGTCCATCCATCCATATGATACCAATATCCCCATCATCCTCCGTCGATATGCATTCTCCTACCCTCGATCCCAACACCCCGGCAGATTCCGCTCCACCCAAACCGGAAGTGCAGGATTGGATAGCAAAAGCACGTGAGTCAATCGAGGCCTTTGGTGGCCTGATTGCCCTTGGCGGTACATCGTATTCCATGCTCGTTAATGAAGACCCCGAGAAGTCCGCTGATAGTGACGAGGAAGAGTACGGCTTTGACTTCGAAGACGACGACACTGATGACGAGGGAGATGGATATGCCACTGCAGAGGAAGGTGGACGCAGCCGTCGCTCACAGTCAAGGGAAAGGCTTTCGCCGACTGCGCTGGCCAAAAAGAAGGAGCTCGCTGATAAAAAGTCGGGCTTGCTCCCACACGCAGATAGTCCATTTGGTTTGATGGCCCACATGGCCAACCGAACCAGAGGAAAGAGTGCGGAACCAGAACCTCAGGACGCTGTTGGCGTAGCGAATGTTCATTTCTTCAGACCATGTGAGTACATGCTTTGCTTGGGCACATAACACGAGGCCTTATTTCGTCTAGCTCCTGCTCCCGATTCTGTCCGCTCTAATCCTTCAATTAATGGCCAGCATCTTCCTCACATCCTCACTCGCGATGTCGTAACTGTAAAAGATGTCGAAATTCTGTTCAAACTGTGAGCCTTAATTTTTGATCTATACGATTAATTATTAAAAATGCCCAGATACTTTGATAATATGAACCCGTCGACATCGTTGATGGACCCCGTTCTTCACACTCCGCAGTACGTGATTTTGAGAAGCCCGTTCCTATTCACAGTCGGTGAGCCGATCTGACCTTCATTCTGTTCTTCTTGTGCTGACTTTCGTTCTTAGTGTGTGCCGTCGCTTCTCGATTCTACACCGAACGCCCAGGCCTCTACGCCGAAGTGATGCGATACGCACAGCTCGCGGCAGGCACTGCGCTTATCACCGGTCCCAAGAATGAGGAGATGTGTCTAGCTTACCTACTGTTACAGCTTTATCCTGTTCCATCACGACGCTGGGAAGAGGATCGCAGCTGGGTGTACCTTGGTGTCGCAATCCGGTAGGGAACTCTCGACACTGTCTCACGGCATCTTCTTACATTGTTCTAGACTGGCCCAGGACCTCAACCTGAATAGGCCTTCGACTGCAACGCCCCTGAATGAACACCACGCCCGTGTCCTTCTCAATCGCACGCGGGTCTGGATCAACTGCTTCAACTTGGACCGGTCGACTGGCGCTCAGTACGGCAAAGCGCCCATCATTCCCAATTCCGATTATATCGCCAACCATTTGCACGATTGGTGGTGCTCCTCCAAGTATAATTTCGAGGACTTTGACATTCAACTCTGTATCTACTCCATGGAGCTCAATATCACCGCAAAATTCATGGAGAAGATTCGCAGCGACCCAAATCACCCGCTCGGACTCAACAAGGTACGTGTCCATTCGTTCCCACGATCCCTTTGACGCCAGTACTGATGAATTTGAAGTCTGCGAATTTCACTCAGATCGCTAGTGAAACCGACGACGAATTGGCACGCGTCGGCGCACATTGGTTCAATCAGTTAGATGGCATCGAGCCGAAAAGCCCCATGTTTATTTTCCGCACTGGTCTTTTGAAAATGGCCTTCAGCTACTCCCGTTTGGTCGTCCTTTCTTCTGGCCTGCAGCATGCCAAGGAAGACCACTTGGATGAAAATTCATTCTTGATGAGGGTCAGTATTCTCTTGTATTCTCTTTTCTTTTTCTTGATCTCATTCCTTTTAGTGTTTTACGAGGGCATCCGATGTCATCAATGCTTTTGTTCACCGATTGTACACTACCAAAGAAGAAAGTAAGTTATATGTTTCATGAAGCCCAGCATCTCATCTTATCGTTCGATAGGAGTTTTACTACGCCACGCACCCGATGCGCAATATGTGTTTGTCAGTTTCGCTGGTGCCTTTCTTGTTAAAGTACGTCCCTTGCGATGCTCACTTTTTCAGTACGTAACATTTCTGCCCACAGCTTTTGCAATTGAAGTACGCGCACTACTTCACGCATGACCAACGAGTCGAGATTCGGGACCTCGTTCAAAAAACGGTTGATCTCCTCGGGGCTCCGGACGTAGCTCTCGACGAGAAGCACGGGCCTTACCTATACTCTCGCTTCCTGGCTGGCCTACTGGCTAGTCCCGCGGTCAGGGTCGACCTGAGCCCGACCTCGGGGAAGTCACCCCTGACCAGCCCCAATGCCTACAAGCGAGCTCGCAAGCCGAAGATCTCGCCTACCAAGATTCGTAACGGTCCAGCCGCAGACATTTCTACGTCTAATGACTATCCATCTCCATCCTCTGCCCAGTCCAGTTCTCCTTCTCCTTCATACCTGTACCCAGGCGCGGAAAACTTTTCGGGAGCCCTGTTACAGGACCAAGCGGCATCGCTTGCGGGATCGTCATCTGAAATGTTCCATGGCCCGTTACCGATCACTTTAGATGCCGATCTTTTAGAATCAGCACAGATCATGGCTGATCCTTTGTGGCAGAATACCCTAGTCCCCGGTACGCGTAACGCTATCACTACCGGAGTTCATTTCGCTGACCGCTATCACCGCAGGTTTCCAGTGGATGAATCAAATGTCATACAATACTACTGTAGCCCAAGATTATTCGATGTACGAACCACAATATGGTTCGATGTCATGAGAGCGCCGTTACCCAGATTTTGTATCGTTTCAGTGCTATGTTGTTGTAATATGTGGGCACTGTTGTTCGTTTTTGCGCTTTGTTCTCGTGTATTATGCTGTAGGCCTGGAGGCACGAGACGCGATTTTGTATTAGAAATAAAATGTATGTTCTCGGAATATTTTGGCACATTGTCCAGTCTATTTTACTTTATAAAGCTGCACTCATCTATGTGTACAAGCGCTCGAAAGAGGAATTCTTAACGCGCGCTGGTCCCGCTGACGTGCTCAGACATCAATATTCGCGACGGAAGGATAAGAACGCGGTATGCAAGCCTTGGCGGGCCCTAAGTTACAGTACTTCCCAGCCTCCCCTGATAGCCAGACCTACTAGCTAATAGTTCGTATTAAGCTTCCTTCCAGTCAACAAACCTCGAGGCCTCAGTACTCAGTGTTACTAAGGTATTTATGAGGTTCAGGTCAATTAAATAAATGAAAAATACAATGAAGGCAGTTATATACGTGCTAGTATATTCTATCACACAAACATTTCATTGTTCGCGAGGGATCCATCCATACCATACCCTATCGTCTTGGCCCCGTGAACTGAACCCACCCCCCAGATCAGCACGCATAAGTGGAATTGATGCATAAATAGAGCTCTCTCCAAAATCAAAGTCGGGCATTCTTGGGCATAGCCCTCATCGCTTGTCGAACTCCAAGATCAGCGAGGACATCCTCCGCTGCGGAACGTGAGCAAGTGGTTTCAGGCGTACACGCAAAAAAAAGACCTACCACCTCCCAATAATGCATCGAAGGTCACAGTGCGATGGTACTGCAAAAGCGTCAGTAAGATGACGATATAGTTGCTGGCTAGATCGACTTACATGCTCAATATGCCTCCCCATACCTGTCCGTGTGATACCACGGCCACCAAATATCTGAACAGCATCTTTTGCGGTCTCCTGTGCACACCGCGTGCTATAGCTCTTCAGAAAGGCGATCTGACTGAGTAGAAACAAAATTATTAGTCGCGATTACACTGGAAATTTTCGACTGCCTACCCAGCAAGCCTCTGAGATTGTTGTTTATATGTCTTCAACATCATTCGTAAGTTACCGACAGAGTAATAAGAAGGGCAAACTGTTCTTACCATATGGCACATCTGGTATGTGATGTTTTCCAACCAACTCTGTACGCTCTCCGTCCGCGCTATCATGGCGGCAAGCTTGGAGCGAATTACAGCTTGTGATATCAATGGTTTCCCGAAAGCTTTCCTTTGAGTTGTCCATCTAAAGTTGTCCATGAGAAGACAGTGATACAAGATGATTGAGCCAACATACTTCAAACACTCCTCAACTACGCCGCGCTGGCCGCGTGCGGAACCGCAGCACATGACCCACCGTTCGTGGTTGAAGTTGCTATGACACAATGAGTATTTAAGTTCCACTTCATACATCACTGCGTACCTGAGAATGACGAAAATTCCTCCACCTTCCTCACCAAGGGTGTTCTCAACGGGGACCCGAACGTTGTCGAATGTGATATAGGCAGTACCTGCTGTTGTTGAATAGCTTGTTTTTATTTGCCTCGTTTCTACACCAGGTCCACGCTCGACAAGAATGACAGTCAGGCCATCCTCAGTCTTGCAGCCTACAGTGAAGCTGTAAAGGGCATTTTAATTTGCTCCTCATAACTGGTGAATCATACTCACTAGTCTGCGAAACTATGCAAATCCCGTTCATCAGTAGTTCAGATTAATCCTTGGATTTACTCACGTAGCGTTGGTGATCCATTTCTTAGTTCCGTTTATAATCCATTCCTTGCCATCCTCGCTCTTGACAGCAGTTGTTTGTAAACCCATAACGTCACTTCCAGCCTGGGCCTCGGAAATGGCGAGACAAATAAACTTCTTGCCAGCGAAGACTTCGGGCACAACGCGAGCCTTCAATGCTTCCGAGCCAAAATTGAGAACTGGTGGCAGTCCAATTACTTTCCCTCCCAGTAAACCTGCGAATATGTAGTAGGTGGCCGCCGACAGTACGAGTAGCACTTACCATCTCCGTAGCCTCGTGCACCACATCGCGCAATCTCTTGAGTAATAATGAGCTCGTGGAAGTAGTTGAACTACGAAAGCATTCAAGTTAGAGCGAGACGAAGGACTCAGGCTATGGATGCATTTACCTCCTCAGGCTTCACGAGACCATCCATCAATGTTAATCCTTGAAGATGCTTTCCTGGACCCATACGCATTGCGTGCAAGTTCACGGCGCTAAAACAGAAGTAAGAACCTGAGCGCTGGGAAGAAAATTAACGTACGCCATCTTGTCGATTACGCTTTGACTAGGTCGCTTGCCATCCTCCTCGCGGGCCTTTCACAATAATTGAATGACACACGGTGATGAAAGAAATGGTGATGTCTCACCTGCGCATCCTCGTAAATGACATCGTCAGTAAATCGACGCATGGCCTGTTGGAATTTCCTGTGGTTCTGCATAAAGGTTCAGGAAGAGCTCCGAAAAAATAATTGTAACAATTCACCTCTGTGTAGTACGGGCTGTGGTACCCTTGTGACAGCCAGGTAGGCTCTGCGTACGGGACATCGCTGATTTCTCCAGCAATTCGGCTGTAAATCACCGATTGTTCGCCTTGAATGGCACCAATCTGAAGGCGCTGATATTGAGGTCGCTCCAGAACTTCATGACGATGCAACCCGTAGAATGCCTCCGTAGCATCCTGGCCAGCTGAGGAAGATATTTCGTTTTAAACTGTTATGCATAGCACATCATGGAAGGCGTCATACCGATTTCCCTGTCCGTCAAGACAGAGATCCCTCCAGGATGCAAGTCTTTAAAACGGGAAAGATTGTACACCTTTGCGTCGATGACCACCCACTAAAAAGGGGAGATAGTTGTTCATAGGGATAATATTTCAAGATGCTCGATACATACCAAGTCATCTGGCTTGTTATGCTGCAGTTCCAAGACGGTCTCAGCAAGTCGTGCTTTCAAAGCCAAAATTTCGACGCACCTCAGCAACCTCCTCCAGAGTAAATTGTTTCAGCTCTTTGTCGGCCATGGCAGCAGAATGTCTTAGAGGACCCTCTGCGGTTTCACATCATGGTCTTATACGGTAGACTCATCTTTGTTTCACGTGTTTGTCAAATTCGGCAAAGCGAGCCGGCTCGAAGCACATGACACGATGAATGATCTTGATGAACCAAACTGATTATCCATGCTATTACTCTTTTGCTTCCGTCTCTCCGTTAGTGCCATCAGGTGCCATCGCGGACATCGCCTCTCGCGACGTCGCGCTAACGACCAAGGTACTGTCCAGTGTCCACTCTGTATCTGTTTTTTCTTTGATCTGTCTGACGACAATCGCACGAATCAAAGTTAAACCCACGCAATCACTTCAAAGCCAACACCAAGTTACTGTTATTGTTTTTGCGTAAAACATCCGTCAGTAACCTTCTGGCCTGCTGGTATCCGCAAAGCAACTTATAGATGATCCCGATTCTCAGGAATAATGAATTCGACGAGCTCCCACACTTCTCTTGATGATGAATCACAGAGAGAGCTGGACGACCTTAACAAACGAATTAATGCACTGCAAGAAAGGAAGCACGCCCTAACGTTTGAAGCCTTCAAAGTTCATACCACCATACGCACTCTTCAAAGTCGTGCTGCGCATATCACGAACAAGACCGCTCCTGTGTCGCGTCTTCCATCAGACGTGCTTGCCATCATCTTTGAGGAGAGTCGGCGACTACTTATACCCTGGAGCAACGTAGTGAAGCGCCCACTTTCTCCCGAAGTGCAGCTATCCCACGTTTCATCTAGATGGCGGGAAGTGGCACTCTCAACCCCTGCTTTGTGGACAACCATCAGGTTCCCGATTTTGCACAAGGAGGCTGCTGCTGTGGCGTATCTCCAGCGGTGCAATCAAGCGCCCCTCAGTGTCCATATAGGCCCAAGAGTGTCTGATGCAGATTCCCTGCGCTTTATTGCCGCGCAATTCGTACCCCGACTGAATCAGATTCGCGAGCTCACCTTCGACACCGACGAGCGTCAGGATCTCTGCGCATTGTTTCCCTTGTTCGCAGATGAACCTGCTTCGATATTAAGACGATTGAAGATTTGTTGCAATGACACACGCAGCGCTGCCGGTGTCATTCCTCGCCTCGATATATTCAAAGCAGGAGCACCGCTCTTGTCTGATGTACGCCTCAGCGCCTTTGCAGTCGGACTGCCCCAGTGTTCTGCAACTACTTTGCATCTTGAACCGCCACCTGGACCTGGGAACCCTTTGCCCAGACTTGCTTTCCTCGATATCCTTGCTCCGCTATCAACTACCCTTACTACCCTACATTTGAGAGGGTTCATTAGCGGATTTCACCAGGAACCTGGTAGCGCACCTGTTGAACTCCCTGCCTTGAAGGAGTTATTAGTGTATGGTAACACCCTGAATCACGGATTCAACGTTTTCCGCAACATCTCTACTCCTGCCATCAAATCTCTATCCCTCGTCAATGTTAGACGACAGGGCTTGTCTTCAATCCACAAATTTATTGCCAGGACATCTCCAGAGCACTTCCAACATCTCCACACATTGCGATACATAAACTGCGACATTGACGATGATCTCGACGTCTACCTCCCCCATGCAACATCTGCTCTCACTGAACTTGCTGTATCTGTCAAGCATCACACTCATCTCTTGCGACTTCTGTTGAACAGCGACAGACAAGCTGCGCTCCATGGGGTCCCTCCCTTGTGGCGTAATCTCCACACCTTGACGCTCCACGTTTCCAAGCCATTGGACCGAGAAAGAGAGGATGTGGATTCCGACGAAGAAGATGACCCGCCGCCAACGATGGGACTACTATTGGAGGTGGTGCAGCAGAGAAGAGCGGTGGGCAAGCCTCTTGACCTTCTTCGGATAGAGGGCCCGCATGCTCGCTCATTTTATGAGGAGTTCACGACTATCCTCGTGAAAGCACACGAAGATCTTCACACAGAACTCTTTTCGATGTCTTTGCCTTCTTCGATAGACGTTCAGGATTCAGAAGTGGATTGGGCGTTTGCTGCTCACTACATTGGAAACCAATATCGCCTTTTCATGTTCAAGAAGCATCAACAGTTTGCTCCTCACGGTACTCCAGCTATCCATCCTCGGGGGCTTCCGGTCATGGCATACCCTTCAACACATACGCAGGTTCCATAGAAATATATGTTTTCTCTACATTTCAACGTGACTTGATCCTCAGCTTTGTCGCTTGCTATCTGTAATTTACTGTACTTCAACACGATTTCACACAATACCTAGAACATGCGGGTCATATATTGCATCATTCAACAGCACAGCCACCGGAACGGTACGTGAAACGATGCGCCCGTTTGTAAATCATATGCATGGACTTGGCATGGATTGTGATGGAGCCAGGCCACTGGCCACATTGAGCATCATGACAAGATTTCGGATCCGCACTGGCAGCACCGATTAATTCGCTTGGCCAGCGTTTCCCTTTCATCTCTGGCCTTCTGCCGCTGGCTCACGCCCGCACCTTGTCCGAACCAGGTAGTCTCCTCCGACATCAGCCTCCTAAAGAAAACGTGTTCACGGCGTGTCTTGTAGCTGCCCTTTAACTTTGGGAGGTTCGCGGGAAAATATCACCGAACTTCTTAGAATCTTTGTCCTCCGATGTGAGCGTCAGACAACATGACATCGTTTCCGGCAGCTGACTTGAGTTATATAGACGTACCGTCGATGACCCGCGACCAGGCTAGCAGCAGCAGCAATATCGAGGAAGATTTTGATGAGATAACACGACAAATTCGGGCACTTCAGTCTTCGCAGGACGAATTGTCCCGCTCAATCCGGAATCTCCAGGTCCGCGCTGCTCGCAGACAGAATGAGAAGGCAGCGGTGTCACGTATCCCCTCTGATGTCCTCTCGATGATATTCGAAGAGTGCCGTCAACTCAATCCACAATGGTCTGGCGTTCTCTTCCTTCTCCACCAGTCGCCCGTTGAGGTACGACTGTCTCATGTATCCAGTCATTGGCGTGAGGTAGCCCTCACCTCACCTTCCCTTTGGTCCTCTATTCACTACCCATTCGCACATAAAGAGGGTTCGCTCATGGAATATTTGAAGAGGTCAGATGGGTCACTTCTCGACGTATACATTGGCCCATGGAGACAGCACCCTCAGATTGAGCGCGTTTTGACCAACATTATCTTACCACACCTTCCTCGTTTCAGACAGTTGGTTCTTGACGCAATTTCGCGGGAGACTTTGGCGTCGCTCCTCGCAATGTTCCAGAACGTGTCTGCCCCTGCTCTGACACGGCTGCGAGTGATGTGCAGAGGACCAATGTCGGCTGCAGGTCCCATCGCTTCTGCGAAACTCTTCACCAAGGGTGCCCCTTTGCTATCTGATGTTAGGCTCGACAGTGTTGCGGTCATCCTGCCCAAAACAGAAGCAAGAACACTCCATTTTTGCCCGCCACCAGGGCCACCCTTCCCGCTCACACGTGATGAACTCTTCCGAGCAGTGTCAGCCTTCCCATCCCTCCACAGGCTCCATGTGAAATCGGCTATAGAGCTGAATAGTCTAACCCCTGTTTCGCTTATCCACTTGCCCTCATTGAGGGAATTAGTGGTGCATGGCCTCGCCGTGTCAACGGGCATACGTATATTTGACGTGATATCCGCTCCAAATATCGAGAGCCTCTACCTCGTGGATATGAATTGCTCCGCAGTGTCTGCGATTCACAAAGTCATGACACGGTCTTATCCGGATGCGTTCCAGTCCTTGCGGGTGCTACGGTATATTAGGTGCGAGTTCAGCGAGGACATGGACATTCATTTCCTTCGCGCAACCCCTCGTATCTCCGAACTCCTCATACCCGTCGATAAAACAAATTACCTGATCCGCATGCTCGTGAACAGTGACAAGCAAGCGGGCATTCACGGCTGTGCACCCCTGTGGCCAGAGTTGCGCACTGTTACCCTACACACACCCGGGTACTGCGCGCAGGTGGTTGGTGCCGGTGGTGTCCCGGACGACGAGCCTTCGCCTACGATGAATCTCCTTCAGGAGCTGGTCGCAGGGCGTAAGATGTTGGGCAGGCCGCTGAGCAAGCTCCGCTTTAAAGGGCCAAATGCAGGACCCTTTGCGAACGAGTTCCATTGGGGGCTCAATCGAGCGAAGCAGTTCGTCCCTACGGAAGCTGTTTTCTGTCAGATTCCTGCACTGCTACATGACGGAGGGCAGGAGTATGACTGGGCTGTCGTCGCTGAGGCATATGGTATGCAACTGCGGCAGTTTCTTCAGCAGGTTCAAGGCATACGGCAGCAGTTAGCCACCATCCTTCCACCCAATTTTTCGTTCCAGCATTTACGGAGACGAGCAGACGTACCAGCGTCATAGACATTTTACGAGTGGATCTGACTCGTGCCTTTCACACACTTGGTCATCGGTTTCAGAGTATTTAACATTTAGACACGGTCCCCTAGACGTTATATTTTGTTCTTCATAATTTCGACTTAGGACGTTCTAGTTCTCGTGCTTCTTTACCCAATGCTCCCTCAGTAACAAGTTGCCTCATCTCCTCGTCAGACAGTCCAAGTTCTTTGAGAATGTCTGCAGTGTGCTTGCCTGGATCTAACGTCTGTATTTCGTCTTGTAGAAGTAATGGCGGTGTTCTGCTGAGCTCCGGATGAGGTTTAGGGTAGAGAGATCCAAGGAGCTGGGCTGCTTCTGTGGGAGACAAGACTGGGACTGCACAAGCGTCAGTGCCTAGTTGATGGCAGATCAATCAGCACGAGAACCCTTCTGTGATGGAATGCTTACCGTGGAACACCTCCGTCCAGAAGTCTCTTGGTTGTGTTCTGAACCCGTCTTCAAGATACTTGCGAAGTTTAGGCCAATCTTCCTTCGTAAACTGCGTCGACCGCGACGGTGACCAGCTCCCTTGTTCTCCACTGGATTTCATGACCCCGTTGAATTTGCTGATAAATTGAGCAAAGAACTGGGGCTCTAGACACCCTACGCTCATCCACTTTCCGTCTGAGCAGGTGTAAACATCGTAGAATGGCGCGCCTCCGTCAAGGGTATTCGTGCCTCGCGGTCCTTCCCAGAAGCCGCCCCCAGCATTTAGAAGTGGAAAAGACGATACATAACGCGAACCAGAAACCTGCCACCTATATTTATAAATAATTCAGTGCACAGACGCCCCGGCACGTACCATGTCCACATTCACGACCTGTCCGCGGCCACTCCGACCTCGCTCGATCAGAGCCAGCAATATACCGTTCGCACACATTAGGCCGCCTCCAGCAAAGTCGGCAATTAGGTTCAAAGGGAAAGCGGGCTTGTCCGTGGTCCCCGGAAGCATCTGCAAGAAGAGTTTTAGTGTGTTCAGTCAAACTACAAGCGGGCCGCACGGAGAGAATGCCGCTAAGGGCAATATAATTGATATCATGACCTATGGCGGAAATTTCAAACTAAGCCACAGGTATATGATGATATTTACCAGCCATGGCAGAGTGCGTGCCTTAAAAAATCATTGAGAAGATGCGAGAACAACACCTGATATGCGTACCATTTCTTGGGAACCTGGAGGGAGCATCAGCCGGATGGCACTTCAGAAGCTCATATGCATCCTCACCCTGCGAGCCTGGCATATACAAGTTTGTCATTCAGGCCTTTCCGCTTGTCACTTGTATGAAACACCTCAGGACCGAGGCTAAGCGTCTCAAGCACCCCAGGTCTGAATGGATCGATGAGGACGTCTGCTTGAGCGATGAGGTTCTTCGTGACTCGCAATCCGCTCGCAGTCTTCATATCCAACACAATGGACCGCTTTCCTGCGCAAAGCAGATCTCTGGTAGTCGAGGAAGGGCGATCAATACGTATGACAGATGCCCCATAGTGAGCAAGTACCAGACCCGCGAATGGACCCGGTGCTAGGCCTGCAAACTGTAGATGTTCATTGTTTGTTCGACTTTCAAGCCCAACTGCAACGTACTTCTACTACTTTGATGCCATTTAGCGCCATTGGTGAGAGACTCGACGTCGTGTAGTGAACCAGGTGATTCCTCGGGTTAAGTCACTTCGCCGGTTACTTAGTAGCCGACTCCGAAATGTTCATATTTTGTGTTTCAAGAAAGACTGCTGGCAGGGCAGTCTGTTCAAATTACACGCTGCGACACGTCACATGGGAACAGCTAACAAAGATTTAGCTAGCCCTTAATTCATTCAACTGAGTTAAGGGGACAGAGGTACCTTTGATTGTTTGTCAGTGTTAGCATCGGAGGGCATAGCCAAGCAAGACCAAATACCTTCAACAACACCATCACGTGCTGATGAGGCTTCACACCAACGCTGTCATTTCTTTGGACATGTGGACAGTCCTGAACCCATCACGGTCCGGTGCTCATGCCCTCTTCCCGCGTATAAAATGCCGCAAGACGTGGTAAAAATGGTATTCTTTGACCCAACCTGTTTCTTTCTGCGTGATGTGGTTCCTGTCTACAGTCCTGCCTTGTGTTGCGTTGGCATCTGCAAGACATGCTCTTATGCCCCGCGATGGTACAACCCTGTCTAAATTGGTGCTGTCTGGCCCAGCTTCACTCCCAATGGATGCGACACCACCCTTGAATCCCGCTCTCGCAAGCTTCAGTATTGAAACTGCCTTCTTTGAAGAATATATGGGAAATCAATCCTATCCAAACACACTCTCTCAGAATCTCTTCGAGAACCTAAAGGAGAGGACTGGTGTTCCAGCTGAAGTGCGCATTGGTGGCATCACCGCTGACTCGACATTCTGGGATCCTAATCAGGAGGCTGCGCTGTACAATTTCATCGACGGCACAGGTGCACTGAGAAACACTACGCTTGGACCCCAGTTTTGGAATTCTGTGAAGCTTTTGCCTGAAGGGACGAAGATTGTTATGACGCTCGTAGGTCTTTTACTTATTAGATCTTGGGTGTCGGCATTTAGCTGGTCCATGCAGGATCTAGAGAGCTTGAATTATACGGGAGCTCTTGATATGGCTGAGGCGGCATGGAAGGGTCTTGGCTCACGTCAAATCTCTCGCTTTGAAAGTAAGCCAATGAATTTTCTCACTGACGCCTCCCGGTCCGACTTTTCCCCGTCTTCAGTAGGAAATGAACCAGATCAGTATTACCTCAACCTTGACGCTCAGAACTATACGGCTACGTGGGAGGTAATCCGTGTTCTATTCTCGTTCCCTGGTAGTGAGCTCTTACACATTCTGCAATTAGCCGTGGACTGTCAATATTTCGAAGGCGTTGGGCATCAATTACCCCGAGTTCCAAGTCGGGGCAACTGCTATAGACCCTTTGTGGCCGTATAACACGCCGCAAGCAGATGCACAGTTTGATTGCGTTAGTGCTCTAGCTGCTGGGGCCAACGATGGACACACTGTCACGACCTGTAGCGAACACACATACCAGTACAGCGTGAGGGAGCCTCCGATTAATGCATGTCCGACCTGAAATAGACTTTCTTTACAGGTTTGTGACCCCATTAGGGCTCCTGTCGCTACGTTAACCAACCTGGTAAGCCGTTGATTATCTACTGTAGCTTTTAATTTACAATAAGAATTTAGGTGAATCACACACGCTTGGCCGAGTAAGTCATACCTATTACTATGATCTCACCGCACTAATCTCCAACAGATATTTGGATCTTTGGCAGCCCCGTATCCACAGCGTTCGCACCCAACTCGGACCCGACGCCTTTGTTATCGGTGAGCCAAACTGTAAGGTCATATGTTAAGTACGTTGACCTATGACGAAGGGGAATTCAATTCCGTCTCTTGCTCTGGACGAGCCAATGTCAGCAACACATTCGGTCAAGCTATGTGGCTGGTACGTTGATCAAATGAATACAATTCGTAACGTCCGAGCATTTTTGCAGTTAGACACGACCCTCTATGCGGCTTCGATCAACGTCTCATGGTACGTGATCAGGGTGCCTTGGTGAACTTTCAGCTTAATTTTATCTCTAGTGTGTATGTGCATCAAGGTGGGCCTCTTGCGCTGCAGAGCTCTACGCAGCTCAATCACGGCGGACTCTCACTCTACAACCTCTGGTATGACATCTCAGAATATTCGAATTCACGACGTCTTGGGGACTGACGTTGAGTCCACAGGTACCCTGTCGATAATCAGAACGGTCCTATCCAAGTGTTCCCATCATACTCGGCTTACCTATTCGTGACAGAGGCCATTGGTCATTCGAGGTCGCTGCGCCTTTCAAACATCTTCCCAGGGCGACAGGCTAATGGATCCTCAATTACAACCGCAGCTGGTGATCCCTCTGCTGGCCAGATCTCAGTGTACGGTTTCTGGGACGAAATATCTGCCAACAGCCATGATTACCCCACTAAGCTCGCGCTTTTAAACCTTGAGATATACAACCAAACAGATTCGTACCCTCGTCCTAATATCACGATCGACATATCTGCGTATTTGCCGAAGAAGACCCAAGAAGTAATGGTCAAGCGGCTGACAGCCCCAGGAGCTGATGTCATATTAGCCAACGCGACGACCTGGTCAGGGCAAACTTTTGCTTCTGGCGTCGCAGAAGGCAACATTGTGGAGGAAAAAGTGTCCAATGGACAAGTGGTCATCGAGGCTTCTTCTGCTGCTTTGGTGTATTGGTAAACGCAGTGTAGCATGAAATTTGTACTCATCATAGGCTTTGCTATAGGAGTGAGTTGGCTGTTATATTTTTATATTCTGCTAGTCCTGAGTATGAACAGCACGAATCTGAGGAACGGACGAGGGAGACAAGATACAACTAATGATCGATATTCTTGCGCCAGGATTCAGAGCCTCCAGCATGACGCTGCGAGGCGAAAGATCGATGGCCACTGTTGGTGCCTGAAGGCCTCACTGTTTGTAGCGAATAAGTATCGAACTGGCACAAATAAGCGCCAGAGTTATATGAGTTCGGGTAGGACGCGGAGTTTGGGCGCAAGATCCATGATTCCATGATACAGAAAATACGGAACTCGTCATCTAACCATTTATAACGAGCACGAAGTCTTCATTGTGGATGACAACCAAGAGCAACCAAGGAGCCAGTGCTTCCGAGAGACCAGACAAAGGTACCGATTTTTATTGGTGTGCAAGAGAGAACTGAGGTTGCAGGATTCATTAGCGAAATGGAGTAGCCGCGCGGCCCCATATTGCCACGGGTTTAACTGGCTCAGACTCATCAAATAAAAACAAAAAATCTAGGACGACTTCCATTGAGGCGTTCAAGCGTGCAAGCTAGAAGATGCATGTACGACTCAGGAGCAAGAACCTGAGTCGGCTACGTCCGGAATTCCGGACGAGCCCGGACTTCACCAAAAATTATAGGGGTGTGTTGAACTCAACCGAACTCCCACAGACCCATAACCACCAGCAAGTTAACGCCGAGCGGCTAACATGTCGGGTCAGTGGGAAAGCATCATCTTTGATGATCCAAGGTCTAGGCACCCTATGCTTCCTCTCGTGGTTAAAGTTATGCACTGCATCTATGTTACCGTTGATCCCACACGCCCACCGCCACCCACAGTAATGAAGTGGTGGCACTCACAAAGCCTTTCCTATCAGGTACATGATCATGAATATGAGCCGTCAATTGTCATCCTCAATCTCCGAGAGGGCAAGCGAGATTCAACCATGAAAACCCACTTCACGATCAACTTTAACACCATGACGGTCAACGATGTATCTCTGAATAGGCGTTTCCCTGTACCCAACGAGATCCACTCTGTTGTAAGGGACCTTGATGAGTACGTGAGGAAGACTGTCCGGGAGAAAAAGGAAGCAGAAGCGGAGGAAGCACGTCGCTGTGAGAAGGAGCGAGAGGAACACAGGTCTAGAGTCCAGGCAAGTAAGCAATGTAGCTGCAATCACTTGATTAATTTTCTTCCTGCGTACAGGCCTTTTGTCGCTGTCTTATCGATAAAGGTCTTATCGACGAAGATCACGCGAAGTTGTTCTCCAGCGACAGTCTGCAGTGCCCTGTCTGTTCAGCGCAGCAGACATCATGCACCAGATGCAAAAGCATCTCATGTTCCAATAACGATTGTGTAGCCTCCTCTGCCGTTCCCATTGTACGGTGTTGCATGGCCACTCATCCGAGTCACACACGGCAATTCTGTACTTCATGTTTGGAGCCTCCAGGCTCTTTGCCTCGGCTGGGCAAGTGTCCCATGTGTTCAAACTTGTTTTGCACAGGAGAACTCAGTTGGTGCGTTGGACGCCCAAATTCTAATGACGGCGTAGTCGGCATCGCAACTTCGTCAGATATCGATGTTCCAGGGATAACCCGAGTACACTCAGCGCGGCCCCTGTACTGCCACAACACAGGCTGCATCCAAAATAGTCAAGATGGCGGAAGAGTTGGCCGTCGGTGCTCCAACACTGATTGTTGGTCCTTCAGGATGTACAGCACCAATGTATGCCCTGAGTGCATCACGCAAGATAGCTTCTCTTGCCCATGTGGTCAGTACTGGACTTGCGGTAGCTGCAAGTCTCAGTCTTCGGACATTCGTAGGCTTCTCACGTGTCCTCGGTGTCATCAGTGTTTCTGTGAATCGTGCTCATATATCTGGACTTGTGGGTTGTGCCGACGTGTGGGGTTCTGTAGCGACTGCATGGAAGAAGAGAGCGAAGAAGTTGAGCACGCACCAGGCGTAAACCTCCTTTTCAAGTGCCAGAACTGCCAAGGTCACCTATGCAATGCATGCGATGACGGTGGGCAACCATGCTGTACATGTAGTCGAATGCTTTGCAACCTTTGTGCAAAAGATGAAGAGGTTCGTGATTATTCTGTTATCACCGTCCGTACTGAATACAGAGTGTTGACTGAACAGTGTGAAAGATGTGCTCATTTCCGTCAGGTGCGTGATGGCGAAATTCCACTCTCAGGCTGGGCGTTCTCATCATCCTATGGCACAGCGCTGTAATTATGACTACGGTTTTTTCGAGTTCGGCTCTGATGATGAAATGACTTACCACGATTTCTAGTAATTCGATTATCTTTAACATTATGTATTGCTATTTCGTGTCTAATGTACTTATATCTTACTAGTATTGTTTCATCGTGCTTATCTCGATGCTCCTCGGTGAATTACTGCAATTGCTTGCCATACGTTCACCCTCTTTCCGCGGACTAGCCCCTTAGTAAATTTGTGATCAATTTTCAAGTCAGTAAAGAATATCCGGCAATTAACCTACCTCGGGTCTGCTTGCACTATGCGTGCTCGTTGGGGAGTTCCCGCACTGCACGACGTTGCAATGCCATTGGAATGGGATCGCTCAGTTGCAAAACGTTGGTCCAAGGTGTAGACGGGAGCACGCCTGCATGACACAATCCAGTGAAAACCACCAATTCGGATCTGCATAATACCTTACTATTCAAATAAAGGCATACTGGTATCTAGGATAAAGTAAAGCGGAGCTTTGGTCACAGTCCCAGACCCAGGCAAGACCGGCCATTTCAGACTCATCCTCAGCGTGATATTAGTTTGCCCAGACCTATTGGAAGGCTGTAACAACAGACAACAAACACTGGCAGACGATCAGACGAAAATAACGTGGATGAGCGTATGGGATTCGATGGCACGGTATGATATATATAGGGATATAAGTTGTGTACTGCCATATGTATGAAATCTACACTTCAAATCAGTATTACGACGAAACTGCAAAAAAAATCTCGTGCCTCTGCAGAATACGGTATATCCGACAAGCATTAACCATTTAGAGCATTTATCGTACTACACACCACCGCCAGTTGACACATGTAGACGCTATTGGAAATTAATTGTACTCGTGCCCGTTCCTGCATCGGAGTTGCCCACGAGCTTGGCGTGATACTCTCGAATGCTGAGGATGAGACGTGGTCCCAGCACAAACATCTGCATGATCGAGAAAATTTCAAGATGATCAGTATAAGCCAGAGTTCCAGTTACCAAGGCCTATAGAACTGAAAATCAGTTGTTTCATCCAGATGTGATTGAGAAGTCAGCATACCCTAGTCTTCAAGTTCGGAGAGTAATAACTGAGTTGGAAGCCAAAAACAGCAGCAAAGCTAGCAAGCGCAGAACTTCAGCGGGAAAAGAAACGACGTTCAATCACGGGCTCACCTTACAAAGTAAAACATATGAGTTTTCATTAACACCGCGAAACAGTCCCTGATGGTCCATCTCGTCGATGATCGTTGCAATTCATAGAAGTGTTTTACAGCAATCCACACTGCAAGACACAATACGAGGACCTCCCATGCGATATAAAGCACCCAGGCCATGGAATCAAGTGGGATATCTCCTTCCCATTCATAAGTGCACTGATGGGTACCGGAAAGGGTGAGCTCCTCTAGTATTCGTACAATGAGCCTGATGCACTTCAGTCTTTTGCCCATAATTAAAGCTCACCTCCTAACACATGAATGTCTCCTATTGCAGTGCTTACCCCACAGGCGGTCGTGAAAACCACGAAAATTACAACGAGAAAGATAAGAATCTTTCTGGATCGCTGATACATGGCATATAACCGAATGATCATTATAACTTGCATGATTTGTTAGTCAAGTCCTACTGAGGTATTGTAGCTGAGTAGCTCACCGCCTAGCATGGTATTTACAACCACAGTCATCCAATTTAGTGTGGAGTTCAAAATTTTGCCTGAGAAACCCAGTTAGCAATGAGCGTCGGAGGACAAAAAACTCACATCTATTGTGGTCATCATAACCAACAAGCTGGCCAACAATGTCACTCACCCCTACAAAGGAGTGTACATTATTGGAAGGAAATGATAGATCTCGGTGCGAAATGCTCACTACATCTGTCAGTGAGATCGACGGAAGGCTTGCTACATGCCGACGGTCAGAAGAACCAAGCACAACGTAAAGTGTGAAGAAACATACGCAGTATGTTGATGCTGATCGTGAAATATGGTCGATTAGCACGGCGCCAACTTGTTAGCCTTAAACATACACAGCATATATTATTCCAACGTAGCGCACCTATAGCATTGAAGTCAGCGCGATTTGCCAAATGCGCTCATAATACAAGCTACGTACACCGAGATATAGAAGAGTCACACAGGACCAGCGTTGCCCCTGACCCGAGTTAATTGTATCTTTTATTTGACATGGACACAGCTCACCCAAATCAGCTCAAACTATAAAATCATTTTTAGTGAGTGGCTGCTCCAGCAATGGTAACACTGACGTACCTCTTGTCCGAATGTCAAAGCTGCCAAGTTGAACATAAGATAATCAGTGGTGCTTCAATTCCACATATCTTGCTCACCCCAATCGTATATCACTGCGACAGATGCGACAACTGTGCAACCGCAGTAAAGGTTAGATTTAGATATCACACGACATATCGAAATTCCGCGAACCTACAAAATAGCTGAAACCACACAACTCATCGATTAGCGGCCACCAACGGGGATCATCTGAAACGAAGGGCATGATGTCGAATGGGTGTGATCGAGTAGCGAACTCGGTGGACGTATACCCGAATGCCGCACAGGTTCATTGGGAACCAAATTCCAAATTTCCAATACCGTTCTAGCGACGCGTTGAGACTATTACCGCACTCGCATCAGTTCAGGAGTTCCGGACATCAGCGCGATCATATGGTTCAATCACAGGTCTAGGCGACACGCAACAATCGAACAGCCGCATGCCGTGCCAATTCTCAATGAGCACCCTGACCCAGACTTGGGGAGTTTAATTGCAGGTAATCGCTCATTGACAGGATCACGCTGTGGACATGACAAGTCAGAATTATGTGTCTTTGAAACCCGACAAACAGATAACTCACCTCCGAGTCTCCCACCAGGGTACCATCACTTCTGCAACGCCTCTGAACACGCCCCCGATACCTAATCCAGTACAACCCTCAAGCGTTCTCCGCCTCGGTCATCGGGCTACATCATCATAGTGAAGCGAAACTGATGGTGACCCCACTCCGCTAGATCCATCATCAACTTGAAATTGAGTTAATAGTCTACTGAACGATCGATGTTACGTGCCGGCCAGATACGATGATTCTGATTGATTGGTCTGGTGGATAACGAAGAAAACGACTCAGACACGCCTGTATCATCCCACAGGAGGCCTAACTTTAGTCTTCTTGTTGCGCTCATCTGCTACAGAACTTCGAAAGTATTTTGGTTAGAACTTAGAAGTGGTTAGCAATTACACATCCGATCCGCTACAAACACTCGTCAACTCACGGCCCTGCCAAGTGGCCCTGAATTCTCAGCAACACATCGGAACGACGTCACTGCATAGTGATTGCAGCCTCCTCTGCTCGTGCCCGTAACTCTTCTTTGTGCATGAACGCGCGTGCTCGTTCTATAATGGCGAATATTTGCAAAGTACCCATTTCCTCATTGCCCCTGCCGCCATCAAGCCATATCGTGACACACAACCTTACCCCAGATCCACTCACGGGCCCGAGTCCAGCAGAATTCTTCTCTGATGTCTTGCCTAACAAACCGAGTCTACAGAGGCGTGCGAGGCTCCTCTCTAAAGAAGCGCACTTCTCATATGTGAATCCAATGCCACTAGAGTTTCCCTATGAAATCACACCGCCCGACCCACCTGCCGTCATCGAGGACAAGGCTGGATACATCGAGAAATGGCTCAGCGAGCGCGAAGCTCGTCATCCGTGTCCAGTTAGCAGCCAAATGCAGCCTTCATTGAACAAGTATACCCCCAAGCTTAGAGATAGGAAGAGGGAGCTCATCGGGTTGTCTGAGACATGCCTCAGAGACTGCCTGCCACTTCTAGACGTTGGTGATGCTTTTGAAGTGCTAGGGAAACCGGCCTTGGTCCCTTCGTTAGAAGAAGAGGTTGCTTCGACCTCTTCACCGGAGGCGGAGGCTATCCGCCAGGAAATGGTGGACGTCTTGAGCGGCCATGCCGTTCTGATGGCACCCGACTCGGAGTCCAGCTCGAATCCTAGCTTTGCACCCTGGTCTTCCAGGTACAGCGGCCACCAGTTTGGCGTCTGGGCTGGTCAACTTGGTGACGGTCGTGCCATTTCTATCCGTCAGTCATCTATCCCACGTTCACTCCAGGGCATCTTAACAGGCTACTAGATGTTACACCGCACCCTGAAGACGCTGAAACCACGTACGAGCTACAACTGAAGGGTGCTGGGCGGACACCCTTCTCCCGCACTGCGGATGGTTTAGCTGTTCTTCGCTCATCCATTCGAGAATACCTCTGCTCAGAAGGTAACACTTTGAATGGCAGTACCGGTCCTTTACTAACGACGACATAGCCATGCAGGCACTCTCGATCCCGACCACAAGGTCATTAAGTCTGATATCCCTCCCCGACTTGCCAGTCATACGAGAGCGCGCAGAAACTGCATGTATCTTTACACGTGTTGCAGAATCATTCATCCGTATCGGCAACTTCGAAGCCCTCAGCCCTCCATCCAACACTTTCTTCGTCGGTGGCGGTCAGCAAGACCCCGACTACGAGGCTTTGCGAAAGCTGGGTGAGTGGGTTGCGAGGAGAGTACTAAAGCTCAAAGGGATCGACTGGGAGGCCGGTGATGCTTGGGGTAAAGAGCTTCTCCTTGATGTTGCAAGACGAAATGCACGGATGGTGGCCGCTTGGCAAGCGTATGGATTTATGCATGGCGTTATGAACACGGACAAGTGAACTTTTTTCCCACTCCCAAGTTATAGACCACTAACTATTTGGTCTCAGTATATCAATTATGGGGCTGACAATAGATTATGGCCCATATGCATTCATGGACGTCTTCGACTCTTATCATATCTGCAATCATAGTGATGGAGAAGGTCGATACGCATACAAGGTAGGTGAAAGGACATTAACATTCACGTATACGCTGACACCCAGCGCAGTCTCAGCCAAACATGATGTTGGTCTTACAACTCTGTCTTCTTCTGACATTCTAACAACACCCTTGCAGTACTTACGCCTGTCGTGCTCTCCTCGACGCACTCTCCCCACTCATCGGCGCAGAAGCCGCCCAGGGCAACAAGGCAGTCCAACCCGGCTGGGCATCTTCAGCCACACCGGAAACACTCGTCTCATGGCGCACAGTAGGCAAACACCTTCCTAAAGTAGAAATGGAACACATTCTCGAAGAGACCTGTGCCACGGAATACGGAAACCTGATGCGCAAACGTCTGGGACTTCGTCGTCAAGAGAAAACAGACCAACGGGAGATTGTGCAACCGCTTTTGGACTTGATGGAGGCGCAGCAGTTGGACTTCCATGGCACTTTTAGACGGCTTGTGTTTTTCCATACTGGGTTGATGAAGGCAGACAATAGTGAGAGATTGGAGACGTTCATCAAGGGGATCTTGACCGGGACGCCCGATCCGGACCGCATGGACTATGGCAAGGCTACTGAAGAATGGATGACTTGGTTAGACAAGTACAGTGCGCGTATTGAAAGCGAGCGCCATGCACAGGAGTGGGCTGGTGGGGTTGACTTTGACAGTGCCAGACAAGATGCCGCCAAAAATGCGAACCCGCGTTTTGTGCTTAGACAATGGGTGCTTGAGGAGCTCATCAAGAAAGTCGAGGGTGACCATGATAGTGGGAAACGTATCATGGCTAAAGTGATGCAGGTGAAACAGCCATCATCTGTGTGCGGTTGACAGGAGCTCACTGTGACACTGTAGATGGCATGCAAGCCTTTCGAACCGTGGGGAGCGGAAGGTGAGGACACACCAAGCGATGATCTTCCAGCAGAGATAAGAGAGGAGAGGCGCCTGTGTGGGCTAGGAGACAAGAGGTTTTTGGGCTTCCAATGTAGTTGTTCAAGTTGAAGTTGGTCGGAGGATATCTATTATCAACGAACAACAACCGCAGGCTACTCACGAGCCCCGAGTAGTAACAATAAATACTTTAACGGATCTACCGCAGAACATCTTGGGACAAAACGCAGGATGGATAGCGAGCAGTACTGCACAAAATGTAACACAACAGGGAGATAGCTAAGCGCGAAACAAGCTGCTCCAACGTGAAGTTTCAAGGAGTGACAAAGTGGGAGGGGTGAAAGTCGATACCGGACCGTAGAGCGCCCCGTGTAAAAATATGAAGGTGGGGTGCGCGAGAAACAAATATAAAATAATGTATACGTACTCAAGCTCAAGATGGAGGTATGTACAGCTTTGAAACCGAAGTTTGCGAATATTAATAGAAAGCAAAGCGTGTTGTTTTTGAAAGTGGATCATCCGAGGGGAACTTGCGTTGGGGGGTATGGGAAGGCAGTCACGCTCACGGCGTCAATCTCGTCACAAGACATGATCGTCGAGCTGTGCGAGTAATTGGACGACCGCATAGATGCCACGCGTAGACCTGCCTCAGCTGACATGTCTAGAGCAGCGATGAGTGATTGCATAGCGTGGGAATTGTTGGAGCTGGTATCCGTAGCGCTATTTGAGCGAGCTTCAAGGAAAGGTCTCGAGATGGGAGCGTGAGAATCAGCAAAGGGATTGGATTCGGGTGTGGTGTTAGCAAGGAGCGTGCGCCTTTGGGGTTTCTCCTGCGCGTTAAAGAATGGGTTAGTGACGCGTCGGCTAACGCCGCTCTTGACGGAAGCTGCATCCGCGAACGGATTGCGTGAGTCGCCCGCTTCTGACATCTCTGAGCCATATACATCAATATGGCCAACTTCTGCACTCTCCCAGCGATGTGAACCAGACACGGTCGCGGGTGGCGTGAATTTCGCCATGGTCATTGTAGGTGACATGGTGCCAGATAGACGCGAGCGCACGGAGAGGAAAGATTCCCCACCGACAGTATCTCCGTCCCATGAGATGGTTGGCACACTGTCAGCTTGGGTGCGGCCCATAAACCGCTGTGCAGGTGGAGGTTTGGTAACAACTACATAACCTGCCTCAGCAGATTTGGACGCCATTTCCTCAGCCAAGCCAGGATGATACTTGGCAAAATGCTGCATCGTGCCTATGGACTCGCGATTTCCATGGCCATCAGAGGACTTTTCTGCAGAGGTTGTGCTGGGTGTACGATTGAACATCGCACCCAGTTTCTCCATCGGCCCCGATGAAGGCCTTGGTATCAACGGCGGCCCATCCTTTTGGTCCTCCTTGTCATCATCGAGACGATCCCAAGGCTGCAAATGAGAGCGACGGCGAGACAGATTGTTTGTAGCATTGCGGGACTGCGAAGCGTTCCCACGGCGCTGCGGCTTTTGTCGCCTTGAACAGTGGATCGCCAAAGAGATAACGAGTACAAGTACGATGAATGCGCCGACGCACGCGCCGATGACGGTACTTAATGATATGTTATTGGCAGAAGAGGAACTAGGTGAGGTAGTCGCAGCAGATGCAGGTGATGACGAAGTCGGTGATGGGGACGGTGTCGAGGAGGCGAGTTGAATGCCCGTAGCGGAACCATCAGTTCCCGCTGCGGTATTTTGGACGAGAGCAGTTGCGGTCGGTGAAGTGTTAGTGACTATCACGGAACCTGAGACGCCACCCAGCGTCTGTCGTTTTCGCAGGATATTGTTGGGACGTTGGGACATGGTATGATGCTGATTACAACAAAAATGACTGGATTCAAGAAAAGAGTGTACCGCAGAGTCCCCGTAGCGGAAGGGGTTGAGAGCAACGTTTGGAAAGCACTACGAAAGAAACTTTAAGAAAGTATGTGTGAACGATTGAAGCTTGCTGACGAATAGGTTAATACATAGGTGCTCAATCGAACGATAATACTTACAGTCAGTCGAGCGAGCAAACACTTTGCACGTCGCTGCTCGTTGAGGCCTGAGGTGCCACCGTGGTCGTCGCCAGCAGTGTTGAAGAACTGTAGACAACGGAGAATTCAAGCAAGATTAATAATTTTCGTCCAGTTAGGTAGTACAGGTAACGACACATCACAATACACCCGTGACCCGATCCGCGGCAGCCGGCTCTTTTCCGGGTGGCATAAAATACGATCATGACAACTGTCTTGGACTTGGATTGTACAGTAACGCCATGGCGATAATCTCCAGAAAGTAATGGTCTACCCCACCATAGCGACCACGAAACACGGCCAGTTTCCCCGTGAACCAATGATAGAAGGAACATCCGAGTCCTTCCTGTTATCAACCCAATCACCCATCAACCTCCTACTTCAGAACCTCGGCTTCTTCAATGCGATGCAGAAGGAGCTCATATTCGGGGAAGAGCAAGGTCGTCATCCTCTTCGTGAATGCCAGGAGGGTAGAACTCCTGAGCACCATATCTGTCCAGTAAGGGTTCCCGTTAGTTGCAAGTGTATTGGCGAGGAAACCATAGATTATGAGATCAATGCGAGTCGGTTGCTGGCTGTCGTGGAAGTACAAGTGGCCCGACATCCTTGCTTCGAGAGCCTCGAAAGCCTCTTTTTGCAAAGACTGAGCTTCTTCCTGAGAATGACGCCCCATTCCAGCATTCCAAATCGACTGTTTCACCTTCCTCCTAAAAAACCAGGATATCATCGGCCGCAAGGGCCAGCTCATGCCCCCAAATATCTCCTCGACAGTCACTGCGTAGTTTTCGTCCAAGTACCACCGGTCTCGAACAATCGCAGAGTATAGCAGTTCTTCGATATACGCCTGCCATGCTCTCGACTCGCCCTTCTGAATCGCAGTCAAGTCGGTGTTTGGATCTTGGATGAGTCCGTTCTCGACGAGATAGCGGACGATGAAATGGGAATCTGCGATAGTAACGGTTTTCCCGCCATGCTTGATGTCGGCGAAGGGAACTTTGCCCTTGGGAGCTTTCATTGGAACTGTCTCGCCCACTTCATATGATATCCCACTAAATCTGAGGAATGCTTCCAGCTTTTGGCAGAAACCAGATGAGCTGGGTGCATTAGGTGGCTTGGCGACACCCCAGAGTATGACATGGGGGCGTGACTCGGTAGACATGATCTGTAGAGTTAAGTCAGAGGTATCAGATTTCATCGATGGCGAGACAAACCTATGAATTTGAAAAACTCAGACTTGCAAAAGTGTTGGTGCTAATTAATCTGCTATCAGTCTTATATCAGTCCAGCTGCTCCAGCGCCATGTTTAACTGCGGATGTGTTCACAATGACACGAACGAGCAGCTTATCTTTACGAGATCCTGCGGCCGCAGCAACCGTGTTGTCGCGGTTGACGTTCCAACACGGCCAACATGATGATGGTCAACTCGAAGCCTGAGAATTATACATCCAAGTTGAAGCACGTTATGCCTTTACATGGTCCACTGTGGACCATCACTGGTGCACCTTTCGAGATATCATCACAGATGCATGATATGAACAGAGAGGAAGCCTACGTGTCCGAATAGAGTTTCAATTACCGGCGCCAGTGTCAGACTTCCGAAGTGACACCCGTCACTGCGCATCAGGGACCATCACGGCGTCAGGGTCTCTTTCCGCTGACCTGCACCTCCCACTGCAAATCACGGAAAGCGAAGCAGAATCTGTGACCTAGCAGCATCCAGACCAACGAGCCTCGGTATGTCTCATCTACAGCCACCTTAACCAAACTATTAAAGTGTTATCTAGAGGGCCACGTACGTCTAAGTCGAGGCTCGTTCTAGGGTCTCACTTCAAGCGTGACAAACATGATACAAACAGTCATCATGCATCATGGAGCGATTAACATGGTGCCTCATGGAGCTTGTGAAGGTTTTCAAGGGACTAAGTTTTCAATCACTCAAAGTTCGAAGACTGTTACCTGATTATACACTTCGGACGGCATAGTAAAGCTGTGAAGCATCGGGATCAAACTTCACAGGATCATAAGTCGATTAACTCATCCAGTTCTGTATCACATCCGGCACATTGATTCACTCCGCTCATCCCCCCTGATGGGTTTTCATTCCACATCGACGGGCATCAAGGGGGGTCAAATGACAGGGGCTCCATTTATTAAAGCGATTCTGAATCCTGAATCGTTCGATCCTCTGATATGATGATGTTGAGCAAACGTTGGCCACCAGCGGCGACCATGTTATGCCCGGTGATACGACTGCTGGTCAACCGTATCGACGTCGAAGAGACAAAGCATTGCGAATGTTTTTATCGCTCGTGTAACTCTTCGACTATTGCCTAATTTCCCATCAATACACAGCCTTTGACCAACTCAGCGAAACAAAGAGCTTTCGTGCAGAAATCAGATTAGGACGAACCATTCCGCGTGCTAATCGCTTTGGATCGCATGAACGAGAGCCGGGAAAATTGTTCCCGGTCTGGTATGTTCCTCTTGCACACACGCGCGATAACTTACAGATATGTTGCCTTCATTTGACAATACGTGGACCGTGGTGCTCGGCCTTCCGAGCCCGCCTGGTGAAATCCATTCGTGTAACGTGGTTACAAGGAACCTTGCATCCTCACCGGCGCCCAGCACTTACCGAGCTTTTGATATGGTTTGAAATTGAAAGGGGAATTGCTGCGGCTGGTTGGTCGTCGCATTGTCATGATACGATATCTAAAACACTCGCTCGCCATGCGATGCAAGTTTTGATGTTGTTTCGATGGATCTTCAATCCGTCATAGAAGCCGACATTCTAGAATATCCAGCAGCTAAATAAAACCACGCCCCCGCATGCATAACAGGTAGGCAGATATGATACAAGGGATAGGTAGATACAGATCCGAAAATGTGATACACCTACAATTTAGCTTTCAAAGCCTTTCCAACATCCCGCACAGCGTCTTTCACCGTCTCCGCAACAGACGCTTTATTCTCAAAGTTGCCCATAATTTGTTGCATGCCTTCTGCTGAGGTAGCAGGGTGTATAGCACGACCGTCATCTACAGCCGCACATCAGCCTCCTGTTCCAGAGTTGGGTTCACGTGACGTACCAAAGTTGGTGAAAACGTCCCATTTGGATATGACATCCTCTGGCGTGAGCACTTTGTTGGTAGGGAACCCGTACCCGCCAGCACGTTGCCACCGAGTCTGCGCTGCCCATCCACCAGAAATTTCAAACAATTGTCCTGTCGTCTCGGTGTTTGCTTCGCTTGTGAGGTAGCCGACGATCGGTGCAATGTAATCAGGCTGCAGGAAAGGCAGGATGTTAAATGGAATATCTAACAAGTCAAATGTCAGACCTTGTATGCGTCGACCATTTCTTGTGGCCAAATGGTCATCGTCATGGCAGTGCCCGCTGAGGGAGCGATGACATTGCTCAAAATGTTGTATTTACGGCCTTCGAAACCCAGCGTTTTTGTGATGCCCATGATACCAGCCTTGGCTGATGAATACTGTATTGGTGGTCATTAGCACTCACATCAATAAACTAAAAGAAATTCCTTGCGTTCGTCTGGCCAAAGTTGCCATCTGCAAATAAAGGTCTTATGAGAGATGTAGATACACAAAACACAAACGAAACATACAAATGCCGACTTGCGAGCAGGTCGTAACAATACGACCATATTTCTGTTTCTGGAAAATAGGCCAAACAGCTTTTGCGCACTTGACCGATCTCAGATACCGTCAACTGTTTACTTGGAAGCGAAAACAATACCTTGTATGTACCGCGCAAATGTACCGCCATGACGAGATCCCACTCCTGCTCAGACATGGCGGTGAACGAGCGGTCTCTTAGGACACCAGCATTCGCTACAAGGACGTGGACGCCTCCAAATGCGTCCAGTGCTGCCTTGACAATAGCCTCACCATCTTCTGCAGAGCAAACTGCAGGAACTGCTTTGCCCCCAGCTGTGAAAGCTCGCATCAAATTGGGACATCGAATGAAAATGACAGCCTACCCGACTTGATTTCAGAACACACAGCATGAGCTCCTTTCTCACTGACATCGTTGACAACCACATTCGCGCCAAGACGCGCATACATGAGTGCGTATGCGCGTCCAAGACCGGCACCAGCACCCGTGATAATGACGGTCTTGCCGTCGAAGCGAACGGGTGGTGCTGACTGGGGGTTTGGAGGCATCGTAGAAGCAAGTTCAAGCTAGGGAATATTACAATCAGAAGACATCCAAGGCATTATTTCTGTCGCATACAGTGCTATCTTTATCTAACACAGACTCTGGGCTGCAAGAAAGAAGATTAATTGTGCAAGGTTTCCTACCATAACGAAACATCCTTACTGTCTCGCGTCTGAGAAATCAGTCACTTCTGACCACTTGAGCTTCACCTGAAACTGAAGTCAGCTACTGCAAGATGTATGTATCCAACCGACTGACAGCTGAAGGAGTGAACGTATCGTCCGTCTTCCAGACGGTGCCCTTGCTGCGTTCCCATCGAATCTCTGCGACAAATCCAGCGCCAATCTCAAACACTCTGCCAGAGGGGTTCGGTCCATCAGGATGGCACACAGCAGCGACGAAAGGCGCTACGAATTCAGGCTGTCAAATGATATTAATGCATGAAGGAATGACGTCCTCGAAATTCACAAACCTTCAGATTTGCGAGCATCTCCGGAGACATGATGGTCGCAGTCATCGCCGACGCAGCAACAGGCGCGATAGCGACGGCGCTAATGTTATATTTTGCACCTTCTCGCGCCAATGACTTCGTGAATCCAATTAGACTCATCTTGGCAGCACTGTAGTTCGCCTGGCCGAAGTTCCCTGTACAAAATTCTAAGATGACGTTCATACGCTCACCCCAAAAAACTCACCATAAATACCAGCTGCACTAGCGGTGTTAATAATGCGCCCGAACTTCTGATTCCTGAAATGGGGCCAAGCAGCTTTGGTACACGAGAACGCGCCCTTAACATGCACGGAGATGACCTGGTCAAACTCAGCATCCGTCATGTTCTTAAACCTGCCAATCCTATCAGCACTTCCAAATCACCTTACCAAAATATGACCAACCCTCTGTCCCTCAGGATACCAGCATTGTTAATGAGGATAGACACCCCCCCAAAAGCACTGATAGCGCTCTGGATGACCGCAGCACCATCAGTCACAGAAGACGTGTTTGCAACAGCGCTACCGCCCGCTACATTCCAACACGACGTCACATTTCCGGGCCGGAACAAGCGAATGAACGAGCGCACCTTTCTTGATTTCATCCACGACCTTCTGTGCAGCCTCAGCATTGAAGTCATTAACAACAATGTTCGCACCGCGCGATGCAAACAGCAACGAGTACCTGTCCCACTCATTTCGGTCACAGCCCTCGCAGGAGACAAACGGAGTACTTACACTTTCCCGAGCCCACCACCTGCACCAGTGACTACAACAGTCTGGCCTTTGAACGACAGAGACATTATTGCAGTTTACAACAAGAGGGAAATGTAGAGTGTAACAAACGGACTAGAGTCTCTTAATGGCAAAGTTTCAAGTGTACGTGTGCCAAGTACTGTGAGCGCATGAAAGAATCACGTGAAATCTGAAAGAATCCTCGGGCCGGCAAACTCAAGCATGGTTCATCCATGATTAATGATTAGTGACCGACAGCGACGCGGCAAGCCACAATGTCATGCAATGAACTGAGAGGTATAAATAATGATGTATATTGAGGAATGAGATTCATGAGACGCGCCCCGCGCAGCATACACGAGCAAGTATATACCGTCCACGGAGGCTAACCAAGACCAACTAAAGATTAAGAAGCCTGTAGACAAATCGAGATGGTTGGGAATATAAATCAATATATCAACAGTGCCTGCAGAAGAGCGGCGTGGAATAAATGCCAACAAACGCCAGCGGGGATAATTTTGAAGGTATAGAATGCAACTGAGTAAATAATTCAAAGTGAAAAAATAAGGACAATGGCAAAGGAAGCACAAAGCAAGAGAGAGAGCGCGAACAAGTATGCAGCAGCATGGGATGAATGATGGCTGCTAGAATGTGCAGGACGGCTCACAGGCAAAACCGGACATGTAGACCTAATTATGAATACGATGCGTTTCGGCGATGGGCACAGTAATGGAGTGCGAAAGTGATGGGGAAATATGAGATGAAAAATAATGAAACGAGATGGAGATGCTGCGAGGAAAAATGGAATGCATGTGAGAGCAGAGCAGAGCGAGAAACATAATAAGAGACATGGCTGGGTGGAATGCGTAATCAGACAATTGAGATTGCAATAATGCCAGAGTGAAACAGTATGTCAAGCACAGAATGAGATGAGATGCAGGCAGATCGGGAACCCATGAACTTTTGAACGTGATGGACATTCAAGCCGTGACCTGCGAGTTATCTCTAGCCGCAGGGCTTTAACTACGCCAGCGTCCCCTAGGCTTCGTCCACGTTCGACTTCGCCCACTCGATTGCAAACAGTGACGCCTTCAAGAACTTCTTGTTGGCGTATTTCTGGCAGACGTACTGGCTCGCGAAGTTTTCTTCGAGTAGCTTCTCGCATATCCATTGGTGTCCAGGCTCGAGGTGCTCCGCGACGAAGCTCGAGTGAAACACAAATGACTCATTCTAAAAAAGGAAATCACAAACAAAAAAATCAGTCACATGATACACAGCCACAAAGAACACGCGTTTGCATCGTGCCCACGACACAAAAGCTCAGAACAGGAGGCGGTACTCACCCAATCACCCCCCAACATCTTCCTAGCGCTGTACATCCCCACCGCAGCAATGAGACTCGGCTTGCAGCGCAAAAACTTGTGATCTAGGAGTGTGACCTCGGCCAAAAATTTGCCGAGCGTCCTCGTTTGGATGTCGTAGTTATCGGCCTTGCTGATACGACGCATCCAGCTGTAGGGTGAGCAGTATTGCGAGACCTTGAAGTCGAGCGTCTGCAGTACGATGCGCTCGCCCTTGAGGATCTCTTCCTTCGTATAACCATTCTCGGTAATGAAGACGAACTCGTCGACGCTGGGGGCTAGAATTTCTTCGTACTTGGCAGCGATGAACATGGCAGTGACACCAACGAGCTGAAGTTTCACTAGGGATACGACACGCCTCGTGAGGAAACGGTCAACGATATTTATCGCGATCCAAAGCGTCTCAGGTAGCATGTGCCAGCGAAGGTGCACTTGCAGGAGCCAGTCGACCAATGTTTGGCGCATTGCCCAGGTGATCTCATTCTGACCGTCCATATAATCAGGATTCGGCATTACATCGTCCTGGAAGTCAATGGTCAGCATATCCGAAACACCAGGCAGACGGGACGCACTTCGAGGTCGTTCATGTATTTAAAAATTTCATCCGAGTACTCTGAGACCATCGTCGTGTCAAGATAGTCGATCTCATCTTCAAACGTTTCCTGGATCTCTTCGACCTCTCGATAATGTCTCACGGCACGCTCGGTATCCACGTCAGGCCACATACGGGGCGACTTTGCAACCGCAGCGGCGGGCTTCTCCTCTTGTTGTGGAGCAACCTGTTCTTGTACACCGACCATTTCATCGATCTCCTTCTCGTTAATGATGCTGAGTTCTGGGTCCTCCTCGATGTCTTCTACGTCCATATCGTTCTCCTTCTCTACTTCAGCGGGAATGACTACTGGTACAGCGGGTTCCTGCCGCGATGCGCGTTTGAAGACAGATTGGCGTGATGTACGCGAAGTAGGGCGTTGTGCAATGCCCTCCGCGCGACCTGGTCCGAGAGGGACGCGTTGTGGTCCAGTGGCGGCGGCTAGCGACGACGACCGGGTACGCTTGAGCCCCGCGTCTACACCTTCTTTCATGGCGTCCTTGCCTTTACCAGCAACGTCCTGAAGTCAAGTAACCTTCAGAACGTTGCGACAGGTGAAGATTGAAGAATACGACAAACCTTGCGGTTGACCGCGGTGGTGGTAACCTCACCAAGCGCTGAGCGCTGTGGGCCAGTCTTAAGGCCATTCAGGACGACAGAGGCGCGAGATGCGACTCCAAGGGCGGAAGTCTGGCGGAGGTGCTTGGTTGTGGCATTTTCATCGCCATTCTTGCGCGTGATGCCGATGCGACGAGTCTGAAGCTGCGCGATGGATCGCCGTGATCAGCCATCAAAGTTGAAAAAATACTCTGAGACAATAGACTACGTACGCGAGTGTTGTTGGCCATAATGTATTGTGATGAGTTGAAATACAAGGCGACGGTATTGTGAGCGGCGGGCAGGGGAAGATACAGAAGAGATTGTGAAGAGAAGAGAGAGAAGAGCCCTACTGCAAACTTAACCTAGGAATTTAATTGTGTCGCGGATGATGATGTGGTTGAAGAAAGAAAGAAGTGAATCGAATGCAAAGGACAAGTCAGCCACCAGCAGCGAAGCGACTTGGTCGTGTTCAAAACAACCTTTCGTCAAGTTCAAATTCAATCCAATCGCGTAGGACGCGAACCACCCACGTGACTTAAAAACAATTCAAAACAGTCGCGTCGCGCTCGGGTCGCGACGCGTGCTTTCACACCAAATTCCTTTGTACGTACCAAAATTTACACACAAAAATAATACAAACGTACATACTCATCAAATATAATGCCATTCTCGCGCTTTTCCCATTTCCATCAGACAAAGAAGGCCCAATTTCGATCTAGCCCTTTACATGAGCGCATCGGCTTCCGTGATATGTCAATATAAGCGGTGCAATGCCAGCGTGGCTGTTATCGTGTGGGGACGCCGTAGTTATGAGCGCCTGATCTCGGGAGCCTTCCAAACCCGTAAGATTCGTGTTTGGCACGTGAGCACAAATCGGTTGAGGTCAAACCTACACCGTAGCGAACGTTAGTGTGAGCTCTGCAATGGAAACAGAAACCTACCAAATTAAAATGTGCTTCCAATTCACCGTTCATTTCTTATCTATCATGTCCGCCCACCGCCTTTGCTTCCCGCTCTCTCTCCAGTCGCCGCTGGAAGGAGTAGGCGCCTTCTCAAGCATGCCTAGGCCCGTCCTGTGCAAAGTCACGTTGACTTCCAACGGTTCGATCAACCCTGATGCGTTTTCCCCTGAGCCTAAAGCCATTCCTGGCTGCCAACCCTGCTTCATTAGCAGCTGCCGGCCAATGTTCGATTCCGGAAGCGGCTGGGGCGGTGCAGGGCTTTCAGGTATGGGGGTGGAACCAGAAGAAGCAACGGATGGCGAGTCGCTTCTAGGACTGGGTGCACCTGGAGTATCGAGCGGTGAATTGGGGAATAGTGCTCGTCTCTTTGCGGAGCGATCCACATAGCTCGAAGACTGGCTGGATGCCGGTGACCTCGCTGTATCGTGACGAGATAGCAACGTCCGTTTCAGCATGGTCAGAGCTTTCTTTGCATCCCTCCCCTCCGCAGGTATAGGATTGACTTCCTCCCTTGCCCGCTTAACGCCTTTCGAAGCAGGAAAAAGCGGAATAATATTCTCGCCACTCCCACTTGACGCGCATCCTTCACATGACATGCGGTCCGCATGGATATGCACCACAAATGTGGTGCTTCCGATTGTCAATGTATCTTTGTGCTTCAATGCGCGCGGAAAGCTGGCCACTCGTGGCGGGGAAAGCCTGACCCCCGAATCTTCTACCACGTTCACGGTCGGACCAACATACCCACCAGAACGCAAGAACGACCCGTGCTTGGAACCCATATCCACGACTGCCCACTCTCGCCTTTCCGTGTCCCAAAACATTGTCGCATGCACTTTAGAAACCGCCATTTCCTTCAGCCTCACACGAGGAGTTCTGCTTCCGGCTGGCGCAACGTCTCTCCCAAACTGCACTTCTTTGTGCTCATCAAGCATTGCTAGACACTGGACCCTTGGAAGGACGGAGCTAGTTTGCACAAGCAAGCGAAGCAGGGACCATGGCTTGAAAGTTGATGAAAGAGATTCATTCAGGACCGTAGTAGGCTGTGAGACTTCTGTATCGCCAGGCCATTCGTATGCAGGATCGTAGCCTATTTCTGCATGAGTGTGATTTGTACCGCTCACCTCTCCATCCTCCATCTCCACGGGTCCTTGGCGTCTAGTAGTGCAGTCTTCTCACTATCACTGTACTTCAGTCAGTTGGTTGGCATCCGTGAACGTAAATTTTGGTGCTTGGGAGTTGGAAGTGAAATGCGAGAATAATGAATTCGAACTCCGATGTTCACTACTGTTCTCCTTCTCAAGCCATATTCTGGGGTCATTACGCTTGAAAACTTTAGGAGACTGCACCTGAGTGCACCATCTTGTGCGTTGTCCTGGGTTAACAATAAGTATCGTGCATTACTTTACTTTCGCTTATTCTTGTAGCATTGCCAAAGCATGGAATCATTTACAGAGGTACGCGTAACATGACATCCGCTTCCGCAGTCAAAACCCCATGTCTAAATCGCATGTAGGACCATTCCAAGGCCCTTCTCGCCAAAGAATGGCTGGTTAAAGTTGACTCGCAGACTTCCACGCCTTATCTCTTTGTGTGTGCCTGCTCAGAAATTTGAGTTCCATGTGAAATAACTGCTCCGGCATGTACGGTATCCCACAGAAATTTGCCTGCTCTTCAGTCGATCTGACGGCTTGCATACTCGTCACTGACACCAAGACCGCGTTGGCCGAGGGTGAGCTTCTTTCTAGTCACCGAGATGAATGAATAACTCACAAACCACGTCCACCAAATCCACCATTAACGCCGATCATGCTGAAACGCTCGCATGACACTGATCGATTCAATTTACGCCACTCATCAATCTGGACCTCGATAGTTCTAACGAGCAACCAATTTGCCCGGCGGTGGCGCATGTGTAACAAGCTCTCCATTTCTCCTCTCCCGGATCCGGATGAAGAAGAATCTTGGCGAGACCGTCACCTAACGCTCCTAAGCCGCGCGCACTCACTCGGTGGCTTTCAAGAGCTCACTTTGGATGCAGGAAAACCTACCTTGGGGGTAACCTTATCAGCTATTTGTTGAGTTGTGATACGCCCTGACACGTTCTGATAGGATCTGGCGCTCGAGCTGGAATGCAATAACTGGAAGTGGCGGTGGGAACCCACCTTTCTCGGGCCCAAAGTTTCCGCAGAAATCTTATCAAAGCACCTCATCATGCCCCTGATAAGCGTCAATCACCTTGCATTCTCGTCCTCCGATGTCTTGGGTGATCTTGCGCCGGGGGACCTCGAGAAGGTCTTTAGGCTTTCGTCACTTGCCTTTTCTATTTGTAGCAACTCACGTTGTTTTCAGGCAACGGATAAAGTTGGACGTACTGCGAGGAGGACGGTCGACACACATATTAAAAACGCGCTATCGAAGCCACGCGTGGCAACGACCCTTCGGCGTATGACGGCCATGTTCAACTTCTTACCTGAACTTCGTAAGTGTTGATAGATGCTCAAATGCTACCCTGGCATGACACGAACTTTCTCGAAAGCTGAAATAATCACTGACGCGGGCACTCCCGACCTTCGCGTGCCCACGGCAGAAATTCGGTCACCCAAAATAACGGCCCAAGATTCAGAGCACAAACCAAATGTAGGTATCTTGGATCGAAGATCTACTTACCATGGGCTGAGCAAAGTCTGATCCAGGATTACGACATGGAGCCTTCGCAAGAGCCCACACCGCCTAAAATACCACAGCAGGAGGATTCTGCTACTGAGTCTGAAGATGAAGGGGCTGCGCCAAAACAGCGGACCCTGCTCGCCTCTCCCACCCCCAGCCATCACCACCGCGTCTCAGGGCAGCCACCTTCGGCTAGCCTGTCTAAGGACGCCTCCCCAGCCCTGCCCGGCCGCAGCCGCAGTCGGACAGAAGTCCCCGCATCAGAGTCCGACTCCTCGCTGCGTCCAAATAAGAAGCTTAAGCATCCTGAGAGTTCAGATAATGGCGACAGCGAGGAAGAACGCAAAAAACGCGCAGCAGCAATCAAGAGCGGAGCTGCCGCTAAGCGAGGGACGAGACAGCCGCTGAAACGAGGCGGCAAGCGTTTCTAGTCCCTATCCTCGTTTTTCTTCCGGGTCGCCGAGAAGCCGGAGCGGGTGGTTTCCCTCGTCAGAGGCCGACTGGCTGTAGGACTGATTATCGGTGTTCCGCATACCCTGGACATGTCGCTACCGCGTTGTTCTTATTCTGTAGTGAGTACGATTCTAATGACAAATTCCTAATATGTTTCTCCAGGCCCCCCCCCAAGGCCACGCCCCTGATGCGTGCAAATTTCTTGGGGTATATTCAATACCATGACTTCTCTTTGATGGATCGACATCATTAACCCCTTTTCTGTATAAAAGATGTGGAGCTATCTCTACAAATGAAAGTACTACCAATGATGCTGACTGTGCCGTAAGAATACAACGGTTACTGTAAGTGAGTAGTATCTTTCGCCAGATGCGATGAACACAGCTAATAGCACAGCTACTAGCAGTCAAGTGTCCGAGTGGAGGGATATCATAATTAGTGGCGAAAGCAGTACGATGGCAGCGAGGGATATCAAGATAGGTAATGGGATGGCAACCACCTCATAGGAATATGGTGGTTGAATGCTGATGAATCACCAGTGGCGTCCCCCTCGCCGGCCGTAATCATCCGAACCTCCACCCTCGTACTCCAGGCAAGCTTCACATTTTGTTTGGAATAGGTTGCGGACTCTGCGGTGATCAGAAAATTCCTGGAAGCGAGTAACATCCATAAGAAGACTGGCCGAATCATGAAGAGGCGCGTTTTCGCACCATGTTACACCCGCAGTTCTTGGCGGTTTTATGCATATGCGATGCGCTTAGTTTGCAATTCGGCCGGGCACAATCGTATGTAATTCCAGTCTGGTAGATTCGGACGTAATGCTAAATGGTGCCATTGTTATCGTCAGAGGCCAAGGCTCGCAGAAAGTTCGGAGTAACGCACCCCACATCCTCTGTACTGATCGCCGAAACTACGACGAAGGGGCCTAGGTCATTGACGAGCATAACTTTCGGTGGGACTGGAACGTACCATTCCATGCTGCACATTTTGAAGGTATGTTGTGGGTGGTTATGGATCCTTATGTATAGAAGACGAACGCGAAATGGTAGTGAGGAATGGGTTTGACTCGGAATTGACGTGGTGTGCTTTTATACGCACACTGATTGACCAATATGATTGGATACATATGGTAAGGCATCTTCGGTGCAGCGGAAACCCATTTACGAGGTAATCGTGGGAGCGCATATCGAACCATGGTGTGTGATGCAAGAGAGCAGCCGGAGCTTTGTGACGGGCGCGCCTGAATTGAGAGCAACTGCGTGATCTCATCTATCCATGGGATGTCACTACCGTTTAGACTCGCAGTCCTTGATAAGGGTAGTACGGAAATGGTCATGAAGGACCACCCAGCATGAGGCCAAACTGATCGTAGATTTGGCACAACCCTCGTGGTCAGCGTTTACTTACAAGTTGCCAAGGGTCTCAGAACACGACGCAGCCACCATCCAGCCGTTTCACCGCTTCCGCACTTCGGAAAGCGCTCCTTCTTGGCCGGCTCTATTCCATTGAGACACCAATCAGGCCAACATCATGACATTTGTACAAGTTCACTGGCCGCTGCCGTGAACCCGCAGATCCAGAGAAGAAAATAATACCCATGATCGATCGAATCTGTGCAACATGCTCTTAACATGCATAATTTGCAGAGTCTCGTTTTTAGAGCTGCTGTAGTACCCCTTTCAGATGGCATGCTTAGATCACCAACTACATAGAAGTTGTTGGTAGTACGGCAGCTGGTCTCCAAGGATGTGCCATTTGGAATCACGGCTGAATGCACTGGCGATAAGGTTAACAGATAATTTCAGCTCAAGCGCGCGCTGATAACGGTTATGGTCGCAGTTAGTAGTAATTCTTACAGTATCGTCGGGGAAACGTAGCAACACATTCTGTGGCAGGGACGCTCGTCAAGGCAGTGTGTAGGATTCGCTGGATCAATTTGAAGTGCCTTGATATGTGGGGAGGGCATTTTGAATAGATTCACACTCAGACGTTCAGGCCCAGGGACTAGATCAGGATCAAAAAAGCAGAGTTCAATCATGTTACATGGTGGTCATCGTAAAGGCTCGTCTAATAATTCAGTTGCACCCGACACGTATAGTCCAAATCGAACGAAACGTGGCGTAGTGCCACCGTCACTTGAATGGGGTAACAGATAAATAGCCAAGAGGAACAGGAACGAACTTCACGTAAAATGAGAACACAAACCTCTGATATTATTCATTCAGTCCCTTCGAAGTCTCCACAGGATTTGGACATGTAGTCATCGAGCAACAACTTAGGGTCAATTCTGATGCCCGACGGAAATGATATGCAAAGTTATCTTCATATTAAGCGTGCCTTCGTGAACTTGATCTAGTTGTAGACTGGAGAAAACGAATGGGGTATGTCATATATGGGGGTAGTTGTTGGGCTCGAAGCAGTTTCCTTGGAGCGTACGGGGAGCCGCGATGCAAGGCGGGGATAATCCCACTCTATAAGGCGAAGCTGGGGTGATAAAGATCAGCGCGACAAATGCGTCCATAGACACCTTGCACCTTCTCACGGGTGTCAAAGGACACCGGGATGTTCTGCACATCAGAGGGTGATGCTCACTCGCCTGCATGATCGGACAAATCGTAGTCTCGTGCCATCATGCCAGCCGTCAGAACCTTGGGCAGACATAAACACGCCAAAATATCAAGTGCTTCCGGAACAGTGAATTTTCCATATTTGCGAAGAAGCTTCTGACCCCGCAACAAGTCCTTTTGTATCTGCAGGGTAAGATTTTACTCCAAACGTGAGACATAATGGGAGAGCGCACCAGATCTAAAGCTCCTATGTAGCAGACGGGCCAGATTACTTCGGATGTCGTAAAATACGAGAGGGTAGTGGTGTGAATCCGTGTGATACAAAGGCCATCATACAAAAGAAGCTCTCAATACATTTCGGAGAAGCCCAGTCGCGTAGGAACGATCGTAATCGTGACCCATCCACACCCACCATGAGGTGAGAGAAGATGGCCGAGGGTCTGGATGAGATATCGGCAACTTCTATTCGCTGAAGAGAAAGGCAAACCTTTCGCGGGAACTTATGCTCTCGTAATATGATACAAGGAAGCGTGTATGACTTCAGAAAAAGGGCACAGGAGGGGCGTCGTGATTATGGGGCGTCATCGTGTATTAAACTTGACTGCCCAAATGACACCCTCTAGATCTGACGTCTGGGGCACGGGCGACCCTGCAGACTCGAATCAACCAGGTATTCAAGGTCTCTATTGAAGCGTGGTGAAAGAGACTCGTAGATAATGAGAATCTATTTACCTACGATTGCCATGGAAGATACTTCGCATCTGCAGAACGGTATAGCACACGTGTAGATGCATCTGACACCTCAACGCCGAAAATGAATCTGAAGATGATAACCCTAACATCGGCTTCAGTGGTGAACCGACGAGGGATTCTTTTGCACAATCCAGGTAGACTGAAAGCATACACGGATGGATCCTGAGAATGTGGGCGCTACTGAGGTGATGAATTAAGAAGTGATGGCCATGGACATAATTGAAAATCCTCGTACAAACACTTTGTCGTTGTCTAGCAGCCAAAGCTTCCACCCGCGATAAGCAAATTTTGCAAATGCTTCGGCTGCCGGGCAGCCAGTGGCCGAGCTTCGAGGGTCGAAATCCCTTGGGGACAGAAGATTGCATGACAAGGGAGATGACGTTCATGACACCAAACTACGCCTTAGTCATGCATGTAAGAGTTGTTGGACTGCCAGATCTGTTTTCAGATAGCTCTAGACTAGCTCTAGAGGGATATCACGGCGCTTGGTCGTAATAAATAATGATCGCGACTACTAAAATCACAAATACGAGGGGATTCCCCGCTACCCTTTCAGTCTTATATTACATCCTCGAGGAGAAGAGTCACGTACTATTATGAACGAAATTTCCAATACTTGGCAGTAGCCTTTGTGACACCTTCGAGAAAGATTACTGACGCATGTCGCGAAATTCGTATCGCACCTGATCATCAGAAGGTCAGTTGAGATAGTCCTGACTTCTGGCGATGCCGACGAATGGATCATCAGGAAGCATGGATACTCCATGGGCTAGAATCGGGGGGCTCGGCGATGGGCAAATACCGTCAGTTGACTTCAACTGTGTGCTAATTTGACTAATGCGTGACTAGCCATGTAATTAAGTATTAGGTCAAGCTACCTCATGTATGCAGCAAATATTACCGTTGCATGATAGCTTGCTGCAATGCTGGGGTGGTCACCTGCAAGCAGATTAGTAAGAAGTAGCTCGAAGCCTGAAGGCCACTGCATGTAGAACCTGTCCCCAGCTAGTTACATCATGATGAAGGACTCCGAATTATTGATTATTGGGCAGGAGCAGCGACACCCCCTCGGACTAATGCAAGAATTGACCTTCATCGCTGCGAGTTTGGTCAATATGCTCGGGCTCTGGCAAGTGTGGTCATACTGGTTGAAATAAAATCGGTGTGTAGACAAGCACATTAATCTTTGACCCTTTGCTTGGACCGCTGAGATGACTACAGCGATCATCGCGCCGTGATGCCGCAAAAGAAGAGTTGCGATGCGGCATGATTCACCTGCCAGTGAGTGTTTCGACAGCCAATATGGACCAGAGTTTCAATCCGTCGGGTATATCATTTAACTTGCATCGCAGCACCTTGATCTCGTCTGGGGTGTGGACACGTTTTGTCAATGATTATCTGCGACGATACAACCATCAGACTCGTTAGGCAAGTTTGGTTGGGTGTCGGGACTAAGTACTAGTGAGAGTTCTGGAATCAAAGTTAAGAAAATGCCAGAGAATGTCAAGGAATGGGAGCGAACTGGAGGAATCTAGGTTTGCCGCATCCTGACTAGTACTCTTAAAGTACTGTGTGAAATTGTGAAAGCCAAAGTATTATTATTAATTTTAAATGATGGAGTTTTTGAGGTTTGCTTCTGACTGTATCGCAATCAGCAATGACAGTCAATGATCACAGTGATTCACCGACACAACGTTTTCTTGCTCCCTGGCGATGTCTTGGTTGACTTGAAATTCACAGTGTGTCACCGCACCGGAGTTCGGCTCTGGTGTACAAGCATGTGATTTCTTGTTCGAGTGACCTTCACTGGCACACAGTCGTCTTTCTTTACATTCAGAATTGGCTGCTGGCAAAGGTCATAATATGGCATCAAAGGACCTGAAGGCGCTCACCCGTGAAGAGGTGGCAAAGGTGCGTTACGGAACATACCGTGCTGTGCGGAGCCTCACTAGATATGAACTATACAGCACGATAAGCCTGATGACTTGGTAAGAGTTTCACTCTGCTTTATCTTCCTGGCTAAGTCTGATATCTTCAAGTGGATTATAGTTGATAGCAAGGTGTACAATATCACCCGGTTCAAGGATTTGCATCCAGGGGGTGCTTCAGTATTCGCAGAGGAAGATCTAGGTACATCTTACTTTCGTGGTTTCGGTGTCTGGAAAATTGAACAAGTGCATCAGCTGGTCAGGATGCAACCGAGGCGTTTTACGGCCTCCACCGTCATGAAGTTCTTTTGCGGCCACAATATGCTCGTTTACAAATAGGTTTCATCGAAGGAGAGGGGAGCGTTATATATTCTCGGGAGACTGGGAAGCTCAGTGATGTGCCATATGCGGAGCCTACCTGGCTTAGTGTTGGGTACTACAGTCCGTACTACAAGGATGTGAGATTCATGGCAAAATTGTTTGGATGTCATGCTCACGGTCATCTAAACAGAGTCATCGACGCCTACAAGCAGCCATGCGGAACTTTGTAGATGAGGTTATCACCCCGGATGCACTGGTAAGTTCTATTAAATGCTGCCAATGCAAATCCTGAGATACATCTCCCAGCTACATGAGGAAGACGGCAAACGGCCAAGTGCTCATGTCATCAAAGCTATGGCGTCCGTCCATCTCACTGATACATAAACTCTTCATTCTTACGTGGATGTTCTTAGAGATCTAAACATACATGCCATGCGCATCGGCCCGGGGAAACACTTGAAAGGCCTCACCCTTATAGGAGGTGTTGTGTCTCCTGAGGAGGTACGAGGCTCTAGTTGAACGTGTAACCGATTTTGACATCTGTAACACTCTCAGTTTGATTACTTCCATGAGGTGAGAGGCGTAGCCGACCTTCTTGCTAAGACGCTAACGTTTAGTTTAGCTTATCTGCATACAGGAGATATCTCGATGCGGTCAGCGCGGATATGGTGATGGTAACATGTCTTCAATTCCACATTCCGGACATGCGGATACTGATTAGGAGACGCAGGTTTACAAAGCGGAGCTGTCATAGGGTTACCACCTATCATGAACTTTGGATCGCCAGAACTGAAATCGAAGGTCATCCCTGAAGTGCTTTCTGGCAAGAAGTTCATTTGCCTAGCAATATCTGAGGCGTTTTCGGGAAGCGATGTTGCTGGTCTGCAGACTCGTGCAACTAAGAGTTCAGATGGGAAGTACTGGATCATTAATGGCACGAAGAAGTGGATCACCAACGGGACGTGAGTAAAGTCGTTATAGAACCTCCATGTTCGTATTACTGACGTAATTTGGGTCACAGTTTTGCAGACTAGTAAGTGCAAAGGCTGAGGTCGTGCTGCGTGAACTCACAATTGGCTAGCTTTACCGTGGGGTGCAAAACGGATGTAGGTCATGATTGAAGCTATGAAAATGGAACTATCGAGTAACCATTTTTACAGACAGGATTTACCGTCATCTTTGTGGAACGCTCGGAAGGTGTTGAAACAAAACCCATCAAAACGAGCTATTCGTCATCAGCTGGTACCGCATATGTCACGTTTGATAACGTCAAGGTCCCTGTAGAAAACACCCTCGGACCCGAGGGTGGAGGAATCTTCGTCATTCTTTCGTGTGTATCATTTTCATGGAAATGAATTGAGCGAGACTTATATAGCCATTCAGTAATTTCAATCACGAGCGTTGGGTGATGTGCGCTTCTTCCGCCAGAGGTCAGCGGTTGATCGTTGAAGAATGCCTTAAGTATGACATCGATTCCTTTTTAAAACATTAGCTAACTACGTCACTTGCTAGATGGATCAATCAGCGCAAGGCATTTGGCAAACCCTTGTCTTCACTGGCCGTAATCAGATCGAAGATTGCGGCCATGATCTCACGTACGGAAAGTGTTCAGAACTGGCTTGAGAATTTAACAATGCAAATGTGCAATATGGTAGTCTCATTCCGTTCTCTTGAAGTATTCGGGACTCATCGGATGACGTATGTCGCAGACCTACAAGGAACAGGCACAGAAACTTGCGGGGTACTATGGTCTTAATCATGCGCCACCACGACGTTTCGCTCACACGTTACTTTCCGTAGACCGATCGCTCTGCTCAAAATGTATACAACGCGGTGTGCCCAGGAAACAGCTACCGATGCCGTTCAGATATTCGGCGGACGCGGTATCACGAAGACCGGTATGGGGCAGTACATCGAGCATGTGAGAATTTCACTTCGTCTTATCGTGCAAGGAGATCAGCTGATCATGGTGCCCATGACAGTACCATCGCACAATTCCCTTCGATGCGGTTCTCGGCGGAGGTTAGTGTCACAGTGTTGTCATGCCGAAGGTGGTATTTGAACTGAATCATCATAGCGGAAGATGTACTCGGTGACCTCGGAGTGAGACAGGCAATACGACAGATGCCCAAGAATGCTCGCTTGTAATCATGACTTCGTGACCATCTGCGCAGCTTGGCAGTGCCTCGGAGGCCATCGACCTTCTCTGATTGTATTTTATTACATTGGCGCTCGACCATCGTGCATCATTCTTGTTCTTCGGCTTGACAATAGACATGTCTATCTGTCTATCCGTTTCCAAAGGCCTGATGGTTCTGCTTAATCTCCGTTGTGTTTCATCTCCGTGTCAACCCTCGACTTTTCACCTTGGTCGAGTACCATTTCGAATCTTACAAGTTCCCCCAGAAGGTGGTATATCACGCTGAGATAATGAGGGTTTTGAGGTCGGCCATCAAGCAATATTGGCATGAGTAACAGGTGCACACAAGGATTCGGAGCCGTTGTCTTTTAGCGAGGTAGTGATCGTTGAGACTTCACCCGATATCACCCTATCAGCGTTCCGCTACGCCATAAAGTCAAACTCCAGGGGACTTGATGGGAAGCACGAGCCTTGATCATCCTCATGGCCCACCTCGTGATATGGGCATGGCTGCGTGTCCCTTGACCTCATTAGACTGCAGAGGGAGAAGAGTAGCATCGTTTACTGGCAGGGACGCACATTGAAAGGGTCGGTGATATCGGTCAGAAGTGGTCTGAGGGCTCCTGCGGATTATGCGAAGAAACTCATTCATGACTGGTATTAATCGGTGGCGGTTTCATCCGAGGTAAATCAAACGTTCTGGAGAACAACGCGAGCGCTCATGAGTCGGCAATGCACACTACTGCGCCTCAGTGCTGCAAGAGTGAATGTGCTGTTTCTAGCAATTGTTGGGTAGCTACTAGTAGCCAGTAGAAGGTAACCCAGACTGATCCGACTCGGTACTTATGTAAATGATTATGCTCTTCCGTGAATGGACAAAATCTGCCTTCAGAGTCTCGTAACAGACCAATGTAAAAGACGGAAAGGGATTCCTCCCATATCAATGGTTGATGTTCTTGTCTCGACCTTTACCTGGCCCTTTTCAAACACGACACCATCCCACAAACAATCCCAAGATTCCGGGGAGTGGCAGAAGTAAGTGATATCGACGCCTAGCACCGTGTGACGAACGATGCCCTTCTCCGATGTCAATGCAATTGCGTGAGTGCCGCAGATTATGGAGCCAGGTTCGCAGGATAGCAAGCCTCCCAAGGCGCGAGCAAGTTGAAGTTGCTTCTCCTCGTCGAATAGATGGAATAGCTTAGAAGCGTGGATGACACCGACACGACCACGAAGGTCGTTTAATGACTGCAGCGTCTGAATGTCCGGCATCGCGCCCTCTGGGACAGAGCTGGCTGGCCGCGATATCGATAAAAATGCGGGGTCAAATACGTCGCCAGGTATAAAACAACCTGGCTCTGAGCTCGCTTTAAAGAGCTTGCGTCCCAACTCGGAAAATGCTATAATTCGTCAGTGACAAGAAGAAGAGATTTTGAGGAGACCAACCTTCTTTGATGTCAGAGGCGATGATATTATGGGCCGGAAACCCATCTTCAACTGCCTTCCTAACGTCGGCACCAACTGCAAAAAATAAATTAGGAGGGACATCCAAGATCTAGGGTGCTATATGCTTACGACAAGAACCGATATCGAGTAAGATTGCGCCTTCAGCACCGCGCTTCAAAATGTGGTCGTAAACATGTAGTTTCGATAAGTTTGGGCTACGACGATGTCATGAAAGTGAGCAACTGTCTTCCTCATGAGTTTAGGTTGCCACTCACTGCAAGAAATCAAAGCTTCGGATACAAGCATATGGTGCTACCTATAATCCGCGATAAGGATATTCAACCAATCTTCGGATCAAGCGCAGAGCACCTTGTATGCTTCCTTCTGTATATCAATTATATGTGTCTTCAAGGCTACTTCATCTTGAATGTTAGTCTGTCTCCTGAAGAAGGCAATCTCCTCAGATTCTAGATAATACAATGAATCATCCAAGGGGAACGGTGGAATGACCGGTTTCACCAGAGGTTCAATGTTACGAGACATGAGGAAGGAAGTAGAAGTAGAAGATGAATTTGTTTACCTGCCGCGGCCTTCTTTTATATCACAGTTTCGACTTGGGATACAGGGTTGGATATCATGAAGCTTGGATCCGTCCCTTTCGTTATTCGTACTTAAGACCATTTCAAGCAAATTGCAGGGGGTTCCAGTCATTACCTATCCGGGTATAGCAGGTGTCCTAGAAACTGCTATGAGTGGGATCTATAATGCATACCGACCATTTGTGGGAGATACGATAGAAACGAAGTGAGATCTGCAGTCACGTATGAGGCTGTTCAAGACATTGAACTGCCAGATCATTGTTTCAGGCGTGAAACTTTGTCTGCGAGTTAATAATAGTTTATGTGAAACCTGCCTGAATTCGAGATCACAATTGAGACTAATCAACATATAAGTACGTACAATTTGTGGGTACATATGCGCACTAAGATTAAAATTGTGTCCGGACACCCGCAAACGTGTAGAATGGAAGTATTAGATTCTTCGAAAGGGGGAAGAAGCTGTAAGGGGCACGACTTTTCCTATCCGCGGCGCGGTTGTGTTGCATTGGATGGTCGGAGTCAGACAGTGGAAGACTTGCGTTCCGCAGGACATGAGGTTGACCGCCACGGCGACCTGTCATTTGTAGAAGCGACAGAGACGGCGAGGAGGGAGTCGAAGGCTCTGGGATGATACAGATGGGTATAAAACCTTCAACATTGACATGAACGGGCCATCTTGAATAACAAGATCCCTGCAATCTGAAGAACGCAGAGCGAAAGAGGCAGACAAGGAGATTACTAACGCCTTACTTGCCAAGAGCGAATGCCATTAGGCAAATCTCCGAGTCGGGCTGGCCGCCTGAGCCGCCAAATCGCCGATCTTTTTCCTATTTTGCTCAACGTTACCGGGCATGAGTACACAGACTGAGTACGCCATAATTAATATTTCTTTACGTGAACTTCAGATTGTCTACCCTCCTATGCGCTATTTCGACAACTCCCGATGCTTCGGTGAGTCATTTGAGGTTGCTGTAGATACCCCCACGCGTTTGATGAGCTACCGGAGCAGCAGCAGAATTGCTAGACGAGTCCATAATGGTGGGCTCGCATGTAGTTCCCAGTCCTTTGAGCTAAAATACCAGGCATTAAATGCAGCAGGCCTAGGTTGCTCAAGAGTCCGGGACTTGTATCCGCCGCATGATGCCTGTGACACTGTTCGAGCGGCCAAAGACGCTCGGTCAATATTTCACGAATCACGTTACACTGTAACCTTTGAGGTCGTTATTAGTTACGCATATATGAGGTATTACAGTATGAAAATGCGTCGCGCACCTTAAGCTGATAGAAGGTTGCGTTATCCCCGAATTCCCGACGCTGTCACGGAGTGAATTTAGGATGTCAACCAAGCACAGCACCATCAAAATCGGCAATTGGAATACGACTTAGATTCTTCTGAATGCCGAGTACCTTCTGCAAAATGACTGCTGGACGAATTTATTCAACGAAGGGCTTTGAAAAAACCAGACTCGTGTCTCTTTGTCGTTGAGTTGCTGCTCGAGTTCATTTATATCGAGGGTGAGGCCCAAGGTTTCAGAATAAACGGCAATGTTTGTTCTGCTTGCTTAGTGTCTTCTTGTTTAAAGGCGCTCAGAATCTTGCAGCCACTGAAGAGTCTCAATACATGATCAGTACAACAAAAACGTATGATTTAAATAAATCACCTTGTCCGAATGTGTACTAGCGCGTCGAGTAGTCGACAAGGGATAGACAACTTCGCGCGCGTAAGAAACATGATATTACTGGCAATATGCCCAAATCGCCATGAACGACAGTGGCGCTCTCATGTATATGCGATAAATTTGCCTTGAAGCAGTGGTAGCGACTTTACCGAGATGCGTTTGCCAGCTCTTCTCTGTTCCTCTTCCCATTCTTGATCTTCTAGGTACTGATCAGCCGCACGTGCTTCCAAGGTGCTGGTACCAATACTGCCAGTTTCTTTATACTTCCGGCCATACATAGCTTCTTCATCAGGATCATCAGCAAGAGACACGTATGCCTTCGCCACGCGCCAGTCTACCTCTTTCGTCAGCATCTGCAAACGTTTCTCGGCTTTCTCGCGGACGCGCCTTACTCCTGCATCCAGATCTGCATCCCGCGTAACGGAGAGTGACTTGGCGGAGGGTGGTAGGATAATAAAAGTGCGGGTATGGAGTAGATGAGGGGTAGTGGAAAGAGTGCTTGGGGGTAGATTATTCAGACGGCATAATTCCCGACCCTTTGCGATGTCATAAGTTAGTGATGTCCATTAACTGGCGCAGCATGTCTTACATTAACTCCATAGCGGAGAGATATCCCCTGTAGTGTATCCCTAGGATTAATGTAATATCTAGAGGGGATACATTGCTCGCCAGTGGCTGCAACCTCCGCATGTCCCGGGGAAGCATCGCTAGTCTGCGTGAGGAGTATTGATTCACTGGTTAGGCTGGGTGTTGATGAAACCGCTAATGAATATGAAGGCGGGGCGGGATCCGAGATTGGGGACACTGAAGCAAGCTCGTGAGCTTCGTCTTCGTCTTCTTCTTCATCCCCTAGAATAAATATATCTTCGTCCCGCACTGTGCTATTATTCGCGACGCAGATCCTCCGCGCAGAAGCTGAGCTAACCACATTCACGCCGCCCAAGCAGGACAAGCAGGGGTTATAGGTCCTCAAGCGAGGGTTTGAGTTTATACAGGCAGGACAGATGGGGCGACCGCAGCATTCGGTCATAAATAAGTCTAAGTCGTATTTGGGTAGAAGAGACGATGAACAAGTCAAGCAGAGCGCAGTTGAACGCATGGTTTAGCTTAAGAAATAAGGATATCCGACTCAGAGATTGAGCTTCTACTAGGGTAGCGGTTTAACCTGAGAGCGCTCCGAGTCTGAGAGCGGAGTCGATATACATAATATCAGCACAGCCACCCCGCTATTCAAGTAAGGCCTTGGTACGACGGCAACAGTACTAGTGACATGGCCTCCCCGCCACCGGGACAGCAAACAGAGCAGCCTCATCTCGTTTCTCTGGTTCTGCAATCCAAGAAAGCACTTCAACACGGCGAACAACTTTGTTCCAAGGCTAATAGCCTTTCAAACGCGTCTGCGCAATGTTCGGTAGACGTGCTTGCATTGGACGCAAAAGTTAAATGGATCACGGAGGCCGTTCTTGAGCAGCTCAAGGTGCGTTGTTATTGCCACCAATTTAATCAGCCACTGGAAATTTTGCGATTATAGCTTGCGGCGAACGTTGCTAAGAGTATTGAGCATAAGCGTGCTCAGCTGGATAAGCAAGTCAAGGTGTGTGGTGCTTCGCCGTGCATTGACCTCGTGACATTTCTACACAGTAATCTGTATAGGCATGGGATGTTGTACGCTCGCAACGCACTGAAGCTCTCGACAATATCCTCGAATCCCTAGGGGCACAGCTAGTACCACCCGGGTTCCACCAGACTTCCTCTGGTTCTTCCCTGTTCGGAAGCCAACACTCCATTGATAGCAAGAATGGCAAAGCAATTTTCAATTCACAGCAGAGCCCTTCCGCTACTGTGCGGGATAACCCATTCGACCGTCACGCCAAGAACGCAGACCGGACCAAGTGGAAGACGCTGCGTGACTTCGTTGATGAGAGTGCTATTGAAAATGTGCTAGACACACTAGAGAGCGATAGAACAAGGCTAGACGTGAGCTTTTTTTCTATGCTCAGGAGAACACCCCACTCAATCTGCGGAAAGGATATTATGGCTTCAACGTATGATTATCCAGAAACACTCTCGGCTGCAATATCGTCCATCCGCGAGTCCCTTCCATCGTCGAGTAACGTGCCTTCAATAGACGATATTTTGAATACACAGCAGCAGCCTTCGGAGCTTATGGCCCGCCACCTCAGCAGTCTTACTTCCCACTATGAGCAGATGGCTGACGCGTTGAAAGAAAGTGAAGCTGGAGAGATGTTCGGCGAGGATGACTTGCAAGGTATTGAAATTACCTTTTCACGCAGTGCTTGATCTCTAGCTTTTGACTGATGCGTTGGAAGACATGAACCGTGATACCGAAGAGTTACCTTCTATAATGGCTGAGCTAGAGGAACAAGCGCTCTCAATCGAAGGTACTCAGTAAGCTAACATTTCACTATGTGCATCATGTAGCATTCTTATGTTCCACTTAGCCAACAGCTAGTGACAGCAAAAACAGCTGCTCGAGAACGACTAGCCACACAATCTATGACTCTCAATGACCTCGACGAGCTAGGTGAAATTATGTCCGACATGCTACAGAAGCAGCAAGATGTTGAGGTAACATTTTATATTATATGCTGCTGCCAGTATTTGATACTTCGCGACAGAATGAGTGCCAAGAGCTTCTTGATGGGCTGCAGCAGCAACTTCTCCTCGTCGAAGACCTTCATCACCGCTTTATCCAGTACCAAATTTCATTCAAGAAGCTCCTTATTGAGATTGGAAGGAGAAGACAGTACAGAGAAGCGGCAGAGAAGATTGTAGAAGGGATGATCTCACAATTGAGGGCAATGACTGAAGGTCAGCTTTACTCGTCTCTTTCCGGTCAGTTGCTGAGGGATAATATTTCCAGAAGAACGTCAGGTAAGAGAAGATTTTAATGCAGAGCACGGGCAGCATATCCCAGAGGACATCTGCTTGTGCATCGAGAATCCACCCACGAGATGGGAGGTTGTGCCTCGGGACGGGGATGTGCGGGAGAGCTTGCCTGAGGTAGAAAGTGATCTCCTGGCGCAGGTTAGTGATAGGACGCCCATGCTTACAATGCTTACCGAGCCCTTCACAGGCAAAGGAGAAGCTAGCTGCCATAGATGTATCATCAGCCGGCACTGAGAGCGTGTAGAAAGTTTCACGTTTTGTTATACTTAACGAGACGGATGGATCAGGTTTCCCTCACCTGTACCCGTTACAGTTTAGCCAGATAATGCAACTGAATTGAACCTTGCTTCTAGCTCACACCTGGCATATGCTTAGTGTCAGCACGGTTCGAGTCGTGTGTGCATCTTAAGAAGAAAAGAGGGTAATTGATACCGGCTTCACTGTAACGTCAAAAGTGAGTCTTGGAGCAAACGCTCTTGACGTCCCTTCTTCTGCTAACACACCTTACACGTAAGGAATCGTTGAAGTCGTCTTCTACGCATTCTACAAGACTAACATACCCTCCTATCCAGGATTTGCGAAGCCCACGAGTTTCGCACTAGCTCCCTAGTGTCTCAGACAAGAAAAACGTTCAAGGGGTTAAAATTAAAAAATGGACGGCTACCTTCCTTCTTCTATATGGCACCATGGCTACTAGGGTAAAACTACCCTCAACTGTGACTTACTCCACCCAAATATTCGACATCCTCTACGGTATCTGGGTGGATCCGTCTTGACCAGCCCCAAAGACCTGAGTTACGCATAAAATCCTGCCGGAGCAGCTTAACTATGGGCAGTGGCTCCGATGAGAACTCGAGATGTCGGTAGTACGCATTTTGCTGGAACGTGCCGTGTCACCCATACGGCATTTAAGAGCTATGCTCTTCAAATCGTTATTATTGTTGAGTCTTGAAAGCTTGACGTCCCAGAAACCTATTGCGGTCCGGCGTTTGCTCAGTCAAGTGAACTACTTGGCCCATTGATCTACCACACCACGGCGTGTCATAAATAATGTGATTATGTATGGGGAAACATTGAAGTCAGTTGACAGATAAATCGTAATGAGTATCTCATAAAGTAGAATTCAAACCCGCATATAGACATGTGATTACAGCAAGTACATCCTCGCGCGCGCCCAGCGAATAAAAAAAGATCGAAGTACGTAGTCTGCAGTGAGTGGTTAGGTGGATGATAACGGACCATCTATGGTATGATCGTGGCGATCGTACGCTGTCTGAAAGTCTGCACGATTATCGTTCAAGTTTACGGTCGGTAAATTCCAAGCGGCACTGGCACTGTCCCTTCGTGTCAGCTCCACGAATATTTGGGGAAGGAAGTATACCGCACACAAGGTCTGGGGTAGCTACCATCCATGTTGTGAGAGAAACATCTGTGTCGACGCCGCAGGAAGCACGGTCTGATCTCCAGAAGTCCCTGTGCATCCGCGTGACCAAAACGGCTTGAAGAATGGTCGAAAACCTGTCGCCGAATCAGTACTGAATCACCATTTACAAAGTGAGAACAGACTTACTCTGAGATCAAGTGTGCCGCTGGAGACTACTTTTCATATTAATAAGGCAGTTTGAGCGTACACTGTAACTTACCGGAAGAAATATTATGGCGAGAATCATACCAAGATTCAAAGCTGTAACATTTAGTAAGTAAATATGCAAGAACTATTTCATAAAGCTGGGAGCACCAACGAAAACTGCAGACAAAGTACAATAGATTATCTCGCACGAGACCGAGCATAAGACGGTTGCCGATGCCCCTATCACCACGACTCTTGACAGCGCGATACAGCACCAACAGTAATATTTCTATTGTATTCATGCAGAGGCACGCAGTCAGTTCAGGCTCGTGCTAGTAGCAGCTCCCAATACGGACGTAACTGGGCGACAATTGCCAGACAGTACACCACAATCAGCGGGGTACTCGTCTTCGTATCCAGGTATTCGACAAACCCGAAGATCCGGCATTCTCCTGTATGGAAAAATAGGCGTTGACAGCTGAGCGGGCAGAGGGTCTACACACCAGACGCTGACGAGTATTGTTTGAAGCACATGATGACCAACACTGTATAGACCTGCATAGGATGTATCAGATATCGTTATCTGGAAGGCTGTAGCCTTCAGATATTGATCTCACGATGATGCTGCTGAATTGGAGCGCCATCACCAATCGCTTCCGCTCCCATACTGCAATCGATCTGAGTACGAAGATGCCTGAACCATCAGGGATGTTAATATTGGGGCGCAGAATGACTAGTTCAACCTACACTCAGCGCAAAGAATCACGAGAAACCCTATATCTAATGAAATGGATGATAAATCAGTGTCAGAACCTAAGTGTCACCAGACCCACAGGTATTCGCGATGGCGTAAGAGCGACAAAGCTATGATTGGGATGAGTTGGGAACACGATATCTACACTACTTGCCCATACAGTGAATGTGCCATTAGGCTGAAAAATCACTGAAGAGCATCATGAAATGAATGGCACCATGAGGAAGGAAAATGATGCATAAGTATCTGACGCTCACTAATTATAAACAGTAACAAGTAGGCAAATGGCAAGTGACTGCAGGTGAGATAAAACAATGTGCCGAGCCCCCATCGAGAATTGACGATAAAATTGACCTGCACCAAGTCCAGGTTAGAATATTCTCGGACGCTCAAGCAAATTTCCCGCGCACCGAGTCAGGCACGCAAAGTATGTAGTCATACACCTGAATGTTCAAATCAAAATGTGAGTCTTTGCACAGGATATGGTAATTCTTGACGCTCACCCACAGCGATGTTAGTGCAACTATCACGATGAAAAAAAAAGGCAATCGATGTTGGATCAATCAAAGCAACTGATAGTAAATAACAGCCGCACCGTAACTATACTAGGACGTACGAGAGTATCAGCGATCCAGGGTTCACTTATTAACAGGACTTGCACTCACGTTTAAGCCCAAGAACGCATCAGCTTGAGTCGCTTGAAAAGAAATCATGTTAATCTATGCCAACGAATTCACTTCACGTCAGGTCATTCCTTATAAGATATGGAACATGCGGTAAGCTGCCGTCAGTATCAGTTCTGTGCTCCGAGTCGGAGAACCTGTTCAGACCTGATCGCACAGTATATTTCGTAAAGATACAGTTGAAGATATATTGGGAACAACGCATTCGAAAGACGGGAAATCGGTGTTCCTGATAGGCTGAGAGTCGGTGTTCGTGATCCCGTTCTCATACGTCCACAAAGTAAAGCAGGAGGAAGCAGGGCAATGGCCGATCTCAGGTAAGGCGTGTCCCAACCCGATTGAGAGTTGGGAAGTGCAGCAGGGCTATGCCACTATAATCAGGATAACTTGAAGCTTTCGTTGATATTGGGAGCTGCATCGATATCGGGGAAGAAATCGAAGCCTCTGAAATGGGGCTGCCGCTGATAGCGTGATGGGACCAGTGGTCCCGATGTACTTGTAGGTTTTGTTCAGCAGACAATGCCTATGAAACGAGGGGCAGAATGTACAAGGCGCATTGGGTCATGGATGGGCGTCGTGTAATTTTTACCGGTACCGAACTTTTGTCGATGTGCACGTGCCATAGTCTAGAGAGCCGTGGCACGGGGTGCAGCGGTGCAGCTGCATGCCGATAAATTTGCTGTGTATTCCGTTGGTCGGCAGAAACTCCGGTGGAACGCCAGACCATTATAAGTACAACTTCTTGATTATCCCCTTCCAAGTTCTCGTGGTCATCATCTTCCAATATCTCCATACGATGGCCTCTGGTTCATCGCTTCCTAGCAATCTGCCTCCTTGGCTCATTCTGGCTCGGATCGAGAGTTTCTAGAGGGATGAAACCATTATTGTGTCATCCCAGTGCGTTTCAAGTTTACGCAAGTTTTTTTGGGGGGTTCTTTGAGGTTTGTGACCACTCAGGAAGGGAAAATTGCAATGGGTACCATCGCAGTGGCTATTCAGAGGCAAGTTTCTGATCCACGCGTAAAGAACCTTGTCACTACTGCGGTAGAAACATTCATCAGAATACCTCGTTCCGTTACTCTTGAAAATGGATGAAAACCGAAACAGATGCAACGTGCGCCGCAGCATATAGAAGAGTTCACAATGCACAAATTCAAGTGGTCTCAAAGGGGAACATGGAAAAATGATAAATCAGGCTGAAGAGTGAAAATAGCACACCTATGAATTTGAACTGCCACACTCCGACGAGCGTATCGATACGGTCCATGTTGGGTCCATGAACAGATTTTTTAATAGTGAAGTGCCAAAACCGACCAAGACCGTCGTCGCGTATATCGTTGATCGAGATCAAGGCGTAGTCCACTGCCCAAATTGATGACGAAAAGTGAAGTCACGGTTAGTTTCTCCAACTTGAAGCCAGACCAGTCTATTCGTGACCGATATTGTGAGAAAACTATTTAGAGGACCCGGCTTGCAATGTTCTATAACCCTGGCCATAATAATGCGTCAAGAGGGTCGAGGTGTCGACTTGCAAGGCCTCGCGTTTGCTGGAAGCTTTGAAAAGCTTTGATTGGTCATATGATTGGTCAAGTTCAGAGGATGAGGATAGGAACGTGCTGAACTGTGCCGGGAGTGATAAATTGATGACCATAAGGCTAACTCAGTTACTGGCCAGCGGATACGGAGTCTGGTAACTATGTTTATACCAGCTAGTTGACATACATATTACACAGGAACATGTGCGCAATCGCACTACATTGCTTTTCACTACGGTCAAGTTCAAATTGTGCTGAATTAGCATACACCTCAGCCTTGTTTGTCCCACTGCAGGTTGCGTAACCTGGCAGTACTCCCGAATCTGACGAGGGCGTCGAGATTCGTCTGCGTGGGTGCTTCCGTCTCCCGACAGACAAGCCCGTGTAGCTGTCTCGCAACCCTACCGTTGGGTCCACTCAAGAATGGAAATGTGATTTCGTCCATTCCAGGAGCGTAGATCCGTAAACATTGGTCCGTTTCGGTATGGTTTGGGTCTCTCTCTGGAAATCTGGCTATGACCTCCTTTTTATCCGCCGCATTGAAGTCCAGAAGGATAGCGATATATGGCAGAGCGGATAAACAGTTGATCGAATCATGCTCGCGCGTGATGGCCGCCAACTCTCTTGCATTAGAATGCTTCCCTGCCTTGTCTGAAATGAAAATTTGAGACACGCGTTTGAGATCGTCAGAGCCGAGGGTGGGATCATCAAAATACATAGGGATCATCTTGTCGACGAGCGGCTGCAGAGGGCAGCATTGCACCGCACTCGTGCGAAGCCAGTGTCGCAAAGTCCACTCCTCGGCACTGTGGCAGCGGTATCTTGTAAATGATATCGCTCGACAACATCTAGAAGCTTACCTCGACAGCTCGAACGTAGGTTGCTTGGGATCTTTCGGGGAGATGAACTCTGTCATGGACACCCAATGCGAGAAATTGATGTAGGCGTGCCGAAAAGTTGCCTTGGCCTCCTCGCCTGCCAACGACCAGAACGTCTCGCCAAAAAGGTGTTGCAGGAAATCGACGACGGAGACCTTCTGGCAGTCGATCAAATCTGTATCCCCACTTCCCTCGTAGTGTAGATCCTGTATCGTGCCTTTGGAGAGATGGCTGCGAATGTACATGTCTTTCGCAAGAAGCAGCACAAGTCTGCTGACCAACTCTCCACTCTGTCCAATCTCGACCATCCCCCCATAAACCTTTCCCCTCAAGACCTCCAAGGCATTTTCTAGACTGGTGGTCTTCCTAGAATGAAGTATAATCGCTGCAACGCAAGACAGAAGGGGCTCTGATGGATAACCGGTGAAGGCCCATGACCTATCTTCGGTCGTCGAGAAGCATATCCGCAGGTGGCTAGCCACTCCTTTTTCAACATAAGAAACGGCATCGGGGTGACCAGAGCAGATATCGAGACCGAATCGCTGAGACAGGACAGCGAGAGCCTGGTTCGTATCCGACAGGTCAAAGACTTTCGTTTTGCAGAGCGTCTGAGCAGCCAATTCTAAAATATTAGCGACAGAACGTTTTCCCACGAGCGATTTCCACCTATTCGTGGTGGTCAACGAAACTGAACGCGCAAGGATAAAAACACAGGGACAAACAGTGGACGACCGAATCCGACAATGTGATCAAACTTTCCAACGTCATTCGCCGATATATCAGACAGACGGTCTGCATTCTGGTCCCAACCAAGATGCGTATAAGGCGGAAATAAAAGGTGGCCGCCTACTGCTATTTTCATAGAATTATCTGCAAGCTTGTGTGAAGATTGTAAACGGATGACGAAGAACGGGTGCTTACGGACCACCTGAGGAGCTGGGGGGTCTACCACATGTGGAGTCGTGGATGTAAATACGACCCAGATTGATTCGTCTGTCCCCTTGGAGTAGCAGTTGATCGTCCTCCCAAGAATCTGTGATGGACGAAAACCCATGCTACTCATATTGCTCAGAGAGTGGGCCGCGTCGAATGAAATTACGAGTTTTGGTCGATCACTGAAATCCTTGTCCTCGGCCTTCTCAGTGAATATCTTTGACATAACTGTCAGCATCTCTTCATAAGCTTCCGTGACAAACGATTCCCCTTCCAATGTCGGCGCTGGGACCTCCTCATCTGCTTACGCATGGTGTGAGCCGAGATGGCCGCAGTGTGCAAAACGAAACATTTACCTTTACCTTTCAGAGACAGACTGCCTAACTTCGCGGCAGTCTCCTCCAGTTTGATCTTGTCAAGGGTCTGTTGCAAACATCTTTGGTCCATATGTCAAGAGACCGTGAATTTCCCTGCTCACTTGTTCATATAGATATCGAACTTCCTCAAAGAACTCGGTACGAGCTCCAGAGCGCATGTCGCACATTTCGTCAATCCACCATTTTATCTGACTATCAGAGCCCAGCCGATGATTGTTGCTTAGTCGCTGCCGGAGCGCCTGGAATATGGCTGTAAAGAGTGCGCAACAACGAGCGGTATACTCGGCTCGAGTGCAGTCCAATTTTTCCGTCAATATACGCGCAGGAACCGCATCTCGCTTCGGGAAGCCCTTATCGCTTGGTACACGAAGATTCATGTACAGCACGAGAACGCCTTTGTTCCGGAGCTAATTCGATACCGTTAGCCACCTGATGCGAGCATGTGGCACTTTATAAGCCTCACCTCAGTCAATAGTCTCGATTTCCCTGTGCCAAAACTTTGGACAATCGAACAGAACTTGGCATAGTAAGGCCTTGAAATGCCACCTCCCCTGAACTTGATGTTGTTGTCTTTCAGGTACTCGTAAAACCCGTCCACCGCCTTCCCGACGTAAGGTCTGGAGAATGAATCATAAAGGAAATCCTTGTCTAGGATCCAACTAACGTGAGATGGGACTGTACTATATGTCACAGGGAAAAAGCCTCGGACCGTGAGCCGAGGGCATGTAGGGGTTGCTAGCTTGGGGTATCTGAAATATTTCTGCGTTACCAGTAACTGTCAGCAGAGGGGGGTATCTATCTGACTGTCACAAATATTCACCGAGGTCGGCGATGTGGGAGAACGCGCCCGATTGGCAGGCATCGCGCATCATTTCCCGCAGTTTAGGGTGTTGCTGTAGTGTTTGCGATATATCCTTATATGTCATTTTTTTCATGACAAATTTGTGCCTCAGCCCCCCACGCTGGAGCGCTAGCAAGTCCCGAACCTCATCGATAACGAATTCGATGATATTGGAAGCGGAATACCTCATCGCTTTGTCTTTGTCCCAGCGAGCCGGATCCGACTGGGCAATATTATCGATGATGTGACGGCCATAATTTTCGAGCACAGCTTGATTGAGCTCATCACGTTGTTCCGGTGTGAGTGGCAGTTTTACCACACGAAGATCCTGTAATCCTGATGAATCTGACATGGCCGAGCGTGTCGAGGTATTGAGATGATTGATCTGAAGCAATCGATGAAAGCAAACCACCACCACCCCAAATTGGTAGACCTTCCCACGGTCTTTCAGGCTGGGTCTGCACCAACCTATCTCCAAGACGTCCCTCCTGAAAGAACCTCCCGCCCATTTCCTCAAACATCCAGCCACATTCCTCTCGAGGTACGTGGCCCTCCTCTTCTGTGAACCGAAGAATACATCTGTCCTCTGTAACGCTTACTCCGCACCCCACGAGTCCACGGGAGGAATATGTAACGAGGTTTTGGAGGAACGTTTTGGCATGTTCTGTCGTGGGAGGTTTGAGAGGAATGTTGGGGCGAGGTCTGAGAGGAATGTTGGGGAGGTTTTGGAGGAACGTTGGGCGTAGTTTTCGAGGAATATCTTGCGATGTCCTGGAGGTTTTTCGAGGACTGTCTCGTGTGGTTTGTGAGCCTGCTCTCAACCGCATATGCTGATAGTCCATGACAACCCGGGCAGCATCTTGAACTCGTCGTTGAGGTGTCATTTATATGTAGATACAATAATAGACAAGTCGGTGGCAATATTAATGTACGGTGCAAATTCAATTTCATGTGATTCTTCTGGGTGCATTTTGTCTTCACTCTTCCCACCATGTCCAAACTACCAGACATCTTCACCGACCCAGAGGATTCCCAACTCGTCGCGGACGCTAAGAAAGACAAACCCGAAGACCACGAGTTCAGCTACACCGAGCGCGACGTCATCCTCTACAACCTCGGCGTCGGCGCGACAGCCAAAGACCTGCAATGGACTTACGAAAGCCACGAGGAGTTCGCAGCGCTCCCAACGTTTGGAGTCGTTCCGCAATTCGCAGCCAGTTCTGGTATTTCACTAGGCTGGTTGCCGAACTTCAATCCTGTGAGAACACCCTGAACAGAACCCAATTTACTCCCAGGAGCTTAATTCATACGCTTCAGGCTAAGCTTCTTCATGGCGAACAGTACTTGGCAATCAAGAGCCCTATACCCACAGAGGGGCACTTTGTAAATGAAACAAGGTTTGTCTTTCTTCGCGTCTCCTGCCCGCCGATTCCCCAACTCGGCTGCACAGGCTCTTGGAAGTCCTCGACAAGGGCAAGGCTGCTTCAGTCACCACCATAGTTCACACGAAGGACGTAGCCACAGGTAACATCATCTTCGAAAACCAAATAACGGTTTTCATTCGAGGGGCCGGCGGCTTCGGTGGCAAGCGCTCTGGCAGAGGTATTAAAGTGGTTTCATTCGATCGAGCGGAGCGCTGGCGTACTTATCTGAGTTTGCTCCAGATAGAGGCGCTGCAACAGCTGCGAACACACCCCCAAAGCGCCAACCTGATGCTGTGATAGAAGAAAAGACGAACGCCTCGCAAGCTGCACTATACAGGTCAGCTTCCAATACAATTCCTGTATATTATCGCCTTCCTGACGCTAGTACGTAGACTAAGTGGCGACTATAATCCTTTACACGTAAGCTGCACATCGTGCAATATACTCAAAGTTCGAGTACTTAGCCTTTATCCCCAACACAGATAGATCCCAACTTTGCGGCAATTGGCGGGTTCGATCAACCCATTCTTCATGGTAATATCCGAACTCTATGCCCGGGCTATGTATTTCATTATCCTAAACTCATTTTAGGTCTTTGCTTTATGGGGATCGCAGGCAAGCATGTCTTGCAATCTTTTGGCGCTTACAAGGACATTAAAGTTCGGTGAGCGCTATCCCTATTACGCTCGACATGCTGTGCCCTTACATACCCCGCAGTTTCTCCGGCGTTGTATTCCCTGGAGAGACGCTCGTCACGGAGATGTGGAAAACAGGCAGCAAAGTGATATTCTGTACGTCTGATATACACCCCCTATTTCTAACTTTGGCCAGGTACTAACGCCAAGCTTTCCCTCATATAGCCACTAAGGTAAAGGAGCGGGGAACCACAGTGCTGGCTGCAGCAGCAGTGACGCTCGTTGATACCGATGCGAAGGCGAAGCTTTGATGTGGTATGTTACGCCGATTTGAGAGACGCAATAAATAATTAAATATCAAGATGTAAGTAAATACATGGTTCACGGTCGTATACTCTAAATATATGACAGTCAAAAACTACAAAGTCCAATGCCGTATCACAGTTTCACATACCGACTCCTATGTAGACTCCTGCAAGTCTTGATAGCAGGGTTTCAAGGAATATTGTGATACGCATCCGAAAATGTAAACATGATTCTGAACGAATGATATACATGAAGAAGAATTAGAGTCCATGGCAATAGTAAGATGATACATGTGTATATCACCCATTAACCCTTGTTGGTTTGATACTCTCGTTACTTGTATGTCTCACGTTCACGTGTATGCCCGAAAGTACTGAAAAGAGCGGAACGGTCTGGGTGATTATTAGTCTTGGGTCGGCTTCCGACAGACTGGTATATGTGGTCGTAATGTTGCTCTGGCAGAAGAACTGGGCCGTTGGACTTTCTAACAGTTGGGGAAGATGCCTGGGGTGCCTAAGGGAGAAATACTCAACACCTCCGTATTTTACCAACGATTTCGGGTAGCAACGTACCAGGGTAAAACCAGAACGTGACAGCCAAGATCAGGTACAAGCCTACACAAAAATGAGCACGAACGCAGCCCAGATGCATTCGGGACTTACACATGAGAATCATGCCCTCTAACCAATTCGACTTGCCGTCCTGTACACAGTAGTTCACTGTGAGGACTGAGACATGGATGTGTTCAATCATTATGCGACCCTTTTAAAATAATAACGCACCAGAGAGGAACAGCACGATCGACTCTAACGGGTCGAATAGCAGCGTTAGTGGTTTACCCATAATCCAAGCAAGCGTCACCATAAACCTGCAAAAATAAATACGGACGGTGAAAAACTGATAGCGGGAGACACAACGGTGAGACGCACGGAATAACGAAGAGTGCAATTTGCTAGAGACCGATCAATAATCACACAAAGACATCGAGGTATATGAACGCACAATACTTGATCCGACAGCAACGCCCAAGCTGAGGGTTAACTTGTCCTTGATAGACACTGTAACTGCAGTGACATGTTCCGCTGCATTACCAACTATGGGAAGCAAGATCACGGCGACAAACTCTGTGCCGATGCCCCCAGATGCAGTCAGCCCGCTGATCGAATCTACGAGGAACTCGGCGGTAACAGCTACCAACTAAAGCAAGAATATATTCAAAGGATTGTTTGTCAGCACAGGCAGTAGCACGCACCACAGTTACAACGACCAGAAGCCCGAGGGACACACCGACGCTCATATATGGTTCTATCTCAGAGTCTGAGTCGTCCGATGCGGCAACGTGATTAGTGTTGGTGCTTTCAAACCCAGAGGCAATGATAACAGCTTCTTCGTCACCCGTCGGTTCAGGGGATAGTACAGATTTAGCATTCTTACGACGGTAGCGTCTCAACTGTAGCCATGGATTCTGTCCCTCATAGCCAACTGACTGCTGTATGTCCGTATTCTTGTCGTCATAGAGGGTCTTATGTGAAAAGAGTTGAAACACCAGATACGAGCCGTAAACTAAACAAAAGCGGTTAGATCATTGGCAGCTGCGCTCTGGTTGACATACTGAAAAGAAGGATGAGAGCGACCTGCATGCCGGTGTAAGGACAATTTTACACGTGTGAAACATGTGAAACACGTACACCATGGCTGGTCTTCAGTATGTTTTCATCTGTCACCAGCTCGTTATAGTCAGGCTGGCCCTGCAACGCCATGTGGAAGGCTCCAGGCAGCAAGACAGCAATGACGCTAATGGTAAGCAGTGACGAATTTAGTTGCACCGCGCCTGTCAGCAAAAGTCAGAATCAAGGTTTTCATTTTGCACCGGTATACACATACTTTGTCCAAATCCCTGTTCTGAAAACCGCATACCACCGGCAAAGAAGCACATGCCCAGCACCAGAACTGCGATATGATCAGTAGATTTTCTAAATAGAAGAAAGAATACCTACGAAGATTGCTCAAAATAGATCCCACCACTAAGAGAGCAACTATGAGTCTAGGGTTGCAATGGATATAAGAGGACTTACAAGATGACTGGACGATTGTAAGTTCGCATTTTATAAGAGCGATGATCTGGAGTCGTAGAGCTCAGAATCTCGGAGCATATGTGTGCTAATATTAGAACTCACGGAAACAATGAGTTCAACGCTGTACAGGAAGGCACAAATGGTCAGATAACAATTAACACCACAACATTTTGACTGACGCGTTTCCCTATGATTTGGAGTCGTTAGATTGAGATAATGGAGTAGTGTATGACGCACGAACCAATGTGGCGTTCAGAAGACCTGCTAAAGTTTGGCCGACCCGTATTGAAAGTTCGTCAGTGGCGTAAGCCAGGAGCTGGAATGGCTGAGTGTTGTATAACTACGAAAAAGGAGCTTGTAATCACCTTGGCCAAGGGTATAATTGCAAGAAACGTTACTGCAGCTCGCTATAGCATCCGGAAATTTAAGAGGTAGCTTGACAACTTACAGACAAAGATGAGAGTATGTTGATCTGGAAGAGCAAAGTTGACTGCCCACTTCAAACGACCAGTTAGAGATGATTCCGAGTAATGCAAAAATAACACACAGATACGGGAATAAAGACCAGCAAGACGTTAAACCCTGCGCAAGCAAATATTAAAAACAATCATGAGCTTCCATGGACGACCCACTTACATGATGAAAAGATGATGGAGCGAATGCTTGTCCAGGTATTCGGGGCTCTGGCTATTGGTTTCTCCGGCGCTAGCATCAACGTTGCAGCTCGTCGTAAAGTGGGAAAGAAGGTCATTTTTTGACGGCTGATGTCACTTGTGCTTTTTCTACGTGTCAGGTTGGTAGGAGATGGCGGAAGTCGAACGTGCCCGTCTGTGGCGGTGTGCCTGCGGGCGATGCTGTCGGAAGATTCGTGCATTGGAATTGGAAAGTTTGTCATGAATGCTGGAATGCTGTAGTAGATCAGGTGTCACAGATGTTGTTTGGTTGGTAAGATGAATGCGGAATACTAGGTCAGGTGCAATTAAGTTGAAGTTCTATCAAAGAAAGTTTGGATGGGGAGATTGTTGACCAGTTGCTGTACTTGCGTCGCTTTTAAACAGGTCAATTGTGGCAGAGTGCTTCAGGTCGAGCGCTGTGGGCCTGTTGTATATAAAGAATTTCTAGAAGGTGTTGTACGTAATCGATGTCCACCATGAGCTGACGAGGTATTACTATATATGGTACCTGGGTCAGTAACGTTGTTAGCCAATAAAAGTCGTTTATCGTTTATGGAGCGCAATGACGTCCACAGTGACCAAGCCAAGCCTGACCATGGCAGATGGCCAGTGGGTGTTTGGAGCACAGAAGACTAGTGATATAGGTACATATGGCAATATACGTACAGCGCAACGTACTACGAACACCGTCACGATGGTGCCAGCCTTGCACGATGGATCAGAAATCGGGAATCGCCAGAGTTACAATAGCTAGTTACTACCAGTCCTACATCATTAATATTATCGATATCGTTGTTGAGTATAATGTCTCAGCGCATTCAACTGATAGCGGGATTCACCATGAAATCAATCAAAGTTGCCAATAACTTGCTTGCTGTGGGACCGCTTGCTGTGCACCGCACTTTGAATTCTGCCAGAATCTGCTTAGCCCACCCTGCCACATTACTAGTATAGTACTTTAAAGCGTCGGCTTCATGTTCGAAAAGCGGGATACATAATAGCGCTAGAAGGCTCTCTGTTCCACAACGAACTCAAGCGGTCAACCATTCAGAATCCCTTTGGCGGGTTTTGTGGCAGTACTTGGTCACGGTGCTGCGGCCAATTGATCTGGCAGTGGACCGTCATGGCCGCACTACGCGAGCGCAAGGCCCCAGAGAGCCGCAGAGCCGCAGCAGTTGTTTCCAATATTTACTCCATGGACCAATTGCAAGACCCCTGCGGAATGATATATATCACTGCTATCACCAATCGACAGGGATTCCCGGGATTTGACGTCATTACCCGAAAACTAGTGTCCTCCTCGAGGACTTCATTCACGATCGTGGCGGTTCAAAGTCAAAATAAATCGGGACTGGAGCTCAAAGCTTCACATTGGAGTATGTGGCGGTTCAACGTCAAAATAAATCGGTACTGGAGCTCGAAGCTTCACTTTAGAGTATGTGGCCTCACGCTCCCTCACAAAACATGATAAACAACCATATTAACATTCAGCCCTACCAAGGGCGCTAATTAATCCAGTACATGAGATCTAGTGGGATAAATTCGCCAATACTTGTAAGAAACAATGACGCAGACTGTGACGGCAGGTAGAAGTTGTTTAGACTTTAGATGGCGGCACAAGGTAGAATACGAGTTCGCACAATGATAACCAGATACCAGCCTAGTTTGATTGGGAACAATTCTAAGGGCTAAGTACATAAACACGACTCTAAATAATGTCGAAGCGTACGAAGCCTGTGATTAAAGATTATCATAAGGAAATGGTGCAAACGATTCTAGCCCTCGGCTCTCTCGGACTCTCGATCGTTCTGAAACTTTAGCGTTGGCAAGGTACAAACGTCACATACTCCCCTCCAGGATGAGCATCATCCTTTATTTCTTCTTCGACTTGGAAGGGCTCTTCTCGGCAGCTCCATCCGCGTCCTTTCCGGACTTGGGATCCGACTCGTCTTCGTCATCGATTTCCATACGCATCTGGGTACGAGAGTCGGTAGTGCGAGGGGAGTTAATTTGAGAGGAATGGTTATGACGAGAGGATGGGCTAGGGAATGCACGGCTAGGCCCGGCCTCAGTCTGGGGAGAAGACGAACCGCTGATGGTATGACGAGAGCGTTTGGCCGCTTTGCGTTCAGCAATGTTGCGTTCGCGCCATTCACGCTGTCGTTTGGTAGTCTCCATGTTCCTCCAAAGGGCTTCTTCCATCAACTCTACGCGGTGGGGGTTAAGCCAACGTCCACCTTCGGGAAGTGGTGGGACAGGAGTGGTGTTACGCGCGGGAGGAATATCCTCGCCGACAAGGTCGGTAAATGATGGGGAAGGACCTGCGATCTGGGGTCCGCTGGTGTTTTCTTCAGCGAAGCGAGAAGGGAGCGCGTTGGTAGTTTGCATCATGTTAAAGGATAGAGCGAAGTCCCCATACCCCGCAGGTGTAGCCCGATCTGCGGCTGTGGCCGCTCGTAAATGGGCATCGTGTTCGAGGTAAGCGCGTAGCATGTCAATAACTACCATCAGGTCTCCATTGCCGAGACCGTTAGGGAGAGTAAATCGGCGAGCGCCAATACGCGTAAGAAGGGGTGCCATTTGGCCTGTCTGTTCCAGATGGCACGAGAAGAGTAGGAGTGAATTGTCGGTGGTGAAGGGAAAGGAAGATCTTGAGGAGGAAGGGTCGACAATACAACCTTTATAGGGTCGATCGCTCGGTGCTAGGTGTCCTACTGACACCAGGGAATCTCCTGCTGGAGCAATCCCGGGTCCGTCCTCCAGATCTGAGACATTGTCTATGCCCAGGACTGCAAAATAATCTTTTAGTACGTCCAAGTCCTCCACCCGCTCATAGGGCAGCCAAGTAACATCACCGCTTTTCCAACGAATTTCAAACATAGCGTCAGCACGCTTCCCCGAGTGAGACACTATCCGTTCGATGGCCCACTCCGACTCAGATTCTTCGAAGTCCGCTATTTGCGTTTCCAACCGCCCAGGAAAGAGGCGATCATCGTTGGGAACATGAATTCGTAAGTACGAAGAGTGGAAAACAGGATGAATACCCCGTTGTCTAAGTCGACTAGGTAGCTCCAACTTGTAGGAGTTATTGCGGAAATCCTCGACGATTTTGTAAGGTCCCACGTACTTGGGCGTAAGCTTCCTCGCGGTTCCTTTAGGTAAGGAGATATTTTTGGTAGACACGTACACCAAGTCTCCTGTTACTAACGGACACGTTCTTCGGTGTTTGTTAGCCTCGTGCGTCTGTTTAACTCTCGCACCTATTACAGCGTCATGCGCTGCCATTATAGCGGTTTTCATTTTCTGAGCGAAGGCTCTTACTCCTGGGTATTCACTAGGTCCCGCCGTTTCCCATATCATGGACCTTGGCAACCTTCCATTCGCTAGGAAAGGTGAGGTTTCGGTTGTTTCAGACTTGGCGAGATTTATCGCGAATTCAATAGCGGGCAGTTTCGCTACCCAATCCCGCTGGTTTGGCGCCACACAAGACCTTAGCATCTGGCCAATGGTCCTATTGGCCCGTTCCGTAGCACCATCCGTCTGGGGGTGATACGCGCTGGACATTCTTAGCTGCACACCGATTAGTTTGTTCAAGTGAGTCCAAAAATTACTCGTAAATAATACGTCACGGTCGCTAATAATAGCCTTAGGAAGTCCATGATATTTATAGACTTCGGCGAACATTAGCTCTGCGATGTCCTTTGCCGTATACGTGGTTCTACTCGGAACCAAGTGCACCATCGACGTCAAAAGATCGATAACGACTGTTATCTCGTCGTATTCGCCGTTCCTGTCTTTAGAAGTGGGCAATGGCCCCAGGAAGTCGACGCCAATGGCCTCCCATGGCTGGGAGGGCACAGATGGTGAGTTCAACAACCCATACGGTTTTTGATTAGAGGGTTTGCTGCGCTGACATGTGGTGCAGGTTTGGCAGAATGCCCGCACATCTGAGACCATCGTCTTCCACCAGACGTGGTCTCGTAAGTACGAAAGGGTTTTATCAGCCCCTAGATGTGCTAGTAGGGAATGCGCTTGGTCTATTATGACCTCAATCAGTCGCCGTCCCTCTACCTTTATATCTGGTATGCACAGAGCGACTCTGTCTTTCAATTTGATTCTGATCAATCCGTCCTTCAGTTCAAAATTTCGAAACTCTTTGGGTGATTCAAGCACCTTCTTGAACATGGCGTCTCCCTCGTACTGGCCCCTCATCTGGTCCAATAGTCCCGTCTCGTGAGGGTAAGTGACTGGGATTTGTTCCTCGCTAACAGTCTGTCCTTCGCTGATAGGACTTTCGTTTTGCATAGCTTTGTTTCTCTGCACCCCCCCTTCCATTCGTGGGGCAGGATCCTCAAGCAACGCGCGAGGACCCTTCAACACGAAGTGTCCACGCATCCTCTTGGCGAATTCCGCGGAAGTTTCCGGCCTTCCGGTTTCAGCGGGCTCCACCACAGGTTTCGCAGCCCGCTGGCGTGGTACGTTAACCGTCATCGGTGGGCTGCCAACCTGACCAACCCTAGACCCTACCAGGTCTACTCCCAGATCGCTGGCAGCACCATTCAAGACCTTCCATGTGGCCTCCTCCCTGGCCTGTACGGCGGCTTTCTTTGGTGGAAAGACCATGGATAACCGCGGCTTCCGCCCCACACGCTCGTCACCAGGCTGTCCCCAGCCCGTCCCCGGTAGTACAGGACCCAGACCCTTGGCAGCTATCCTGGTGCTCCGCCTAGGAGCTTCTGCCCTGGCCTCATCCCCCACCAACACTGGCATGCTGATGATGTCAGAGACATCAGTAGGTGGAGCATCGTCGTCATGAGTGACGTACTCGCTAACTGCACGCACAGTACCCACAGGATCGAAGTCGTACATCCTTGACAAGGCATCGGGTAGCACGTTGTGCGCTCCTGGCACATATTCGACAGTGAAATCGAACTCCCCGATTTTTTCCATCCAACGGGCTTGACGCCCAGAAAGGTTTTTCTGATTCAGAATGTAAATCAAGCTTTTATGATCGGTAAGCCACACAAAGGGGCATCCTTGTAGGATGTCCCGGTGTCTCAACATGGTCTCCACACCTGCTAATAGCTCCTGCTCATGCACAGCAGTAGTTACGCTGGGCTGAATTAACTTCGCCGAATAAAACGCGGCAATTTTCGCTGTTTGCCACTGTGCGCCTTGAGCAATCACGCCTCCCACACCCGTGGGACAGGCATCGGTCATCATCCACACTGGTGGAGTACCTGGTCCATAGACCAAAGGGACGCGGTTGTGTCCAGCGCACGCTGACACATACCGTTTGACCTCATCAAACGCCCGCTGTTCCGTTTCGGTCCAACGAAAAGGTACGCTGTCACCGCATACTGCTGACAATACTCCCAGGGGGATTCGTACACGATAAATATCGTCGGCGAGGTAGCCCACGGCACCTATGAACCCCCTGCATAGATCCCGATTTATCGGGGCCTTCCAACTGAGGACTTTGTCCACTTTTTCTTGGTCCATGCTGATCCCTTCGCTGCTGACAACCCTTCCTAGGATCCGCATTACAGGCTCCAAGAATTTCAGCTTCTTTTCGCTCAAATAGAGCTGTTCACGGTCCAGTATGTCAACTATGGTACGTACATGTTCAATATGCTCCTCGAGTGTATCGGAATATATAATAATATCGTCCAAATAGACGTCCATGAAGATCCCGATATGTTCTCCAAATAAGTGGTTCATCACCGCTTGGTAAGTAGCAGGGGCGTTGCAATCACCCTGTTGTAAAACGTGACTAACCATATTGCCATCGGGGGTAGTCATTGCCGTTCGGGACACGTGCTCGGGCACCACCCGAATCTGTTCATAAGCGTCCTGCCCGTCCATCAAGGATCGGTAGGGCTTCCGGGCCACTCGCCTCAAGATTCCCTCCATATCGGGTAATGGTGAGGTTAATTTCCTCGTGTTCTTATTACGCTCACGGAGATCAACTACCGTGCGCAGTCGATCAGTCCCGGGTTTCCTGATAAAGAGCATCGGGACCGTGTTCCCCGCACTGGTCATCTCCCACCTTCCAGAGGCCAAGTACGCTCGTCGTTTCTCGGCCCATTGAGGTCTCATAGGCTCAGGACAACGTGAAGGGCGCCAAGGATAGATTTTGGACTCGTCGATAAGCGGGACAGTGTGGTTTATGGCTCGCAATGGAGGTAATGACGTCTCCGAGGCTTTGGCGCACAGTGGACTGGCTAATTTTCGCAACAGGTCTCGAGTCTGTTCCACTTCGTCGTTGACGACGTCCGCTGCCCGTGAAGCCAGTGTGGTAACCCCTTCGCCCTTCAAAGGCAGGGGTCTGACGTGCTCCAGTATCACGAGTGGCGGGTTAAAGCCCACGGTAACACCGTGCTGATAGAGAAAAGGGGTTCCTAATATCAGGTCGTAGTTCTGTAAGTTGATCACATCGAAGTATCGTTGATAGTCTGTTCCCTGATATTGGAACCTCACGTTTGTCCCATAGTTCACTTTCGACCGGGATCCTTGGACTGCCAGCTGGATCGTTAACGGTTTCTCTAGCACCGTTAGACGACATTTCAACTGCTCTGCGGTGGTTAACGAAATAAAGTCCGCTAAGGAACCAGTGTCAATCAAAGCCCTTGCTGGGCGGCCATTCACATGCACTATGACGACAACTGGCTTCGGTATGGCCCGGGCTATGTCTCGCGTTGTCGCTGAGTTTCGTTGAAGGGCTGGGTAGGTGCCCTGGGCTACCTGTACCCCATTTACAGCACACTCCCACTGCTCGTCAGGTTGCCAGATAGGCATCTGTTGTATTTTGGCTCTCGAGTCGAACAACTCCGTAAGTCCTTCATATTGCCCATCATTCGCTGACAACGCATCGTTTTGTAGCTGGAACGCAGCATTACGTATTTGGCGCTTATACCATCGCGCGGGATTCCAATCCCATTCCAGCACTCGATCCCTCGATAGTCGCGTGGTGAAGGCCAGTGAGTGATCCACTATCTCATATTCACTGTCACTAACCCGAGTGCAGGTGAACCTAGGTCCCTTTGCGGAGGTCCAGACCTCCCCGGTTGGAGATATAAACTCCTTTAACCACCATACCAGTCTGTCCTCTATGGGTGTTCCCATGGGTGCCGCTTTATTGGTGCGTTTTACCTCCATATTTCGCAGCCGAGTCTTACCATACCCAAAGAACTCCCCGAGGTACATCCAGTATGCTCTATCCACTCGATAGTTCGGATCCTCGAGTTTGAACCGAGGTACTACCAACCCTAGGTTGTTCCGTCCATGGTGGTAGTCCATTATAAAGTAAGCATCGTTGTCATATTCCCCGACACTGAACCTATCTGGATCATTCCAGGTAGTCATGTGGTCAGTTCCACTACTCTCATCACCCGGGAATTTTATCCCCTGCAAGCGGTCCTCAACTCGCCTCGCAATGGGGTCTCTGAACCTCGTTACTGAGGGCCGGTTATCATAATCAGGGACCTCAGCATCTGTTTCGTCCTCGGAACCAAGTTCGGAGATGTCCTCCATAAATAGTCCAACGGACCCCAGGAACACGTCATCTGGTGGTTCACTAACGTCCGCCAACCTGCGCATTCGTTCCTCATCGCTTGGTCCAACATGAATCCCATAGCTGGGGATCCCCGGTGGCTTATTGGGTGAGTCAGATTTTACATGGGTATTCTTGGGACATTGCCTTGACACATGCCCCAGCTCCCCACATATAAAGCACCTGCCTTCCGCCCTCCGACGCTCTCGTTCGGCTGGGCTTATAGCATCTGCGCTTCGACCCCCTCTTTTTGAGGTGTCAGTTGGGATTACCACCACTCGGCGGATATTGTGGTGTTCTCGCAGGATCCCTGAATGGTGCCCTGGGCTTTTCCCCGCGCCGGACGTTCGAGTTGTCCCCGCGTGGTTTTCTCCCCCCTCTGAACCTCCTAGAGGGTGCTGCACCCTTCAGCGAGGTGGAAGCACTGGACACCTCTACCGTGGTAGGCTTATCCTTGCGGCCTAGCCGTTTATCCTTCCCTAAGGGGACTGAATGCGCGATTTCTATAATTTCCGCCGCAGATTGTACCTCTTTGAAGGTAGATATTTCCGGGTTTAATTCCTTTTTCCAAAGTTCTTGCTGAATCTCAGTATTCAGCCCAGTCCATAAACGGGTCACGCGATCCCGCTCATCTACGTCTCCAATCATATTCCAGAGCTCATTGAGCTCGTAGATGTAATCTCTCACAGGTTTGTCGTTTTGAAAGCATCGTTTCAATTTCTCCCGCTGTTTCGTTCTAAAGTTTATAGGGAAACAGTAGTTAAACATTTCGGTAAAGAACTCTCGAAGACGCCATCGGTAAGGGTCTCCTGATATTTCTCGTATGTAAAATTCATGAGCTTTCCCTTTCAGGAAATGTGAAAGTATGAAGACTTTCTTTGACAATTTCACTCGTCCATCCTCCACATAGGCCGTTCCCTCGGTTATAAACCGATGGAACGCCCTAGAATCCACGGCCCCATCATACGATGTAGGTGGGATGGGCTTCAAGGTTGTTCTATTCTTATGGCCCTTTTTAGACCTTTTCTTTCGTTTCTTTCTAGCGTCGTCGCTGCTTGAGCTTGTCGAGCTCGAACTACTGGATTCGGAGCTGGAGCTTGATGACGAATCATCGTCGTCATCGTCGTCTTTCCCAAGACGTCCCAGTGCTTGTCCGATATACGATTTCGGGGCTACTTGACCCACAGGCTCCATGGCTTGGGGCGTTTTCCTCCGTGCCTGCTTTCTACTGGTGGGCTTCACCACCTTATCCACCATCCGAGTTACCGGGTCTGTGTTTCCTTTGGAGGGAACGCGAGGCTGGACTATCTTTCGGATCCTTTCCTCGTACTCCTTACGGAGTCGTTCCTCGGTTATAGCCACTGCAGCTTCAACGGCCTTGTTCCGTCGTTCCGTTTCGAGGAACACATCCATCCACCCGGTGGGCTTCAGTGGGGCACGATTTCGGTTAGCAGGTTCTTCCTGCTCCTCCTGGTCCGAGTTTTCTTCAGACTCATTAGCTATATCTTTAGCTTTTCTGTAGGATTCGAGGGCAGCTCTTTGCTCCTCGAGATTGATCTCCTCTTCCTCGACGAGGGCTCCCCAGTTTCTGGGGTCCATACCCTTCCCCTTCGAGGGTCCTGCTCCCCGGATCTCTAATCCGGGTGTCGTTGTGGTCTCCTCACGTCGACTAAGACTTTCCTCACGTCGGGCACACAGCTCTCGTTCCTTCGAGGTAAGCCGCTTCCTCGCTGTCTCAACAGCGGCCCTCTGCTCACTCGATAGATCCTGTGGTCTTTCGGGTGCTTTCCCTTTAGGTTTATGCTTACGGCGACCTTTCTTGTCGACCGTAGTCCACGGACGGCTATCACCGTCGTCGTTGTCACTCGTGACTTCGCTTCGTTCACTCGCCGTCTCGAAGGTAGTGTATTCCCTTGTTTTATGGTCCAATACGTTGACATCATCGTCAAGGGCGATGCCTGTTACAGCATCTAGGGATATATTACTCTCCTGCCCAACCTGATGGTCACGGGCAGGGCTACTCGCTCTGACCACGTCGCTATACGAGCGGACGGGTCGTAAAGCGGATGGACTCTCTTTTTCGACCTCGAAAGATCGCCCCGAAGAGGTCAACGGGGACTCAATAGAGTCGGGCAGCTCAGCTTTGGGGCCGGGGCCCTCCGCCAGAGTTTGAGAGCTAGAGAGTAGGTTAACGACGAGATTCCCGAAAGCCTCACTTACTTTAAGGTTCTTCACACTAGCAGGAGTTGACAACGAGCTAGCTCTAGCGCGAGTGCGCGAGCGCAAGTTGTATTGAGTTGTTTGGGACATGTTTAGGGCGTTCGGTTGTCACTGTTGTAGAACGTGGTGGGCCAGACCAGTTGACTGAGTGACGAAGCGATAGCGGTTGGTAAAAGAAGAGAAAGGCTTGGAGAAGGTTAAAAAATATGTGACGGCAGGTAGAAGTTGTTTAGACTTTAGATGGCGGCACAAGGTAGAATACGAGTTCGCACAATGATAACCAGATACCAGCCTAGTTTGATTGGGAACAATTCTAAGGGCTAAGTACATAAACACGACTCTAAATAATGTCGAAGCGTACGAAGCCTGTGATTAAAGATTATCATAAGGAAATGGTGCAAACGATTCTAGCCCTCGGCTCTCTCGGACTCTCGATCGTTCTGAAACTTTAGCGTTGGCAAGGTACAAACGTCACACAGACACTGCTCCTGGAGTCCGTTCAAATACATACAACGCAATGCTTATAGAGCCGTCAACGGCAGGTAACGGAAAAACACGAACGTGGATCAGACAACGTCAAACTATCCCTGGTAAGCAAACGAAACAGCACCATACAGGCCATCCTCACGTCCCAACATGCCACAGCCATGCAGAACCTATAACGCAATACAAGATAGTCAGCGACTCCGTTCCCATCGGACATGATGAGTAAGCACTCACTTCCATCTTCCTCGCATGCCATCCAACTCCGCTGTTTACGTTCCCGTTGGCATCTGCCAGGCGGCACATTTGAACCCGGAAGGGGTGCGCTTGGGGAAGGTTCCGCTGGAGTCCGGCTCCGACCCAGCCACTGGCTGTGTCGACATACCAGCCTCGACCACCTTTACTTCTTATTATTCTCCACGTCCCAGCGCCAGCACCGAGGGCAGCGAGAGTGGGTACGGACAGCTCAATCACCCGAAGTCGTGTAGGAGAAGGAGGTATTACAACCGTCTGCGAACGTAGAGTGGACATGTAGGGGGGCGTGCACAGCGGCCCGATAATTCGAGAGTGTAAAGCAATCGTCGCCTGTTGTGCCGAGCCTCGAGGGGCACCCATCCCAGGTCCGGCCCTGCCCCAATCTAAATCGGGGCTAGTAGACACAAGCGTAAGCACCTCGACATTGACAGCCTTGCTCTTTAAAAATTGAGCGATGACGTCTAATTCAAGATCAGGAATATATGATAGACCAAGCGACCGCAGCTTCGGTTGCGGTTTGCAGACGTCAATGAGGAGCTCTCTAGACACGGGTGCGCTTGAGAGGTCGAGGTAGGTAAGTTCACCAGAGGTGAAACACGGCGCGGAAGTTATTATTTCAGTGAGATCATCCGCAGTGAGCGGAGACGGGAATGTTCGATCGCCGTATAGCGTTAGTTCCTGGATTTTCGCAGCGGCCGGTGCACGAACGAGGAAATCCCTAATACTAAGCCCAGTGAGGTGTACACACCGGGCCAGAGCAAGCGAACGCAGGCGAACGGTTGAGCCCCCAATAGCAGTGAGTAATTCCGGTGTGACTCGGGTAGCAGAAAGGTCAAGGTGAGTAAGGGAAGGGAACGCGAGGACGAAAGGCATCAGAATCCGAGGTTGAATCGATTTCACACCACGAAGTCCAAGGCGCTGAAGCCCTGGGAACGTGAGTGGCTCCTCTTGCATAAATCGAGCACGAGCACGTCTAATCTGACGTCGACCTTCATCGTCACTTCCACTAGAGTGTTCATCCTCATGAAGAAGATGCGTGTTGACAAAGTCTGTCAGGGCGCTGACGAAAACTGCGCTGACGCAGCCAGTAAGGTCCATAGCCTGAAGGTCCTTGCAGTCTCTCCTTCTTTCGCGATCATCTTCTTCTGGATCGTCCACCGCGATTCCTCGTCCACGGGTAGGGCGACCGCCTCCTCTGGAGGCAGAACCACGAAGCAAAAGTTCATTCAGAACGGGCAGCGACAGAGCACCATCCATGTACTCCGTAGCACCAAAAGCAATTAGGTTTGGAAGTTCCTGCATAGGTGGTTAGTTAGTGAACGAATGGTGAATGATGTCAAGATGTCAAACCTTGAGAAGAGCTTCGACGCGTTCACCGGTCACGAAACGGCTAGTTGCAGTATCTTCTACGGAACGACGCATTCCGATGGTACGAAAGTGGTTGAAGTCTAGATGCCTGACAAACCGACCAGGGCGAGGATCGTGAAGTCTCGGAACTACAGACACAATGTTATTTCATAACGTGGAGTAAAACAATACGTGACTTACCATAAACACCAGGTTCAGCAAGATCCATAACATTTTGAACGGCATCACTGATTGTCCTCATAATCTTCCAGCGAGCAGGACTTTTGCTCTTCGGCCTGAGACGTCTGGGACTCGGGTCACGAGATGCTGGAGGCGTCAACAGCTCAGGGGGAATGGAACCATCTGGGCCAGTCAAGGACTCCATGATGCATTCCTTCCATCTCCTAGCTGCATCCTCGTCTGAAGATGCGCCTGTACGCACAGTACTAGCTAGAGCAGCGTGAGTGGCTGCCTGAATAGATTGTGTAACTGCCAAAGCAGCCTTTTCATCGTCTTCGGTATCGGTGATCTCGTCGAGCAAAGCAAGCCAGCTCCTAGGGAGACGGACCTCGATTTTTTGCCAGAGCCATGGCTTGGCAGCTTCATACCAAGCATGGTTCACCAAGCAGAGACGAGAAAGTGTTTTACGTGCTTCTGGCTCGCTCCAGTTTGGTGGTGGCATAGAAGAGGGTAAAGCAGTTGGGGTACCAAACTCGCCAATTGCGAGTGGATCGAGAGAACTGGCAAACTCGGAAGGTGGTAAGCCTGCGGCATAGATATATTCGCATATAGTAAATAGGAGTTCAGGTGGGTATTGCAGTACAGCGGACATGGCAAGGAAAGGGATTACGCGGAATGGAGTGACAATTGAAGAATGTGGAACAGAGTACTTATATACTGCTCGGCAATCCCTTTTTACAATGACCCCAATTATGTAATGCGGGGGAAATCACGACCCGATCATTCTTACGTTTTCGGAATCAATAGTCAAAAACCGCCAGCAACAAGGTCAATTCATGATTTTTACTATATTGATTTGAAGGCTAGGTATAGAGTTCAGACTCACGGTAGGTACAAATTTGTTAATGAGCTCTTGCTAGGCCAGTCTTATTACCCCGCCCAGACTTTTTTCTAGCGGACTCCTCGCACCGACGGATCTTCTGGTATGGAATTTCGGCTCATCCATCGGCCCAGATCGGTGGAATGGGTGCGGGCGCGACGTCACAACATCAAGTCGCAATAGGTCTCCTTCCTCACAGTACTGGACCTACCAAATCACACGCCCTAATCTAAAGCGACTTGACTACTGCCACGGATAATTTGATACCATCATTTCGTTTGCTGGTCCGGCGTTTCTACTTGCGCCATCATTGACTGCATTGTCTTATGAAACGATCGCTGGCGCCATACATTGACATGTTTAGCTGTCACACCACATTCCACGTATCATCGTTGCTTCCACTCGACTCTCATGCAATCAATCCACAGATAATGATGCAATCCGATAAGCTTTCCCGCAAACGAGTGCGACGATGACGCTTCATTGGCTGCTTGTTGCGCTGGCATTCCTCCAAAATACGCTTTTAATGCGCATTTGGCCACAGGATTGGTATCATTATCAGTTACCATTCAGGCTTGGCGAGCAGTTAGAGGTTGATACATGCCACGTCTCATAGATGATCATAGAATGAATGGGGTAACAGGATGGCCGCGAGCGGGGGTGAGCTATCGTACCTCAACCTTCATTGGCCGACTATTGCCACGGAACTCAATGGCCTGCATATCAATTCAATTGGCAATCTCCACTACCTCGAGGAATCAAACACATGGCATCGGTATCCTCAGCACTCGTCATATACACAGGTCAAGTTGCGACATAGAAATCATACTGTTTCAGCATCCAAATCAGAGATGCAGCTGTAGGGTTGCTAGTAAGCATCCGTAATGAATATCATCAAGGCACGCTTACTGGAGACAATCACAGGGCTCAGGACAGGTATATTGATTTTAGCCGTACGGAAGAAGCAGATCTCAGAGGTGAAGTGCCCGAATGCGATAAGGTATGTGAGGAGAGCCATATCATAAATGCTAAAGGTCATGTCCGAAGTTAATGACTGTGAGTTCGTATGAAGAGACCAAACACACGTTTTGTTGTTGATATTGTATGCAGCATATCCCCGTATGACTGCAGATGTTAATGTCCAAACTGCAAACGTTCGGGCCTGAAGTGCTGTTACTGGAAAGACAAGATAAGCGCGAGTCACCTCGTGGCACTAATGAAAGAATATGTACTTGAGGAAGATGGAACACGGGCATAGAGCCTGCGGGTCAGCTTTAGTGTCGCAAAGTTCTGAATGGTGTTGAACACAGCCATTGTAGCGACTACGAGCTGCCATTTAGGCAAAAGACCTTCAGACTTGGGCAGGTCTAAAGCAAATACTTTTGAGATTTCTATAGGAGCAAGAACATGTTTCACTCACAGTCCAGCAGCACCTGAACCTGACTCTGGGTGGCCATCTTAAAGGATGTAAGGTTTGAAACTGAAAACGTTTAAGTTAACAAACGCTTAACAAACGAGTTCACGTGTAGTTTCATGTATGTGCTTATGTAAGTTTCCTTTTACTGCTTTTTGTTACAGTTGGATGTTTTGCAGATCCCTAGTTTGTGTTGTCCCCATAACGGCTCCCAGTGGTACTTTGTCCTGGACGAATGAACCAGCGACGAAACCCATGAAAGAACCCTCCTCCTCTAAATTTTCTGGGACTTCACGCTCGAATTCGCTTGCAAGCACCATCAGCAGCAGCGGTGCCAGTCTAAGTCGCCGTTCACGGACCGTGACAAGGAAACGAACACAAACGATAACTACAGGGTCTAGGCCAGATGACACGCGTGCAGAAGAAGACCAGGTCCTGGATATCTCACCTGCCAATAGCGCAGAGCCATTTCCTACTCCGGTTCCGACTGATTCTTCCGAACGTTTACTGTCTCCGGTTACTACGCGATTCGAAACCACAACAACTCCATTTTCGAGTCCCGTGAACTTGCAACCGAATGGTGATCTAGAACGGAGTGGAGGAACGTTCAGTGTGGTAGCAGGCGATTTGCGCGTGGCTGTGAAGCAGAACCTGCCTTCAGCCCCTGCCGAAAGTCAACCGGGTTCTCAGGCGCCAGCAGTATTCACCCCAACCATTCCTGTGAGTTTAGAGTCCATGTCTCTTGACGAGTGGGGCTCACGAGGTCCTAGATGAAGGGAAAAGGTCGCGGAAACAGAGCAATGCTGACGTCTCCTCCATCTGCCTTCCGTCCAAACCCCACTGACAGCGACCACACGCGAAGTAGCGTCCGTGACTCCTTGATAACGCAACAATCATCTACATCTTCCTCACTTTACCCTCTTACTACCTCCATCGGGACAGAGTCACCTCCTTCTCCCCTCTCACCGACGAGACACGACAACGGTGTTGTTATCTCAGCTTTCGAAATCGACGAACCAACGAGGGTGCAGGAGTTTAATGCAGACGACGTCTCGTATCGTCTTCAGTTGCTTGTGAAAAACAATTATTTCCTTCCCCCTGCACACTCGAAGCCGTGTCCGGCCGATTTTGCACCGTACCCAAACATATCCAAAAAAGCAACCTCTCCTGCATTTCTGGATTATTTCCGAGTTGGAAAATCCAAATATAAACCTGCTAGCCCAGATTCCTTCGATGGTTCTCCGATGTTGAGAGTGACATCGGATTCTACGACCGTGTCCGGTTACGCCCCTCGTGGTGCACCTCAAACATTCCGATCCCCGAAGAATGTCCAGCACCTGGCACGCGTGGTCGTTGTTCGTGAGCAAATGGACGACCTTGTCGCTGCTGCAAAGCAAGCAGAGATAGACTTGAGGGGTCGGGACGTTCCCCCAGACCGCGACAGGGGTGTGCGAAGACCAAAGGTTGATGTGTTTGATGGGATCATTGATCCCACGGATGCAGTTGACGTACCTCCCCCGTCTGCCAATTACACTCTAGCCTTGCAAGCCTCAGCACTTCATGGACTGGGAATTGAGGACTCTGTGGGAGCAGCCGTGTTGGCGGAGCGCTTACCTCCCCCAGGCAGTCCTGGACATTCCATAAGTCTTGATCCACAAGAGAATGCGTGGAGAAAGGCTTTGCTCCATCAAGCTGTTGGACACTCGCTCAACAGCTCAGTAGTGACATCTGTTGTGTCGTTGTCCACGACTGCATCCACCCCGACGAGGTCACCGCGCCATCCACGCTCGTCAGAGTCACTATACCAGCGCGCTCTCATGAACCCACGGAACATGCTAGACAAGAAGATACTTGAGAATCCGATAATTGACCATAACGAGGAGCCTGAGCCACCAACAACACCCGCCGCAAGCGCACCTTCTGGAAGAGATGCTCGTCTTCCGGCTCGGGAACATGTGCGGTTATCCGCCTATACTCCTCTCCGAGCAGAAACTCCGGTCCCTCAAACCCCTCTTGCGCCCCCTCCACGCCGACAACTCGGAGAAACCCAGTACTCTCATTCACAATCTCATCTTCCCACAAATTCTACAGAGCTACTCCGAACACTTCGCAAATCCTTATCATCCCCCATACTCTCCGATTTCTATGAATTAAGAAGAACACCGATGATGACGCCACCACCGCTGCCATCATTAAGTATATCTCCTCCGCCCTCACATCGCATGAGCAGGATGACCGCGCTGACTGGGTTCTCTCGGTTTACGGATGATTCAACCGCTTTCGATGACATGCGGTCTCGTCCTTCGTTGGCAATCTCATTACCACCAACTGAGGGTGGGCATCGGCCATCGTTTTCAGAGTACTCACAGCCGTCCCCGACTGCGTCCGCTTTCAGGGATAGATGGTCAAATGGCTATTATTCCCAAAACTCCCAACCACCTCCCGTTGACCCTTCGTCACACTCGCGAGATTCCTCGACGTCGCCACCTGCTCAATTCCCTCGTCTTTCTACCATGTCCCCGCCACCTAGGTCTTCTTCATCGATAGCAGGCATCGTTTTGTCACCTCCGCCGCATCGTTCACCGCATAATACCAACCAGCCCAGACCTTCACGACTCCATGAAGCATCATTGCTTAATAACTCGTCCTCAGACTTTAGCCAAGGCACCTTCCGCTCCTTTAAATCATTTTCTCCTATGCCTAGCAACAGCGGGACCCAAAGTCATTTACCTCTGCCAATTGATGTCAATGTCTCCATTGACAGCTTTGCATCTGGTATTCACTCTGCGCCACCTCCCTCATCACCAGCCGCCTTCTTTGACCACATTCAGAACCATCCGAATGCTATGGATGACTTGGATGATTCTGAGGATAGCAGAAGTGACGTAGACCAGGAGTACCAAGACGCTGAACCCTCTCCCCATCCATCGCTTATGCATTTAGGCAATCGCTCTACTCCCAACCTTGCCAGGACCGCGAACGAGCTGCATAACCAAGGAAGCCCAACCGAGCGGAATAAGCCTGTCGGCAACGTCCCGCATAAAACCCCATACTTTACAACCGTCAAGGCATCGCCGAACTCTCTCACCCATCTCACGCTTGCACAGCACTCACAAGAACATCTCACAGTCGACAGCCCGGCCCCACAGCGGCCGGACACACCTGGATCGGAAAATGTGCGTCGCTGGCAAAAGGAACAGCAAGCACTAGCCGAGTCTTCGAAGAGATTGGATGGGATGCTGATTCAGCATATGGAGGCTGAGAAGGATACGCTGAGGAGAATTGCGCAGACTGCAAAAGTATCGAAAGAATTATCTTAGGACTCTTTTTGCTATCATATTTACCTACACCCCCTTGTTTTCTTGCTGCTCTTTCATTGCCTGTATTGTACTTCCCGATACCTGTCATCTATTTTCTTACCCAGAATTATCTGATGGAATAAACAGACGGATCAATTTAGTTTATTGCCACAATGTTGAGCTCGGTGTCAATTGCAGGTCACGCAGTACATGCGCTGAGGCTGCGTTCTGACTCCGCTCCTTTCAATAGAGCCTCGCTTACGTCTGCAACGTTGTTCACGACTGGCAGCATTAACGATATGGAGAAGACGAGCGAGCACCAAAAACACTCATACTCGTGGCACCAGGTGAGCCAGAGAACTCTGATAATGAAAGGCTTCATTTGGCTTACGCTCTCATGACTTAGTCGCATGATCAGGTGAAGCCAATGGGGTAAGGGTTCAAGTTTCATAGTCCTGACACTTTGGCGAATTGCAGGCTACGGTCTTGTTACTTGTTCCGTATGAAACCTCGAGAGAGGACGTTGTTGTCAGTGTTCAGTCGCTTTATTCGCCACGTGTAATCTCATGCTCGCCGTGGTAGGTTGTTATTGAACGCAACTATCTACTCGCTGGGGTTAAAGGACAACAGCCCATCGTGAAGGTGGGGCTCTCGTTGAATTGACTGATTTGCAATGATTAATCTTCGATTTTTAGGGTCGTCTTTACAGCCACGTCGACGTGGCGAACTCGGCGTGGCAACTCGAACCCCGCAACTCGCGTCTTTCCGCTCGAGAGAGAACCACGTCGACCATATCGACGACGTCAACTCAATCTTCTTTCGCCTTCGTATCCGATCCTGAAATTTCCAGCAGCTTCGCGGCGTCTCTAGAAAGTGGCCAAGTGTCCGATGCAGAGGAGATCGTGACACCTTCACCCGCGCTATCATCGCCTATCTCCTCGGCTGATGAGCACACGAGCGGTTCAAGTCAACGTCACTCTATCGCTGTTACTTCTGGTCCCGCATCACCTTCATTGCCTGTACATGCTTTATCATCATTCTCGTCCTTGGAGTCACTACACTCCAATTCAGGAAGACTCGTGACACTTCATCTCGAGAAGGAACAGTCGATCATTTGGCCATCGTTGATTGTGAGCTTCTGCTCTTGGTGGCTTCTACATGCTAGAACTCACCTGTTACATAGCAAGGACCAGTCCCCCAGGAAACTTCACCATGCGCTCCTGTCCCTATGCTATATGATTCCAACTTGGAGTACAAATACAATATGGACCCCACAAGTCTTGTCCTATATGCCATAGAGCTTTACGACATCAGGAAAGACAAAGAAGAAGCATTTGAGTGCTTTGTGTATGTGATTCGTGCTGAAAATGCGTTTCAAGTATGACTAACCATATGCAGACGAGCATGGCACCATGCCCACCTCCCCTCTGCTACAATGAAATTGGTTACTCACTATCTACCCATTCAAACATCATTGGACCATCTTGATGCATCTGAAGAAGGGCAACGCGGAACTGTCTCATATTATGTTCAGTCCGTCGGCGGCCCGTTGGGTCTGGCCAAGCTCTTCTTAGAGGCTGGTCTTCTTCATCTCGAAGGAGCAGCTTCTGTCTTCCTTTCCGCGTCATATTCCACATTGTCCTCCATTAGGATGCCGCCACAGCCACAGCCCGGAGAAGGTGGCACAGAAGCGTGGAAGCGTGATAGGGAAGCCGCAGGTCGATACTTTGAGCGTGCTCGCGCTCTGCAGCCCGATCTCGACATTCCTGTCCTTCCTGATGAAGGCATTTCTCAGCATGGTATTGGGAACACCCACGAACTTGAAATGCCGTCTATAGAGATTCTTCCCTCGGCCTCAGGGAGTGTTTATTCTGGAGAGGATTCTCTCTACTCCGAACAAGAAATCATTCCGCGCCGAAGAAGGCAGAAGAAAGAAGAACTCATATTCATGGATGAGGTCAAGGGCAAGGATGATATTGATAGTGCGTGGTACTTGTATGTCCCCAGCCTGGTGGGTGCTGGTACGGCATTGCTGGTCGTGGGCGTTATAGGCGCCCTCAGCCTTTCGTCATGGAGAAGAAATCAAGGATCTTGATGAGTTTCCCTGTTTCTTTCGACTGGCCGTTATTCTAGTGCTCTATTTGCTTTGCTATGTATGTAGACTGTACTATAGTTGTCGCTTTACTTGCTCGAGTTATTGGCTTTTTTGTATTAATGCTATATTTCCCTATGTGGCTAGTCTCCTGTAGTCAGACCCTGATAGAAGGACGATATGATATCTGGTTGTGAGTCAGAGTATGTACGGTTCCGAAGGTTTATGATATACACTAGTAGCTGGTTCAAGTTGACTTCAGGAACTGTTCTCGATCTGGATACCTTTTGATCACTGTCATGCGAGGCACCGCTTGGTCCAAAGCTGCAGGCTCGGTGCCCTCTGACCGTTTACGTTCTGCACAGCGCATACAGCACGTTCCCCAAAAACAAAGCAAAGGAAAAGGCGGAGCCCAAGAACCTCCCAGAAGCAAAGCGATCCGTAAGCTTGAATCGCTCGCCGAGGGTGTTCGTAAGTCCTCTGGCAGAGAGAAGGATCCGAAGAGCGGTTGTTTTTGTCAAGGCGAGGGCTCTTCAACTGATCTGGGATTCTAATGCTGAAATTGAGCACAGCAAGAGAACATGACCTTTCCTCATACACCCCCATATGCCGCGGTTGCGGATTGATTCTATGTGCTGTCAACTTGCCCTATTACGCATGCCCACACTGCTCTGCAGTGCTCCTCTCAGACATCGCGCGTTCCTCGCTGTCTGCCCGACTTGATGAAGAGATATCTAAGCAGATAGCAAAAGAGGAAGACGAGAAGTCACGAGTCGTCCAGCAAGCACGCGATGCGGAGGGCGCGTTCCCAGTTCTCCATGGCTCTGCCACACCACCACGGTCGAGCACGCCTTCACGTCCTGCAGCACAAACGCACAAAGTATTGTCTCTGAACTCCAAGACGAAGAAATACACTGTCGCATCGTACACGAACACCCCTCTTTCATCCCGTCCAGCATCTCGTGCTGAGTCTGAGGAAGAGGTTCACAGAATCTCTGCACCTCCCCCAGAGGTTGACTTTGTAAAGAGAACACCTGATCGAAATCATCCATGGAACAATATGCGTATGGGAGACCTTCTTTATGTTCCCGTGAAATGACAAGCTGTTAAGGAGGTTGAAAGGCCCCATGTTAATACACATATAGCAGATGGTGAATGGTAGGCTGAGGTAGCGTAATGTACAGTCAAATAGTTACAGATACATAGTTACAAGATACATGTGGCAGAAATATCAATAACACAAGCTTGGAACCCCATTAAATACCAATAGATGTAGAACGTGAGAGCAAGATCAAAGGCAAAACCGAACACAGTTCATACATTTCATCTTCGACATCACGGCGGCTCCTCTGGGAGTAGGTGTCGGAGTTCTTCCATATCGATTTTGAGCTGATCGAGAGCTTGCTCCTTCGCGGTCAGTTGAACCCTGGCTACTTCCAATCTCTCTTCAAGTCGCCTGAGTTTTATAGGATGGGGGCTGGATGGGCGCGGCAGTGGACGAGATAATGGGATGACAGGCGAGGAATTTCTTTTAGGTGAGAAAGGGAGTGGAATCAGGAGTGGGTCTATAGGGAGGGTTGTTAAACCAGGGTTGTTCCAAGGTAGAATAGCGGTGGGCTGCAAAGGTGTCGCTAGCTCCATGTTTTGTTCGACGTCTAGACCATCATCTAGATGCTGGACATCGTGTGCGAGATAAAGACTCTGGTAATTGAATGAGCTGCAGTGTCTATTGCGCGGACGATGGCACCTACTGGTGACTGCTGATGCAATGACAGCTTGAGAGCGTCAATTTCCTTTAGCAGTTCTTGTTCGCGAGACTTGGCAGAACTTCGACTATGCTCAAGTTCTTGTTCAAGATGTGAGACCTGAGAGGCCAGCCTAAACCACAATAAGGATTTGATGAGAGTGCAGATGATACGATGATGCTAAGGAACCTACCTCACGCATTCCTCCTCGATAACCAAGATTTGTGGAAAGTCGGGAGGTTCTCCATCAGACACCTGCAAAGGTTATTCAGTGACATAACGCAATGGTTGACCGAATGTGTCACGGACTCTACGTTTCCTCACAGCCATCTCAATAAGAGTCTTCCTCTCCGCTTTGAAGGCGTCAAGCTGGGAAGCATATGTGTTAATTTGATCATCCAGCTGCGCAATAGAGTGCTGTGATGCAGAAGTAGAAGATACTGCGGGACTATCGTGAGATGATGTTCGTATGATTACATCTGAACCAGCTGGCAGGGTCGATACAGTATTCCGTGTCGATGTGGAATGAGGTTCGATATTAGTTGTTGGAGGTTGCCTCGGGATGACTGGTTGGTGCGGGCGATCGGGAGAAGCAATTCTCGGCGGTGACGAAGGGTCGACTACTGAACCCGCGGAGCCTCGCGTGCACTCAAGCTACAGCAAGCGCACAATCAATGACTGTACGAACGGAGATAAAATGATGACATCCTCACTTTTCGTGCCAAACTCCGTATTTCAATCTCAAGAGATTTGTTTCTGGTGTTGCTGTCCGCTAATACACGAAGACAGTCTTCATCAGTCATTGGTTTTGGAGGTGGTATTTCGCTTTCAGGGTTTCGAGGTTGGCACAAACGGTCCAGTTCCCTCTTTTGTTGGTTTCGAATGGATGTTTCTAGCTCGGCCTCGCGTACGGCGACTTTAGCCTCCAGTTCAGAGATACGGAGGTTGGCTTCCTCCACAGCCTTGCAATGAGCTTTGCGCTCGTGGTCAAGCTCGGTGCGCAGCCTAGTGATGACAGAAGCACCGTACTCCATGATATCCTCAGAATGCCTGCAGCCTGTATCACTGGATTTGAAATGGTTCTCAGGGAGTTGATCTGGGTATAATTTGGCGGCATTTAGTGTCGATGTCTGCGAAGCTATAAGGAATAGACAGACGTAGATGTTTTGTTATATCCATGCGACTGCAAGGCCACATACTCCAGTCACTGGAAATCTGGACTGAGAAAAATGCAACAATACATGAGCGGTAGACATGCGTCCGTTTGCAGATTACTATGCACCTTTCTGAATCAAGTCCTCGACGACATCTTTGAGATCATCTCGCTCAACTTCGAGCCCCTTCGCAAAGGTTCTCCAACGTTCAGTTTCATGGGACAAATTCACCCTCTCGCGTTCCTTCACCGCCAAGTCGATTATATGTTGAGCCTTTAGAGAATCAACGATGTCAATAGTTGTAAGAAGGCGAGCCTGCGTCTCTGATGTTCGAGCAATATAGGCTTCTACCCGGGCCTCCAGGCAGGTAATCTAAATTAATGTATCTATCAATGATGTTTCCCTGCCAGCTGACGGCGCTATACCACTGACCTGTTCGTCTCTTTTTCGAAGAGCTGTTTTCAAATCATCTTGCGTCAAAGGTCGCTGATCTTTGTGGCCCATATGTACTATACAACAATCTATACATCCAGCCTGTCCGAACAAATTTTAATACTGCATGTAACGCATGCAAGCTTCGAGAAGAGCGATGAGAAGGCGTGAGAAATAAATATTTGAATTTTCATTTGTTAATAATATTATGTAATGGAGCAGGCAACTCTCCGTTTAGCTACGGCGATGCAGGCAAAGCTTGGGTGTCACAATGCGTCCACAATAATTCTGTCAAGACGGTTTTACTATTCCGAAGGGAGACCTGTGGTCCCGAGTCCTGGCAGGCCAACGCGTCCATCAGGAAATCCGCAGAGTGGAGCATGTGCATTGTGAACCTGATTGATCACGAATTCACCTGTCTGACTCTACGGATGGGCCTTGACTTGTTACTTTCGGGGACTACCATTATCCATACGACATGGTCAAATCCCGGAATGGGCCACTTCGGCCAGTCCACTGTGGCCAGCGTTATAATTGTACGCTGTACCCACCCACATCACTATAATGGAAACCTTTGCGGGTCAAAAGATTCCACAATTGTTCCACAGTTCCATTTCGTTTATATTCAGCTCGCCTGCTCTCATGGCAGTCTATCAGAGTTTTACATTCCCAAATCACCAGACTCGCTGTTTTGATCGCACCATAGACTTGTATTGGTGCGCATTTTTACCTTTTTCAACTGCTGTTAGTCTAACCTACGATCTTCATAGAATCATGTGTAATTTTGTAGTCACCATGCGCTATTGCTCAAAGTGCCACCAAAACGTGCCGACTTTCGACGAGAAGGAAAGACGGTTGTCGCACATGAATGAAAAGAACGAGGTACCGTAATCACTTATACTTCAAAACCATTCAGCTCATCGCGTTATTCCTAACGGCGAAAGCCAACATACAAGCCGCAACCCCAGGACTGCTCTTCGCGCTGGTGTATTTTCAGCCACAAACACTCAGTTCGCAGCTACTGCTGGATCACGTGTAAACGAACGTCAGTGGCGAACTTTCGTGTTATTCATAGATAAGTCTGACGCGTTCCATATTTCGCAGACACGGCAAAACGCGTGAACTTCAGGGTTACGCCCCTTTATACGTTTGTTGCATTTGTGCCTCATGCCCTGAGTAGCATTGTCAATGGCGGCCGCCACGTGGCGTAGGCAATGGTGTGCTTCCTCGACGGGAAACTGGTTGGTTTGCTGGGTTAACAAGATCTTCCGCAAAATGATATCTGGCACATGGCTTTCCGTATCTTTGCCATTCTCTACGAAATACCAAATCCAATCGCATAGCATTGCTTCTTCAGAATATGTTGGACATCCGCGATTGCCCGCTCGATATCATCATCCTCAAAATAGCCCTCTTTTGTGCTGCCCTGGCGCCTTAACAGGCCCCGTCTTAAACAGCGCCCTTAATGTGTCACCTGACCATGGGACCCAGGTGCGCGCCATGAAATGTTTGATGCGGCCTAGACGCAGCTTGTGTATTATCCGTGACGCTGAGGTAATACTCCACTAGGTGGCGCCAGAGTTGAAAGTTTCGGAAAATGAGAGATGTGTATGAAAGGAAGTGATCAGTCACACGACTCACGGCATTTTGTCAGACTCATGCATGCACTTGTACATGCAACCATATCATTGGAATGTTTTGTTACTGGAGCGAGAAGTTGCCTCCGACATGCGCGGCAGGCCGCGGCTGCGTTTACAGGGTTACAAACACTGGATCGATATCCAGATCGCTGGCACCATGAAGCGCGTCTACCACTGTGAGGTGAGTATACCTAATACTAATCGGGTGCGTATGCATCGTAAATATCCTCGCGAGAACGTGCATAATATGTGTCCTCCCCGCCGTCGCATGGGGTGCTCGGGCGGTGTGTGGATTGCATATTTACCTGAAGTGAAGTTGATTTGTTGGCGTTGATTATCATGAGCGTGTCGTTGCCAGCGACTCGCGCTGGTGCGTTATTGTGGTCGAAGGTGAGTGCAATTCTTGGTATTGTTATTTGTTTCATCCAGATAAGTTCCACAGCTGACATCGCTGTGGGTGAGCGTCAAAAAATTACCATATCCTCCGCACACTGTATGGGAAAGTGGCACAGATGTTTGAATTCAGCTTATATATCCCAATAATATCTTTGTCGCTCCCATGATACAGCAAATGTCTGTAGGTGAGTCTAGTGACCCTTCCCTGACTGCATACTGACTCCCCGCCCGACGTCTCAGACCTAGGCTAGGATTGCAAGCTGTCGAATTTCTCTGCTGAGTGTGGGTCCACAAATCGAACCAGCTAGTGTCGATTCTTTGAAACACCATCAGCCCTTGAAACACGCAGCCATTTTGGATGGAATTAGCTCTACTTTCAGAGCTAAACCACCCTCTAGTCTACTAGGCCCCTCGTTAGTTTTTAGGGTCCCGTGTCAACAAGGAGGGCTCAGCCTCTATTGGTCAACCCTACTATGTCATTGTCATTCTCAATGCTACAGTTAGGGTGCCATCGCAGTCTACGTATGTAGTATCACTAAAGGCATCCGAGTCAGTTCACGGATACTTGCAAAACAGGTCGATGGAAAACGAGGGAGACTTACTCGTCCATTAGCCAATCATATAACGGGAGGGCCATCCCGGATATCAACATGCCAGGTTCGGGCGCAGTGTAACGTTCACATGATCTGTGTATTAGTCAGGGCAAGGAAACAAAGAATGGTTACATAGGAAGAACGAAAACATCAGTATGCCTTGACTTCGAATGTGTGGGAACAATGTACCCACCCCTTAGGTACAAGTATGTTCGATGGTAATCTCAAATGTAGAATTAGTTCCGGAGTGTCAAAGCCAGGCGACGGCCTGTGGGGCTGAATTATAACGTCGACGTCTGGATGCACCACTGGCGAGCTATATTCAGAAAGAGCACACCCGATGTACCACCTCCCATTCTCATGCATAAAAATTCGCAACACCCATATACGTCCTTCAGTGAATAGTATGTTGGATCAGCGTGAAAAACAAGCCAAAAGACATGGATTACATACCCCGCGCAATAAATTCTACTGCAAATTTCTGCATAATACGCAGGCGTGTCTGAAACATCTTGAAGACCAAACGAACGATGTAGCGGTTTTCAACCAGTCCATCCCGGAGCACCTGAATCTCATCTCGCGGACAACCCAACATGCGTCTCAAAGACTTATCCTTGGCTGATAGTGCGTGGTTAGTTGATTAACGCTCTCTCGGGACATTATGGACCATGCACTTACGATTAACATTGTCCCCCAAATTCAGCTGCATAAACAGATCGTGGTCGTTAATTGCCATGCACGCAAATCGTAAGTCGGAAGAACAAGCCGGCGAGAATTCGGAAATAAATTTAGTGAATGCCCAAAGGGCTTCTCGCCGCTTTTTTACGATCGCCCAATACAGCGCCGTGTGATCCTCGATATTGCGTTGTTGCAGGAGATCTGAGAACTCTGATGCTGGAAGAGCAGTAGCGCAGGAGTCGACGATTGGCCCGACAGATGAAGGGGTGAAATCAGGAGAGGAGACAATTTCACGGATGCGAGAGAAAGCTGTCGCACGACGTTTTTGCTTAGATTGCAGGAAGGAAGATACCGATCGTTTGTACCGCCGGACAGAATCTGCTGATATGGGCGTAGAAATGGCATCATATGTGGGAGGTGGGTTGAAGACGGATGTGCTGTCATCAAAGACTTTTGACTCGGTAGCCATTGTAGAGGAGCAAATACATAGGAGACGGAGCTTTTGAAGTATTATTTATTCGAAAAAATACTTAGGGGCTTGCCACGCATTAAGTCACGACACGGCCAGTGACTAGTGGCATGCGAGGTGGCCGAAAATATGGTCATGCGAAGGGGCCAGCACGCCGCAGGCGCGCGGGAAGCTGCGAAGGGGTCGCTCTGTCGGAACTCGGAGATCTCGCGAAGGGGTTGTTTGAAGCGCAATCTCAAGGTATGTATGCTCTCTTGTTTATTCTCTATTTGACGAATATTCAGATCGTGCCCTCTCCAACGGACTAAGGAGAAAGGCTACTCTACAATGCTCTCCAGTCTTCCAGGTGGGTGAATTCCAATATCTGCAAGGATCCCTTCCTCTTCCTGTTCAACAACATTCTCGTCATTGCTAAACCTCGCCCTGAGGATTCTGATACGTTCCTCCGAGGTGACGAAGCCTAATCCTGCTGATCGGAAGTTCACCGTCAAGAATGTGGTTTTGCTGACAACTCTTCTTCACACCAGCGAGCGTGAGGAGCCGTGTTCAAGAACCATCCCAAGAACCCCTGTGGTGCAAGCATTCGTCGAGCAGTTCTCAACAGACCCGGATAATGCAGTCGCATCGCTCTTCCAGCAGCATGACGACCCTCGGTGATTATTTGTTGCAGCATTCAAGTCGTGTTGTGCTCAAGCATTGCCTTGACGCCTTCAGATTCATTGGACTGAGGGTGAACAAAGCCCTTTGGTTGTTCCTTCAGTCCGTTCACATCCCGGAATGGGGCAACCATGGTGTCACTCCTCTCGACGTTCTCCTCGAGTGAGTCGTTCGCAAATCGGTGGTATGAGGCTAATCCAGTTGCCTGCGCTGGGCATGATTGAGTTATTGATGCCTGCGCTTGGAGGAGCCATCGTGCAGCTGAACGACGTCCTGCACGGTGCCATCTCTCATGAGCCGGGTCAAATGGGGCATCCCAAAAGAAACATTACTGCCAGAGACTTCCTTGAAGCTTTCCGACGTCATGATAATCGCTTGTCGGACGAGTTATTGGGGGATGTCTATGATTCCATTCGTTGCGAGCATCTGTGTCAAGCGCGCACCCCAACGTCTGGTGGCCCACCAGATATCACTGTCAACTTCAAACGCCCACTCCCTCCATGGCTTACCTATCGAGTCCAGTCAGAGCCGGTCGTCATCCGTATCCCACAACCAGATCCACATTTCAGTATCAAGCTATTTGGACACGATCTGGTGTTTGACCCACCTGTGCTGTCATTTGCGGAGTCGGCGGAAGCTTCTTTCCGGGTGACAGGGCGCTTTTTTGGACATCACAAGGTGGTTAACTTGTTCATCAAATCCGAACTACACACACTAATATCCTCGGTGTGAATCTGTGGGTCCAGGTGAGCTCTGACAGATACGGCATCTGCACCGTTGCTAATGGAGTCGGATCTGATAGTTGTGGGTTGCCCCCCAGTTGGTAGTAGACTTTGACGGATGGACTTGGTGGAGACGCGGAGCCACTTAGTAGTTTTGAACTACATAGTATGCGGTAGTACCATTTCTTAGTTTCGAGCCTTTAATTGAATTCGTTCATCTCACCAATCACGCTTGACGAAATAATTTATTTTGACGGTGACTTGGCACAGCAGTTACACAAATATAGAGTGAACTCAAGTTCGGACACTAGTGTGGTGGAAGTAGTCAAGCGCAAAGAGCATCCGCCTCCTAATTGCGAAAAAAAATTATTGTCATTGCCCTTCCATTACCGTCACAGTACTAGCTACATTTTATATCTTCCAACGCACGCAGAGCCTCGCAGACTTTGAGAGAATCATGTCTGTCTATGAACCGGACGGGGTACGCAAACTGCTATCAATGCTGGAGCCAAAAGACACACAGAAAAAATTCGAGGCAAACTGGAAAGATGCGGTATGCACTGGCATGCAGAACTTCGCATATTGACATTGACCTGTTGCGCTATAGGTGAAAAAACGTGTTGGGTCGTGGACAGGACATACCGAGCGCATGACCCATCCAAGACCCAGGCGCCAGTGTGAATGGGAAGCTGAAGTCATCGAGTACATCAACTATATCTCAGAGAAGACACGAATACGATCAGCGAAATCACTCATGCGACCATGCCTGGACAGCAGGATTCCAATACTTGGCCCTCACTTTTTGCCACCATCCTATCTCCATGCCCGAAAGCGCAATCAGTCCGAGCCTCCAGTTAACCCAGAGGTCTTGTACTTGAAGCCTCTTCGCGTTGTACATCCATTCTACCACCCCGAGCTTGCAAGATGTCCGCGGTGCAATTGTACAGATGGTGTTTCGTGGGACGGGTGGACTGGGACCGGTCCTCGAGATGTCCATGGATTAATGCTTGATGAGGCAGCGATAGGCATGCAGCTCCGCTGCGAGACTTGCAAAAATGATCCGTCAAGCAAGAAGGGTCTAGAAAGCGAGTGTGAGCGTGACAACAGGAAGATGATCAAAGGACACTGCTTCGCAACAACAAGCCAAGACTTCTGGCGCAATTGGTCCCACTGGTCCATTCCAGGTGAGCTTGATCGAGTTTGGCTGGTGATTGTTCAGCGGCTGAGTCACATTCATTGCGGCAGCCGACGTACCAATATTTTTCTACAGATGTGCTGTTACTCGCGAGTTGTTTGATCTAGTTATTGAGTTACGCCCATCATCTACAGCGGGAACTCTCACTGAAAACATCCGACGTGAGTAGCACTATCTACTTCTCAAGCACGGGTCTAACATACCTTTCAAAAAGAACTTCATTTGCTTGAGTACCACAGGCGGAAGCTGGATTACCTTCAAGCTTGGAAATCACGTCGAACGACACGACATGGGATGGATTTCTTCAGCCCAAATCCACTTCGGGCGTTCTCGGGTCCTTACGACGTAAAAGAGTACAATGCGAGGCCGATCTCGCATGACATGGTCAGCGAGATCTTCCAGGAGTTTGTGTCGGCAACGCGGGAAAGGGAGTCTGAGGAATATCTTCGCACACTCTCTGGTAAGACTTGGGAATTGCTCTGCTATCGGCAATTGACGCTCACCTTGAATGCTGAACAGGCATAAGTATTTCGTTCGATAACACATTCCGTGCCGCCACGAAAGCAATCATAACCAGCCGAGAGAAACAGAAGTTGAAGGTCCTGAAGGGGGGGATCATAAGTCTGATGAATGAGAATGGTGAGATTGTGGGCTGGGTAGGCTATTTTTGCAAAGTGAACGAGACAGTGCTGATTACTAACTACATCAGCGCTTCTGTCATGGCCAGTCAAATGCCGAGATAAGCGAGCTTCTCGAAGGCCTCAAGACACGATGCGAGGCCCTTGGTGTCCCTCCGCCCGAAGTATTTGTCGCCGACAACTGCTGCCATGTGCGCAGCGCTGTGGATATTGTTTTTCCTGATGCTACAATGAAACTGGATGTCTGGCATTTCATTATGAGGCGAGTACATTTTCCTTTGTCTAATAATCTACAAGCTAATCCTAAAAGCAAGATATGCGACTGTGATCCTTAATCCCTCCAAGAATCCCCACAGGAAGGAAGTAGTCGCGGAGATTTCTGCCTGTATCCTGAAGAAACATGCTGAGGGTGGGAATCCCGCAAAGTACTGGGAACGAAACGAGCAGGAGACGAGACTCACCTCGACGTTTGAGAAATGGGCATGCGAAGGTACAGTTTGGTCAGCGGGGGCACGCAGAGTGAGTACTTATCCCTGGAACAGCCTGTTTCACACTAATATCAATTTCAGGTTCATGAGGAACAGCTCAAACACGTACGGAAAGGCTGCCTCGAACGTCAGCGGCAGGACATACGAACAGATGGAAGCCGTGTGGAGGGGTCCCACAAAGGCTGGAACTCCCTCCAGCGTGCGCACACCAGCGGAATCGTGACCTTCACAGGCCTTTGCCACGACTTCGTTCTTCGACGAAATGTTCGTGTTGCCTTTTCGAGGGCAAGCAAATCGGACTTTATCACATCAACTCACGGTTCTCATCACATTCACCTCGTCGACAGGATCGCGAAGCAATTCAACAACCTCCGACTCAAAGAGAAGACCACTAGCACATGCTGCCTACCAGAGCTCCAAGATGTCCCATCGAACGAGCACTTTGGGCTTGTTGAATCAAGCTTCGCCTCCACATTTGGTGGGCTACTGGACATCAAGGCCGAAGACACACCTGTCGATCTCAACATGTCTGGAAACAAGATGCTTGAGGCGCTCAGCGATGACGGTGATGCCGTAGACCTCGTCCTGCGGTCGCACCACACCCTGGCAGGGGTATTAATACACCCCTGGCCACTGTAGAAGGGTATGTATCCATACTCACCAGCTATTTACAACGCCTCCCTGTATGCATACACACCTTGGGAGCCTTTCCTTGTATGCATACACACCTTGGGAGCTATAGTGTGCTTCTTCGGACAGTTCTAATAGGTATATATTGACCAAATAAGTAGTATAACAATGATAGTAATCTTAGATCCCTTCCCCGCACTGCTATTTTTATGTGCCAACCCCGGACCATCAAATTCACTAGGTGCCTTCTGAATCCCTCCTTCTATGATTTGAATCAAATCAGTTCGAAGTTCGAACCACTGCATACTCCCGCTCGCGACATATCCCAAATAGGCATAATAAAGAGAGAGATGGCAAAAATATCATAGCGGGTGTAGGCGTGCGGTTAGTGTGGTCACTCGTCTGTAATCACAATGAAAGACGATGTATTGCACGTAGTAGTCTAGTAACAAGGGATGCATGGCAGGATGAAATGCAGGAAAATGAGAAAAAAGCGCCAAAAAACAAACAAATAGCCTCCGGTTTGCTATGCAGTAGTCGTGGCGGGTACAGGTGCTCGTTCTGTAGTGGTTTGAACAGAGAGAAGGCTGGGAACCACATCCCACAGGAAAAGACAGTCGTTCCGCATGGACCGGCGGATCTTAGCCTGTCGCAAGGCATATGCAACTGCTCCCTCGTGCTCCATTGCTCCATCATATATTCTGGAGGTTGCGCGTTCTTCCCACCAACCTGCATTCCACTCAAAGAACGCTAATACACGTCGCATCTCCTCCTGCACAAGTTCGACCTCCTCTGCCCACCTGTTGGCACGAGCTCGTGCCTTGCACCACTCAACGCGCATTGCTGTTTCCGATTAGAAAAAACTACATCAAATACATAGCGACTCTCACCTTCAGAAAGTTCTTCCTCACCCGCTCCATGGCGCTGCTTCCAAATCCAAGACACGGCTACGAATCTTCGACCTTCTGACACCAAACCTCCCGCCTGCGCCTCAGTCATACCACGAATATGCTCATCTTCGAGCTTTGGGAATTCAATTTCCCAATCAAGGCGTAGGAGTGCATCGGCTAAGTCATCAAGTGCCCTCCATGCCGTGCGATACTTTGTTGCGGCAGCGTCTATTTTCGCCTGGACAGTATCAATGACGGCACGGGATCTCGTGTGCGCTCGTTGGCCAGTTAACCAGTTCTTCTTGAACCCAGTGAGATGGCGTTTGAGTCGTAGGTGTTGCCGGAGCTCCTGGAGACCATCATGCGCCTGGGCACAGCGTAACTTCCACTCGATGTTACACAGATTCACATCGCAAGACATGCCCGCTTTCACCACTGCAGACGGCATCCACAGTTTGATGGTGTGAACAGGCTCCTCAAGGGTGGTATCCTCAGTATCAGAGGTGTACGCTCGAAGTCTGGCAACACTGGGGATATATAGCATTTGGATTTGGATCCACTGTTCAATCCGACGGCGCAGTGCATTGATGCGTTGTTGCATAGCAGACAGTTGATTATCGGTGGCGTGGATTCCAATGTTCGCAGTGTCCGTTGCGAGCCGACGTCTGAGAGGTAAAGCAACTTGTTAAGACCAGCTTGTTGTCAGTGCGAAAGACAGACATACTGTAAAGCCTCTAGGTCGATCCCAACAGCTATTAATACGCTAGGGGAGACATCTGGGTGGAGGGAGGCATCAATCCCTTGTCTTAGCTGCTGGGCTTCAAGCTGAGAGAGCTCGAGTCTGACAGACGCCTGGGTGACAACTGTAGTGTACATGTCAAAGATTGTAAATATCATACAAGCGAAAACATACCTGACACTTTAATCTCGAACGGGTTCGGCTTTGAACGATCACCCTCCCAATCTTCTACCAACTTCCGCCAGGCACTAAGACTCGAAGACGGGATAGCTTCCTCGAAGTCCCGAAGATCTACAGCATGCTGATAACATTCTGGAATTGCCTCCTTGAGTTTTTTGAGCAGTGAAGGACCTATTAAACTGTCAGAGACGAAGGCACAATCTATGTGTAATACATACCCAAGTTGGACACTTTACGCCAATTCCAGTCGCCGAAGTGGTCATCCAAGATGTCGCGTCTTGACCCTGGACCCATTTCACGCGTGCTGGTAGCGATAGGATTCATGTTTGACCATCCGCGTTCAATGGCTTCACCTTCAGTCCGCGCCATGCCTTTGATAAGGTTAAGAGAATACGAAGTTTGACATGCTGCAATATGCGCCGGCAGATGAAATTTGGGAACGAGGAATGTTAAAATTTTCGAGTCGCCCGAAAAATGGATCTGGGACGGATAGCGTGACATCCGCTCCCACAAATGCTTACTCCATTGACATGCAATATCATATGAGATATTGAGAACGAGAACCTCGCCAGAGTGTTGCAAAGTCGAGAAGAACAGGAAATCCATATTCACATATCTAAGTCCTGTGTGATTAGATGACGTCAAAGATATCAGAGACACATACCTTTCTCCTTTTTGGAGATCTCCAACTGAGGACGGACGTGTGAGGTTATGACGAGCACAAACGATGGCGCCGACGCCTGTGGCAGCCAGTCCCCGTGAATTCTTGGTGTCGGCAAGATTAACGGCGTTGTGACTGGCACAAGAACTTTTCTAAACACGATATCAGCGAATGATACACTAAACCATATATCAACCTCACCTCTTGTACCTGGCTGGCATAAGCGTCAAGAACATCTTTGAATCCACTTTGTTCTACGAAATAAGCCCAGCCTTGGCTAAGGCTAGGGTCTGCCTGCTCAGAGGACTTATTGCGGCGGCATAAGCGAAAGTTAGCGTCCATTGCCAGAAATAAAGCATAAAGCCATCTACATTTCTTGAGCATAAATATCCCAATGAAAAAAGAAAAACTTACTTGTGTTGGGCCTCAATGGTCTCCCAACCCAAAGGCAAGTTTTTGCCAGGTTGCGGACAAGCCGGGCACAGTACGGCGAGTTCTCCTTCCGTTGTGCCGAGAGCGCCACCAGGGTCATGGCCACGCCCGGCACGTTTAAGAGATAGTATATGTCGAAATTGCCGACTCATCCGTAGGAAAGCTTCATAACGGTCCTTATACTCACGTTAGCTGTGAAAAATGATTCAATAGTCAATGCGCCTACCTTAGTCTGGTACCTCCTAGTATTATCCGTTAGACGTGCCAATGCTTGGTAATATTCAAACGCGGATCCTTTCGACTCAAAAGTGTACATTTGGAAGTGATCAAGGACCCGGAATGTTGCAGCAGTTCGGGGATCTGTGACGGTTGCTGGGTACCAGCGAGTGCGCAGGAGTTGGGTAGTGTGCGTTTGCGCTGTCTCGCAGTTGCAGAAATCTAGCATGATACTGTGGACACCGGTGATGTCAAGGACGACGAAGTCGTCCTGGAAAGCAGGAGAGGGATTGCAGCAACGGACACCAGTTGGATGTCCGAGTTGGACACGTAGCCCTAAGTCTCTTAAGTTGCTGCGCTGGAAGTATTTCCCAGTCCAAATCTGATAGTATAGTCAATTTTAAAGAACGCAAAGCGATGTGAATACATACTTCAACACGGTGCAAAGGCGCTGCGCGGTGCAGTGAGATGACACAAGACTGACAGTACAACTGTAATCCTTCACAATCAGTACACCGAATAGACGGCTGGTTTACGCATGTCTGCTCCCCGTGACAACGCATGTGCCATGCATCATCTCCACGCCCTTCTAGCCGAATGAATTCCTTGAGAAAATTATCACGCTCCTGCAGCCATTGTTTTTGAGGGTCATCCTGAATATCACCGAATGAAAAAATTTGCAATCAAGATATAGAAATAGCACACACCGCCGGTGCGCGTGGCCGTTGGCTTTCACTGGTGTGGTATCTGTGCTGGTGTCGGCAAGATATCGAGGTAGGGTTGATCATCATTGAATAAGAAGCGAAATCAAAAGTCTCGGAACTCCCAAGGTTTGTGATCGAGGAACTAGTGGGTACAGCCGGAGACGTGTTGGCATTTTGAAAGTATGTAGTTTTGATTGGTGGGACGGCTCCTGATCGTAACGTCTACAGAGGTATGTGCATGATATGCACTTCCCTCGGGAACATGCGATTGATTGTCTTCATTGCGTCGTCGCTTGTGTGCAGCTTGATTCTCCTCCATGAACTGCCGCTGATACTTGTCCACTTTCGTACCCGAGAGTTTTTGACCATGGCAATGAAAATAATGTGGGCACATGCTAGACGACGTACGTACTGCATTCAACATTGTTTATCTGGTCACGTGACACTACTTTTCTATACGCTGCCATACTAGTCCATCGCTAAGCAGTGCGGCATCAAGAGCTCCCTCGTCTTCATCCATGAGGGACACGATCTCCTCTTCGGCGGCAAGGTAGAGACGTGCTGTAGAAATAAGACGGGAACATTCAGTTTGGAGATGTGGAGTACATGGACCATCTAAACTTTTGACCGCTGTGACCAGGTCTTCTGCGTCCTTCAGTAAAACCCGGGCCTCTGATATTCCTTCCAAAACAGCTGGTCTAACAGCACTCCACCCTCGCACATCTACTTCTTGAAGAACGGCGATAACTCGAGGCTGGCACCCATTGTGGTTCCGGCTACCACCGGTATAAGTCCTGCTCCATATTTCTTCCATTGCCTCATAGGCGTCTAGTGTGGCCTGCACAAATTAGTACTGAATGTCAGTAGATGTAGTATTTGAATATACCTTATTGGCTCCCTTTGCCTGCCTTGATCTCCGTCGTGCTTTGGATCGTTCATACCCGACATGTCTAATATCATGTCAAATCCCTATGTCCACTTCTGGTTCAGAATGCGAGAAACACTTACCGCAAATAATGTATTTTCTTAGACTGTTTGCGCGCTTCTTGGCGGTCCGGTGAAGACTTACGACGGCGTCCCATCGAACGAGACAGATGAGTGGTATGATACAAAGAGCCCTTAGTAAGGGTACGTTAACAGACATAAACACTTACTGGTATATAGACTTTTGGTACGGTCACAGCCACCACTTCGGGACAGTTATCACACAATGTACTCTAGACCATGCCGTTGAGCATGAATCATCGTTACCGTCAAATATAAAAATAAACGACAGCAATACACTTACTGGTATATAGACTTTACGGTATGGTCACAGCCGCCAATTATCATACAATGTACTCTAGACCACGCTGTTGAGCATGAATAGGTTATCGTCGAATATATATATCACACACACACACACAAATGACAGCAATTGGTATCATCATATTGGATGCAAGAAACGGGACAGGCCACACATAAATGTACAGTACAGTATTTTACTCCTAGAGCGGCACCTGATTGACTGCGCCATCATCCAAAGCCTGTCCATAGGCAGCCTGGGCGACAGCTAGAGAGGAGTAACGCGCAAAACAAGCTCCTGGAACACCGACGACATGCACATGCACATTGTGCCTGGGAGAAAATTGAATAAAATAATAGACCAGCAGATCTCGGAGTACGTACCATCCTTGAAAGACCCCAGTTTCACGTCCAACAGTAATGACATACCAGCGCACCGATGCAGAGGTGCTTGAGTGTTGAGTAGTGGGGACAGCAGTGTTGACGAGGGTGGGAGCAGCTGCACGAATGGTGGGAGCAGCAGCGGCGTTGACGACAACAGGTGCTGCATTGATGGTGGGAGCAGCGACAGTGTTGACGACAACGGGTGCTGCATTGATGGTGGGAGCAGCGACAGTGTTGCCGACGAGGGCGGGAGCAGTGTCAATGCTGTCAGTTGTCGATGTGTCACTCTGTGACTCACCACCCTCGTCATTTGTGTGGGTACTCTGTGACTCACCCACCCTCGTCATCTGCCGTGGGTTGTAAGGTTGAACGTTGAGTACGGAAATATTAAATGCTCACCAATTGTACCACAAACATAGCACGAGTGCTTGTGTGCACGAAAACGCATGCAGGGCAGTGGCCAAGCACAAGGTCATCCGTAAATTCGGGTAGACTGTGGTTAGCGTGCGCCTCGATTATGGCTAGAATAACCATTCAGCCCAGTGAGAATTAGCCAGAGGCTCGCACTCACCACGCTGGTCCCGCACAAGCTCTATGGCGCTTGCTAGTTCGGATAAAGTGAAAGTTTGTTCCTTGACGAGGCTGGGAAAAACTTTCATTTTGGACAAACGAGGTCAAACGGGGGTATCAGACAAACGAGGTCAAGCGGGGGTAATAGCAGTGATGTGATGTGAGATTGTTGAAATTCCAGCCACTTATAATAGCTTTTGTCGGGTAACTCCGTGCGATCAGCCCTTCTCATTGGATAATGCAAAAATAAGATTCAAAGTCCGTCCCAAATGGAGTATCAGTACACGCCTGCAACGCCAGTGCGGAGACTCATCTAAAAAAAACATAAGGTATGTGACATAGGTGATGAAATTCATTTTAGCCTAATGCCGCCGGTTCGTAGATGCCCGGTGTATCATGGATGACACGCGAACAGTCGGCTTGGCTGAAAACTAAGGTGGATGCATTCCGCCTCAGCCAGCTGCAGGGCGAAACAACTGTCTTCTTTGCGAATACATCCCGTGAATGGTTCGAGAACTGGCCTGAAGCTGCTGTGCATTTCAAAGACAGCGAGACTGGTGTTCCACTTACCAAATCCCAGTTATCAGAAGAGCAGACAGTTGAATTAGGATTACATCTCCAAAAACGTCGTTCCGTAAGTTGGCCACACACCTGTTGTATTACGGTTGCTTATACGTGTTACAGAAACTCCGTTCTTACTTCTACCGCAGCAACTCCGCCGCTGCGCAAGGACGAGTGACACAATTCACTAAAACGATTACGAAGCTCATGGGCTCCACCACTGCTCGCACTCGTGGGCCGTCTGCTGTGGAATATTTTATTCAAACCGAGTACAAGGACAACAACGCCGTCAAGGATGAGATCTCATCTAAGATAGCATCATGCACTCAACAAAATCGCATGGCCTTGCTTCGTACAGAAGCAACGAAGGCCATGACTGCGCGGGGACAAGAATATGTGCTGAAGATGGAGCGGGAGGCGAAAGCTGAATGTGAGCTACGTGTGCAGAAGGCCAAGGCTGAGATGGAGGCACTGTCTAATCCCAGTGACTCTGCAAAGTTGCAGTGCGTACATGTCTCTGAACATGTTGCAGCAATACTAACATTCCCACAGATGCATTGAAGGGCTGGGTGGATTGATCGGACAACTTCTACAGTCCATCCACGACACGACAGGTTGGAACGGGAGCGTGTACATTGGGGGACCAGACCCTCGTGTAGGTGGGGATCTTCGCGTTTACAGGTTAGTGTTTGTTTTTGTGCTCGGTTACCTTGATTTCATGTTGCTCTATAGTTTCCACCATGGGAAGGGTACTACCGGCCTCAACTTTCGTGATACACTGCCTGACCATCACGCACGAATCATCGAACCATTCACTACTTTTTTGAAGGGCGCTTTTGGTAAGTCGGTGTGGTCTTCTGGTTAGGTAATGCTGATGGCGTTTCTGTGTTTCTCCACAGCTGCTTCTGTCCAGGAGCGCATCCCAGACTCGTCTCCCTCGAGTATGGATACTATTGTGCCCCTTATGGACACCTCCGTCCCATACTCGTCTCCGTCAAGTATGGATACTATTGTGCCGTCTCCATCGAGTATTGATACTATCGTGCCCCTTATGGACACCACCGACTTCCTCGCTGCTCCGACTGCAACTCAAGAAGTGCCGCATGCCTCGGCCGATCAATTCTTCCCCATTAACCCCCCCATTAACCCTTTCTCATTTCATCCTATTGACGATTCACTCGATATGTCGGGCGAGTTCTCATTCGATCCCATTCCCGACGATTCACTCAATCTCATTCCCGGCAATTCTTTCGATCTGTCAAACGAGGCCCTTGACAACTTCCTGGCGGATTCACAATCATACCTACTCCAATCTACTGCAGATGGGACCGAGGGTCCCCAACTTATCTTACCTCCATTTCCGTCTGCTGACAATTCACAACCATCTCAGTCTATACTTTCACCCCCGCGCTTCCGCAGTGCTTTAGCTCGTATCAAGTCGAAGAGCCCCTCTGGTAACTATAAGAAGGTACCTCGGCCCCGTCCATTCAGAGGAGGAACTGGACCTTCCCATGGTCTATATCGTGATTCCCCTCCCCCTTCTGTCCCTCCTGCGGCGCCGGCGACTCACCTTCGTGATTCCCCTCCCCCTTCTGTGCCTCCTGCGGCGCCAGCGACTCACCATCGTGATTCCCCTCCCCCAGTGCCGGCGACTCACCATCGTGATTCCCCTTCTGTGCCTCCTGCGGCACCAGCGACTCACCCAAGTTCATTACCGCCTGCTGAGACTCCTCCGCGGGCCACCACAGCTGCACCAAGTAGCCAGCTACCTGCTGACAACGAGCCCATGGAGAATTTGCAGCCTCTAGATGATATCGTCAATAACCAAGTGCGCCGTAGCAGCCGAGTTCATGTTCCATCCACTCGCACAACAGAAGCTAATAATATTGGTGCTGACGGTATGGGAAGAAAGCCACGAAAGTAAGTTTAACAATTTTTTTCACTTCCGTTTTGAACTTTAGTTCTAGGTCACGCAAATTGGTTCACTGAGGATGTTGTGTTCTTGCCATAATGTTTGCTGTATATCGTATATTGTTCTTGTCGTATTACATGTATTCGCCGTCTTTACTCAAAATACACTATTTTTTGACACAATGATCTTCGTCGAACACAGGAAAATTGAGCGTCTCGTTAGCAAACCCCAATCATGTCTCATGTCAATTTTTTCAATACCATGTAGTCAACATTTCAGCATCGTGTCACAAGCTTAGGTACCGCAGTAAACAGTTTATATGTCTCATACTTATTATGCAGGGACTTAGTCGAAATTCATCGTGAACTCGTCACGTGGCTTGCAGGGACTTAGTCAAAATTCATCGTGAACTTGTGACGTGGCTTGCAGGGACTTAGTCAAATTCATCGTGAACTTGTCACGTGGCTTGAAGGGACGGTCAAAAATTCATCACGAAGTTGTCACGTGGCTCTGAGGGGCTGGGCCAGGATCTGTCAGGAACAAGTTGGCAAGAACCGGTAAGAACGGAAGGGTCCGGAAGGGTGCGAGATTTAAGGGGGTGGAGATTATAGGCTGGAACTGATGTATTAATATAGCCAGCAAGAACCAAGAAGGAGGGGTGACATATTTATAGGTGGAGAAGCAGTACGAATCGAGGGAAACTGATGCAGACAACCTATTTTTAGTCGAGGGATTAATATAGCCAGCAAGAATAGATGGGAGTACCCAAATTGGGAATGAGGATCAGCCAGAGAAGTTCAACATTGTGTCCGAGTGCTAGTATCAATACAAAGAAGCCTGTATGCATACTTTGCTGGGACTGAGAGTCCTAGGCCAGTATGCATACATAGTCTTCTACAGTGCCCAGACTTGTATTAATCAATCTTACACTATGGCCTCGCGGTCGACGAGGGCTGAAATCCTCGAAGAATTTGATATTGACCCACAACTCCTTTCTATGCCGGAGGCACCTGTATTTGAGTCTTCACCTCATATTCCAGCCCTTGTCACGCCACTGCCTCACGCTCCTCATCCTGCTACTGCCAATGTCAGTGACGCCACTTCTGCCAGTTCAGCCATCGTTGGAACCGATACTCAGCCACACGCAACGAAGAAGCGCAAGGCAGATGACACCATTGTCATCTCCGACAGCGAACCCGACGATTCTGGCCAACCAAAGGGAAGTATGGCATGCAAGCTGCCGCCCCGCAAAATCATGCGGCATTTGACATCTCCGAGTCAGGTAAGTTCTCTGCCGCTTACTTCACTTACCTCGTATATTCACATATTCCCCTCTCCAATTCATCATCACATGAAAACCGCTTCCTTTCTTTACTGACCCGCATTGCAGGGGATTCCATCAGCCACATTGGACTGCTACCTCAAGCCCAGGAGCAGGTTGCCATACTGCAAAGCTCCTCTCTCGCGGCCGCTGACGGCCATCAGCACCGGCACTCCCAGCCAACCTCAACCCAAGGTCACATCCAACTCCACTCCACAGATTGCAGTGAGCAGCCCTGCCGCAAGCGATCTCGCACCCATTGCAGTGACAAGCCCTGCCGCAAACAATCTCACACCCATCCCGAGGCCTCCGGGGATGACACGTTCTCAGCATTTCTTCACGATCGCATCAAGAATTGACGCCCGCGCCATGCAAATCTCTGGCAACATCGAGTTTCATTTGTTTATGGACATGAGGGCCGAGTTTTCGTGGATCTCTTTCAAGATGACGCCAAAACAGTGGGCTGTAGCTACCGAGTCCTATAACTACCGTCTCGAGGAGAAGAACCGCGCTAATGGGTTTGAAACAGTGAGGAAGAACCCCCAGGCCCTTCTCCGAAAGCTCGGCGAGATTGAAGTGGCTGTCATGAACCGTGTGGCAAAGAACAACTTCAAGTGTGAGTTCAGCTGCTCTCTGGCGTTTTTTCACGCACTAACTACTTGCTCCAATTCACAATACAGCTCATTCCGGCTCAGAAACGTTCTGGAGAAGGCACTGTCACGCTATCGAGCTCATCAAGGCTGAGCCTGGGAAGAAGGTGCGCAAGTCTTTCTCAAAAATTTCGTGTTCGCTCACTCTCTACCCTTTGCTTTCCCAGATCCGCAAGGCACACACATGCTCCCGCTGCAAGACAATCATGTACCCCGGTCCCGAGAACTCAGGGTACAACCACAGACGGGGCTTTTGTGCCGACGGCGCCAAGCAGGTGTCGAAAAATGAGCCGCCTCCACCCTGGCCACAGCCACCAGGCATATTCTCTGAAGGCAAGCGCTTCCATCCGCGTGCCTTCCTCGAAATCGTCAAGCAAATATACGAGCAAGTATTCCTCCGGCCATCTGGTGAAAGCCCTGCACTCGAGCAGGAGGCATTTGCAATGATGCTGCTCGACCGGTCGACAACACTCGAAGAGTCAGGGACTGTGCTGTTCAAGCTGTATGAGGAGCTCGAGATTGACGAATCGACGCCAGACGCACTGCTGATTGTGCACAATGGTGTCAAGCACCTTCGCGTCGAGTATCTCCAGGAGCATTGGGCCTCGTAGTAATTCCGATCTTTCAATTCAGGTGCTCTTGTGCTTGTCTTTTTAAGTACCTCACAGTTTCCTTTCCCCCTCGCTACTAATGGTTCAGATTTTGTATATATTTACATTATCACGCTTCTATCAAGCCCCGCCCTTGCTTCGCATCATTCTCCTTCCCCCCCTTCCGCACGTTAGTCTCGTTCTTCCGTCCCTCTGTTTTTTCAACTTATATCACGTGACTTACGATTGGTCTCGCAATGGTCGTTCACGTGCACGACCATTTTGGCGTCACGTGAGACCAAAAATGGTCCACCCCTTCGCATGTCGATGTTGCCAGGTGGCCTCTGCCACATGTTCGTAGTCCTGCCTGCGAAATTTCGAAACGAAGTAAGTGACTTAGCTACTCATAATTACTTACCGGTATACCAGCGAACTACCGTCAAAGAAACCAAGAATGCAGAGGGTCGAAGAGGAGATCATTGCTGACCTATATATGCAAGGTCTGAAATAGTGGGAGGGTCTGTGTCCCGTAACTTTACCTTACATTTACCGTACACGGCTAGGACCTTTACGGCTCCCACACCATCTTTTGCCTTCGATGCTCTTGAGTCCGAAAAATTCAACGCTCAGCTCTTTTGCATGCCATGATGGCGTTCAATGCTCAAGTTCGTTGTCTTAAAATGGGATCAGGAGACGTCGAATCGATAATAGACAATGATAAAGTCATTTACAGGGTTACAAACACTGAATCGATATCCAAATCGCTGGCACCATGAAGCGCATCTACCACTGTGAGGTGAGTGTACCTAATACTAATCGGTTGCGTATGCATCGTAAATATCCTCGCGAGAACGTGCATAATATGTGTCCTCCCCGCCGTCGCATGGGGTGCTCGGGCGGTGTGTGGATTGCATATTTACCTGAAGTGAAGTTGATTTGTTGGCGTTGATTATCATGAGCGTGTCGTTGCCAGCGACTCGCGCTGGCGCGTTATTGTGGTCGAAGGTGAGTGCAATTCTTGGTATTGTTATTTGTTTCATCCAGATAAGTTCCACAGCTGACATCGCTGTGGGTGAGCGTCAAAAAATTACCATATCCTCCGCACACTGTATGGGAAAGTGGCGCAGGTGTTTGAATTCAGCTTATATATCCCAATAATAGCTTTATCGCTCCCATGATACAGCGAATGTCTGTGGGTGAGTCTAATGACCCTACCCTGACTGCATACTGACTCCCCGCTAGGATTGCAAGCTGTCGAATTTCTCTGCTGAGTGTGGGTCCACAAATCGGACCAGCTAGTGTCGATTCTGCATTCTCACATCTACCCAAATATCTGATGGTTCAGCCATCTTCGTACTCAGATCGATTGCAGTATGGGCTCGGAAGAGATGGCTAGTGGCGCTCCAAATCAGCAGTGTCATTGTGAGATCAATCTTTCAGACAACGATGTCTGACTCATCATCTGCTTCCAACATTAATACTCGTCAGTGTCTGGTGTGTAGACCTCGGATTGGCCCGCTCAGCCGTTAACGTGTTAACTCTGTTTTCTCCACAGTCGGAGAATGCGGGATCCCGTTTTTGCCATATACTGCTTGCTAAATGTTGCCGAATTATGTTCATATTGGGATCTGCTACTTGCACGAGCTTGAAATTTGCTGTGGAAGAAACGGAACAGTGCCATAATGCTCTCATTGTTAACGTGGCCATCTCGTCCCCTACGAGAGCCGGCGCCGGCTGTATTGCGTTCCCGGTCCCGTTTATAGATGACGACCCGTTTGCGAGATGAACTGGGTTCTTCGACTCGGAGCACAGAACTAAGACCATATACTGCACAGCCTGCACTGGTCTTCCATATTCCATATCTTATAAGGAATGGCCTCAAGTGAAGTTGATTCGTTGGGCATAAATCGATATGAGTGCTTTTCGAGCGATTCGTTTTCGGGTATCTAGATACGGAAACGAGCTCCAAGGTATATGTGATTTACGGCTTGCTGGTAGTTGCTGAGCTAGGTTCGTATTGGGAAATGCTGCTAACACGAGCTTGCACTTACTGCATGCCGACAATTCCAGAAATATTGTTGATGCTGTTGTATCGCGCCGTCAAGGGTCATGGTGGTTGGGGGAATGACAACAGTCTCATCCGTGGTCTCATGCTGCACAACCTGCTGTATTGCGGCTGCAGTTTTGGTTGGTACTCGCATATGAAACAAACATCACTTGCATATTTACTTACTGTGTGTTACAGCCTTTTCTCTCTGTCTCATTCTCACAACAATTTTTCTTCCGGTAAGTTAATGTGTACGTGCGAAGCCCCCATTAACACAAGACGTAGTTCCCACTTGCACATATGATTGCAGAGTTTGTCTATTCTCTCTTTGTGAGGAGGTGATGCTTGCTTATTTGGCTGCAGGTTTCAGGTCGTTGTGCAAGCCGTCTTGGTCACGCGAATGCACAGGAACTTCTGGATATCGGACCGTCCGTCGCGCAGTATCTACACGGATGTTTCCCTCACAACGTGGATGACGGGAGTCCCAGATAATTGTATGACAGTGCGCTTCCTTCACCGACTCATCATGATCATGCAGCTGACACTTGATTGATCAAGAGACAATGCTTGGAGTATGACGACCCGTAAATTATGTGACCATCACACAAACTCTCATACAGGCGAGGCCAAAAAATGGACGATAGAACTTCTCCGGAAAGCAATCCCTCAATCACAGTAGAAGGAATAGTATACCTTCCCCCCCTTGAATCTTCTACGATAACGGACGTGGTTCTTGGTCTCTCTCGCTGTATATGATGCAATACAAGCACAGGACTCATGCAGTAGTATGATATAGTATGTAGATTCCACTGGGGCGCCACCCCCGGTCATCCGGTTCTGTTGAATTTCTTGAATTGGACCTCGAACAAAAGAACAATATTCCCATGCCATGTTGGTTACGATGCAGTAGATGAACGAGCAGCTCCCCAGTAGACGAAGAATGCCCTCATAAGATTGCAATAAGAACATCCCCCTTTGGCAAAGGCGGAAGCCTTGGTTGAAGACCGGGACTCCAATGACTACGGTTAAATGATACTAGTGACGACAATCGGTGCATTTCAGAACGAAAGACTCAAACGGCCCCGGGCAGTCACGTAGTGCAATGTCACCTATTCGAAATCGGTGAGAACGTTGTTGAACGTTGAATGCGCCTTGTAACAATATTAATGTTCTGCTTTCATTGGAGACTGCCCCAAAAAGATCCGACCTGCCTGGCTCGAACAGGCGACCTCAAGATGAATTTATCCAATTACAGTCTCGCGCTCTTCCAACTGAGCTAAGGTCGGTTACGTTGAGGTAGACTTCCGTTGACCTAAGAGCCGTCGTATGCGAACAGTGCATTGACAAGAAGTGAAGATTAGTCGGTATACAAGAGGTCTATGTCAGTACGAGAATCCGCTTGAAAGTAAATAAGAATATGCAGTCATCGCTTGTCGTTAAGGGTCATGCATGGTAGAAGGTAAAATAGAGGACGATAACGAAAATGATAAAAACGATGATTAGTTTCAAAAACTCAGATGCATATGGCGCTGGAGGCTGTCTTTCACATGATCGTGCACCAACGAGACTTCTTTTCCTTGTCTTCCTCGACAGCGGAGGGGAGGGCGGTGGTTGGAGAAGTGGTTGGAGCAGTGGTTGGAGTGTTTTCGACTGAGGACTTGTGAATGAATTCTCCAGCTGCAACGTCGAGCGATGTGCGACCCTCTTCAGGAACTTTGGGCGAAGAGGAGAACCATCCACCAGGGAAGAAACGAGAAGAGGTCGTGGACTCCAGTCTATTGCGGTTGGCTCCATTGGTGGGGATGTCGATGCGGAGGGTGCTGGATTCAGTGACCTCGGCGGTGTTGAGCTCGTTGATTGCAGATAAACTTCGCCTGAACGCATGGAGTCAGGAATAAAGAAGGAAGCGAGGGAAAGATGGACTGACTTCTTGGCGACTTTCTGTAGCTCTTCGAGAACAGGGAATGTTTGAGGGGTTTCTCGAGCGATTGGAGCTCCATTGACCTCAACGTCGCCATGTGTCTCGGAGAGCTCTGAAACAGTAACGGCACCCTCGTGCTCGGACGGAACCTCTGCCACCACAGGCTCGTCTACAGATGCTCGCGTCTCGGTGATGAGGACAGGGGGGATGGGCTCCTCATCTGCTTCAAGTGCAGGAACGCTAGAGACTGGACCAGGCAGATATTCCAATTCATCGAGCTCCTCCACTTCTTCAACATCCTCATTCGGCCCCTGCTTGGTGACAGAGTACGAAGGGGTCCACGGCGACTTCGGTCTTTCTCCAACCGGGTCATCGACGGGTGTCAGAAGCCCCGAGTCCGATTTGACCTGAGCATCTTCTACCAAATCCTACGGAATTCTGAGCAAATGCAAAGTTCGATATCAAATACAAACTTACAGATGATTGGGTCTCAATGATAAATGAACCATGTTCAACAAACTCGTCTTCCTCAGCGACTGCTTGATCCTCAAGCGCAGATGCTGATTCAACTGCAGATACTGAGTAGGACGGCGTCCAGGGAGAACTACTGCGCTCTTCGTCAGGGTCGATAGTACCCAATTGCTGTTGAAAGTACTTAGCATGACTGATTTCAGGATAAAAAGCAGTCACCTACCAAACTCTCGTCCTCGACGATGAATGACCCAAGTTCAATTTCCTCCTCGAACACTTCCTCCACAGGAGCTGGCTCGGGTGAATTCAGTACCGAAGGTTCTGCTTGAGCGACACCTAGCCCCGAAGCGACATCCTGGGCAGCCTCTGCTTCGACAGCTGAATCAGGAACATCTGACTCCACAGACTCGTCTAACGTTTCCGAAAGCGTAGCATGCGCGTCTGCAACAACTGTAGTAGAACTGAACGCCTCGCTAGAAATGAGAGCCTCTTCTGTAAACGGAACAGGTTGCTCTTCAGCTCCCTCCGCTGCAACAGACTGGGCGGCACTCGGAGGAAGCTGTTCCAAGTCATCAAGTCCCTCATTGGTCTGAGCAACATTGCCTTGTACGGTCACCGAGTAAGAAGACGTCCAAGGTGATTTAGGGTGAGGCTCTTCCGGATCGCCGAGCGTAACCTATCCTCAGGTCAAGCTCAAAGCAAAAAGGCAACGGACAGGAAATCATACCTCTTCCTCTGCCAATTGTACGGTCACAACATCAACTTGGGACTGTCCGAACACTTCCATATCAGCTGCAATCTCTGGAACAACCGCGGCTACTTCATCAACAATGATCGTAGGTGTTTGTGCCTGGGCAGGGACAGCATCATCATCGCCTTCGTAGGTGCTCACATGCTCCTCAACTGAAACGCCTGGTCCTTGAGTGATAACGCTGTACGAAGGAGTCCATGGTGACTTGGGGCGTTCAATGTCGATAACAACGTCAAGTGCTGAGGTTGTTGTAATCTAAAACATGACTAAGAAAATGCGGGTAGTGACAACGGATCGTACACACCTCTTGCTGTTCAGCGATCTCTTCGAATGCGGTAGTTTCAGATTGTTCGACTGCTTCGGTCTCTTCAATCACGCTAGAGGTCTCCACATGTACATTTGAAGGTTCCAAGTCCTTATCGACTTCAGAATGCTCCCCATTGACATGAACTTGAGAGGTGACCACATGCGGCTCCTCTAAAATCTCGGGCTCCTCTGCGGGTACGGATGCAAACTCCTCGACGATAGGAGCCGTATGCAGAGACTCCTCCATGAGAGGTTCATCTGCATGTTGCGAATCCTCGAGTCCGTCCTTGGTCTCTTCGCTGATAACCAAGGCTTCTTCTGTGGGCTCCAGGGCAGTGTGGGCCTCTTCGAGGACAACTTCTTCGACAACTGACACTTCACTTGCAGCGGGAGCGGGTTCCTCGAGGACAACTTCTTCGACAACTGACACTTCACTTGCAGCGGGAGCGGGTTCCTCGAGGACAACTTCTTCGACAACTGACACTTCACTGGCAGCGGGAGCGGGTTCTTCGACGACGGGCAGTTCAGCTACAGGAGCGTCAGACTCGACAGTTGACTCCTCTGTGACGATCGTAGTTCCCTCAGGAGATAAGGCAGCGTAAAGGGTTGGGTCTGCGGAAGCTGGTTCGGAAACTGGGGTGGTCCCCTCCGATTTCGAGGCGATTTCTTCGGGCGCAGGAGCAACCTCCACTGCTGGCAGCGGTACTTCCACAGCACAGGCGGTAGCAGGCTCTTCTTCAGGAGCATAAGGTTCTTCGGTGGTTGGACTGTCATCAAGAGCAGGCTCGTCAGCAGCCGAGAGCACTTCTGCAATGGGGAGTACCTCGCCCATAGCGGGAGGGATTCGATCATGAACAGAGACAGATTCCTCTTCGGTTACGGGAGTTTCCTCAAAGGCGACAGGCTGATCGTCGGGCACCACAGTAACCTCGATTACGACTGGTTCATGCCCTCCTGTTGGTGCTGGCGCCTCCTCAGGCACAACTGGTACGGGCTCTTCTACATCTGATGGCTCGAGAGACTCCTCGGCAACAAGGATATCCTCTTCAACCGATGCCGCGACTGCCGCTTCACAGACAGTTTCATCGAGCACAACGACAGTGACAGGCTCTTCTTCCGTTGCGGGAGGTTCTTCCGCGGCTAAAGGTGCCTCAAGATCAGGTCCGTCAGCATCGGAGCGCACTTCTGCAACGAGAGGCGTCTCATCCGTAGTGGGAGGAATTTGATCATCAACGGAGACAGGTTCCACTACATCTTTGAGAGTCTCTTCGATGGGCACAGTCTGGTCTTCGGGCACCAGAGTGTCCTGGGCCGCAACAGGCTCGTGCTTTTCTACTAACGCGGAGGGCTCCTTAACCGGTACCGATTCAGGCACTTCTACTTCTGCGGGCGCGGGGCTTTCCTCAACAGCAAGGTGATCTTCTCCAACTGGTGCCTCAACATGGGGAATGAATGTTTCGTCGACGGTTGAAGGGTCTCCCGCGACTGAGGTTTCTTCAATTGCTGCAGCGGCTTTCTCAGTGAAACCATCTTCATGTGCAACAAGAAGTTCCTCGGTGGATACGGTAGGTTCTTCTTCAGGGGATGGGACCTCGACAGCAAGAAGAGGTTCGGCATCAGCTGCATCGACAGAAGGCATGGTCTCTTCCAATACTGGAGCATCATCAACGGGGCCTCCAAGCTCATCCGCATCGGCGGCGGGCTCGACGGTAGGCTCGACTTTGTCAACGGTAGCTTCTTCGACTGGCGGTGATGATTCGATTGGAGCAGCTGACTCGATAGGAACTATAGAGATCTCTTCGACTGGTGCATGTTCTTCGACTGCCACAACATCGGCGGGGACGACCTGTTCACCAGGTAAAGTTTCCTCAACCAGGATAGTCTCCTCGGCCATCACAGTCTCTTCAGCCGGGAATTCCTCAACCGTTACAACGTCCTCGACCGCTGCGACTTCCTCGACTGACGCAGGCTCTCCTGTAGGAGTAACAGCATCGACTAGAGTGATCTCTTCGACTGCAGGAATCTCCTCAACCGGTGCGAGTTCGTCTGTAGGAGTAACAACGTCGATTGGGCCGACCTCATCACCAAGAATAGATTCTTCAACCGGGATGGTCTCTTCAACTGGGACAGTCGCTTCAACCGATGCGGGCTCTTCAGCCGGAAATTCCTCGACCGTTACAACCTCCTCAACCGCTACATCTTCCTCAACCACTGCAACTTCCTCGACTGAGGCAGGCTCTCCTGTTGGAGTAACAACATCAACTGGCGTGACGTCTTCCACAACCGCTTCGACGGCGGGCTCTTCAACCTGCGCCTCAGACTCCACATCAGTGGAGTCCAAAGCTGGCTCCTCAAGCACAGGAGTCTTTTCAGCTAGAGGCGTCTGCGGCTCGTCAGCGTGCGTAAAGCCCACCTCGGGATCCTCAACGAATGACGCATTGGAGCTGGGTGGCTCGACATCGATCTCGACAGTCTCCACCACCTTAGATTCGACTTCGGGTTCTGTAGGCTCTGGATTGACTGCTGTAGGCGCTTCTAGTTCGACAGCGGCAGGTTCCGGTTCTGCTACTGCTACGAGATCCATCTCAGTGGCAACGGCGGGCTCGGGATCAGGGACGGTGACCGGTTCCGGGTCAGCTGCAATGGAGTCGTGTGCGGCAACGACGAGTTCGACAGGGGGCTCAGGTTCTGCATTTGCCATGATGGCTTCCTCTGGTTCAGTTGACACTACAGCTGGCTCTGTAGCAACCTGAGCTGGAGCCAACACAACCTCGGCAACAAATGATTCCACTTCCGGTTCGGCGGGAGCAGCTGGCTCGCCCTCAGTTTCAATAGCACCCTGCGGCTCCTCATTACCCTCCACTTCTGCTGTGATACCTACATCAACATCTGCAGCAGGTTCCTCCGCCTCTGCACCTGATGTCTCGACTGGTGTAGCAGTGGCTAATGCTTCTGCCGCCGGCGCAGGTTCTTCAGCCGGTTCCGACTCAGCAGCTTCTGTGATGGGCTCCACGGTGATTGGAATATCTTTGACCCGTTCCGACTCGGCAGCGTCTGTGGTGGGCTCCATTGTTGTCGTAGGTTCTGCGTCAGGCTCAGAGGCCGGAGTCTCCTCTACGACGACCTCGGGTAATGTTGATTCGATTGGTGCAGCTTCAAACGTCGTTGGCATAATCTCAGGCTCGGCTGTAGAAGATTGGCTTTCAACCGGCACGGGTTCTGCTTCGACTTGCACAGATTCCTGTTCGACCAGTATGTTTTCGCCTTCAGAAGCGGTCTCTGCTACAGCTTCAATGGACGCTGGAGCCACGGTCTCGGTGACTACAGGTTCTGTCCCGACGGACGAAACCTTCACTTCCGTTGGGCTTGCTTCGGCTTCAATCAACTCCTTTACAACAGCTGGTTCATGTTCCGCGGCCATGATAGTTAATTCCTACAATGTCAACAAGATGAGGGAGAAAATACTTAATAGCAACACAACAACTCACCTCTGTGTCAACAGCGGGTGGGAGAACAATTCCTTCCAGGATGTCAGCAGTTGGGCTTATTTCAGTACTCGGATCAGAGATGGGCGTCTCGTCCTGACAGTGAGAAGGCTCTGCGTCAGTAGTGCTCCCGACGCCGTTTATGGAAGTCGCAATAGCGTCTGATAGGGACGTGTCAGGGCCGGTGCTAGCATCGATAGGAGGCTCTCCATCAGCTAAAGAGGCTTTAGAAGCATCCACAACGATTGTGGCAACGTCGACAAAGGGTATTTTCGGCTCAGTGTTGTCAGTCATTGGCAATTCGTCCTGTAACTGATTGTCAGACAATGGACGCGTCAAAAGCATGTTTTTGTGTTTGCACACCTTGGGTATCTCTGAAATGATGGTATTGGAAACTACATTCGCGTCCTCTTGGACGAGCTCTGCGACACTCGCAGGCTTGTCGCATGGGGCGATTGTGAGAGTTGTAAGCTGCTCGGACCCGTCAACGGAAAGATACTTGTGATGGCCATTGAGGAGAGGCTCAGAGTCATGGATAAGAGTGGTGTTGTCCTTATCAGAGTCACTGGCGTGCAGAACTGGTGCCTCTGGTTCCATATCATCGACCAACTTGCTCTGCATACAACTCAGTCACAAAAGAACTACAACACGGCAAAGAGTGGCACGCACCACGTTAAGAACCTCAGCAGATGTCTCCGCCGCGAGGGTGTCGTCAGAGGAAGCAGTTACCATGCTATCATCGTTCTTGTCACCGGCTCCGGGTATGTCTTCAGCGCCTAGTGCAGACTCTGGCACATCACTTGAGGCAGCCTCGATGAGCCCCCCGTCAGCCACCAACTTGCCGGATACCTCGAAAGAACTAGCACTATCGTGTACCTGGTGGCCATTAGAAATCGGCTGGTCAGCAACGACAGCGTTGTCGTCCATAACAGACATGTTCTCGAATAATGATAGTAGGGAACGTGCTAATGGGAGTGAGAGGGAAGATGAAATATTCGTTCCTTTGAACGAACCCGACAAGTCGCAGCTGCAAAAAATGCAAGCGACGTGCGCAAAGAAAGTCAACAGAAATCCGCTTCAAAGTCTACGCGACTGGTCACGTGCTCCCATTCATCTTCCGAGTTTGCTCCGGGAGTCCGAGTCAACCTCCACAATCAACGTGGTCAAATGAAACACCTTCACAGTGATTTCTCAGTGATCTTTTCACACCAGGGAATAGGGTTCAGTTACAAATGAATGATGCTCTTCTATAATGCACAAAGGAGCACAATGTGGGCCAACAAAAACATGTTACTAAAATATGGATAATACGGAACGGAGCAAAGACAGGTTGATAAGTATCAAATTAAACAGTCCGTCACACATCATGATCGTGGCACACCAACATGCTTAGAAGAGAGCAGCACCAACGAGTCCCATCACACCGGCAACACCCATTGCTGAAGAGACAGAAAGGCTACTGGCAGCACCGGTCTTTTGGGTCGTACCAGAAGTTGCAGTGGTAGTGGCAGAAGTTTTGGCACTGGAAGAGGTGGCACCAGACGCAGATGATCTAAGCGCGCAGATAACTTAGTAGTCTGCCAAGGCACACGCAACAAATTACAACTTACCCGGTCGCGGTAGAGGCGACAGCGGAACCACTCGACGCGCCACCTTCGTTTACTGCCGTGTTGACGCAGCTAGTGTCGCTGCCAGCCATGATAGTGACGATGTCAGAGTATGCCGTGGCACCGGTACTGTCCTTGAGAGCGATGTTGCTGCATCCCAGTCAGCTGCGCGGTTCGAAAAAGACCACGTAGTTTGACTCACAAGATGGTGTTAGCTTGAAGATCAACGTTCCAAGTGTAGGATGTGCCCGTTTGCGTAGCGAAGGATTTGATCTGTTCAAAAATGTGTCAGGATGGCCAGTTAGCGTCAGTGTAGAAACAACTGCTTACCGGTGAAGCCATCGACTGCCCACCTACCAAGCGAGTTGAGACTCAACCAAACGATGCCTAGTCAATCGCACGAGACGACGTACCTGGAACAAGAGTCAAGTAGTAGGGAGCAACTCCGCCAGACCAACTGAACAAAATGGGCTCTAGAGCACACGGGCAGTGTTAGAGCGTGAATTCATTGATACCAAAGTACATACGGCACTCGACAACATTGGCCCTATACCAAACGATGAATATTCTCTTCCGTGAGACAGGATCTAAGACATAAAACGTACGGTGTGTTGATGGTAAGACCAAAGACGGCTGGAACGGCGGAAACGAGAGCTACGAAAACGGTTGTGAACTTCATGGTCGGTAAAGGTATGAATGAGTGCGGCGCAAACAGCGGGTCAGGTATTCTTGTCTGGAACTTCGAGAAAATAAAAAGTACGAGAGAGAAATGAAGTACTTGTGTCACGACGGCACTCTTAAGGCCTGTCGGAGTTTGAAGTCCATTGCCCTGCCGAGACCACGGCAGAGTCGTTTTGCACCTCCGCGAACTATCGCCTGCTTCGATCTGTTCGCCAACGAACTGGCAGACACTGAATTTTGAAACGAACTGAAACGGTGCTGACAGCAAACTGCATTTGAATACAACGAAATTCTTGAGGCTATCGTTCTACAGAGTCTACAAGGCGTTTGTGTGAGACTTTGTGGAGCAACCAACTGGCAACTGCAACGATCGTCACGCGTTAACTTTAAAAATATGTGAGACCATAATAGAATGATTATACTTCGAAATTCGAGCTTCCAGGACTGCCGTCATAGTATTTTTATTTTTGGGGCAAAGACAATCTTCGTGATGTAATATCGTAAGAGCATGCAAGTGACAACATGTTCCACAATCACCTTGGAGCTAGCATGCGCGCATTGTTCATCATCATAAACCAATCCAACTACTTCGTCCTCCAGGATTGTGCAGCGAAGTCTGCCCAATTTTAATGACGCCCGCGGTGCACCTCGGTGATTCTTCTCCACTCTTGCGCAACTCAGAACGCTCCAAAGATGGAAATGCATCGATAGCGTCGATCACAGGGCTCGGCACCGCAACATGAGTCGAGGTAGAAGCGAAGAAAGACGCATCTCCTGACCCATCCTCAGAGTGCTCAGGCGACGATGGAGTGTTAAACACGGGCAAGAACGACTCGGCGTACCACTCGTACCATACCTGCCGCTCATTCGTAAGTCGCCAAATTGATACATGCAACTCTGAGTTGCTAGGTAAGTACAAAGGTTCCTGAGCGAACAAAGGTCGATAAGAGCCACCAGAGATGTCATTGACGATACCTACTTTGAATGGGAAGAAGAGCGGGAACCAGCTCAGCATGTCTTTTGACACCCGGTCTTTGCTATGCGGATGAATGCTGAGGCCAATATGCCCATAAAGGATGGCCTCGAAATAACCAGCAAGCCCATGCATAACCCCGGCATGAGGAATATGGAACGACAGCTTGGCGGAGCGGACATTGTGACTGTTTGTCAAGGGTAAGCCTAGACACTCGGCGTAATTAGCGTCTGTCTGGCCCGAAAGTCCGCCACTCAGGTTTACCTCGTTCATCAACGGTCGCATCTTTTCGCGGATGCTCGAATTCCCAGCACTGTTGAATCTTGCGCCCGCAGCGGCCTGATACTCCTCCACCATCTCCACTTAGGATGTTGACGTTTTGGAACATCACTACATATGGCGTTTCCATGCCTTTGATGTCTCTACTGATTCTCGCGTTATTGTATAATTTTGATGAAGACAGTGGTGCGAGATGAGCGCTGTACGATGATGGTATGGAGATACCATCAGCTGGAGGATAGTTAGCGAATGTGGTGATGGGCATAAACGATCCACACGTTTCAAAAACCTCATTGCTCCGTCCAGACACTCCGGACTTAGCTCGTTATCACCGAAAGAGCCGAGTAGCTCAGTGATGAGTATGTCCACTTGCTCAGGGAGCTCTACGTGCCGCATGTCGCCAAAGAACAGCTGAACAGAGTCACCCCATTCATTCTGTTTCCGGCCCTGAAGCCTGTTTACAGTCAGACGTCAATGTGAAGATGATGAGAGCCAAACAGACGTCACAAAAGCATTTGGGTTCTTCTCAACTGCGTACACGAAGGCACTTCTTCCCGATCTCTTGATCGCCGTCAAACTTCGTTCGACAAGTGGTCCACGGCCTGCCCCAGCAACGCAAATCACGCTGCGAAGAAGGGTTAAGCCTTGCAATGCATGCCAAATATGAGGCGCACATGTGATCGCTATCAGGCCAGTCCATCAACGCGTGATACACGGCCTACAAATTTCACGTGTCACTGTACAAATTCGCTTCATAACAAACCAAACGCACTTCTTCATAATTGCGGTATTTCACAGGGTCCTGTTCGAATGTTTGATACGTAATACTCTGGAGGTTGTCCATCAGCGGCTAGGCAGACATCAGTACGATAGTAAGCGGAAATGAGATGCATATATCAACCTGTAGGGGGTTCTGGAGGTAGTCTTGATAACCCTGAGCGAAGTGCTCAACTGTCCCTGCCGTTATCGCTGCCTGAACAGCCGTGCTTGTCTTCTCGACATGTCGCACATATTGTGCATATGCTGATTCGCCACCTTTGGTATGTAATCCCGAATTAACCCCTGACATGATGATGATAGGGCGATGCTAGCCGAATCTTGTTGCATCATCTGCCCAATAGTAGAACTACAACGCAAACTCACCGCCATGCTATTGCGTAGAAAGGATTGTGTACCCTTAGGAAGGACAGGGTATCCCTTCACATTCGCTATAAACGTGGACGCAGGGAGGAATATGTGGTGAACAGGCTCAGCCATCCATCTGTTAAGGATGCCGGCATTAGAAGGCAATGGCGGGGTGAGATCGAGCGCTAGGATTCAGCTTGTCAAGTTCTGTGTCCAAAACGTAATGTGTATGCATACTGAGCGTTAACCGTGTGTTATAGTCACAGAGTGTGCGTATTATGTCCCACATCTCCCAAGTTGCATTTATCTCTCCTTCGGGGGCCCGGGAGGCCTTGAAGGATTTTGACGTAGAAGCGCGCGGTATCACAATTTTCGGTGTTGTGGGTGCAGATGGGGTCGACGATGTGCTCAGTGTCGAAAGAGGAATGGGAGGTGATTCCTTCGGTTGAAAAGCAGCGGGATCGTAGATGGGAAGACGTATTGAGAAGTTCATGTAAGTCGTACTTTTGAGACACTCATTTATGGCGCGCGCATATGATGCGACTTGTGATCGATGCCTAGGTGGAGGCAAGATGACTGTCTGAACGTTCAGGTATGACGCATAGGCCACTTCCTGGCGCAATGCCTAGGTTCACGTTAGTGCAGAACAATCAGCTACTCCGCAGCGCTCGTAATCAGAACTCACAATTTCGGAATCATGTCGAACCCAATCATCTGTTGAGTCAAGTTGAAGCCAGTCTGATGCCATAACAAGTACAGGTACCGCTTCATCTGGTATAACCAGTTTCAGGTTACTTGATTGAGGACATGATTCACTGATCTCACCAAGTCTTGAGATGGTCACCTCCTCGTGGAGGAAAGACGGCGCCTTCCTCCATGCCTCTGCCTGCTGTTCTGCAGTAGCATTTTCATCAGTGTCATCTGCGCTCGCTGATGGCACGATGCACATATTTCTCCATCGCTCTCTCCATTTTGGGGTAGTTAAAGGAAGACAAACAAAGTCGTAACCCTTTGCGTGACTTTCCCTGATTAAATTGAGCACAGGTGTCTTATCAGATCCATCGGTGCGTGCAGATGCCTGTGAAATGTCATCAAAGGTGAAACAAGAAGCCAAGCTTGCAGCGTTTGCCATGATCTTGGAAGTAGTAGTGTGAGTCCTAAATAGGCAATCCCAAAAAACGCGTGTTTATAAACGCGTCATGTCGCGTTTTTATGTCTTTCCTCTCCACAACCCTTGGGACCTCATATGCATTCAATGTTCTACTCATTTCGCGACTTTCCGAATCTCTGCGTGCACCCGCAAACGTGTTTGCAGAGAAGGTCAATGTTTTGCTTCTTAGACAAGTCATGATTTGATGTCGGGTGAATTAACGGTTATCCAACGTCAACTCGTGCCAACTCGTGCCCATACGCCCGTGGGATCTCCATGGACATATTTGCATAACACAGGTACGGGTCTTCCGCTGTGCCAATAGATAATCTCGTCCTAACCGCGGCTCTAGGCTATGGGCAAAAAGACACCACGAAAGCATAGCTTCAACACATCTTCCAACACAATCTACGAACTTCCTCGGAATCTTTGTACCAGTTCAAACCGCCACACGTTCCCATCTATTCTCACTCCAACAGTTTCGATCGGTTAAATTCGAAAGGAATTAACGGACTTGGCGCGAGTTGGCGCTGGGCTGTGCCGAGTCTGGGCGCACACCCTTCACTCCGGCTGCGGACATCCGACTCCCAGGGATTTTTGGACACCAGCTTCCTGACTTCCAATCCCGTTCTCATAACATATGAGGCATGTCTTAAAGAAGTAACTGTTGCCTCCGAGGAATGGTAACTTTTTATGGATAACGTCCCTCGGGTGACGGCTGATTTGATCGACTGTGATCATGATCAGTGTTTAATCGTTGCGACGATCATCCGATCGGGTGATTCGCTTTGAGGAGTACATATGCATACAACATAGCCAGGAGGTAGTATGGACTAGTATGGATCCACATTGGTGGCGGCTAGTGTATTAATAACTACCATCCGTTCGAGGTCTCTTGACTCCATTGGGTGAGTCTGCTTCGGAATGATGTCCAGCGTCACTATCTGTTGTCATTTCATACCCTGCTATTACCCCTTCTAACACTGTTCTGCCAACAACTTGCCTCAGCTCCTCATCCGGATCCCGGCCATCTATTTCAGACCGCTGCATGATATCATGAACAGACTGCATGAGTGATGACGTGAGGGACTCTGTCGCGATGTTTTGCTGATGTTGAGAAGGTGGCGAGGGCGACATCGCCTCAGGCATCAGACATGAGGAAGGATTTAGGCGCGACTGCAAGTATGCAGCAATTTCGGGGAAGTCTTCCCGTAAGTGTTCAATAGGCTGATGTTTGAGTTTATATCAGCTAAAAGGTGATACATGATTCCCAAGCTCACGCACGGAGACACCGTCACTATTTTGACGGTCTAAAGTGGACCCGTGGTCCAATAACCATCGTGCGGTTTCGATATTTTCGACGCCATATAGCGGTGTATCCCCGTCTTCATCGGTGACGTTGACATCTCCTCCTGTGCTCGGAAGCGAAGTTTTTTATACACTGGCGACCGAGAATCTTATCACTGACCTTGAGAGAGTAGGTATGCTAGGGTTTCAAGCTGGCCGTATGATGCCGCAGCGTGCATGGGAGTGTATGTGAAATCATCTGGAGCATTGGGCGACGTGGCTGAAGGAAGGAACCGGATCAGACCTCATCTTGTGAACTATAAAATGACACCTGCATTGCTGTTCAACGAGTTCCTGAAAGGAACGAGATAAGCTCAGTACATACCGTAAGCGAAGACAAGTTACGTACTCGAACCCTGAGTAAATCGCCATCGCCTGCAGCGACCCAGATGTTCTTTTCTGGTTGAACTCGTGCTGGGACGGGCATCGATGGGATGGGGCTCAATCAGCGACTGCAAACGACTGGTTTGGTAAAAGGACGTCGATAAAGAAGACATCCCGAAATGGGAATTTAGGCATAAATGCGGGACCAACTTTTTGCCACAATCGGCACACCACAAGTGCACAGTCGATGAATACTTCATTTCCGGACACTGAGATGGAGAGCCCACCTACGCCGAGGAGGCCGCAGGATACGGAAAATTTATGCTTCTGAGGGTAGGAAAATGGAGGAAGTTGGTTGATTTAAAATCTTGGAAGCCGGATCTATGCTTTGATCGGAACTTCCCCTGGTCAGCAGAGCCCTCACGAGAACGAAATATGTCGTTAGAAAGAGCGTACTGCAGCGTACTGCCACTTTTATTTACTAGGTGAATGTGAATTTGAGGTGAGGAAACGTGAAGTTTTCAGGCGAATTAAACGGAGTCTGAGTTCTGATATAAAATCAGCGGAGATATTTATTAGTTTGGAACAAGTTGCACTAAAGTCGAACCTGAAAGGTCAATTTTGAGACTATACCGGCGGTTAGGTCCCTTCTCTGTCCTAGTCGACGAATGTCCCCGCTCCAGCTGCTACTCGATCGATTGTTGTAACTCTCAAAGTCGTCGATCCCGTGTTCATCCTCCGTTTCTCGCCCACTGATTGTAACATACTGTATAACTATTATTGGCGGTCTCTTTGACGGACTTCGTTTTTCAAGCTTCTAGCTAGCCATGAGCTTCCTCGTGCCAACGCAACGAGGCCTTGAACATGTAACCCAGCCCATGGGCGACTTCTCTTCCATACATAACCAGCCAAACAGATCCCATCTACCCCTTTCCTCCTTGGAAGGGTATCCTCACCAGGGCATGTCTGCCCTCTCAACTTCAACACCCTTTCCACCCTTTAACGACATTTCCATGTCTCAATCTTTGCCAAAGGTTGGCGAGACCAGATGCTGTGAGTCTGCACAAACTCTATTATTCCCTAAAGGGTCTCTAGTCCGATTGTTTCGGAACCTTGACACCCGATCACAATCCTGTAATTTTCTCTTGATCGTCAATGATTTCACTGACCACGATTTTGAACTTTGTTTGCGCCTTTAGACTGGTCCTTGTTATCGTCCGAATTGGATTTCGTCTATCTGGATCCCGTTCTTGCAAACCATCTCGAAAGCCAGGCTGACTTGCTCATTGGCAAGTCCCTCCTATCCTTTGTTCACCCTGAGGAGCAAGCGACTGCGCGAGCAGATCTCGCAGAAGCTCTTGAACAAAGGACGATGCACGGTAGTGTTACCAGGTAAGCAATTTATCTTGCTATATTCTAAACGGATTTATCTTGATGCCCTGTTTTTTTTCCAGGGTCAGGTTTTGCCGTCTCTCTCGCGTCCGTCGCATCCTCGGTCACCAAGGGCCTACTCAACCGTGGCCTGATGGTGACAAGGTTTCCGTGGATGCTTATTACATGGTCGTCGACATCGTCATTAACTGGGCTGCAGAAGGCCTCGTGTTATGCTTTATCCACGCAGTCGTCGATCTTGAACCTAGTGACAATGATGAACATCACAGAACTCCATGGACAAATTGGTGTGGCACGCCATGCATGCACCCAGAGCAGATAACGCTGTTGCAACAGCGGCTTCTATATTACTTCCCTCAATCAACCGCCACGACTAGGGTATTCCAGATCTTGTTCAACTCCAATTACAGCCAGCAGGACTGTCGGCTTCTGTTGAGCTGGCCGTCAGACAGTAGCCAAGACTACCCTGGTATGCCGGGAGCAAAAGACTTCGCAAGGCGAGCGGTGGGCATTCAGACGTCCACTCGGGATAACAGTGCGAAGACGAGTTGCACGAGACGTTGGAGAATCCAAGATACAATGCCTGGAATAGGCGAAGTAGAAAGCGTGTTCATCCCTCATGGTAAGCGCTTCCTTGATGAAAGTCCATGTGCTTCTATTAAGCAAGCGGATATAGGTTCAATAACGTTTGCATGCCACACCATCCAACAGCCTGCTTCGCGGAGCTTGTCTGTCTCTTATTCTCATTCTCAGCCGTTCACGAGGTCGACAGACGCCTACATGCCTGCACACAGCCAACATCACCCCTATGACCTGTCGGCAAGCCCGTACACACTCCCGCCAGTGTCTACCTCAATGCCACAATCTTACGGACACTACACGCAGTCTTTGACGTCTCAATTTTCCCACTCGCCCTGGGGAAGTTATCCGGAGCCTTCTTCCTCGCTTTCGCAGTTTAACAGGTGGCCCGCTCAAAGCCCTGCCCATTCGATGGCATCCCTGCCATCGTCTTCATGTACCCTGCGGGAGTCACCTTACTCGAGACCATCGCCGTCTCCAATTTATGGCGAGAGCAGAGCGTCTTTAAGCACCTATCAAGCTACACCTAGTCCTGAGGACTACAGTACCAAGGCTGGCTTCGAGGCCTTCGAGGCCAGTGTACCCCCTGCGCCCTGTGGCACCGACATTGTGCCTCCTCCCAGGCACCGAGTAAGCCCCGGAACACATAAGGACACCCTTCCGCGTAGCACCAATAATCGCCCTCTTGGTGTTCTCAAATGCAGCAGTTGCAAGGCAACCTCCAGTCCTGAATGGAGGAAGGGCCCCAGTGGCAGGAAGGAACTCTGTAACGCGTGGGTGATGCCACAACATGCGATGATTACTTACTAATATTTACTTTTTTTCTGTTTCATTGACCAGATGTGGCTTGCGCTACGCCCGTTCTCGTGCAAAGAAGGAAGGACACGTGGTGTCGACACAGCGTCGGAAGAAAGACAAAACCGGAGCCGTTACGGCTAATGAGGAGTCTGCGGTGCCGTCTACTCCTCCGATACCTATTACTGGCGCCGCTTCGACGACTCGCCGCGCTGGTCTTGACGGGAACACATTTGCTTCCCCATCATCTGTTGGCTCTGGATCTGGTAGTGAACCTTACTCTCAACCAAGCCCTGTAGCACCAGAAGACAACCGACCTTCACAATCACCCCCACTGCCTGGACTCAATTTTGTCCATTACCATCCTTCTCAGCCCTCCTCAGGACCGTCGCATCATCAACCACGAGTTGATGGTCGTGCATTCCCTTATCACGCGACCAGCCCTTTCCAACCCTCCCCATCTCCGTTATCTTCGGGTCAACTGACTCTCCGTCCACCACGAGGACAAGATGATGTGCCTGGCTCGTCGTCTCGTAGCGGGTCGTATCACCCTTATCCCTCGCCCTCATCAAATTCTACCGCTTTTGAACGGGCCAAAACGCAGGATCGCCACCTGACTTCACTGCCTCCCTCTCCGGAGCGTGGTAGATTCCGCTGACCTCGCTCCGTTAAATCAAACGACTTGAATCTGACACGCGCCTTATGTGACACCTTGGCCTTCTTTCTGTGAAATGCTACGTTTCAGTATTTTATGGTTTCCGGTTCATTTCTTTCGGCCAATGGTGCAAGCACACCTTCCTTGCCAAAATATTTATTGATGCAATTTCCCTGGTTGTTCCTTTCGGACTTACATAGTGCAACCAACACATGGATACACGCCTTGTGTAGTTTTATCGTAGTGGACATGCTAATTTGAAATCATGAGATCAGGAGGTTGGTTGTTGTCGGACCGTCGATTGTGTTCACGCTTGCCCACGTTTCTGGTCATGCAATCGCGATCCTCAAAGCTTGGTACGCCGATCAACTCGCAGATGGGCCAAGGATCGCCCTGGATAAATTTCTTTACGCAGTGTCAGCGTCAAGTCAGCGTGTTTGCTGAATCGGGGGGGAATAATGACTGACTGGTACTGCGTGCAGCTATCTACCGTTGAGAGCCACTTATTGGTCTGTCCACGTTGCATAGTCAGACGCGGTATGGTTTCCGTTAGACAAGGGCAAACACAGTTCGTCATTCCTTCTACACAGCCACAAGAAGCCACGCTTTATGTAAGTAACATAACGCCGCCACTTAGCCTTCGGATCTATACTAGTGCATTCCTTGGCCAGTTGACACAGGTCTGTCCATCTCATCATGAACCGGCCGGATGAACCATTAGCGGACAGCTCGAGTCAAGAAAAAACTGTAGTCGTTGAGCGGTGAGCTCCTTTGCCATGCTCCGGTTCCATTAATGTATCTTGACCCGTTGGCCCTAGCCCCACAGCACGTGTCGCATTACCACCTCCTGCGGTAGATGGTGACTCCGATGAAGAAGCTGATGTCGATGGTCAAGCAAATGATGGTGATCTGTTGGAAGACTTTCCAGACGAGACTGACGTGCGTACTCAGCACGGTCCCTCATCGTCTACCCTAATCGAGACATGCACGACTAGGAATTAGAACTCGTACATGCGCGATTGAGCTCTTTGGCTAATCTTCGACTCGATCGGTTTGCAAAGCATCTGAGGAAACTATGTCTCAGACAAAACGCTATATCGCATCTAGATCCAGAGATCTTTAGGCTGCTCACGCAACTCGAAGAACTTGACCTGTACGACAATAAACTCAAGACTGTGGGAGATGCATTGGACAATATGTCTGCTCTATCGTGAGCAATGGTTCTCTAACTCTAGGTTCCTGGCGTATTCTGAAGTCGCGCAGCATTCTGGACCTTTCATTCAACCTTCTACGACAAGTGCCTGAGGCATTATCGCATCTATGTTCCTTGAAGACTGTGTATTTTGTTCAAAACAAGATCTCCAAAATCACCGGTTTGGAATCTGTGGGAGCGACATTAAGAAGTCTTGAACTTGGGGGAAATAGAATACGGGTAATTTGCGCCGATCAGCCGATCATTCGACAGGGTAGCTCACGTTGGCACTCCAGCATATCGAAGGATTGGATGCGTTGGTCAACCTGGAGGAATTGTGGCTTGGAAAAAACAAGCTCACGAAGCTTGAGGTGCAGTGCATTGCATTATCGTGGTTGGATGCTCAAAGTCATATGATACAACAGAATCTGAATACACTGAGCAGACTGAAAATTTTGTCGCTCCAGTCTAACAGGATCACAAAGATCGAGGGCCTAGATCAATTAGCTGATCTGGAAGAGCTCTATCTGAGCCACAATGGAGTCGAGCGATTGGAAGGTCTGGAAAACAACGTAGGTTTTTGATCAGTTGTTCTGCTGTAGTGCTCAAGCTCTTGCGCAGAAAAAGCTGAGAACGCTTGACGTTGGTGCGAACTTTGTTCCAGCGATCGAAAACATCTCGCATCTGGTATCACTAGAGGAGCTCTGGGTATGTGGTTCGTTCTTGACTACGACGAACCCAAATCTCATTTTACGGTCAGCTCAACAACAACAAGATTCCTGATCTGCGGGCCCTTGAACCACAGCTCACGAATATGGCCTCCCTTGAAACAATTTACTTGGAAGGCAATCCTTGTCAACAGGCTGAAGGTACAAGTTACAGACGGAAGATAATGCTTGCCCTTCCTCAGCTTAAGCAAATTGATGCCACGTCAGTTTTTGCTTTCGATCTATTTCTAGAATATTTAGCTAACACAGTCTGCAGTTTTTCAAGACCGTTATGACCCATTCGTCTCCGACAATTATTATTGGCAAGGGGACGTTACTGATTTCAATCAGTATAAATTATACTCAGCAATTGGCAGGTCTGACTTTCGAAGTACCCAAGACCTTAGAAATTAGACAAGTCCATACGCCATTCGTTGCCCCCGGGGCCCCAGGCCTGGTGGGAAGGATATTCTTCCGCCCTAATGTTCCACGTCCTTCTAAGCTGATTCGCATTTTGTTCTATATTATAAGTGGCCAGTTTCTAGGTCATACTACGCAGATTAGCACACGAACACACTTGAAATCAACGTTATGATGTACCATATGCATGGTCGGATCCTCAGGCCTGCGTCATGTACATTTATTACTGATGCAGATAAACCAGTGAAGCTGGAGTCAGGATGGCAGGAAGAGGCATACCTCCCCCGCGGCATTCGATTAATACTGCGGAGACGTCGTTTTGCTCGTAATATGTAATCAGTCTATAATCACCTTCAAATGCAGACACCCTGTCCAAACCATGCGCTCGTCCTGTACTCGGCGTAGCCTTATCATGTACACTGTGTACAGCCTCCTTGTGGCCTGCACGTCGGGCGCCGCCTGTGATACTATTCTGTAGGCACACAAGAGGGTGTGTATGTATCGATTACTGGACATGCTCCCTGACGGGTCTTTATCATCTGTTGCATATCTGAGAACGTATAGTGTTGTCCTACAGTACGATCCCATACGAGTAGTGCATACACACTTGCCCTCTTTCTGTCGGAAATTCGAGAGCCTGGGGCTTATATCTGGGTCCTGGACTCCTGGCCCCAACGATCCGTTTCTCGGCTGTGGGAAATAACTCCAAGTGCGAGCCTCTAAATGACAGCTGGCGCTTACAACAAATATTGTTCTGACGGGTACGTCCATGAACATAACAGTGTGCACTATTGCAAAGAAAATGAATTGTCGAGCTAAAGAGCCAGGTATATATGGATCATGATTGTCGACAGTCGTCACGGTCTAGTTAGGATTTTTTCCGGGGTCGGAGCTGGTTTCGTTTGTCGCTACAACCCACGTATGCAGCGAGCAGCGCAGCCAATTGCGAGGCCGGACGCAGGCGTGAGGAGCGCCTGGGACTCCAGGAGGCGTGACATGGACGTGCAAAACTTAGACTGGACGGCACTAGTGTGGTGCACGTCCGGAAATCTCCGGTGTAACTGTACAGTTTGAAACTTTGGTGAGCGAGTATACCCAGGTACTGCGTAGTGGCGGCAAGCAAGATTCAGTAAGCATCCAACAACCTACACAATGGCGAAAGATCGCGGTAGCTCTCCCGTATACATGTATGCTTCACATCTCATTCCCTAATTTCAGTTGGCGCTTCTGGAAAGAAATTCCGTATGACACTTGGTCTCCCTGTTGGTGCCGTCCTCAACTGCGCCGACAACAGCGGCGCCAAGTCACTATTCATCATCGAGCCTTACGGTTTCGGTGCACGATTGAACAGATTGCCTGATGCAGGTGTTGGCGACATGGTCGTTGCATCAGTAAAGAAGGGGAAACCTGAACTGAGGAAAAAAAGTGTGTATTGTTGCTGTACTTTATGTCGATCAATCATGCTGATAAGATTGACTCGCAGCTATGCCCGCTGTTGTTGTCCGCCAACGTAAGGCATGGCGTCGGAGAGATGGCGTGTTCTTGTACTTCGAGGTACGACCCAAGTTTATTCGCATTCCTAAATATGCAACCAATTATATAGGACAACGCCGGTGTCATTGTTAACCCCAAGGGTGACATGAAGGGCTCCGTCATTGTCGGCCCTGTCGCAAAAGAATGTGTAGGTTTACATTTTGAGATGTGGAAGACTAGGTCTCTAACGCTAATCCTCAGGTTGACCTGTGGCCCCGTATTGCAGCCAAGGCCGGCTCCGTTGTATGATATAGATATGGTGCAATCGCATTTTTTCATCGTCTCACATGTTCATCAGTAAGTACTGGGCGAGTCACAGCTCGACGTGTGGTAGGACAGCGCTACTATCAATGGCCATCTATTGCAAATAGGCCTAGCAATGCAATTCTCTAGTTGTGAATGTTTTCAACTGTGGATGTTAGTGTGGAATTCGAAAAGAGAGTCTATGCGCGCATGCTAGTGTGGTCGTCAGTCGCATCTCACCCACTCAAGTTGGGCTGTCTGCGTTCACATCGGACTCTAGCGCGCGTATGCCTGCTGTCACATGCCTCGATTAACCTTTTTTTGCTTTCAGTGTGCCCTCACAAGGACAAAAAAATGTCATCATGCTCTGCTTGACTCCATTTAAGTGCTGAACAATCGCATTCCGATTCGTGCAGGTCCACCGCTCCCAATTCCTTCATGTCGTCGTCCTTGCTCAACCGGCCGGCGTGTACAGCGTAGGCAGTCACTAGTACCTCTTCAGGTGGAATTCCTTCGAAAAAATAGTGGCTCTCTCTTCCCTCAGTTGGATATACCTCGTCTCTCACCTCCGCCTTGCTCATAGCTTCAGGCTGGTCGCCCCTCATTCCACGGGGCACGCACTAGTCGCGGCCAGTCCTGTCTCTTCGCATATCCCCCATCATACTTATCTGCAGCTTCCCCTCCCCCCATCACAGAGAAGGCCCGTTTCACTCTTTCTGCTCCCTAATGCGCCACCGATGTGCCACACGCGTCAAACACACATTTTCCTCGCCGATTTACATGAGTAATTTGATATTAATTCTAGGGACCCCTATGTACGGAGCATATGAACCAGCCATTCTTGCTATCCACGCTGCTCATCTAGCTAAAGGTTTCCACGCTAAATGTCTCAAGGAAACACGCCAGAACGGTCTCATCCTTGGTTCGATGACGGAAATGCCATATTGGTCACACAAGTCTGTACTTTCTCACCCCTACCCTGTGCTGAAGGAAATGTTCAGCTTCAGCTGCCCGGGGAATCGAGAGGCCATTGGATGCCGTGAAATAATTTACTTACAAGTTGATGTCGGTCATGTCCTGCGAGCTCTTTGTGACAGAAGGTACCGTGCATGGTCATTATAATATTGGACCCACTCATTCCTCATCAATCATTCATCAAGCAGTGTCTAGCTATTTTTCTGGTGAGAACAACCCCTATCATTGTCGTGTTAGCGTTCCTCCGGCTTGGAGTGAAGTACCAATTTTGTGTCTGGACCAAACTCGGAGCCGCTCCACACGACTCGACCCCTATAGTCGAAGCCATTAATCTGGCTCGGGAGCAACTTTTCTTTGGTCCTGCCTACAGCAATGTATTGTACTCTCGAGTGCAGCGACCCTAGTTGATATTATCATCAATGGCTCTCCCTAAGCGACCACACGACACCCTCAGGAAGGCATAGAGGCGTGTAGGCCAGCAATGATTATTTTTGGTTGCGATGGATCTAAAGTCATTCTCTTGGAATTGTCCCGTCCTTTTATGCATGCTACCAACCCGGAGTCTCTTGGGTCATAATGTGATCTGATTAAATGTGACCTTTGCGATTCATTGCAAGCATGGGGTGTTGATTGGGAAAAGGGTCTTTGCACGAACTGTATACAACACACAACTCGATGATGGAAAGAGCTTGAAGTCACAAATATGCCAGGCTATGACACAGGGCGTTCCCTTGCATATTTCGCATGCCTTTTTTTACTATATGCATTTCTCCTACTGGTGATTGCTTGCTAAAACCCGGGGCGTGGGGTATAGGCAGCGAGATAGAGAGCAGAAATTCCAGGAGTCATTTCAGCTCATCGACAATGTTGTACAAAATGCATGCATTTGCCAGTTAATTTCTGTCAGGACTCATTAATCAAAACATATACTGGAGTGCAGTTATCAAGTAATAAGTAACCATGAACAAATATAAAGCACAAAGTGTAAGACGTGGAACACCAGGGAAATTTAAAGAAAACACCAGTCAAAAGACCATTAATTGATTTGAGAGAGGGAAGTGGGCTGGAGATACAGAAGGCGATTCTTCGGTGTCTGAGTCAGCGATTTTCTTGGCTTTTCCCTTTCACTTCTTGGAATATGTGGTTCATTGACGTTGACTGGCGTGGAGTCTGGGCCTAAGGGGATGCTACAGGATCGTGTTCGTCAGAAGAGGCAAGAATGGACTGGAGCAAATCACGCACTTCGGCCCGGCACGGCTCCAAAAGTGCGTGCTCTGGCATAATCACGTCCTTGAGCAAAGGCTCATCCTGGAAAGGGACGTTAGATGGGGCCTGTGTGGGATTCCGGTAAGTCACATGAATCAGAGTTACTGGACGAGTGAGGACATACAGGATTAAGGAATGTTTCGGCTTGTGCGAGGAATGTCTCAGCTTGTGCGCGATGGTGGGCAAAGAGGTGCTCCTCTTCGAGGTGAGCCTCGAAGGCAGTAAAATTACGCTCTTGTATCCTGGTCTCGCGCTCACGAACGGCCTGATCGCGGATAGCACGGTTGGCCAACTCGATCTCAGCCTGCTGGCGGGCCCTGTAGCCGTAGGACCGGAACCGGGGGTCAAAATCAACCTCATCCTCCTCTGGTATATGGTGCTGGTTGGGAAACTCATCGCACTGCTGTGCATGGATAGCATTTGGGGTGGGCTGATCCCCAAGCTGCTGCCAGTGATGCAGAGCTAATGCACGTTCAGGTTGCTCGGCGAGATACTGGGGAGCATGAGGATCAACAGCGAAGTGGAGTGGGTAGTAATGGGTATAGTTGGAGTAGGAACTCATGGAAACAGATGTAGTCAAGAATATTGTGAATTTGCGCTTGGGATGAGTTGATGGGAGTTTCCATGTTAAGCACTGGATTTATATGACCAGATGGTGTGGGCTTGTGGACTGTGGATGAGTGACGAATCGTTTTGTGAGCAGATACGTCCATAGAACGTGACTGCAAAATTAGTCTTATCGACACTCGAAGCCCACATAATAGTCACATTACTGTCCCAATGTGATGAGCAATGAGGGAGCAATTCTTCGCCCATACCACGACTGCTCTTGAGAACATCGTTTTGTGTCCGGACTGTTCACGACCTGCAGAACCATCCTACTGCGAATAGTGGATAAGCCCCACGCAACAAAATATTTCGATTACTTCCTTGTGGTAAACACAACCAAATACTGTAATTGTGCCCACTTGCCTGTGCAATCGTTGCGAAGCGCGCTCTGGGGTACATCGGCCACGATGTTTGTCGGTGTACGTTTTGTGGTGCTGTCAAACAGTAATTTTTGGGTGTACAGTATGCCACCGCAGTTATCGACAGTTCAATCATGAGAGTCGAGTTTAAAATGTATAGAAGGATGATGAAGCTTCCAGAAATGTGATATAGATCATGAACTGGCCGGCCTGTCCCCAGTAGACAGACCAAAGCGCTTGAGGGTGCGAGCAAAACCATCTAGGCCCAGCCACCCAACAATCGTGTTTGCTTGTTGAGCTGTGTGGGGGCGTTACTAGGCTTCGAGGGCATGGTATACAGTTGCGTGGGTAGCATTATAGAATGATGCAGAAATAAAGGCACGAATGTAGGCATGAAGGACTGCGGGATGGTCATCTATGCAGGGCGGGGGGCCAGCGCGAATGTCAGCAGCCTCATGAAAATCTGCAAAATCGAAATTAGCGCCTTGAGAAACAAAAAAGAGCACCATCAAGTTGCCCGTTCGCATCAAGGTCATCGCCGCCATCCCCCTCAGAGATGTGAAGTTCTTCATCACTCGAGTCCTATCATCTCGACATTAAGCCGGCAAAGTAGTTCGGAAATTTCTTCATCAGAGTCCGTACTGAACTCGTTTGTATCTGCAGGGGCATCGAGGTCAGGTGGATGCTCATCCCACCTTTCAAAGAGAGGTTTTCCAGCTCAGGATAATCCTCTAGGTGCGCCGCTACGTCCTCGTTTGCACCCTCAGACTGTGGTTTTACAGCCACGTCTTTGTGAGCGTACTGGTTTGGAGAGTTTGCTGGTCGGCTGAGGAACGAAACCGAGCAGATGTGCTCGATGTGTGCCAGCACAAGCAGGACGATGCCAAGTCACAGGAAAATACAGTGTTTTTTGTGTTGCAATGAAGGTGATTTGAACGAGTTGCCCCCCTAGCGTCGTGACAATTTCATTCAATTCTTCAGTCCAAATTAAAAGTAAGGTAGCGGGTCGAGGATTCAGGAGGAGCCTCCGAGCTGAGGTTCTCTTTCAATGATAAACTTCAGGGTTGCGAGTCATGTGACACCACATGTACTAATTCTACTAGTCGAGTCTAGACTCCGTAATCCAACGTACTTAATTCACCTTTCCTTGGATGGCGCCGACTAACAAAGCTAGAACAGCAGGCGTCAGCGCGAGTTCGTTCTTCGACCTCAAAGCAGAAATCGCAAAGAAAGAAGATGAATTTTCTCGGACCAAAGCTGCAGGAGGCAGTAGATACACAGTGGGAGGGGTCAAGAGACCCGACAAGGTGAGCAAAATCAATGAAAGCGGGGAGCTTGAATGCGAACATAACTCAGAAACCGACTATATGGACTCGCCCCAACAAAGGCGTCCAAAATCGCGCTGCGCGCGACATAGAACTGGAAGAAGTCAGTAAGGTGACTATCGAATCTGGGCGGGCTGTTTTGGAGAGGAAGGCGAAAGTGTATGAGAAACTGCGGCAGGGGAAATCTGGTGGCCTTACTGACAAGCAATACGAGAATTTGCTCGTCGATGTATGTATGTTGCTCGCATTTGATGCCAGGCTTGCTGATGTCCAGACACTAGTTCGACTCTCGAGGGGCCACTGACTATTTCGAATCGGACAGTGATGATATGGATGAATCATTGACGGTTCCTCAGCAGCTTCAAGACGACGTAGGTACTCCTGATGGATCTCGTGAGATGATGCTAATGTAATGTGTAGGATGACCCAATCATAGAGTACGAAGATGAATTTGGACGACAACGAACTGGACGCAGGTCGGAAGTACCCCGGCACCTACTTCCGCGTTCAGAAGATACAGAAGCAATACCGGACGATGATAAGTAAGCTGCAGAACGAGTCCTCATCACACTAACATCTCATATTCCTTCAGGGATGTCATTTACAATCCCGTCGATTACTTCCCTGTATTCGAACCTTCCGCGGAGCGTGTACAAGCGGTTCAAGATGCTTACTTGGAAGCTGACAACCCATTGTCTGCTCACTACGATTCAACAAAGGAGGTTCGCGCTAAAGGTGCTGGGCACTATCAATTCTCTGCAGATGAGGAGACGAGGAAACAACAAATGGAAGAACTGCGGTCAGCAAGGATGGAGACTGAGAAGACAAGACAAGACGCTGGAGCAGTGGATCTTAAACCGGGGGAGGTGGAGGGCATGCGTGACGACAGCAGCACTGCAGGCGCGTCGAGGAGCAGGGCGATGGAGAAACGGAAGAGGGACATCGAGGAAAGGCGAAAAATATTAGATGCGAAGCGGAGGAAGGTCAAAGGTGATGAAACCCCAGCAGACCGAGGTTTTGAGCCTGAACCTCTAGAGACTGTGACATTGGAGACACGGGGCGGATCTGGTCCGTTTGCGGCGTTGGAGAGGCAGGCAACTGATGCTTCAGACCGACCCAAGAGAAAGGGCAAGCAGAAAGGGACTAACGACCCGGCTCCAAAGACAGAGGCAGACGACTTCCTGGCCCAGCTAGAGCGGGAAATATTAGGAGGTCATTAACCGCCAGTTCATACCCCGATCGGTGAGTTATTTCTTGTTGGGTAGTCATCTTGTGCTTATCGAAGATTTAGCTTAGATTCGCGACAGCATGAGGATGTCGTAGACTTCCGGATTACGCCAGTACGCGGCCAGGAGTGATGCGCTAATGCCCCACCACAAGTTATATCAATCTAGGTAATGTTACAGATTGGAGCGTTCGATCACTTACACAACGTTCGTCGTGACCAAGAGGCTCGCGCTCATCATATCCAGTTGATGTACTTCTGAATCTGTGCAGTGGCATTGCAACCCAAAAACAAATAGGATCTTTACATATGCATAGTGTTGCCACTGATATAATACAACCAGCAAACAATGCCCTCGCTTGTGTGACTGATAGGAACTCGAAATGTAAATGTAGCGTTTCCAGTGGATCTATCCTGTAGTTCAACTGCCCTATTTTTAAAACTATCACACCACTGCTTCACCCTTTGCTTCGAGAACCAGCTTCTCAGGACAAATCAGAGAGAACCGACCTTTGTCCTCCCGAAACTCGACACACCACGTCCCCCGACGCAAATAACGTCTCTTCAGCGGCTCTTCACCAGAGACAACATTCTCCATGAACTTCCTGCACGTCCTGAGCACCTCAAGTGCAGGACGGAGAGCAGTAGCGTGCCCGCAATTGATCATCACGTTTTCAGAGTCGGGTTGCGTTTTTACGAGCTCGATGAGTTGGTCCATGGTGGAGAACCATACGGGTAAAGATCCCCCGCTTGGAAAGATGATAGGATCGTCTTCATATAGGGTATCCCCGACATATAACATTCTCTCGTCTGCATCCCACAAGGCAAGCTCGTCGGGAGTGTGCCCAGGAGTATGCAAGACTGTGAGACCCATTGATAAACCTGATGATGAGGTGATCTCATGTAGGTGCGGCACCAAAGTGAGCTCGTAGATTGGGGTTCGTATGCCCTGAGAGTTGCATTCAGAGTTTGCAGGGAAGTTCTCTGGAGAAACGAATTTAGGCGAGTGGCTTGAGCCGAGAATGGGGCTGTCGGTGGCGAATGGTTCCACGCCAACTTCAAAGTTCCAGGGAAATGATCAGCAAGTTGACGAGCGTGTATCAGATGAAAGCTTACGGATATGATCGTAATGGCAGTGGCTTTCTACCACGATATACTTCATCTTCCCTCCTTCGTTAAGAGGCTTTCCATCGTTATCAGGAATATCAACGGTCTCGATGAACTCTCTCAAGCTCTTCAAACCGATCTCCGTATTATGCGTAGCTCCCCCACATCCTGTGTCCATGATGAGGATGGTGTTAGCGGATGGGACTACCTTCGCATAGATGAATGGATGTTCATTAAAGATGTCATCCCATTCGACGATCAAGAAAGTAGTCTGCGTCAAGCGTTGAGCAGTGAAAGCTGGCAATTGCTTGTTCTCTGAGCTGGTGCCTTTCTCCATATCGTCCGTCAAACGAGAATGAGGTCTTCGATGTGTCACCAGGTAGAAAAATACAAAGAGAACACCAGCTAAAAAGACCAATATTGATCCCAGGCTTGAGCTCATCCTGTGGGGAAAGGTCGAAAGCGAAACCGCGATGAGAAGATTGCAGTCTTATCTTTGAAGGATACTCACCCGCAATGCACCACGAGACTTCTGAGAGATATTTTGGTGACTTTATCCACCTGACACAGGGCAGATGATAGCGACTTCTTCTCCTCCCTTTAATGTTACTTCTTCGACGTTGTCCACCATCTCAGCGTTTACGCTCCATTGACTGGACTGAAGGATCTTGTCTAGGCCAACATCTGGGTGCAATGACACCAGGAAACCGCTCAATGAGGAGAGTGGGTATTGCGAGGCAGGGAGGGCGACCGATTGTTCCGTCAAGCCAGTCGCTGTTGACGCGGCAGCGAAGTAGAGAACAGTGATTTCTGGTTGACTCATGATGGTTGGCTCTGACCTAGTCTCCCCAGACAGACCTTAAACTAAGTAGTCTGACCTAAATTTAAAATGAATGATGCTTCTGAACCTTAAAGGAACACGGCCTCCCACTCATTCCCCACACATTACAATTCTAAGCGAGCACTACAAGGAACTAGCATATCTAAGATACGAATCTAATTATGCAATTAGGTAGGTGTAGCAGATGCTCCTAGCAGTCCTTTAACTCTGCACACCACCAGATTGGTTTCGAGGTCTTGATCATGACGTCTTGTCCTGGTACGAGATGGTTTGACGTGGACACAAGTCCATCAAAAGATGACTCTGTGTCGTCCAGGTTCCACCGCAGTCCAGTTGTCGTCAGGATGGTTGAGTCGATGCCGACAGGGAGGAGCCCGCATGTTTGTCCCAATACGTCGTGGTTGATGTGGATGAGATGTTCGCCCTGGAATGGTGTGAGATACAGCCATGAAAAGTAGCTCGACTCACTTTGTCCAGGACCCATCCCACGTTATCGTCAGTGACTATGTAGACGCGTTTGCGGGTCTTGCGAAGTTTGTGAAGGTATGATAGTGTATGTACAGTCTGATCCAATCTTCCGGAGAGACCTCCCAGGATCACAATCTCGAACTGTTCAAGTGATGAATTATTCTGGCAGTGAATAGACAATTTTTGTCTTACCTCCTGCCCCGTCAAACGTTCTTTCTCTTCCAACGCTTCCACACATTTCATGAGGTCCGTAGAATCTTGGTTGGAATCGTAGATTACTGGTACATTCTGTGGAAAACTTGAGAGAAAGTGTCAGTTGAAACACAAAGGCCTTACCTGCGAGGTATAGTACAATTTCACATCCTCTCTTAAAGAGTCAAGATCACCCTTCACCATATCGGGGAAGAACCTAGACTAACGTCACTCATCTGCAGCAAGCGAAGCTCAAAGCTAGACTTACGAGTTTCGAAGATCTGGACCACCAGCTGCGCCCAAGACATCGTATAAACGATTGGCGCCTCCATCGGCGCAAGAACGCCATTCACAGGCGGCCCAGAGGGTCTGTAATAATCTGGCACTAAAAGGTTGGTTCAGAATAATAAGTGCACGAGAAATATTAAGGTCTTCGGTAGCTCGCGGGTCCAGGAATGGGGTGCGCCATTCTACGACCATCGTATTCGACGAGGTCAGCAGAAAGAGCTGTTTGAGCCGAGCCCATGGCAGTGATATACTGACCTACATTGGGAAATTGTACATACACTAGCTAGACTTTACAGCTATTTGCATAATACTACGGCCGGCGGTAATTTCCAAAAAAAGAATGCATTCATTTTTGAAAAAGTAGTGCTACAAAGATTGATTTTTATCTCAACAACGAAGCAAGCTATTGACATGGTCCAAGCAACAAAACTGATCAGAAAAATCTGGCGCAGATGACCAGCGAAAAAACTAAGCGTTTCGGCGAAGTTGGGTATATTGTCCATTTGTGTACAGCCACTGCCACTTTTTACGACTCAGATATCAACGTCAAACACTCATCTCCAGCTTACCCCACGAAGAATTGAACATTTTCACAAGATGTATGCAATATTATCGCCTGAATGCTACCACTCCTTAACACATCAAAAATCATGGCATACACTGGAGCAAGCAAAACAGCCATCTGAAGTAGACACGAGGCAAGTGTCCGCTTCACCAAATCACTCCATCCTTTCTGCAGTCGCCTGCGCCTGAGTTTTCTGATCAAGTTTGTGTCTTACCACTTCTCAATATCTTGCTTCGTTACTGAAATAAAAATCAATCTTTGTAGTTCTACTTGAGTTCTACTGGCTCAGAGGGCAGGTGATCACCAACTTCGCCGAAACGCTTAGTTTTTTCGCTGGTCATCTGCGCCAGATTTTTCTGATCAGTTTTGTTGCTTGGACCATGTCAATAGCTTGCTTCGTTGTTGAGATAAAAATCAATCTTTGTAGCACTACTTTTTCAAAAATGAATGCATTCTTTTTTTGGAAATTACCGCCGGCCGTAGTATTATGCAAATAGCTGTAACCGAACCGTGAGAACCGAGTCACTGAGCCATTAGACTTGCACAAGCCAGACCGTCAAATAAAGGCCATCGACTCGGAGCATAACGGCGATGACAGACACGAGTCTCCTCGAGCAAACCAACGAGCATATTCTCCAGGTATCTCTTTAATGCTGGTAGTTTAGCTCGTGATTAATGTGTTTTTTTTATTACTTTCAGTCAGGACTGGAGACTGCCTTCCAGTCCACGGACATTGCGCCTAAATCTGCTGCTGCTACGCTGCCCGCTCCCGCATCACTCTCAGACGCACCCACAGACGCACCCACAGTAACTTTGGAGGTCCCAGAAGTATCTGAAGCTGTCGAAGACGCATGGAAGGGAGAATATGAGGCTCAGGTAGAGGAATGGCGTGCTCGGTCAGCCGAAGCTCGTGCCAAAGCAGAGCACGAGCGCGCACGGTGGGAGCAGATTAGGAAACGCGAAGCAGAAGAACGGCAAGCGCTTGGCCAGGAGCCAGAAACCCAGGATGCATTAGGTTCACATATTACGTCCTCATTTGCCGCTGCAAGTGAGGTATTGGCCTCTTCCGAGTCTTCGTCTGCTTTTATGGCCTCGACGTCCCTTGCGGATTCTGGTCATCTTGTTAGTGAACAAAAAGGCCCATCGAGTCATTTACATGCCTCTGAACATCTTAAGACGGATAGAGGGTCTCCGTCGCAGAAATGGGAACATATAGATTCATCTCCCACTTCTTCGTTTCCATCCATGTCGTTTCCCGAAACCTCTATTCCCTCCTCGCCGTCTCCACCGCAGGCTGCACTTCGGCAGATGACAGCACGTGATGAACCTCAGGAGCAACATCCTGCAGAACGCAAGCCCTCCGCCGTGCCACCCTCCACCATCCCATCCTTGCTTGACAGCTCAATTGCACCACGGACACGAATGTCTTTGCTTCTTTCCTCACTTGCGATCAACCTATTACTTCCTTTCGTGAATGGGGTGATGCTAGGCTTTGGAGAAATATTTGCCAAGAACGTCCTAGTGGGTTGGCTGGGGTGGAAGACGCGGAGCGGCCGCACAGCAGCGAATATCGGTATTCGGAGATGACCGATGGTCCCCATCTTGGTAGTATGCATACCCACCATGTACTGATCACCGGCACAATGTTCTTGAATATATACACTTTCATGCAAGATTTTCACAGCAGTCATCATTGCGCAGTTCTCATAGTTGATGGCGCCCACAAAAGTATTCTGGCTCGTCTGCTATTGCTCTGATTTGGTGCGCTTGTTCATTTATAATGTCTCCGGCCTTTTTGAGTTTATTCTTGCCTTGCAGATACAGAAGGACTGTTGCAGGCTCGGTCCTGAACGAAGTGAATAGCTACTTGCCAGGGCTTACGTCTCGTATTGCGAACATCGACCCTTTCTTGTCTCTGCCTTACTCCTTGATCGCATTGGCTCATGATACATGTGCAGGTCGGACCGTCCCAGTCAACTATACTACTGGCCAGCGTAGTACTTCCCGCCTTGCTGACCCCTTTAACCGTCGGCTTCATTCTAGAGATGATCAGCACGTAATACCAAGGAACGACTATTTTTCGATATCTCCCGAGTTCTTTCCTGTGTTGCTGCTCTGCCTCACAACCCATGCACTTACTCCCTGGCAAAAATTCTGTGATGCACTACAACCGGGTCTTTCGCCCCCATCACGGAGCTGGTGTGCGTTCTCGCGCTGTCAGCACCTGGTCTCTGTGGTAGAAGGAACCTATATTGGGTTATAGTTATGTTAGGAGTTTTCTCAACTCTTATGCACTCTATTCTCGGCGTGGACAATGTGCCCCGAATGGAATTCTGTAAGCCGGTATCTCTCTCATTTTCCTCTAGAGTTCAGGCTCGGGGGGCATCATGGCAAGCATTTACTTGCACATCAACTATATAACATACAATAAAGTGCTGAACATGTTCCTAGCCTAGCAAGTTCAGCAAGTTCACCAATCGCTTCACCATGCCAGTACGCAATGTCCTTGCTCGCCTTGTCCATCCTGTGGACAAGCTTCCGGACCTGGGACCAGATCAACTGGCCTCCGTTCGTGGTATTGCTACGGGAAAGCCGAATGCAGTGGAAGACGTAGAACTGAAGAATGCCTCTCTTGCCGCGACAACCAACACTTTGGCGTCACCCAGTGAATCCGCAGGTCCTGCCCTGACAGATTCAGCTCAGGCACTAGAGGTTCCAGCTGATGCTGTAGATTCTTCGTCGGCTGCTCCTGGTGGTTCGCAGGTGTGTATCCGACTGGGGCTCATTGAAACGCACTGCTGAGCGCGGGAACTAGGGCGATCAGTCCCAAACAACAGATACTAGTGCCTCTTCAACTCCAGGAGATTTTGTCGTCAAGTGCGAAATTCCTTTGTTTGGCAACAAGTCAGTCAAGGCGGAGCTTCTTGTCTGGGATGGACCACCTCCAGTCGGTGTCGTCATTGGTGAAGCGGCGCCATCCGTTCAGAAGGCACTAGTGACAGGCGATTTCAAACTGTCTTCCATTATACCCGTACTGAAGGGAACCGAATCCGACGACATCACCTTCCGCAATGTCACAATTATCCATCAGAATTACCAGTTTGATCCAGACAGCGCGCTGGGGTACACCTTCTCCGGTGATCTAGTGATCGAGCAGTCCTGTGGAGCGATGCACAATATCCTTCGCAAGGTCCTGGCACTGGAAGACTCTGCCCTACATGTTCAAGCTGACTTTGGACCAGATCAGACGTGGTCTGGCCCAGTCATTGTCAATACGTTGACCATAGCGGGGACGTTCACCGGCCGCACATCTTCTCCCACCACGGGAATAGTTTTCACCAGTATTGGAGCCCTGTTGGAACTCCATCATAAATCCGACTTTGCGCCTTCCTATGTTGCCACGATATATGGGAAAATGAACTTGGCAGTGCCAGGGGCTACCACCCCACTAGAACTCGATTACACGCTCTCGGATGCTGGGGGTACTGTCAAGCTTGATGCTAGTATCCCCAACAACACGCAATGGCAAAACCCGATGGGGGTGCAAGGGATATGTGTAGGTGATGAGATCGTTGATTTGCATGCAGAAGAGCGCTAACTGCCATCTCTAGCTGGACAGTGCTACATTCTCGAGCAACCTCGCGCTCGACGATCCCTGGAAATCGTTTGCGTTGGACATTGATGCATACTTGACGTATCAGTCCATGAAAACTGAGTTCAGGGGTTCGTGGGTCACCAGTGGAGCGTGCGCCCTCAGCGCCAATATGTCGAATTTTGATTTTCAGACTATCGAGGCGCTGTACGATTCCATGCACCACGCTCGTCTGAGTCCCCCGAAGATTGATGTGTCTATTGCCTCGGCTGTCTTGAGCATTACAAAAGGGCAAGGCTTCACTATATCGCTTCAAGGAGTCTCCGTCGCTGGGCACCTGATTGGTGACGCAAATTTGGTGATTGATGGTGATGGCGTGAACCTGCACGGGGCCATGTCCAACGGAGGGGCTGTGACCTTTGGAGCGCTCATACTCTCCCAGGCTTTGATAGACGTGAACTATCGCAGGACTACGAGTGGGAAGCAGACGGATGCTACCATCATCGGCAATGTGTCGTTCCATGGATTGGATTTCAAAGCCGCGGTTCACTTGTATCCTTCTGACGATATCACGGACACCGCCACACTAAAGCCGGTTGAATGGACAGTTTTCGCAGAGCTGACAGCTAACAACGATGAGCTTTTGCTTTCGAAGTTCGTTCCCGCGGTTAGGGATGGCGAATTTGACCTGGCCTTGTCGCATGTTGTTTTCTTGGCGGCCTCTCGGGATGATCTAGTCATTGGTGCGGCGGTCCCCACTGACTACAGTTTCCACAAAGGTCGGTCGCAGTACCGTATCCCCCGTTCAATCCTGAATCTTCTCTACAAAGGTGTCCAGATTTGCGGGACGTTTGATAGTCTCCCGGGATTAGACGCATTGACACAGTCTACCACGACTGGATTGATTCTTCATGCTACATATGACCCTTTTTTGGGATTCAGTCTTGATGTACAACTTCCTGTTCTTCGCGAGCTTCATCTTGGTCATGGGATTACCTCCACTGGTCTTGAGTTGCGCATTAATCCGGGCAGTAGAGGGATAGGCCCAACTTTGGGCATCTCGAGTGGGCTGCTCATTCCTGTTGCGCATAGCGAGAAGCCGCTGGAGTTCGCGATGACGCTCACAGGGAACATCGTTGGGGCTACTGGTGCCGCTGAGTTGAAGAGGTGGTGGGTAGATCCCTTTGGGATCAGCAAGGAAGTCAAGATTGGTCCAGATTTGCTTCTTCAGCTCGCTATTAGCTATGCATCGCCCACTGCACTGAGGTGAGGGAATGATTTATGCTCGGGTATATTGTATCAACTCAACGTGATTTCAAGTGGACTTGCATTCTCTGGTGGGCTGCAGATTGGTAACACCGTTGCCCAAGTCGTTGTTAGTATCAATGAAGATCCGATGAGTGAGTTTTCGATAGCTATATGCTATACCGTTTACTGAGGTCGGTATAGAGGAGATGGTGTCTACGGAACTCAAGAACCTAAGTCTCGACGACATTGTCACGTTTACCGAAAAGATCGTCGGATCGCACATCCCGAAAGCGCCAAGCGGGTTCCTTCTATTCGAGGATCTGAAGATATACATCTGCCCATCGGGTGTCACTTTGGCAGATGTCGCGTACCCGCCAGGATTCTCGTACGAGTCCCGCATGATTGTCTTTGGCCACCACGCTGATGTATCCGCTCGTGAGTCGGTGCTTGACCTACAAGGCTCGCGTCTTAATCCTATGACATAGATGTTGGCGGCGGTGCGTTATCCGTCCAAGGCCATGTTGATAATTTCCGCATTGGACCTCTGATCGTCCATGGAAAGACATTGTTAAAGGAAGTATCCCGCGCATCCATCGATTGCACCATTAGCGAGCAGGTGCAGCATCTATCACTGAATGGGGAAGTCATTCTCTGGGATGAGTCTGTATCCTTGCGTCTGGAGGTGGACACGCATCCCGTACCAGAGCTCGTTTTCTTCTGGTATGTACACGCTGCGATTAAAGGACAGCTGTCAGATTGACAAGTGTGATAGCGAGCCCAAATTCACAGACTCGCTGTTCTTCGAAATGAAGGCTACCCTGATAGGCCCGCCATCATTCAAAGACCTTTCTGAATCAGAATTCGAGTTGTATGCGGACTTGGAGAACCATATCTTGGATTATGTGTGTGAAGAGGTTCTCAAGGGTTTCGAAAAATTGGAGAGAGACACGAAAGAGGACATTGAGGCTGCGAAAAAGAAAGTGGAGGACGAGCGGAAGGCAATGCTTGCGGGTATTGATGAAGCGCAGAAGAAACTTGACGCTGCGAAAGCGGCATTGAATAAGAAGAATTCGAGCGCTAATGCGGCTGCAGCACTCGAGGAGAGGATTGTTGCTGCTGCTCGGGATGTTGTTGATGGGTTGGTGGAATCTAGTGAATACGCTGCTTATTATCTGGCGGTTGCTGGATTAACGAACGCAAAGGAGGCAACCATCGGCCTCAAGGCAGCTGAACAGATATTATCTGTTATCGAGTATGCAGCAGAGGGGATGCTTTGGGCTGTGACGTTTATCAACAAGGAGAACAGGAAAGCGCTCGACATCCAAAAGATTGTCTTGACCGGGTTATTGGGCAAGACTCCCAATGGTCCACAGTCACTTTCTGCGGATATTCAAGGCGTTATCATTGGCAAGACTTTTCATATTGATGGAAGATTAGACCCTCGGAAGGTTGAAGATTTCATATCTGATATTTTTACGCAGTATGTCTTTTCTTCTATGCTTTCGATTGGAGGTCTGACTGTGGTTACAGGCTTTGGGATGAGATCAAGTCACCCCATAAGTAGGTAGTACAACTCCTTAGGTGGACATACAACCGAGGATGGGAACTTCTTCTATGGATGATAGACAGTTGGCATGTAAATTTAAAGTAGTATACGGTGATCAAATCGCAGTAGCTATCCTGGCTGGATGATAATAATGCATGTTTCGCTATTTCTGGGATCGACCGGAAGGATATTTTGTTTTGCCTGTATCCAGTCTGCCAGGGTATTGCAGCTGGTCCCTCGAGATATTCCTGCCAGCAGTAGTACAGAGGCACAGCGTTCTGACCAGGGTCTAGAACTTGGAGGTCGAGAGCTAAGGGGAATCTGGTCTCGCGTGACCTTGCCAAGGAGCGCCCCAGAGAAACTTAAGTTTGAAGATGATACGTAATTACTTGAAGCACGCGGCTCAAGTGCGTCACCGTTATAAGTCGAGGCTCCCCCCCTACCTGGGCCCACTCTGTTCCTCCTACCATGTCTAGCGTAGCGGCAAAGGCTGTATTCGTTACATGCCTTATCATAAACGCAATTCTCTTGTCGCAGAGTCGATACGGCCAGTCTTATTACCAGCAGTCCACAATTTCCCTCTGGAAGCGGAATTTAACCATCACAGAGAAGAGCTGTTCTCCTCTATCCTACGACCTTTCATCACAATGCACACATGTTCTCGAGTCATGTCCGTCCCCTCAAACCTTTCTAAGCATTCCGTACCTCTCCCACTACTTCTGCGCTCCCGCTCCCCTCCGTCCTTTCATCTTCGCCGGATTGGTCCTCTGGCTGCTATTTCTATTCAGTACCCTCGGAATATCTGCATCTGATTTCTTCACTCCGAACCTCGCCACCATTGCGACCTTCCTAGGTCTCGATGAGAACGTCGCCGGTGTCACTTTTCTCGCATTCGGGAATGCCTCCCCAGATGTCTTCAGCACTTTCTCCGCCATGCGAGCAGACTCAGGAAGCCTCGCAATCGGAGAACTCCTTGGAGCAGCTTCATTTATAGTAAGCGTCGTGGCAGGCAGCATGTCCATCATAAAACCATTCAAGGTCGAGCGCACCCCATTCCTAAGGGACGTCGGCTTCTTTACCCTCGCCGTCGTCGTCCTGCTCGTCATACTCAAAGATGGCCGCATTAGAGCCGGAGAGTGCGCATTGTTGGTCGCCATGTACGTGTGCTATGCTGTTATCGTCGTTGTGGGGAGCTGGTGGGAGCGCCGCCGCGAACGAACGGAGAGGCTTGAAGCTCTCATTCGAGCAGAATACGGCGAGGATGAGACTGTAGTAGAACAATATCATGACGTAGGTCCGTGTCTATTCTCTCCCTTCTCTCCTACCATTCTATTTTCATTCATCTCTAATTACGTGCAGTTACTCCCCCCAATGACACGCTTACCGTGCCCCTCTCCCCACCAATACGACACCGGGCATCATCATGCCCCCAGCCCCCCCGACTTTCACTCACAACACCTTCATATCCTCGCCCGATGTCATCCTCTTTCCACGCACAGTCCCCCGGCACGCGTACTCCCTCGCCCCTGAGTTCACCTCACCTCTCCCAGATGCCCTCCTTCTCACTGGTCGGCGCCCTCGAGTTCAGGCAGGTCGTGGCGAGCCTACAAGCTCACGCTGCTTCGAGCAGCCTGTCCATCTTCGACAGCCCCATCACCCCCTACGCCGGTGGCCACTACCACCGACATGGCGGGAGCCATACAAGCCGCACTCCATTGAGCGAGGAGGACCCTTGGGACGCAACTATAGGAGTGCCTCTGGACGAGCGCAGTCCGAGGCTGCTTGTTAATGACATCATTGCAGAGGGCCACGAGCCATCCCAATCATCGTCCATGATCCACGTGCCGACACACACCTCTTCCTCAGTTTCACCTATACCATCCATCTCGCACACCCCTGCATCACCGACCGATGCCGCATCCACGACAACGACAGAGGTAGAGCCGTATGTCCCGCCCACAAAACTCCAACGTGTATGGCGGGTCGTGAAAAAGACATATTACATCCTCTTCCCTGCACTGCACCACTTTAGAGAAAAGAATGCGCTAGGGAAAATAGCGAGTCTGCTTGCCGCGCCTGCGGTGATGGCGCTGACGCTGACTCTACCTGTGGTCGTGGTCCCATATGACTCCAACGGATCCGGATCGGAGAAACTGCACAAGCGTCATCATAGCGCCGGCGAGGATGGTCGGTTGGTAGACTTTGAGGAAGACGGCATCGAACGTGCGTTGATTGCGGAGGAAGTAATGCAGCCGGATCTGCACGAGATCGAATTTAACAAATGGTTGATGGCTGCGCAATGCGTGCTAGGCCCTTTGTTTTGTCTAGGGGTACTATTTCGTACGTATGTTATCTCTTTGCCTCTTTCCTCTTTCCTTTTTCCTGCCGTTTCCGACTTTTTGAGTGAGCTAACTGTCAATAATTTGATTTAGATGAGGCGGATCACTTTGCGTTCCTCGCGTTGGGAACGGCCGTGTGTGGACTTGCAGTTGCTGCACTTGTGCTCGTGTTTGCGGATGGTAGAAGCCACCCCACTGCACGTATGGCGCGGTGTAGCATGGGTTTCTTGGTTGCGATCGCATGGATTATGGCAATCGCCGACGAGGCTGTCAATGTATTACAGGTGCGTTCTCGCCTATACACGGCTTTCGTCGTACTAATAACCTCCACAGACATTTGGCTTCATCTTTGGACTCTCGGATGCCATAATTGGCCTTACGATCTTCGCAGTGGGCAACTCCCTCGCAGACCTCGTAGCCAACATGAGTGTAGCTGTAAGTCTCCCTCCTCCCCTCCCACCATCGCATCGCCTGACCCCAGCCACCAGGTCTTCGCCCCAATCATGGGCTTCTCCGCATGCTTCGGCGGGCCTATGATCAATATCCTCCTCGGCGTCGGTATCTCCGGCTCCTACGTGATTTCTAAAGCTGGCGGCGAGCCATACACGCTACATTTCTCACCTACGCTTATGAGCAGTACGTTTGGCTTACTGGCGCTTCTCGTCGCGACGCTGGTCATTGTCCCGCTGAACGGGTACATGTTGACGCGTACATGGGGATTCTGTTTGGTGGGCGCGTATTTCGTGATCATGGGGGTGAATTTATGGGTGGAGCTGAGCTGGTAGATGGTGGGAGGAATACTAACAGACGGATTAACAGACGGTGGGAGGAATATTAACAGACGGTAAGAAGAATCCATTTACACGTTTGCAGTTTTTGATTCTGACGGACGGTATTTGGGACTTAGTATTGAATATGTTGACTTGACTGTGATACCTGCATTTGTTATCGCAGTGCTTTGATAGATGCTAACTCTGCATGATGTATGAATACGTTCAAATTGACGGTCATGCAAGTGCTCCTCCCGATGTAAGGTTGAGGAGATTTTCAAGTGCTGTTTCGACGGCTTCCTCTGCTTCATATTATTATTCATGGGTGGCAGGCCGCCTTGTATGAAGTCCTCACTTGAAGCTTGATGCTCGTTTGGTTACATTAATAACCTCTATCACGAACACTTTCCTCATACAACCTTCATCAAGATTTGAATCACATGAGGAACGTCTATGGCTTTGCATCATGGCCAACATGCGAGGAGCTAACAGGTGAGCCGTTCAATTGCTTCTGGAGCTAGCGTTGCTCAATTATAGCAGGTCTCTACCAGCATGGACGTGTGACCGTTACCACCTTCTATACACGGCTTGATCTAGTTCGATCCTACCTGAACGTTGTATCCAGTTGATATTGATGCTCCGTCTCTGCAATCCAATGTATCTTCCATTGCAAAGGACGGATCTGCCTTCTGGATCCTAAATCAAGGTAAGCCTCCCGACTTCTTAGAATGATCATTTCATTTAATAACCCCTCATCTAGACGACGGGGAACTTTGTACACTTTGTATGAAGCTTGATCCCTGCACGCCGCATGTAATCCGCCATTTAATCTGCTGTAGGCACGCTTGTCTGAAATCGGTTTGAAGACCCTTGATTTTACAACATGAAGCGGTGTTGGCATGACTGGACCGCGTGTGCAACCAGGACTTTGAACCGAATACGACTTGGGTACTTTCGGAGCTGCACACTTCTTCTTCTCCTTGGGTGCGGCGGACGAGGTTTAGATTCGGAACAAGATCGATTCGATTCGATTCAGCAGGGGGGTTCCTCGTTGGCACTGAAGATTTGATGACTATCAGATCGGAATCAATCAGGAATGTAAGTCTGTGGTTAATTTCACTCTGCCACTAGCCACGCACAGGACGAGTACAGAATGATAGACTTGCGCCCAGGTGATGGAGTTTCAGAGGTTGACGGCAAGAATGTTTTTTTGTCGCTTTGATGGAGCCAGGGTGAATCTGCTATCCTTGCTTGCGCTACTCCGCGATCGAACACAAACGGCTTGTTCTTTTGCTGCTTTTTTGCTCGGTGCAGTGCAATTCTAGAACTTTATCCTCCAGAACTTACGATCAATCAAGTTTGAATGTTCCAGGTGACTTTGGTCGATGTGGGCCGCAGCATGCGGCGTGGTTCCGTGGTCGACTGAATGAGTACTGCCAACCTTCACACTATGGTTTCCACACTGTGGAGGTCATCAATGAAATCCCTTCCTACTTATCTAACGAGGCTCGTCGGCTTTGTATCAGAGATTTCAATCCACACTTCGCTTGAAATTATAGCGCGGTGGATACATCAGGGTGGCACGGTCATATTGTACGAGGCGAGGTATTGGTCTCTCATCTGTTCACGGAACCGCTGGGGTCTGTACTAACGTATCGAGAGGATTTTAGCAAGGGACTGTTTGATGTGGCAGAGATGTTGATGGACGACAGTAGGATTCCGCTGGTGAAAGTGAGTCGTAACATACCCTTGGTTCCCTCTACTGACAATGAATTGTGGTAGAGACGCGACGGTTCTGGAGTAGTGCAAAAAAATTGTCATATTGGTATTCTGAGTACTTGATGCTAATATTGACGCCTTGGGGGGATGGTCTTCTACTGTATATGCGCTCTGCATCGATCTCACCTAGAGAATCCGGTACACTACTCTACAAGGCCCTTTTGGGAAGGAGCTTAATGATTAAGTCCCGCTTCACAGTTTGCCCATCATTCCCGAAATAGCGGGTGGAATCGAAGTGCCAGTGCAGAGAACCAACAATCCAGTTCTGCAGCCCATCAACGTAGATATCCACCTGCCTGTCAACCTCTTCTCCCCACGAGGGAAGGTTATTACGGTTGTCTTCGAAGCGCTGGATGGATCCCTTGCACAAGTGGCCTAGATAGTCAACAGCGTCTTGTAGGTCCAAGCCACGCTTGCACATGAGCACGGAAATCATATTATGTGTGTCATGGCGGCATTGCTCGGCATTGTATGAGTACATATCCTGTCAACAGTATGTCAGCAGTGCCCCAGCGTTCGATGAGAGAACGCGAATTACGTTGGCCCAAGCAACAATATCATCATGATTGGTTGCCTCCTCCATGACCATGATAACCGGATGCGACACCACTTCATCAGGGAGATCAATCCTAGCTGCGTATTCGATAACAGCAAAAATATGCTTGCACCCACTGGTATCTCTCCTCATAGTGATGTATGTTTCAAGGTCAGGGATGTGTCCCTTGGCATGATCGTCCGCCTGCTTAGCCACAGCAATGAAGTACAAGTCCATTTTGTTGATGAACCGCTCGGTGCAGCGGGGGCCACCAGTCACTTTAAAGCGGCTGAAGTACCTAAGTACGATATAAGACTGTTAGAAGGAGCACATGCCACAAGAGAATAATTGGACGTACGATTTGCACAACTTTCCACCGATCATTTCTGTCGCGGGTCAGCAAAATATTTTACGCTGAAACCAGAACATTATGGACATGAGACATCACCATACACAGTAGCGGTAATTTTATTTGGATGGGATTCACGATGTACATCAATAATATCCATTGGGAACCAAGAAGCGTACATGCCATCACGTAGGGTATCATATATACAATATTATGTCGTCTTTAGAATCATATATACAATATCAGCCATATCATAACACCTCTAGTCGCCTTTGGAATCATAACGCCCAAATCCGCATGCCCAAACCTTCTGCCAATCTTCACGAGCGTACCTAAAGTGTAAACAAGAACGGGACACCTTGAAACGAACATCATCCGACACAATACACTCCTCTCCGGGACCCCTCTTGATAAACCCACTCGCCACCCACGGAACAGGGTGGCGCAGCAAGGATGCAGACAACATCAGCACCTCCACATGCAAGGGCAATCCCGTTGTGATCAATGCGGATGAATTGAAAGGGCGTCTGACATGCGCATAGGCCAATGACACTGTTTGAAGCTTCTGAAAAGAAGCCCATGGAGTGCGCTCCATCCACTGAGGCAGGTTGTACATTTGATCATAGCTCAGATAATGGGCAAGCCAACGAGGGTCCATTCCCTCGTCGCACAAGAAACCCATATCAGCAAGCTCAGCCCATGTCTGGGGGGTGTCCGTGAGGGGTCCCCATGGGAGGTTGTTGGACGTGTTGTTGGAGGCGAGGTGAAGGATTGAAGCAACGAAAGCAGATCCATGGGAAGTACCCATCAGGAACTCCCATGGTCTGACGCTATCTGCCTTACCAGATAGCGTCAGAGTTTGGGTTTTCCAGGGAGGCGGGGAGTGTTCGTTGTTGACGTCTGTGTCTGTACGGGACTCCCATGCAATTTCCAGGCAGTCTGAAAGAAGGCCCAGACTTGTCCAGGCAAGGGCAATGGAGGGTGCAGTGAGTAGCACCGGAGCCAGCAGGCCCATGGCACGCTCGCGCTCAGACGCCAGTTCATAGCCCAGGGTTCTGAGCAAGTTAGGTTCTGCAAGATCCTCGTCCTCTCCAATCCAAATTTTCTGTACGAAAGATGCGTACTCGAATTGGAAGGGGCTGCTTTCTTGAGCATATGCTTCCTGCATATGCAGAGCTTCCACGAACTTTCTCACGTTCTGAGATTTTGGGAGCGATACGGTGTGCAGTAAATAAGGAAGCACGATCTCCCTGAAATTTTTGGAGACGAGACATAGCGAAAGAGTGGTCGAATAGGGATTATGATCAGCATATTTTTCAGCTTGGGAAAAAGTTGGCTGTGCAGCCTCTCTGATGATGAGGAGGACAAGCTCAGCTGGAAAGAAGCCAAATGGAGATCGGGTGATAGGTTGAGATGCCATGATGAGTGGGTAAGATGTGAAGCTGGTTTGAAGGAGCCTTGCCTTTAATACTCCCCCCATGAATTGTGGCGTCAAAGACAGTAGTGGAATCGCATTGTGTGTGGGACCACACACTTTGATACGGAGGTCTACTGCGGATTCGTTGTTCCTTCGAGGTCGTACAATGTGCTTTGCCCTGCCTTGCCCTTGCCTGTTGTGCTCTGGCCCAGTTGCGTACTCGACCTGTGGATTACCATAGTGATGCAAAGGTAGCACGAACTATAGATTCTACCTGGATCTTTATTTCCGAACAGAGTCCATGTATCGGGTTTGGTGGCCAAACTCGATGCGTGTGCACGAGCTCATTCAGATTCTGTCATGGCAGAATGAGTTGCTCCTGGGAAATTTCACTGCGCTTCAGATCAACGATAGTTTGAGAATGAACATCCTCCACAAAACAAACACACCTCGTTCTTCTCTTGCAACTGCGCGTGTCGTTGAAACTCGAGGTGCCGGTTAACCATAGTTAGCAAATTTGATAGCTTGTATGTCTCGGAGTCTGGACCGTCGTGCGAGAGAACGCGGTCAGTGTGGTAGGGCCTTACCATTCATTATCTGAACCAACACGCATCGGGTTGGCATACAATATTGGTGGTTACATGCGTGAAAATGAGTGTTCAAGTTAGATCAGCTTCAGCGGAAAGAATCGCTGTCTCGTAAGTACGACGTTGGGCCGAGCTGTGCCAACTGGTACTGTTACTCCCGGGCGTTGCCGGAAATCCAAGTTGACTTTGTTTGAAATTAGACAAAGCCAATGGCCATGCATGGACGTTGAGATGATGATACTAGAAAGAAGACAGGCCTTCATTCTATATATCGGAGCACAGACATGCAGCATTCGCGCATCTCCCGTGCACCGACGGCGTCCAATTCCATTTCATCATCTATGTTGAACAACCAGTGAATGAAGTCGGAGCAGACTTGGAGATGGAAAGGATCTGCATCAGGATAGGCAGCCGCAGTGAGTTCACCTGCACGCAAGCCCATAAATGCGGTGATGTCGGGCTCTTGAAGATGCACTTCATCGAGGAGCCATTGTTCAGAAGCACGAGAGACCGGTTCGCAGGGGATAGTGACGATCACTGAGGAGGTCAGGTAAAATAAATTCTGAGGCCGCTGAAGTCATATTGTGAGCGTCGAAATGAGCAATGTGTGCTGGTGAGAAGGAACAGTGAGAGACAAGTTAAGAGATAGAGTACTTTGAAACATCTCGGTCTTTAAATGCATCGCTCGAACTCATTATTCGAAAGTGGGTATCGTAGTTTAGGAAATCGTTGTAATGCACGTCTGTCGTGACGGCAGTTGCAGTAGCAATGAAGCGCCTCGCCGATTTAATCGGCGGCAAGGAATGAGATATGAGGGTGAAATTCCACCAGGCTGGCGTCAGGGGGGAATGCAAGTGAGATGGCTCAAACTTTAACTTGAAACATCCACGTACACTCCAATATGATCTAGTCACCGCACATAACCGTTATATGGAACTGGGTTGGAAAAGCACCAAATGCCGCAGAGTAATGTATTAGGACCAGGTATGTATCATTGAGAAAATGTAGACCACCCTAGGAATGACTGTCTTGAATTCATTCGTCTATGGGGGAGACCAAGACTACTCACTCACTACCCAGCCACTACATTGCGAACGTTACTGAAACGGTGAAACCTAAATACGCAATATTCTGGTGCTGTTTGAGTAAACAACTGCGCGCGGAGAACACGGAACGAATGTTGAACGTGTTGAATTTAACTTGCAACAAGAAGAACAAGCCTGCGGTCGCTGGTTCAGGCTAGAGCCAAGTTCGGCTATTTACGTAATACTAATTTTAGAGTTTGCTGTGGGCGGCATCAAGTTGAACTTGACTTGAACAATGAACTTCATGCATCATGGCCCTCAAAATGGTCTTGCAAAACCCCCGAGTGCATTGACAGGCTCCGATCATCACACCGATAATGTCATCCGGGATGTGCGCCCGGAAATCTCTGATGCAACCAAGGCGTAGGCTATAGCATATGAGGTGACGCCAGAGTTGAAGGTACTAACTGTAAGTATTATAGAAATATTTCGTGACCGGGGACGGTCGGGGAGTGTTGAATAGGCGGATGACCACACACAGTCCGCAGATTTACGTATGTCTTCTCTGTGTGTGGTCGTGTCACGGTGCGGTGCCGGGGTCGTGCATGGTTTGTATACTTCTCTTGTACTGACCTGGAGCGATGTCAATTTGTTGGCATACATTAGTACAAGTGCTTCATGGCCAGCGACTCAAGCTGACACGTTCTTAGGCTTGGACTTAGTAAACGTGAGTGCGGGTCCTGTTATCGAGTCCAAAGTCAATCCTGGATCATTGATGCGCTCGTCCCAGCATTTTTATGGTGCAGTTGTTATCTACTATCAGCTGCTTTCAGCGGTTGATCCGTCACGGCGTTACTCCCGATATTTGCACTAGTAGGTGAGCTATAGAAGTTACTACATCCGATTGGCATAGACTCATATTTCACTCAATTGGGCATCCAGTCGTATGACTACATACTGTGTCTCCCCAACGCGGCAAGTAGAGATTTGTTTAAGCGGCTGAGTTTTCTGATCTGTAGCCGGTGTAGGTCACTTTTATGGGGGCTCGGCACAATCCTGTACTCAGCTTGCCATTTGCCTTCCTGATACTGAATATGCTCGGTGAGTGTCCGGTACGGTACGCATCTCCATTTTTCCCTCCCTTATAATGTAATCCATTTCATATCGGTTTTCAGTGGTTTTTCAGCCTGATGTCCCACTCCGTGTATGTGCACCTTGCATCTGATATCACCCGTAACACAGGCTACGAGCCCTTTGACAAACAGATATATGCATGGTGACACTAGCCTAAGTGAGAGGTTGATAGGAAATATCGGGGCGTTGTTTGCTCTCACATCACGGATCAGGGATCAGGGAGATCGAGCGGTTGTTGTGGCCACTGCACATGATCAACGCCTATCATGGCGAAAACACTCATCGTTGCGGCAAGAAAGAAGTGGTTTCAGCTTGTCACTTTGTACAAGCAGTGTGCGTGGGCAGGCACCTTGACTTAGTACCAGCAGTACCCTTGATACAAAAGAAATTGGTTGGTTTGCCTAGATTAATCTCTAGACCTCTAAACTGTTTTTGTATTCAAATATCACTGTCTAGGTTAGGATGAGCAGCCGCGTCCACTACTTATTGCAAGGAGAAAAGTTAGAAGACTATCTATTCACCAAAAATAGAATCCCACGTGCACTTAGACTTTTATATCATGCTCAGTTGAGCTGCTGCCCGTGTTTCGAGTTCTTGACAACTGGCTCATTTCCATATGCCCTAGAATTACTGATGTGCCAGATCATGAGCACCATAACACTGATACAGCTTCCACCAGAAATTTTGTGCCATGTACTGGCATTTCTCGATGCATACGACCTAATGAGGATACGAAAGGTAAGTGAACAGATACGATCTGGTATCTCGCTGTGCCCATTGCTCATCCGCCATAGACAAGCAAAAGGTTGAAAGAAATTGTAGACGACTCGGAGATGCTGCAATACACCATCGATCTCAGTTACTTCCAAATGATTCCAGTTGGACCCTCGGAAACGGACGTGCCACCAGCTACGCTTCGTAAACAACTTGGGCTGTATAACGCTGCGTGGCAGCGCGCCGAATACGAATGGAAGTGCTCGCTCCCCTCATTGATGCTAGGACAGATATATGCGTTCGGGGGTGGCATATACGGTTCAGCTGGGGAGAACTGCATCTCCTTTGCTCGGCTGCCTTCCGCGTCTGATTCTGGTGATCTATATTATTGGAGTCACCCTGTCGATGTACCGGCTTTGGTGGACTTCACTTTCTGTGCTGCGCAAGACTTGCTTATTATAGTGTCACGCCCACCAGACTTGTGAGTGTACATTATTTTCGCTATGTCCATTCTCAGGCTAGACTGCGTGAGCAGGCAAAGTTATGTATACGATGTCCATCTTAGGTCGCTGACGACGAACGACACCCACCCTGACGCAGCGCAACCATCCCTGAAAGCACTCGACGAAGATGATGTTGGTCGCCGAATATTGGATCCCATAGGTCATGTGAAGGTCCAAATCGTCGGGAATTACATTAGCATGCTTTGTCGTGACGCTATCGGAAGCATGGGCAACGTCTTGGACTGCATACAACTGTGGGACTGGAAATCCGAAGAGGGCTATCAGGTAAATCATTTTCACAAGTCAACACGGCTAGACACTAATGGATACGATAGTTCATTCTTTTGTTCGACTGTGGTATCAGCGACTGCTCCTTCATTACAGAGGATAGGTTCCTCGCCCTTGTTGCTTCAGGGACTGTGGAAATATATTCCATCGCCGACAAGTCAAAGCCCCCACAATGCACCGCAAGAATCTCCTTACCTTCTCTCATGGATGACTTTTTATACACAGATATGTTCACGAATGACAATCCAACTCCCGATTCTACGTTTCCCTATTCTCGAAAATCCTACCTCCAACCTTCATGCTCATTTCATCCGAGTATGGACGACCAACTCATAGCCATCCTTGTTTGCGTTACTCCGCGATCGAACACAAACGACCTGCTCTTTTGCCGCTTTGTTGTTCGGCGTAGCGCCATTTTAGAACTCGAAGGTTTATTTGCCAGGACTTACGATCAATCGAGTTCGAATGGTTCCAGGTTACTTTGGTCGACGTGGGGACCACAGCATGCGGCATGGTTTCGTGTTCGACAGAATGAGTACTGGCAACCTTCGCACTATGGTTTCCGCACTGTGGAGGTTATTGATGGAAGCCCCTTCCACTCATCAGACTCGGACGAGGCCCGTCGGCTGTGTATCAGAGATTTCAATCCGCACATCGCTTGGAATTATGGCGCGGTAGATATGCCAGGGTTTTATGATCGAATTGTACGAGGCGAGGTGGATAGAATGATCTCATATCCGTTTACGGAACCGCTGGGGTCTGCACTAACGTATCGGGAGGTTTTTAGCGATAGGCTGTTTGACGGGGCAGAGATTTTGATGGACGAAAGTAGGATTCTGCTGGTGAAAGTGAGTCGCAACTTGCCCTTGGTTCCCTGTATTGACAACGAATTGTGGTAGAGAGACGATGATTCTGGAGTAGTGCAAAAAATTGACGTGTTGGTATTTGGAGTACCCTAATGCTAATATTGACGAGGCGCTCCGAGTCTGCATCGACCTCACCTAGAGAATCTGGTGCACTACTCTACAAGGGCCCTTTTGGGAAGGAGCTTGATGATTAGGTCCCGTTTCACAGCTTCCCCATCCTTCCCGAATAGCCGCTGGGCGCAATAGAAGGGCAAGTGCAGAGAACCTCAGTCGTTGGTGATTATAACAAAGTTTCATGTTAGTAATACGGACCATGCGCTTGCCATGCGCCATGACAAACATTGCGCACAACCTCGGAGAACGTAACCATACTATTACTGAGACTTGCGGTGCAGTCCACCACATGTGGCGTCTATGCACAGCTTCAAGTTGTAGTTGTAGTTGTATCTCCGTATGTTTCATAGTTGGTACTCCTCGACCGCGACTCAATGTACAGTCGCATTCAATGCACTTGTAGTTGTAGCTATATCTCCGTATGTTTCGTCAGGATAGTTGGCATTTTTCGGGCGACTCGATGTTGTATTCAATGGTATCTTGTTTGACTACAAAATAACATGCGCAAAATCCGATACTACTCAGCATCAGCATGACAACCGGTGCGTATACAAATGGATCGGCAACTCGAGATTAGTCTGAGCGTAGCATATATAAAAGCACGAACCGTACAATACAGAAAGTTCGCTCGTATCATAACACACCCCTCGCAGCTGTGATTGTCAACCTTGCCGTTTAAATTTACTGCCACACGTATGGCGTGGTGGTCCAGGACTAGTATGGACTTCCTCTTCATCCCGTTGCCCACACACATATTTCGTCATACTAATCAACAACACATTACACAGATATTTCGTTTCGTTTTTGGACTTTCGGATGCAACAGTTGGACCCACAATCTTCGCAATGGGCAACTCCCTCACAGATCTCGTAAGAAACTTAAACGTAGCTGTAAGTCTCTTTCCTCTACTCCCACCTTCCTATCACCTGACCCCTAGCCTTCAGGTCTCTACCTAAAGCATGGGCTACTCCACGTGCTTCGATGGGCCTGTGGTCGAATTCCAAGACTACGGCATTGGTATCTCTGGCTCCTACGCAATTTTGAACGCCGGAGGCCAGCCGCATGCGTGTCATGGATGACGCGCGTATCTTGTGAAATTTCTTTGTTAGAGCTGATGTGGTAGTTAAAGATAGAGAGATGGATCCATATACACGCTTGGAGTTTTGATTCTGATAGACGATTCTTGGGACTTGGCTATATTCAAGACGATTCTAGGACTTGGTATCAATTTAAATGTTACATCCGCATCTGATGAACTCTGCATCGCGTACGCATATATTCAAATTCATGATCATTTTAGCTTCTCCCTGAACCAGCTTACATCGAAGGCATACCCCTCGTGACTCTTAACAAGTTGGACACTTTCCACCTTTATCCAACCTTGCATCAGGATGAATCCCGCGATCAATGCCGAGTCATGTCTTTGCATCATGGCCGCTGTGTGAGATAATGAGTGAGCTGCTCAGCTACTTCTGGAGCCAAGTACTGATTATACCAGGTTTTGGCTTCGGAACGGTCCCTCTGTATGCAGTCGATAGTATTCACTGAAGCAGGCGTGAGAAAATAAGTGAATGGCTTGACGCGACGGGTGATTCGGGTTCGATAAACACCCCCCAGATGACTTGTTCAGGTGCGACGGGTGGATGAGCCGGCCAGCTTATGTTGTTCCATGCGCGGACCGGCTTTGGTGCCACGATCTCAAAAAGAGTACCCATGTTGCGCTGCGGATATATAGATTGCTGGCCAATAGCTCCGTAGTTGTGCTGGTCGCGGGTTGGGAAAAAAACTTCGTCATCTTCCCGCCGCCATTCGTCCCATTTGACCCAGTCGTCTAGGTAAGTCTGCCCATCATCGTCCCACGGACAGCTGAGTGTAAAGGGATCATTTTCGTATTGCACGTAACCGGAGGGCTCCTCATTGGCTTGTACGGGCATGGGCTGGGTCGAGCAGACGGCCGAGCCAGCTTGTAAATCCTCGTGGACAGCTGCCATGACAGCAGTAAAATGATCCACCGAAAGGTCTTGCTGTTTTGCTACTGCGTCCCGCCAGTAATTGACAAAATAGTCCGTGTAGGTAGGAGTGCGGTCCGCGAAGGACAGGTTGAGCCAGTTCGAGGAAAGGCTAGCAAGAGTTTCGAGAGCCAAGGGGTTACATGTGTTGGCATCCCCAAGCAGATTCGTAGCCGCCTTCCCCTTGGAAGAGCGTCTGGAGCGCCTGCGCTTGAATTTATGAAGAGATGAGTCGTTGGAGTATGCAGAAAAGCAAGAGGTATGGGGTGAAATGTCCTGGGGAACGATGGAGAAGGAAGACATGACCTCTGCATCAGAGACGCTGGATTCGCAGGCGGAATGCGAGAGAGTGAAGTCGGACTTCTGGAGCCTGCCAGAAGTGAGTAATTGCTGCATTTCAAAAGCCATGGATGAAGAGAAGTTGTATGAGTATGCAAGATGGAGTTGTAGTTCAAGTTATGAGAGCGATGAGAAAGTCAGAGTGTGAGATTGTATACCTCTTGAATGACGAGACCAATTAAACTGTATGCATGACATTACAGTGAGACATGTGTGAGCTGAGGGACGTCATGATTAGAATTGAATTGAGTCGCCCCCTAGTCAGAATCGTAATTACTCACTCACCTGAGACATCCGCATTTCAATAGGCGGGCCGCGACAGCCTGCTACTAGCAGCTCAACTATAGCTAGTGAGCGTGGCGGATCGACTGACTTCAAGGTCTGACCATGATGGAAGAGTCCTAAGATGAGCGCAGCTAGGAGTGCATGGCGGTTGTAACTCGGCATGCTCCGCAAAGTTCAAACCGCACACTTCTTCTAGAGAACCTTCCCACGACTTTGAAGTTGAGTCCTTTGAATTTTCAACCTATAATTCTGGGCGTCGTATGAGAAACTTGTCATCCGACCAAGGTCATTCCACCCAACACCTGTCACTTTTTCGTATGCTCCAACGACTCACGGTGCGATGTCGGCCCTCCATAGCACCTCGTGGACTGCTGTCATTGCACTAGGACTTATGGTGTCACTGAGCTGTCGGAGGTGGGCGGTCAAGGGCACGTCGTAGACTCGTAGTGGTGTCGAATCCCTGCCTTTGCGTCACTTTGTCGCCGCTGTTACAAATGGTACAATGTAAATACTTAACATGTTACATTCCCATCTGATGAACTCTGCATCGCATTCGCATATATTCAAATTCATGATCATTTTAGCTTCTCCCTGAACCAGCATATATTGAAGGCGTACCCCTCGTAACTCTCAACAAAGTTGACGGTGGATTCAGCCAAGGGTAGTGGACCACGGCTGATAGACATGCTCAATTGGATGCGCAGCTCCATTTATATGGATCTGCGATCCTGGCTAAAAGCCTCTGAATATTGTGCCGTCGATATTATCATCTGCCATGAAAATTAAGGAGACATCCACACAAGGCATACAGGTCTCCCTGCAGGCTGCAGCCAGTACATATCCGATTTGACACGCCGACTCCCTACGAAAAAAGTTCAAAAAACGTTACTTCTGACTAAATTCGCTCGTCTTTGATTAATAGTGTTTGAAGGGCCAATGGCGCGCGTCTCCGGTGGGGCCTTGCGATTCACTGTTCTGTGTTGCCTTTCATGTAAATTGACGGTCTGCGACTTAGTACTGTTGCTGTGCGCCCTGAAATGTTTGATGCGGCAGCCAAGATGTAGCACATGTACTAGTAAGTACATACCATCATCTTCGGATCTGTGCACCATGCTGAGGATTATACTCCAGTGCTGGACAATTAAATTTAGAGACACCGTAAAATGATCATACGTACACCGTGAGTCCGTGACCTTGCCGTGCAATTGCCGTGACCCGTCCCCAATCATCAGGTACACGTTCGCAAGAACGTGGATGACGACATTCAATTACACAGCTCGTATGGGATGTCTGGATGTCTGTGCATGGATCGCGTATATATATATATTGACCTGGAACTATGTCGGTTCGTTCGCATACATTAGTATGAGTGCTTCGTTGCCAGTGACTCAAACTGACGCCGCGTTCTTAGGCTTGGACTTAAACGTGAGTGCAAGTCCTGCTATCGTTTCCAAGTCAATCCTGGATCACTGATGCGCTCGTCCCAGTACATATATGGTACAGTCATTATCCGTTATCGGTTGCTTTCAACCGTTGATCCTTCATGTTGTTTCTCCCGATAGTTGCACTAATATCGCTTTGGGTGAGCTTTAGAATTTACCACACCCGATTGGCAGAGACTTATGTTTCATTTGGTCATCCAGTTGTATGACTACATACTGTGCCTGCCCGACGCGGCAAGTAGAACTTTACTCGAGCGTCCAAGATTACTCTGATCTGTGGCCGGTGCAGGTCACTTTTGTCGCAAAGTCTCGATGGGGGATCGGCACATTTCTGTATCTAGCTTGCAGCCACCTGCCGCTTGCCTTCATATTACTTAATATGCTTGGTGAGTGTCCGACACGCATCTCTGTTTTTCCCTTCCTCATAGTACAATCCCTTTCATAACGGTTTTCAGTGGTTTTTCGGCCTGATTCCACACCCCATGTATGTGTAACCAAGTTGAAGCGTCGCAGACCATAGAATTCAACCCATCCAAATCATAGCTTTGCCGCTCTTATAATATCGCTAATACCTGTGGGTTTGATGACATCACTTCCTGACACATACTGACGCCGTGTCCAATACCTCATCAGATGTAGGCATATTGACGATGTTTTGCGCTGAGTGTGGGTTCAGCAACCGTGCTAGCCAGCAGTACTTCTGCGCTCTAATATTTGCATTGGTCTAGGCATCTTCTTACTCAGAATATATGCAGTATGGGAGCGGGAAAGACGGTTCGCGGCGTTCTTATTCGTCTCCATCATTGTGAGACCAATATATGGAGGCTATGGCTAACTATAGATGTCTGACTCGCCTTCTCCAGGCCTATTTAGTGCCAATTACCGTCTGCCTGCACCAATTTAACTTGTCAGTCTCCGGTGTGTACACATTCAAGTTGGGCAGGCAAAGCTCCTTACCTTTGGCATACAGAACCATGTTGGATCCCTGGCATCTCCGGATATCTGGATACGAAGTCAAGCTCCAGAATGTATGGAGCGTTTGGATTGCTAGCCGCCGCCGAGTTACGTTCGTATTGGGAACTGCTGCTAACACGAGCTTGAACTGACTGCACTGGCATGCCCTTGCGTGCACACAATTCAGACATATTGTTGCTTCTGTTGTATCGCACCCTCAAAGGTCAGGGTGGCTGGGGGATCGAAAACCGCCTCATGCGTAATCTCATGCAAGATAATTTGCTATACTGTGGTTGCGGCTGTGGTTGGTGCTCAGTGCTCACATGACTTCATCTTGCGTACTTACTTGCAATGTTTATAGCTTTTTCTCTCAGTATAATCTTCGCCACAATGTTTTTTCTGGTAAGTTAATTTATACGTTCGAGTCCGTCCCATCGTTAACAAGAGACGTAGTTTCCAGTTGCACACATGCTTGCAGAGTCTGTCCATTCTCACTTTGTAGTAGGTGATAGTTACTTACTCCTCAGCAGGTGTGGGGTTGTTGTTCAAGCCCTCTTAGTCACGCGAATGCACAGGGACTTCTGGACATCGGACCGTGCTTCGTGCGGCATCAACACAGATGCCTCTTTCACAACGTGGTTGGCAAGAGCTCCAGATATTACGTGATGGTGTGCTTCCTCCGCGAGGTCATCATGATCGTGCAACTCTGTCGATGAAGAGACAATGCCTGTACTCGTGTATGTGACCATTACGCAGATTCTCATACGGGCGAGGGTCAAAAACGGACCAACAATTTATCGTCTCGCCTAGCCAGACCAATCGAAGGCAGACAGTCGTTCTCCTGGTTCCTTTAGCTCGACGTACCGTGACCACCGGTTTCTTCGTTCGCAAAACACCTATTCTCTTATCCCAATGCTTTGGCATACACTTGTTTCGTTTACCGCGTTCAAATTCAAGCTGTGCATCACTTCATTGTCGCCTCCCGATATCTATTCTACATGTAAATGTAAAGGTCTAAATACATCTAACTAGTTATTGATAACATATTGGTACACTGTACGATTGTCGAAGAATATTGTGATGGTACGAGGAGCTCTAGACCCAATCGCGACGCATCGAGTGCAATATTCTTTCTACGGTCGTTGCGCATCATTGCAACACCTCAGGCATAAGAAATATCGCGAAGACCTATCATGCTATGCAACATCCTCCTGATCGTACGGATGACTTATCCGAGTCACTACTGTCAGGCTCATTGGCGGCAGAAGCACTAAACTTTTCATCCCTGACATCACGATGGTCATCTGGGTCGCTGTAGCTCTCTGTGGTTTCCAGCGTAGCCATACGTTTTGGTTCCAAGCGACCAAGCATCGCCTGCACATATGCGTTTTCCTGTCCTTCCCACTCTAGCTCAGACGAAGGTCCCCAGCGTTCTTCCACCTTCTTTGCCAAGTCCCGCCGTCCAAACCTCAGTAACGAGAGTATGACGGCTCGCTGCGCCGACTCGAGCGCACCCACAACCCATGCGTGATGCGCACTCGAGGCCTCCCCCGCAAAGTGCAATTTTCCGTCAGCAGCAGGACGCGCGAGGTACGGGTACAGGTGACTGAACTGCCCCGGCGTAAATATCGCGAATGCCCCACCGGAGAATGGATTATCTCTCCAGTCCAATGCATGATGTGTAATATACTGCGCTGCCAAAAAGTCGTAGGTGATCCCAGATCTGGCGTGCAAGCGTGCAAGGTCTTGCAATACGACTTCCATGAGCCGTGACTCCCCGGAAGGTGAGTCCCGGTTAATCAGGGTCCCTATACGTTGGGCATCCTGACCCACTGTGTAGGAGGCGATGAGCACAGCGGGCTTCCTCGGGTCATCATGGATGCTGTGGGACGGATAGCAACACGCGCGGATGGGGATATCGCCGATTGCTACACCACCCTCTGTGATGCCGCACCGTGTGATCCACCATGGGGTCTTGAACTTTATCGCAACTTTGCAAGCTGTATCGTATCGCAAGCAGCGCAAGGCATCCCTTTGCGCAGGGTGCAGCTCGGCACCAACAAGATCCATGTTTTGCGAGCATCCCAAGGGTGTGGTGTTGAAAACCGTGTCATAATGACGGATGGATGACTGACCCAATGAGCTGACGAGCTTGACTTCAACCTTAGACACCTTCGATTGGGCACGTTTCAAAGCGATGCGAGTGGCCGTAGTGCGATACTCGGGTGTATGAGGAGCAATTCTGTCCAGCATAGCAGAAACTGCAACTGATGAGCCGCCATCTATGCAATTCCATCCATAGTTCTCCCAATCGTGGAAGTCCGAGCTTAGAATAACATATTCAGTAAAAGATTGGTCAAAGAAGTCGCTGGGGCTAATACAAACTTCAGTAGAAATCACGATGGAGTTAAAGCAACGTCGTACGCAATGTTTGTCTCTAACCATTGACTCGTGTGATAATCAAGTTGCCTAGTAATCGATTAATACAAACGATTGTGAATTATGGAGCACCGACTGACATATACGTGCGCAAGTATTCTCTGATTGAGCAGTCGTCCACCTCCATGAGCTTTTTGAAACCTTGCCCGAAGTCTTCCCTCAGAAGCTGAAGGTAGGGTGCTAACGCCAGCTGAAGAATTTTCTGTACTCCAATGGCCACATACCTGGCCTCAAACATTAGCATACCATGCGCAAGAAAACAGAACAGCTTCATACTCATCTGGGACCGTACCGCCATTCTTGACACCGAATTTGTATGGGTCGTACTCCGAAAGGTTCAAAGGCGGGCCCAAGATGTTGTTGAACATCATCGGGGTATTCCTTCCGTTCATGTAGTAGGGAATCAAGGGAACATTCAACTCTTCGAATAGAGCAAGTGCTCTGATGTCCATGTTAAAATTGTGGAGTCAGAACCAAACGGCCTGCTAACTTTTTCATCGTTGGAAATGCAGGCCAACGCATAGCTCCTGCGTCATAGTAGTCATTGGGAGCCTCGCTGAATCTATGTGTGTATAAGCGTCCCCCGGCGCGGTCCGAGGCCTCCACGAGATCAAATGGTATACCGAGTTCCTTCAGAATCATGGCGATGTACAGCCCAGCTACACCAGCGCCAATAATACAGAATTTGACATCCAGAGGGACACTGTCATCCAGATAGGTTTCTTCTTCAAGGGGATGACCGGCACCCGAAAAAGGATCTTTCAAGCAGATACCACCTATGGCTGGGAGATCAACGGGTGGCTCTGCATCGTGGGACTCACGGAGAGTACGGAGTTCGCGGGTGATGTTCTCGCGAATGAGTTGACGAGCGTAACGTGCTGTAAAGGAGAGTTCGTCAACTGCCATGATCAACAGAGGGTAAAGAGGGATACTAGAGTGGAGCTAGAGAGAGGTGAGAATTAATTGAAACTGAAGAGCCGTTGCTCGGATCCGAGGAGGCGCAAATGAAGCCATGGGTGCTGACTTAAGATTCGCATACAGCACTCTCGACCCATGACATTGTCACTGTGCAACCCGCAACCTCCTGGCTCGAATTTCTAACAAGCACGTTCAGACCGCGCGCCTCGCACACTGTATGTCCCGGGAAGATAGATGATGCCAAAGTAAGTTCAAGATGAACACTAATCACTTCTCACTGTCAAGCAATGTCCTTACTACAGACTGCAGTAATTATGCATCGAGAAGACTCAACCTTGATTTAAAGCCATTCAGCATGCATACGTTCAGATGTTTGAGACACGTCAATGGTTAAGATATCTGTCTCGAGGGGTCAGCAGAGACTAGGTACAAAAGAGGACATAGCTGAGTTGCCGAGATGGACGATTGGCCGTACCTGCTCACCCATCGCTACTTTTTGTAGCCGGCTGAGGCAAAATGCCACTTGCCTCAGCCCTATTCCACCCGTATGGGATAAGAGACAACATTGAACAAAGGAGAATGGTACTCGCACGCAGCAGCTGTGTATGGACACAACTACTGCCAGTCCGCTCTGAGCCCGTGCAGCTACAACTTCAGACTGCTCTTGTGAAATGGCAACGGCGCAACGGAAGAGTCCTCGTAGTACGCCTAAGAAGGCTAGCTTTAGGCTTGCAATTGAAGGGAGCAGGCGGTGCTAAGGCTATGCGGGTGCGACGCTGACGCCGGTACCTCAAGCGAACCCGGATGCTGCCGTCGCAGCCTGCAGGGTAGGAAAACAATCGCCAGGAGGTTGGTTTCATGAGTAGTATGTAAGAGTCAAGGATGCCAATCGATGAACGTTCGATGATTAAAAGATAAACTGATCCGAATGACACCGCGGGCCGAAAACGTCCAGGTCGGTCCAAGCGCTGACCGTACATCATACGATATGTACTAACTGGTTGGTGGCGTCAGCTTGCCATAGCCCAGACGATTAGTTGATATAGCCATACACACTAGATCAGTCCACTATACCTGATTTTCACTATCGCCGCCGAGCACCTTAAATACCACTTTCATCCGCTGCACTCGCGATGGCCCAGTCCACAGGCAAAATGAAGCTTGCAGTCCTCACTTCGGGAGGCGACAGCGCTGGCATGAATGCTGTCGTCCGTGCCATCGTCAAGATCGGCATCTTGAGGTGTGTTTTGAAAAGCTAGAGGTTGTTCCAATTCTCACGTCTGCATCGCATTCAACTTCCATCGACATTTATAGAGGCTGCGAAACATGGATTGTACGGGAAGGATATGAGGGACTTGTGAGGGGAAACACACAGGCGCATACAATTCATGCAGACCTTCCAGCTGATGCATCTGCACTAAAATGTGCTCATCGAGGAGTACCCACCAATCTTACGCAGAATCTCCGTTTTGGAGATGGTGACCTTCTACGAGATGGAACGGGTGATCATCACCATGGCCGCACATTGAAAGGTCGATATATCGTTCGTGTGGGATGGGATGATGTCAGGGGTTGGTTTTCTGAGGTGCCTATATGCATGTTTCCTACAGCGCATGTGTGCTAAATGTTACCCGGCAGGGTGGTACTCTCATTGGAACAGCTCGATCTGCAGCCTTCCGCACCCCAGAAGGTCGTCTGTCTGCTGCTCACAATCTCATCAAAGAGGGAATCGACGCTCTTGCTGTCTGTGGAGGTGACGGTTCTCTGACCGGTGCCGACCTATTTCGCTCTGAATGGCCTTCCCTCGTATCGCAACTGCTCACCCAGGGCAAAATCACAGAAGAGCAGGCAGAGAAGCACGGACATCTCAAGATCGTTGGCCTTGTTGGCTCGATTGACAATGACATGAGCATGACAGATCTGACTATCGGTGCACCGACAGCATTGCAACGTATTTGCGAAGCTATTGACAACATTAATTCAACTGCTGCAAGTCATTCGCGTGCATTTGTGCTGGAAGTGATGGGGAGGCACTGTGGTTGGCTTGCTTTGCTTGCTGGTGTCAGGTACGTTGTGATTACTGTCAATATACAACGCTTATAGTACTGCAGTTCTGGAGCAGACTTCATCTTCATCCCTGAGCGCCCACCCCAAACTCTCCCTGGGGGGACCTGGGAGGATGACATGTGTGAAGCCATTCGTAGCGTAAGCTAAATCTTTTTTGATCTCCGTTATTGTTTCAACCCTCCTTCACAGCACAGAGAAGCTGGCAAGCGTAAAACAATCGTCATTGTCGCCGAGGGTGCGATCGATGCGGATCTTCAGCCTATTCGCGCAGAATACGTCAAAGAAATCCTCACTGAGCGTGTTGGGCTCGACACCCGTGTCACAACTCTTGGACACACCCAGCGCGGTGGGAGACCTTGCGCTTTCGATCGAATTTTGGTAGGTCTTCGTGATTGATTTATTCATTATTGCTTATCACAACTCGTTTCAGCCGACACTACAAGGCGAAGAGGCCGTCAAGGCGCTATTAGAGGCTACGCCTGAAACTCCTTCGTACATGATCGGTGTAAGGGAGAATAAAATAACCCGTGTGCCACTCATGGAGGCAGTTGCGATGACCCGTGCGGTAGCTGATGCAATCGGCGCGAAGGACTTTACAAAAGCAATGTCCATGCGTGACCCCGAGTTTTTCCAGAGTTTAGAAGGTTTCCATGCCACCTCAACGCTATTCAAAGAGAAGCAACTGCCCCATCACAGAGTAAGTTTCTCGTATCCCATCAAGGCTTATCTGATATCTTTCTTCGCACAGAGGATGCGTGTTGCAATTTTGCAGTACGTCTTCTACACGATATCTTACAAATAGTTTTCTCACTCTACACAGCATGGGCGCCCCAGCTGGCGGCATGAATGCGGCCACCCGAGCTGCAGTACGTTACTGTATCAAGCAAGGTCATCGCCCACTCGCAGTGCACAACGGCTTCCGCGGTTTGCTTGACGATAATATTCACGAGCTTTCCTGGCTCGGTGTCGATAACTGGACCTCTCGCGGCGGTTCTGAGCTCGGCACAAACCGTACTCTTCCAGATGTTGACCTGGGCGCTGTAGCTGCACGTTTCCAGGAGCATAATTTCCATGCACTTCTGATGATCGGCGGATTTGAGGCGTTCAATGCACTGTTGATCCTTGAGACGGGGAGGAAACATTACCCTGCGTTCCACATCCCAATGGCCCATCTCCCAGCCACGATCTCAAATAACGTGCCGATGACGGAGTTCAGCTTGGGTAGCGACACGAGCTTGAATGCACTTGTTGATGCGTGCGACTCAATCAAGCAGAGCGCGAGCGCGAGTAGGAACCGGGTGTTTGTAGTTGAAACGCAAGGTGGCCAGTGTGGGTACCTTGCCACCATGGGTGCCTTGGCAGTGAGTACTCTGGCGCTGAAGTTCGTAGGATATGGGACTGATGGGTGTGCCTAATCAGACCGGTGCCAGCATCGTCTACACTCCAGAGCAGGGCATGAACCTTGACACACTTCGCCAGGACGTCAAATTCCTGAAGATCCGTTATGGACTAGATGCGAAGGGCAAGAGTGAAGGACGCATGGTCATTCGGTCAGTTTTGTATCTCAAACTCAGTGAATTTGCTGAGATGATTTCCCAGCAATGAGTGCGCGTCGACGGTCTACACCACTGATGTCGTGACGAAAATGTTCAAGGAAGAAGGCGGTAAACTCTTCGATGCGCGTTCCGCCTCCCTCGGACACACTCTGCAAGGTGGGATCCCATCCCCAATGGATCGCGCACGTGCCGCTCGTCTCTCCCTCCGATGCATGGCATTCCTTGAGGAACATCACGATGCCCTGCAGAAACAAGATGGCAAAGTAAAGCAAGCGCCACCTGAAAGCGCTGCAGTCATCACGATACAAGGGTCTGCCCTCAAATGGGTGCCGGTCCAGGAGATGGTGCAACATGCAGATATGAAGAACCGCAGAGGAAAGACAGCTTGGTGGGCAGAGGTTAAGGATCTTGTGGAGGCACTTGTTGGAAGGCCTGACCTGTTGTGAGTTGGCAACTTGGCACGAAAAATCATTGTCGTATGTGTTATCTGTATATAGACGTGCATGTTATATTTCATTTTCCAGTTGTATTGATAGTAGACGGTTTGTAGTCACAGATACGAGGAGAGTGATATCAATTATGTTGGCAAAGTGCTTGTTGGGCGTGACCCTCTCGTCCACAATGCGCCCACAAATCCCCTCGGATTGGAGTTTACCGTAGGCCAGTGCTCAGTATGACGACAAGTGATTACAGGCAGTAAAAGTGAATTCGCTGCACGTAACCAGATGTGGCCGTTTGCCTTGTGGATGTTGCTGAAACCCGTAGCATTCGTGGCCACTCACAAGAGTGACGAACGCCTTTGTCTCCCAAGATGAATTCGACCACATCGACGGTGACCATGGTCCACAGACAAGAGCAAAGAACAAAAGCGGAGTGTGAAAACCGAGGTTTACACAGCCACCTGGTAAGTGTTGATTTTCTCACGGCGCGTTTTAAACGTGACCTTTGCACGTTTTATATTTGCGGTCTGGTTCTGGTTTTCCCAAGTCTTGACTTGACTTGACTTATATCTCTTTCTCTAACTTGTCAATACTAGACTGTTACAGTCTAAGATGCCACCAACGTTATCACCACGACCTGACCTTCCGTTCAAACATCAGAACCCCCATATCTCTTCTCGTAAGTCCTTTTCTCATATGCTTGTCTACATCCTGACCCTCGCCTAGTCGACCTCTCTAAATTGCCTCCTGTCAAATATCAGTCGCTTGATCGCGATGGCCATGAGGTTTTGGTACGTCTATCCATTATCTCATCCTTATCACAACCTGACCCCTTCTAGGTGGGGCGCATGAAGATTCCTACAGTATGTTCGGTCAAATCCAATTTGATTATAGCTAATGGATCAATCATATCTAGCCCGGTGGTCATGCCTTTATCTTGAGGCGTTTTGATACGGGTGCCATCAGTCTGACTACTATGTTCCGGGCCGCCTTCCCCACCGCTTCTGAAGCTGATGAACGTCGTGAAACCGTCTGGGTAAAGGATACCTACGATCTCGCTGGAAACAATGGCTCCGCGAAGGAACCTGCTATCGTGCGCCTTGCTGGAACATGGGTCGGCCCTGACGTCGCTCTCCTTCCCGAATTTGCGCAAACATATGGTTTGGGCGGCGTCATCCCTCATGTCGCCAAGGCCACCCCCGACCCCTCTGCAGCCTACCGTCGTTCTTCGACAAAAACGACACCCAAAGCAGCACCGAGATCCTCTCCTGCTGCAACTAGTACCCTCCCAACTCCTGCTCCGTCAATCACACTCCCGACCCCAAAACGCAGGCGGGAAGCTTCTCCCGTACTGGTCACAGATCCTCCGCCTTCCAGCTTGCCTCCCCCACGGCGATCAGCGCGGACCAAGAGTCCAGCACCTGTCCCAGTCTCCTTGCCGGCCAAGTCGCCAGTCAAGCCCAGATCACCAGCTCCTCGCGCGCCAGCACATCGTTCACCGGCACCTCTCTCGCCCGCGACCAAATCTCCCAAGACTGTCAAGTCATCTGCACGAGCCGTGCGGATCATTGAAGTAACTACTCCAGGGGGGTCAGACGAGACTGTTGTGGAAGAGGAGGCGGAGACAATTGAAATTGCACACCCAAATATGTCTCAGGACATAGCTGAGCAGAAGGAATTGATTGAGCGGTTGAAGGCGGAGCGGGATGCACCGTCGATGGAGACCGACTCATTAAAGCGCGCGAGGGAAGATGAAGATGAGAGTACAGAGTTGAGGTTTCAGTTTAAGGAACCAGAAGTGCAGGAAAGACAAATTGCAACGAACAAGCGGGTGGGAAGGTTCCATCTGGAGCCAAGGCAAAAATCATTTGCATGGGGCGTCGCGGCATTCGCGATTGGAATGAGTGCAGTGTAAGTGTTTACCAACCTGGCTTTTGATATTTCGCTGACAACAATACAGATCATTCCTCCCAAACTTATTCTAAACACGCCATCTGCTTGTCGTATCTGTTTTCCTTATTATCAGCTCTCGTTTCCGTTCTTTTCTGGTGTCATGTTAACACCTGTACGTCTGCTCCCCTGCGACACATTTCTCTCTTTATGGATCTTCATAATGTCCATTTATTCACCTTTCCGTAGTCGATTCCGGGTTCCCGGTTGACTGAGTGGGTAGATCGTTTCTATTATTAAACGTCGAGTAGGTATTGTATGCTTGTGATATTGGAACACATGCGCCGAAGGCGAAGTACACGCTGGTCTCGGCTACCCTCTTGCCACTGTAAGTATACCAACTCACGCGCGCCAATACTGGCTGGTATGTTTGAGGTACGAAGTAATGGCCACATCTCTTTGCAAGATCCAGTACGCCCTGAAGCTTGCCTTCATTAACTTACATCAAGGGATATGATATGTACAGCTATGTCGCGGTAAGATTTATCCGAGTCCTTCAAAGATCATACGCGTGCCACTGTTAGGCGTCGGTTATTCGTCTCCGGGGCTGGACAATCGATCGATGTCAATTACCCCAAGCCCACCATGGATTTGCACCCTGGGATATCCTCTCTTGAACAGCTTACCATGGCAATGCACTGCGCGCAAGTCCAACATCATCACTTACTGGTGAATTGCACCCTATCCTTCCGCTTGATCTTAAAGCTAACGGCTGCCGTGTAACACTACGGACAGCCTAAGTCTCAGTTCATCTACCGAACACGAGACCTGTCAAACGTCTGTCAGTGTCCAGTTCTTCAAAAGTTCGATCGAGATTGGCCAGGCTTCCCGTCCTTTTGCAACCGTGTTACACACAGCCTTAGCTGTTTTTTTGACGGTAACGCTGGTGCGTAGTCATCGGCGTCTATATCATGGGTATTGATTCAAAGTGTACTTACCTTGGACTTGATCATATGTCATGCAATTGATGCTACGGGTGCATAGGTGCCTCTCGCGTTACCTTTCTCTCATGGAGACAACCTAATTTTATTGGCCTGATGGCTCCTCCTGTGCCAGTGAGTCCGTGAATACCCCTGATGTTTTTGCCCTGCGCTGTCTCGGCCCATTTTTTTCTCAGCGAAGCGTCCCCTCCATCATGGTCGTGCACAAAACTTATTAAACACCTGTGTACACAGCACACGATTAAAATCGCCTTACATCGTGTCTGTGGTGCTCAAACAGAGGTCGCTACAGTGTCTGTCGTATGGTTGTTGAATGTGACCGTTGGTACGGCAGAACTAGAATAAGATGGGCAACATCGACACCAACGTTCAGGGGCCTTGTGGGATTGCGGAAACCTAAAGCCGTTTGTGATAAACATGAATGACGGTGAACAGCTTGTAAGCAATGTCGTGTACACAATGAACCACCAAGCTATTGTATTTGCATTCATGAGATGTATGGACTTTTTGATCAGACTGAGCTCATTTTGACAGACACGTGAATAATATATTGTAGTCTCAGGCCAAATCAAGCAGCCTCGTCGAGGGGACAACATGACGGTGGTTCCGAAAAAGAAACTGGACAGGATGGGTGGAGTGAGCCCGGGAGTCTGTTCCCAGTCGAATGTGTTATATCAACCTAATGCGAGTCTTGTACATTACAGAAATTCTCTCTACATGCACTACGTCAGTATAACACGTGTGGGAATCGTAGAGAGCCGAGGGGGAAAAGGAAACGGAAGAAAATTAGAAATACATTGGGTTGATTTCCAGAAAAGTGGTTTGTAGCATATACATGTATTCGAAAGACTGGAGTATCTGTCCGCCCGGCGTCCATTCTTTGGCCATCAGAGCACACCGTCACGTAACATCCAGGCCACCCGCCGCCACCCACGTTGCGAGAGAGCCATTTGTGTTGAGGCCGCAAGAAGCACGGTCCGATTTCCAGAAGTCCCTGTGCATTCGCGTGACCAAGAGGGATTGCATAATAATCTGAGTCCTGCTGCTGAATGAGTATCCCTCACCTCCTCCAAAATGAAAATGGACAAACTGTGCAAGCGCATGTGCAATTGGAATCTACGTCTCTTGTTAATAGGGCGCCCGGCTTCGAACGTATACATTAACTCACCGGAAGAAAAAGTGCAGCAAGAATGACAGCGAGGTTAAAGGCTGCAACATTTCACAAGTAAATATGTGAGGTATCTGTTGATCTGCGGGCACCAACCAAAGCTGCAGCCGAAATACAGCAGATTATGTCGCAAGAGGCTGAGCATAATACGGTTGTCAATCCTCCACCCACCATGACTCTTGACGGTGCGATACAGCAGAAATAACAATATTTCTGAAATTGTGTGTATGGATGGGAATGCAGTCAGCTCAAGCTCATGTTAACAGCCCCAATACGAACGTAATTCGGCAACAGCTAACAAGCCAAATGCTACACAAAGTCTGTATCTTGTCTCCATATCCACATATCCGGTAACGCCAGGGATAAAGCATGGGTCTGTATGCCAGAGGTTAGGAGCTTTGGCTGCCCAACTTGAATAGGTACACACCGGAGAGTGATGAGTTAAATTCCTGCAGGTAGATGATCCCTGGTACTAGATAGGCCTGCATAAGATGAGTCAGACATCGTCACCCGGTGTTGGTCTTGGCCTCCAAATATCAGTCTCACAATGGTGCTGATAACTGCGCACACTGCAATCCATCTCTCCCGTTCCCATACTGCATATGCTCTGAGTATGAATATGCCTGAACCAGTGCAAATGTTAGAGTGCAGAATCACTGCTGGCTTAGCAGCCGACTGATGTACCCACTCTCAGCGCAAACGACCGTCAGTATCCCTACATCTAATGAAGTATTGGATACGGTGTCAGTAGGTGTCAGGGAAAAGTGTCAGCAAACTCACTGGTATTAGCAATATCATAAGAGCGACAAAGCTACGATTGGAATGGGTTGAATTATATCGTCTGCGACGCTTCAACTTGGCTGCACGTACATAGAGTGGGGAATCAGGTCGAAAAATCACTGAAAGACACTATGAGGGAGGAAGAAAACGAAGAGGGTACGGGACACTCACCGAGCATATTCAGTATCATGAAGACAAATGGCAAGTGGCTGCACGCTAGATACAGAAGTGTGCCGATCCCCAATCGAGACTCGACGATTAAGGTCACCTGCACCAGCTACAGATCAAAACACTCTCGGCCGCTCAAGTAAATTTCTACTTGCCGCGTCAGGCAGGCACAGTGTGTAGTCATACACCTGGGTGTCCAAGTAAAACATGAGTCTATGCCAATCGGATGTGGTAACTTCTATAGCTCACCCACAGCGATATTAGTGCAACTATCGGGAGTAGCAAGGTGGCAACATCAACCGCTGAAAGCAACTGATAGTAGATAACAACTGCACCATAAGCGTGCTGGGACGAGCGCATCAGTGATCCAGGATTGACTTGGGACTCGATAGCAGGCCTTGCACTTACCTTGACGTTCAAGCCTGAGGCTGAGACCGCGTCGACTTGAGTCACTGGCAACGAAGCACTCATACTAATATGTGCCAGCAAACTGACATCACTCCAGGTCAACATATATATACGTGATCCATGCACAGTCGTACAGGCATCCCATACGTATACGAGCTGTGTGATGTCGTCATCCACGTTCTTGCGAACGTATACCTGATGATTGGGGAGTCGGCAACTCAACTTGAACGTTCAACTCCGATCAAAAATCAATATTAATCAATGATAGGGCCACGGTGTACGTATGATCAATTTACGGTGTCTTATAATTAATTGTCCAGCACCGGAGTATAATCCTCAGCATGGTGCACAGATCCGAAGATGATGGTATGTACTTACTAGTACATGTGCTACATCTTGGCTGCCGCATCAAACAAGGGCGCACAGCAACAGTACTAAGTCGCAGACTGTCAATTTACATGAAAGCGTCACAAGGCCCCACCGGAGACGCGCGCCATTGGCCCTTCAAATATTGATGGCCCGGGTAGGGCATGAGTTATCTGTTTGCCTTGTGCGGATCAGATGATTATATCGACGGCACAACATTCAGAGCCTCGCCCTTAGCCAGGATCGTGGATCCCTATAAAGCCTTTTATAATTGCAATGAACACAATCATTTTTAAAGAACTCTTACCACCAAAGTATTCCCCGCGAATATAATCTTTTGAGTGAGTCTCGACGTTCACTGGGCCCCGGTGACTGGGGTTCATAACCTAACCAGAGAGGATTGTGCAAGCACATCGACAGGGTATCGTAGATAGCCGAAGGGAGGGAAAGCAAAACGAAAGAAAACTTGTTTGTATTGCATAAGAGACTGAATTTGATTGCCAACACTGAGCAAAGCCATTTGCAGTATAGTGTTCGACCCAATTTATTAGACGCCATCCCTCCGTTGTTTGGCCCTCGCCTGTATAAGAGTAAAGGTATCGTCTCCTCATCGTTCGGGCGTCAGCTGTACGATCATGATGATTTGGCGGAGGAAGCACATCGTCACATGGTATCTAGAGCTCCTGCCATCCACGTTGAGAGAGCGGCCATCCACGTTGTAAGAGAGGCATCTGTGGCGATGCCGCAACAAGCACGGTCCGATCTCCAGAAGTCCCTATGCATTCGCGTGACCAAGAAGGCTTGAACAACAATCTGGCATCTGTGCCGAATAAGTGACCATCATCTCCTCCAAAGTGAGAATGGACAAACTCTGCAAGCAGGTGTGCAATCGGAAACTACGTCTCTTGTTAATCGGGTGGCTTCAAACCGTATACGTTAACTCACCGGAAGAAGAAGTGTGGCGAGAATGACACTGAGAGAAAAAGCTGTGACATTTAGCAAGCAAATATGATGTTCATAAGTGAGCACCAACCAAAGCCACAGCCACAGTACAGCAGATTATCTCTTATGAGACCACGCATGAGACGGTTGTCAATCCCCCAACCACCGTGGCCCTTGACTCGATACATCAGAAGCAATAATGTTTCTGAAATTATGTGCATGCAAAGGGTCAGTTCAAGCTCGTGTCAGCAGCAGCTCCCAATACGAACGTAACTCGGCGATAGCCAGCAAGCCAAATGCTATATATATTCTGGAGCCTGTCTCCGTATCCAAATATCCAGTAACGCCAGGGATATAACATGGTTCTGTATGCAAGAGGCAAGGAACTAAGCAGGCAAAGAGTTCAACTTGAATGTCTACACACCTGGAACTGACAAGTTAAATTCTTGCAGGCAGTAGGTGATCGGCACCAAATAAGCCTGCAGAAGATGAATCAGAGATCATGATCTATAGTTGGCCGTAACCTCCATATATTTGGTCTCACAATGATGCAAACGATCTCCACCGCTGCGAACCATCTCCCCCGTTCCCATACTGCATATGCTCTGAGTGCGAAGATACCTGAACCCAGTGCGAATATTAGAGCGCAGAATCACTGCTGGTTAGCATAATTGCTAGACCTACACTCTGCACAAATCATCGTTGCTATCCCTATATCTGATGAGGTATTGGACACAGAATTAGCACGTGTCATGGCGAAGTGCCACCAGACCCACAGGAATTAGCGATATTATAAGAGCGGCAAAGCTATGATTCGGATGAGTTGAATTCCAATGTTTGCGACACTTCAACGTCACACATACATGGAATGGGGAATCAGGCTGAAAAACCACTTAAAGCATCATACCGTGAGGGAGGAAAAATGGAGATGGACACTGGACACCCACCGAGCATATTCAGCAACATGAAGGCAAGTGGCAAGTGGCTGCAAGCTAGATACAGAAATGTGCCGAGTCCCCATCGAGACTCGACGATAAAAGTGACCTGCACCGGCTACAGATCAGAGTACTCTTGGACACTTGAGTAAAGTTCTACTTGCCGCGTCGGGCAGGCACAGTACGTAGTCATACAGCTGGATGACCAGATGTAATCATAAGTCTCTTGCTAATCGGGTGTGGTAACTTCTATAGCTCACCCAAAACGATAATAGTGCAACTATCGGGAGAAGCAATATGAAGGATCAGCGGCTGAAAGCGACCGATAATGAACAATGACGGCACCATAAACGTACTGGGAGGAGCGCATCAGTGATTCAGGATTGACTTGGAATCGATAGTAGACTCGCACTCACTTTTAAGTTCAAGCCTGAGAGCGCGTCGGCTTGAGCCGCTGGCCACGAAGCATTCATATTGATGTATGCCAGCAATTCGACATCGCTCTAGGTCAATATAAGGGAAGTATGCATACTATGCACAGCCCCAGCACCTCACACGACCACGGAGAAGACATACGTAAATCTGCTGGCTGCGTAAAGTCATCCACGTTCTTGCGAACGTACACTCCATAATGGACGGGAAACTCCTTGACATGATAGATTACAGGATGTAAAAGTCCAATGCAACAGATCACTCCATTCCATAGACTCGTAACCACTGGCAGCCTATCCATTCCATGCATGTCTTTGATTGGCCATACCTTCAACTGTGGCGCCATCTGGTGGAGGTTAATATTAATATCAGCGCCGAAGAGGACACATGTGCTACATCTTGGCTGCATCAAGGGTTCCAAAGCGCGCACCAGCCTATCCCACAGTCATGACGTTGTCAATGCTGTTTAAGACGGAGCCTGCAATGCCCTCAGAGGATTTGCCAGGCGGCTATTTTGAGGGTGATGATGTCGGGACGGGTCTGATGGAAGAAGCATTATGTGATGGATTCGATTGCATTCGTACGAGTGGGTGTCAAAGATGAGGAAACATCGTGTGCTAGATATCATCGCACGGAAGATTTCGTTAACATAGTAGTACTTAGTACCCAAAAGTAATAATGTAGGCAGACTTCCGAGCCACCCACTTCAAAAATTCATGTATTTTTTCTCACGCCTGCTTCACAGATTTGTTCTTCCTGGTTCCAGCTGTGAAGCTTGCGACCGTGACATTGCGGTACTGAATCGATTAATCTACGACAGGCTGGATCTGGGCTGGATGTATATATTTTTGCGCAAGATGACTTAATTCTAGCAGCTCCTCGACAAAGAGACAATTGAACAGGTTGGTGTGTATCTGCAGGCAACTCGAAACATTATTCGCCTGGCAACTAGGGCCGCTCACAGAGTATGAACATAGGGCGATCCTGTGATACGGAACACTGCAGTGTACGCTCGTTCACAACGTAGAGAGGGATAATTGCGTCATATACACGTTCTCATTCTCACTCTCATGTACCACGTCACTAATGAGTGTGAGTATCGCAGAGAGTCGATGGGAAAAGAGGGTAACGAAGAACAACTTGTGTTTGTGTACACTGATTGGGATTTCCAGCAGAGCCAGCCGCTTGTGGCAGTACGTAAGGGACACATGTTCAACGATACTATCTGATCATTTTTGAACTTCGCCCGTAGGAGAGTCTGGGCAATGGTCTCATACATGAATCGAGGGCCGTTTCGCTCCAAGTATCGTTGTATCTTCATTGATTGGATGCCAGCTGCACAATCATGCGGAGGGAGAATACCGCCACGTTAAATCTGGAGTTCCTGTCATCCACGCTGTGAGAGTGGCATCTGTGGCAATGCCGCAAAAATCACGGTCCGATCTCCAGAAATCCCTGTGCATTCGCGTGACCATGAGGGCCTGAAAAACAACCTGAGACCTGTGCCGAATAAGAATCATCACCTCCTCCGAACTGAGAATGGACAAACTCTGCAAGCAGGTGTGCAATTGGGAACTACGTCTCTTGTTAATGGGCGTCCGACTTCAAATGTATACATCAACTCACCGGAAGAAAAAATGTAGCAAGAATGACGCTGAGAGAAAAGGCTGTAACGCAAGTAAATACGCGAAATGTATTCGTTTGTCTGTGAGGACCAACCAAAGCCGCAACCGCAGTACAGTAGATTATCTTGTAGGAGACCACGCATGAGACGGTTGCCGATCCCCAAGCTACCATGGCCTCGGACGACGCGATACAGCAGAAGCAACAATGTTTCTGAAATTAAATGCATGCAAAGGCACGCAGTCAGTTCAAGCTCGTGTCAGCGGCAGCTCCCAATACGAACGAAACTCGGCGATAGCCAGCAAGCCAAATGCTATATATATTTTGGAGCTTGTCTCCTTATCCAGATATCCAGTAATGCCAGGGATATAGCAGGGTTCTGTATGCCAGAGGCAAGGAACTAAGCAGGCAAAGGGTTCAATTTGAATGTCTACACACCTGGAACTGACAAGTTAAATTCTTGCAGGCAGTAGGTGATCGGCACTAAATAAGCCTGCAGAAGATGAATCAGATATCGTTATCTGGAGTTGGCCGTGGCCTCCATATATTTGGTCTCACAATGGTGAAAACGACCTCCACCACTGCAAACCATTTCTCCCGTTCCCATACTGCATATGCTCTGAGTGCGAAGATGCCTGAACCAGGGCAAATGTTAGAGCGCAGAATCACTGCTGGTTAGCACGACTGCTGGACCCACACTCTGCACAAAACATCGTCAGTATCCCTACATCTGATGAGGTATCGAATACAGGGTCAGTATGTGTCATGGCGAAGTGCCATCAAACTCACAGGTATTGGCGATATTATAAGAGCGGCAAAGCTATTCGGAAGAGTTGAATTCCAACGTCTGCGACGCTTCAACTTGGTTGCACATACATGAAGTGGGGAATCAGGCCGAAAAACCACTTAAAGCCATCATGAAAACATCGCGCCGTGAGGGAGGATACAATAGATACGCGTACCAGACACTTACCGAGCATATTCAAAAACATGAAGACAAGTGGCAAGTGGCTGCAAGTTAGATACAGGTATGTGCTGAGCCCCCATCGGGACTTTACGATAAAAGTCACCTGCACTGACTACAAATCAGAGTACTCTCGGACGCTCGAACAAATTTCTACTTGCCGCGTCAGGCAGGCACAGTATGTAGTCATACACCTGGATGACCAAGTAAAACATGAGTCTCTGCTAAGGACATCGCAACTTCTATAGCTCACCCAAAGCGTTACTAGTCCAACTATCGGAAACAACAACATGAGCGCTCAGCCGTTGAAAGCGACTGATAGTGGAAAATGACTGCACCATAAATGTACTGGGATGTGGGCATCAGTGATTTGGACTCGATAGCAGGACTCGCACTCATTTAATACCAAGCCTGAGAGGGCATCAGCATGGGTTGCTTGCAAAGAAGCACTCGTAAAATTTATGCCAGCCAATCGACATTGCTCCAGCCTGGTCGATATAAGAGAAGTATGCACGCACGGTCCGAGCATCCCCACGGAGAAGGCATACGGGAGAAAAAATCTGCGAGGTCGTTACATCCCCCTTCTCACACGAAGGTTCCCTATCAATGATTGGCGACTCCCGAGTACTTCATAGCCGCGGATAACTCCCCGATCACGACCCCGTTTAATTTGCGGGTCAAAAAGAAGGACCGTGTATCACGTGCTACATCTTGACTGCATCAAACATTTCAGGGCGCGCACCTACAAGGTCCCATAGTCATGACGCATATCCATCGTGCAATTGAGAGGGGTATGTCTCTCAATGGATAAGAATTGTGCATTGAAAGAATGAAAAAAAACAGGCCACGTTGAGGGTCATGATGTCTTGAGTCTTGACGATAGTTGCAGGTGTCCAAGTTAGTCAGCACAAGCAACGTTATGCGGTGAATTTGCCATTTGACAGTGAGTGCCAAAGATACGGAAGCGGCCTGGGCCAGATATCATGTTGTGGAAGATATTGGTATCTAACCAACTAGTTTCGCGTCCTCGGGGGAACACCGTTGCCTACAGCGTGCGGCGGCTGCGATGAGCGCAACTATGGCAAACATACGAAGGTGAGCCATCGTGAATCTCGCGCTTGCCATGTCTGCAGAGTACGAAATACGTCAGACATCTGTGAATAACAATGAATATTGTCACTGACGCTTGTTCACACGTGAGCCAACAGGAAATGCAGACGTCAAGGATGTTCGCTGCTAAAAATACACCAGCGAGAATAGCAATCCTGAGGGGGTTCCATGCATGTTGGCTTTCGCTGTGGGGAGTAATACGCTGAGTGAAGATGACTGCTTAGCGTAGGTTTATACGATACCTCATTCCTGATGTACTTACTCGATAACCATATTTCACTCTCGTCGAGAAGCGGTTCATTTTGGTGGCACAGCGAATGGGGACCACGAACTTACACATGGTGCTACAAAGGCCAAAGGTTACATTGGCAATAGTCCCAAAGGCACAGAATGCGCACCAACACGATCTATGATACAAATAAAACAGCGTGAGTATCTAAGAATTGGGGGGAATGGATATACTGCCATGAGCGCAGGTGAGATGAACATATAACAGACGGAATTGTGAACCAGTTATCGAGATCCTTGGTCTGAGCGCTCGCCGCGGTGGGCCAAAGTGGACACCTCCGAAAGAGATTGGATCATGGCAGCCTGTGGCTCCTGCCTAGACCTGAGTATGCGCAGCACCAGTTAGGGACCCAGGCCGGGCGAAAGTTGGGCTTGGACCACAAAGTGACATTCTGCAGATGCGAAACCATACTGTAAGGTGAGGCTAAACCCATGCTATTGCGCTGAAGTTGGTGATGAGGTTTGCAAACGATGGAACGACCATGATAAATCTGAACTGGAGTTCTAAACGAGAAAGTGAATTCTTGGTGAGTGGGATTCGCTGTGATGTTCAACGTTCAGCATGAATTTAGAGAAGTTGACAGCTCAGTCACCTCATGTAGTATCATTTGAAATTTTGAACCCTTCAAGTTGGTGTGTTGGCCGGCCGCCGCATCAACGTTTTAACTACGCAAATATATCTGTACCCATGCCAGTGTCTTGCACACTGCAGATGGACATTGTCAACAATGAGAATTCAAAGTGTTTCGAGTTGATTTAGAGCGACAAACCGTGGTATTGGAAGGTGATCCGAACCATACGCTACGAAGGGTGATAAATGTCGCGTCAATGTCGCGTCTCAACCGCTGCAGGTGCGGCATGACCGCGCGGCGCGGACAAACCTGGGCCACCGACCTGGCCCACCTCTGGAGGAGATGACAAACCTGTTGGAAAAAAACATGACCCAATTGCAATACATGTCACACACGAGCAACACACAGGTGACAGGGTCCGGGAGAATTCCAGCTTTCCAGCATGTCGACTTTTGATCTATTGAATTCGCAAGTACTTAAGTACTAGTGCGACGCTGCCGTACGTGGCACTTTCTTCTTTGTCCTTCCCCACCACTCTGTATCTTGCTGTAGCGGACGGCTTACTTGGTGCTACTTCATTTGCATATAGGTAAGTAAAGTCTACCAAGCTAGTTCGAACAACCATACAGATGAAGCATCTTTAAAGTCGGGTCCAGTCTAGCGCCAGTCATGCTCTCCCGAATAGTTGCAGTCCTTGCTGTATTATTGGCAAGTATTCAACCCAGTAAATGAGGTTTGAGTCTCACTTTCTACAGGCAACGTTCATATATCGGAGTGGTCGTATGACTCAACATGGCATCCTCAATCTTCCTGCACTACCTCCGTCGTACTACGTCAATGGCGATGTCCAGACGCACTGCACACTTCTCCGAGAGCCAGCCCATACCCTCAAGTATTGCGAAGATATGACCTTCTGGGACCACCTGGATGCAGATGGCACTGTAGCTGCCCGTTTTGTGATTGCGGGGTGCGACCCCAACCGCAAGGCATGGAACACTGTCATGGGTCCCCTGCGCGACCCCGAACCAAGGGCCTACCTTTGGCTGGTCGATACAACAGACAATAGTCTGCAGCGTATTGAGTTGGCAGGATACCCGGAAGGACATCACTTTCATCCACTTGGGCTAGAGGTCACGCCCTCTCAAGATGGAGCCCCATCATTTCTCTATGCAGTCAATCACGCCCGCAAAGAGACAACGGTCGAGCAGTTTATCATTTCTCCAGATACCCCAACACAGGCACTCTGGCAACGCACACTTTCATCACCTTGGTTCGTATCTCCTAATGCGTTGGCCATGACGAGCGAGATGTCGTTCTACGTCAGCAATGACCATCTCATGACCCGTCGACTCCCCTTCCCCCTTGCGCCCGCCCTGCCGCTGATTGAGAGTCTCGCTGGACTGCCCCTAAGCTGGCTTGCGCATGTCACAGTTAATTCTGATGGCACAATTACGCATGAACTGGCCGCTCTCGGCATAGCCTTCGCTAATGGTGTAGCCATCTCCCCAGATGGCACGACCCTTGCGTTGTCTTCTACTTCTCTCGGTCAAGTCCACTTCTACGACCGCAACGTAACCACAAATGCCCTAAAATACCGAGAGACCGTTAGCCTCCCCTTTTTCAGCGACAACATCATGTTCGACGAGGAGGGTGCACTTATCGCCACAGGGCACCCACACTTCCCGTCTCTCGTTGCCGTCGCTGGCAATAAAACAGACGCGCGAGGGCCAAGTTGGGCCGTCTCGCTCACCCCTCTTTCTGACAACACTCATTTCGCGAAGAGTGCACACGCGGCAGATAGGAAATATGATTTACGTGCACCGTTGTCGGCATCAAAAGTTCATCCCGCTAATGACAGGTGGGAGGTGGAAACGTTGTTCCAGAGCGACGGAAGTGTCTTTGGAACATCTTGCACAACGCTGAGGGATTCGAGAACCGGCTCACTGTACATGGTGGGCCTGTACGAGGAGGGGTTGATGGTTTGTAGGCCTTAGTTGGCAACTGTCTGAACGTGTACGCAACTTTTACCGGTCTCTGCAGTTCTAATGTACTATGTAGCACCTTCTCTGCCAAATACATGCAAAATTATCTGTTCCAAGAATACACATCGATGCTAGTACTGTGATGTCCAAAAATGCTAAAAAAAGAACAAGAAACTGATACATCGTTGCTACCAAGATAAGAAAAGTGGAACCCAGACCCTTCATCGCACACACATCTTACTCATACCCTCCCCAGGGGAAAAATACTGGCACAGTTCTAATGAAAGGAAAGATCTCATCAGCACTAGCTGGGAGTCGACGAGGCAATTGGAGATCTGGGATAAATGTAACCGCGTGCCAAAGAGCAAGGACCTGCAAGGATGAAACAAGCACTGCCGTTTGCAAATCACAATCCATACTTGCACAGAAGAGCAGCACATCCGACGGGTGAAAATAATGAGAGCCGTGGATCTTGGAGTGAAAGAAATACCGACGGCGAAGAAGGGTTTCAACCCAACGGACACGGAACACGAAGACCGATCACCTGCACGCCGTGGGCGCTTATTGATAGTAGCACCGCTTCGGCACCGGTGGATCTGGGATCACTTGACGGATGATCAAGTTACCGCAAATGCTGGCAGAAGCATCTCCACTTCCGCGCTTGTAATCATTAGCACTTAATGGCTTCTCGGATAGTAGGCAACTCCAAGACAGCGGTGTGCTGGCCACCGATGCAGACACTAGCGGAAGTGACAACACATTGGAGACCAAAAGGACTTCCACAGAGCCAACGCCAACGGGACCGAACTCTCCGGACCGGCAGCCACATATCCCAATGCCAACGGGACCGAGACTCGGGACCGGGAGCTACATGTCCCAATGCCAACGGAAAACAAAAGAAATACGACGAAAAACAGCGAGAAAACCATTGAAGAAGCAGGTTTTCCAACGCCAACGGATGAAAGCAACATCCCCCCGACTCCAACGGTATGCTCGCCGTCGCCTACGGATTATCCGCAGGCAACAGTTTCCGCCGCAATATAAAAGGCAGACATCTATCCTCAAAAACTCACCTCTTATACTCTTGCCATTTCTTATCGTCGCCAAACTTCTTGTCGGCGGCGCGCTCGAGAGGAGGAACGCCTGACACCTGCAAAGTAATTTTAAACGGCAGTCATATTGCGGTCAATTACGATGGTCAAACAATGGTCTCAACTCACGTGTCGAAGCAGAACATAGGTCAAAAGAGGACTTGCCGCGGTCGCAACTGCTGTAGAGAGAGGTAGCGCGCCAGAGAATGCAGCAAGGCCGAACATTCCAGTCCAGAAGCCCAATTCGCCCACATAGCTATATACGACATATGAGCCCAAATTCTCAACGCGAAAGTGTCGCATGACGTACTTGGGGTGACGACTCCAGCCCCACACTCCTTTGGAAATAAAAGAGTCTTCGTGTTTATTGTCCTGTTTCTCTCGGCGCCACGTCGATTTCTGCCCGTCTGCCATGACTTCGAGGGCAAAAGAACCTGCGATCAAAGCAAGGGAAATAAAATCGGAGGCATGTAGACGAGGGTGAGCTGATGCTGGCAATACGTTTGACTGTTGTGAAAGGTTAAAAAGGCACAACCTAAAGGAAGAAACATGGTTACGATGTAGACGGGCAATCCAACGACAAATATCCAGGTTGCTTGAGCCATCCATGCGCCGGTAAACTTGATTTTGTCCTTTTTTATTTCATCGAAACGAGAATCCCCGCCCGCTTTGATTGCTCTCTGGGCCAGGAAACTCCCAAGCCTCAATGACCAGATGACGAGGGCAGCACTGAGGAGGGCCTGCCTTGGAGCCAAGCGTGGCAGTTGAAGAAATGTGGAATGTGTAATTTTGCCTTGCGAACGAATGTATGGATAATAAATGGACACAAGGGTGGTTGACAAGAAACCTGCAGCTCCAGAGAGATCGTAAAACCTGTCTTCAGCTTTAGGAACGAATATGCAGGCCAAACCTGCTTGTAGAGCATAAGCGCTCACTGCGACCGGTGTCAGTCGTGAAAATATCATTTTGACGGTGATGATGATGGGAGAGAACTAAGGAGAGACCTGAAGGAGACCATGCAAATCTTAGTTGAGCCGTGTGGATGACATCACCTAGCGGAAGCAAAACCAGATGACATCATCTGTAAGGACTGTGTGTCCTTTACACACCGACCCGATCTTAAACCGAGACGTTCGAACTTGGTATATGTTCAACGCAGCCACGTGACCCACGGATGCCGAAGAGTACAACTCTTCGCAAACTCTTCGCATCTTGTACTCTTCGCATCCGAGTACGTGGATACATTCCTATATACCCTTTTCTGATGTTCTTTCGTTAAGCCTACCGCAGACGTATAAATACTGTCCATGTACATTCCTACTGATCAGCAGAATTCACTCGTTGATTCCCCGGCCGCCTCAGAAAGACTCTCAGCACTCGTCGTTATTTCGTTCTACCTAAGCTATCTACCTTACTCGAAGCACAAACGTTTCGAACGATTCCCCAACGAACTCAAGGCAGCCCTTACACATCGGAAGTTCTTTAAGTGAAAGCACTAGTGTTTGGAAAGCATGTCAACCGCAACTACGATGTCGCTTGCAACCGACGCTCATACAGAGTCACAAACAAAGACAGGGCCTCATTCTTCCATCCATCATACACCGCCCGAAGATCACACCCACCAAGCTGACAAGAAGTCCATTCCCGACACTGGCTGGCGTGGTTCTCCTCCCATCCCCTCGTCCGACGGCGGTGATTCTGAGAAAGATTGGATGTCAAAGCCGCCATACAACTGGTCACCAGCACGTGGTCCAGACGGCGAGGAGCTCTTCAAGACAAAATACGAGTCGTCCTGCTGGTGCGGTGCGGTGCGGTTTGCTTTTGCGGGCGACCCATTCGATGCGAAGCATTGCCACTGCAGACAATGTCAGCGGCTTCATGGTGCCCCCTTCCAGTGGGCGGCCATCTTCCCAAAGACAAGTGTTAGAATTCTGCAGGATAATAGCGGTGCCCTCCACTGCTTCTCTACCACAACGAAACAGGCTGGACATCATGTCCCGTGCAAAGTCTCTTGTGACATCTGTCGAGCGCCACTTTTCGACGAGGGGAAGCGCATGGTGCTTGCGTACCCAAGTGGCTTCAAATTTCCCCCTATCAAAGCACGCTTGAATGTCGCTGACGCAAAAGATGGCGAGACGGTGGAAACAAGGGAAGGGCACTATGATCCGCAGCACGAAGATATCCATCCTCCAGGTCACTACGGTGGAGTCCCTCTCGAGTTTCAACCCAGTTGCCATATTTTTTATGGTCACCGCGTCATGGAAGTGTGCGACGGGATGTAAGAGTACGTCTTCTTTGCCACACCTTGTTCTGACATATCAGTTACAGCCCAAAGTGGAGAGGTCACAAGAATGACAGCGAGCTCATGCAGGAGATGAGTGATGTGGTAGGCATTATGCCTAGATGCAAGGGATATGATGATAAGCCCCACGCATGAGATAGTGTTGATAGACTTGATGCCACGAAATGTAGGCCGCAAAGGAAAATACATTGTGATATTACCATGGCATGTAGACCGGCGTGATTCGGCCGAGATAAAAAGATCGACAGACTTCGACATCAGCGTACAATCAGACGATCGCAACTTTTGGCCATCGGACGCGCCCCGGTTGAGTGTACTGAAAGTATCCTTCCCTAGAATAGCAAAAACCACACGGAGGAAAGACCGCGCAAAGCGCGCCCTGTCCCCGACAAGTAACCCCTCCCCATATTCTTGCAACAGTGCCAACGCTGTTGCGATATGCACCGGTGACAAAATAACATACTTCGACCCTAGCTGTTCGGACAAAAACAGAATGCGGGTCATCCTCTCCTTCTCGAGCTCGATAATTTTCTTCTCGAGCGCTCCTCCATCGAACTGGCGCTCGAATTCGATGCGCACTTTCCCAGCATTTACGGTCGCACACGTGAGTACATCCACTTCAAATGACGACACTCACTCCCCTGAGGAATGATATGTGGTCATTTGCGTGGAGAACCTCGCTTTCGCAGCCAGATCATGCGAGATGTCTGAAAAAGTGATGGTTCCTGCCTTGACCAGACTGCGATCAGAATTTGTCTCCAGTATGTCCCTGCATGTTTGCGCGCCTTGACCAGGCTGCGATCAGAGTTTGTCTCTAGTATGTCCCTGCGTTTTTGCGCGCCTCGGGCGCTCTTGTGCAAGTACAGTGCAGTAGCAGCTGACGCCATGATATATTGAGTGATGTGCTATCGCTGCAGGAACCTCGTGTATTAATTCTCAATTTCATACTACGGACAACTCACAGTCAATGTGTGGTCTTGTTGCAATGCTTCGTATATGAATAAGGAGCAACACCTCCGTCTGGGGACCGGAAGAAGCCGATCACGGTCCCGAAACGTCTTTTAGGTTTCAAGTACGCTCGCTCACAGGGCGACGTTTGGAATATTTTTAAAAGCCTTCCAGCGCTCCAGTTATCTTTAGCGGTCGTGTGATGCGCCGAGTAGATCCGGACTCCGCGCTCTGTAGAAGGATATGCACTACTAAGTAGTACCAGAAGTCAATTATTGATATTTCGAGTTTCCGCACATACTCTATAATAAGACGATGACGGTCTTCTCGACGTTGGTGCTGGCACCCAGACTTGAAGCGTACGGGTGTACCTCGGAACTGGACCCTAGTGCCGAGGCTTTGGCGATTCGGTAATTAGAAGTGAAGCATGACGCGCTGGCGGCAGCGGCGGGGAGCCTAGGACCTTCGACTTTGTACTGCTACTATGTAACGGTTCAAGTTTTGTTGCCGTCGCGGCAGTAGAGATAAACCTGTGCCAAATAGATGCATACATGGGAATAAAGATGATTTATTCGCACGGCGACGACATAACCCCAACGCCAGACAGGATTACAACCACCCCGAGATATTCAAAAAAATTAACGGGCGAAACTTTGCTATTCTTTATTCCTATCTATCCCTGTATCACATACCCGGCGGAGCGTGTGCATGGACAATCCACAGCACTATCAACCGCTCTCACATGCACTTCATCCTCCCGTAGTACCCACATACGAGGAGGAGGAGGAAGAGGAAGAGAATGACGACGAGGGCGTCGTCGAAGAGCAGCTTGATCGTGAAGACGACGATCACGAGGGCGCCGCTGGGTGCGTAATTACTGTGAAGTGTTATGATGGCACGCGTCTGATTGCAAGTATTCGCAAATACTCATATTCTATGTGCTCGTCATGTTCAGATCTACACAACATCAAGGAAGCACAAATGCAGCTGGAAAGCGCGCAGATACAGCACAACCCGACCCACCACAAGACTCAGAACGGAAAAGACGTCCTGGTCGTCCGCGTGGATCAAAGAACAGACGGTCGCGGGCGTCAGCTACTGACTTGAAGGAGCCGGCTAATGCTGCCCCCAAAACGTCCCCACCACAACACGGGTTCTACCAATATACAGCTTCCCCCACTCCAGGAGAAATACAACCCCACAATCAGCAATACTATGAGTTTCAGTGGCGCGTACTAAACTTGTGTGCAGAGTTCTATGGAGCGGCTGAAGAGCTTGTTGTAAGCGTCAGCTGCGTGATTTTGAGGCGTTGAAATAACTTCGCCCAGAAAGCTACCCCCTCCCTTGTTATTGCGCAATGTTACCAGATGGGCCCTGGCGTGAAAGTAGACCCCCTGGCCATGCTCGGCGAAGCGAAAAGAATATGCGATACCCTTGTGAGTCACGTAATTTTGATTGTAAAGTCGGTATCGTACTTATTTCTCAAAGTTGGCATCTCCCTCTCGGTTGACGACACACCCTCCACCTCCGCCATACTTCGTACCTGGTTACCCAAGTCCCATCCCGCCACCGCCACCCCAACCCGGGCCATCCACGCCGTCTACAAACGGCAAATCCCCCGCCACTACAGGGCCAGTCATTTCAGATCCGCAATCATTTGTTGTTTCCTTGGGCCATCAGCAAGCATACCCGTACGGTGCTCCCGCATACCCTACTGCACCATACTACGGCTATGGCGGATACGGAGGTTATTACCCCCCTGTACCTCCGCCTGGGCCAAGCCCAGCACCTGCGACAGGCTCTGCGAGTGGAAGCACAGGAGGAGCTGCGGGAAGCGGTGGAAACCAGGGCGCCTGGTCCGAAGAAGAAACGGAAAGACTAAAGAAGCTCGCCGAGGAGCACCGCAACGGTAACGGGGAGATCATATGGGATGCCCTATGCGAAAAATGGGGCAACTCTCGCACGAGGTAAATATTTTTCTATGTTACATACCTTTCTTTCGGGAGGGCTGATCACTCTGCCCGATAGACACCAAATATTGATAAAAGCAACCTCGCTGGGGTTGAAAGAGTCCTCGTCGCGAGGAACGAAACGAAAACGGGAGACGGACGGCCAACTTGAGCGCCCTCCACCTACAGCTCCCACACCTACAAGCACAGACGCCCCCCATCAAACTCCAGCATCAAATCCCATTCCCACGCCTGCTCCACAATCCGTACAGGGAGCGTCCGCTTCTCCAACACCTTCAACACCAGCGCCAGGGTCCACTCAACCTTCTCCAGCAATTCGACACGCACAGACGCAACAGCAGCAACAACATCAACAACCACAACCACATCAACAGCAGCCACTACTACACCAACAAGCGCCAACACGTGCTCTCCCATATCCGATGCCGACGGTTGCTGCTGCAACCTCGCCTGTTATATCCACCTCAACGAACCCGATGGACCGGCCGGGAAGCGGAAGTTACTATCGCACACGACCAGCACCTGGGATGAAATCTGCATCTTCAGGATCGCAGCACCAGTTCATGTACCAACCGAACGGAGAGCGCCGAACGGGTTAATTGGCATGATTTAACTGATTTTATGGCGTGGCCGGGAGTCCCTTGCTCGATAATTTGCTACCTTACTTTTCGATACCGATGCAGCTGTTCAGTGCAATCACTAGTTTTCTACGTATAGATATCGCGTATATGGTCGGTCATCGTGTTGTGCTTTGCAGGTCATGTATTCGTCCAATTATCGTAAAATCATTTTGTCACAATTTTGTCACAATTTTTTCTTCTTTCCGCGCAAGGTTCGCGGGCTTGGTATCGGGAGACGTGAGGAAATACAGATTCCAGTTAATATGCAAAACATTGAAAGCACAATAATATTTGCAATATTTTGAGTTGTGAGAAAAAGTGTTCATTTGCAGCCTTGCCTGTTAACGTTATCCTCCAGAGATATTCGAATGTTTCACCTGGGACCTATCAGATTCATCATAAGTACTGGGACGCCAGAACGTCATTTTCTATCATGTACAGCAATGCTAGAGAAGAAGCGAGTTTCAGCCGAGAGCGGAGCGAATTCAAAATCGCGGAACTTCATGATCAGCGCTCATTGACATTTCACGGATAAAGCACGCGACATGCATCAACCATCATGAATTTCAGGATAGCTATATAACCATGCGATGTAGACGGACACGAATATATAATATGATAGAGCCCAGATAGAATATAGTACAGATTACAGCGAATGATGGTATATCCAGAGCGAGTGTGATACAGCAATTAGGGTGTAGGAGATATTCCACAAAGTATATGCACAAAGGGACAGGAGAATGTACTAGGATGCATGCGAATGAGCCTTTAAGACATGAGAGTTGAGCGTGTATTTTCGGGAGAAAGAAGTGCCACACTGGCTGCACATGTATTTGAGGTGTAAATGTACTTCCTCGATATGCCGAATGACGCTCTCCCGTTTCATGGGGGCTCTTGCGCAGCCGTCCCATGCACAGTGTATGACTAGATCCCCAGGCCCCTTCACTCCGTGCATGCGTAAGTGTGTTGAAAGATCCAAAACGCTGATGTATGCGCTGCATGGTATGCCCCCACCGATGTCCCACAGACAAAAGGTGTGGTCAGGGCTTGCGAGTACAGCGGGATCATTGTGAAAGTCCTGTAGAGCGCCACATCAACGTCAGGGGCAGATAGCATGATGATCCGGAAAGAAGACTGACAGTGAGAAAGACAGACGTTTGCCCTTGCGATAGTAGATAATGACCCGGCACCGTCATTGTGTTGAATGAGAAGAAATTAATTACTGGTAGATGAGAGGACTTCGTTGAAATTGGAGGTTGTGGTTATATACTCCATGCCACAAGGCCGAACCGCATTCGGCAGGTGCAGAAACTGCATAGTAACGAGGGCATGCAATGCCAGTCCGTCCGAAGCGGTAAACATACCTGGCCTATTAGGCCGATCTGCCATCACATGAAAGCAGATTTGTGCATGGGAGTTCGATGGCATTGTACAATGTCATTTCCGCTGTTTGACATTGGCCTGCAGGCATTAATTTGAAGATGATAAGAGAAAAGAGTTACTATGACATCAGCGAGAAAAACAGATTGAGGTTAAAGCCTTGCGGAGCCGCATTTGAAGAAATCTGTCATGGCGCCTGCAAAATTTGCCTAGCATCGTGTTTCACAAGTGACCCGTGACAACGACGGGTAGCAGTTAGGACGGGTAGGCCAAAAGGATCGCAGAACCAAGCGTTGAGCGGAGATATTGACCTGTGGGCGACTAGTTGGATATTTCCCCGCGCAGCTCAAATCGGGACTCGCGATGACGGACAGAACGACGGGCACCGATTAGGAATAATGCAGCACCTGAGTTTAACCACCCTGGGCGGCGAATTGAACAGGAAGGAGCGGGATAACGCTACCTGCACGGCGAATCGAACAGGAACTGTCAGAAAGGAGTTGGGAAGGAGCGGAATAACGCTACCTACACGGCGAATTGAACAGGAGCTGTCAGGAAAGAGTTGGGAAGGAGCGGAATAACGCCACATGCACGGCGATCTCAATTTGTTATGACAAATCTGAGAAGTAAAAGTATGGCGCCTGTTGAAAACGTGCGTGATCCATGGATTCCTGTACCGATGTGTTGGAATTCTTTGCAGGAAAGAGCCTCGTTCCGCAATAATCGATGGAAGTAGGTGAACGGGTGCTTTATCACGGGAAAGTGGACGGTGGCAGGTTCACTGACGCCGGTCCATACAGCAAACATCGCGGTGTTTGTGGCCAAATCGGCTGGAACATGCCAGTTAAAATACCACCGATGATTGTTATATCAATCCCAGCGCCATCGCTTCAGCCTGTTTATGTGCATCCATCGCACAGAACCACCGTCCAGTTAAACGACCCCCATATGAAATGAGCAGGGATTCAACGTGGATTGCACAATAAACTCGAATTCTGAGCAGAGCGCGCAAAAGAATCAACGGCATCCTGCAATAGTTTGGTCGCCATAACTTCTGTTCCACGTGCACGATGCAGTCCCGCTGGTCCAGGAAAGGACAGTTGGCAGGTATCCTGTGCTATGATAGTAGCAAGAACCCATCAGTCGGGGCCCTATAAAGTCACGGAAATGGATCAGAGGGTCGAGGCAAAGTTTAACATGTAAGGTTTGAGAACCTTCGGGCTCATCGGGGTGTGCAATAACCCGGACACATAGATGGCTGGTAATGGTGCTTACTGGTTATGTTGATCTCTGGACGCATACTAGTACACGTAGATTCGGGATTTGTGAGTCTAGACCCTTTGTGAAGCTTTGTGAGTCGTTTCGAGTTCTTGACTAAATAAAGCACTCCACTGTGCTGAGTCAGCGTATCGCCTCTTTGTCGGAAGCGTTCACCGTTTTTGATTCAACTGGCCACACCACAGTCCATCCGCTGTCTCTTGCTTCTGAACCACCACTACCACCATCACCACCAGTACCAGCACTTGCACAAACAGTTTTATACGAGCAATAATCCTTGCGTTGACGACGAAGGTGATAATGTTCTCAAGCCCGACATCCAGCCGTACGCTCGCAGCCACCACACTCAAGGGCGTTGGCCTCATCGACAGTGACACACGCATGCGAGATGCCACAGCGGACAAGCCGGGTGGTCGCAAGGGCACCTCAAAGATCCGCACACACCGCACACGTCCGATTGATGCCTACAAGGAGCCTCACGGCCCTAGTCGAGCTACCATGGTAAATATGAGACCTCTCCCAGTTCGCATTTCTTAGCTTAGTTGATCTCCCATCTCCCTTTGAATGTTTTCCATGTCTATGACTTGGGATTTTTGTACGTCGCTGTATCTATCGCCGTCGTATATTACCCCTTGCTGTTCCCATTGTCCGTCTATCTACACCCCGCTCTTCGTCTTCTTTTTGTGTAAAACCCTCGCTTACAAATGTCTGGCACCCACCGCCGCTCGCACATGGACAGCTCGCCGCACGGACACAACCAGGCGGCGCGTCGGATACTCTCACGATCCGCGGCGCTTCGACGGTGGGGCGGCTTCGCAGGAACGCCGTTACGGCGGCAGTTGCAGGTGGAGCGCCTATCAAGGCGCACGCAGTACCAGTGAAAGCAGTAGAAGTGTGGAAAGATTTCGTGAACAGACGGTGGAATCCCGAATCGAGATTCTTGAACCTAGAGGTTAGTAGACACTTATCTAGCCCCCTGAATCTCAGTGACTAATATCATGGGCAGAGGATGATGGACGATCCAGAGATTCAGAAACATAACTTGTTGCCCCCGGGCGCCCCTGCTTCCTCAGTAAGAGAGGCCTCGGTTTTGTTCAAGTTAGCATCGCACCTGAGACCAGCAGTAAGTTCGAAACTTTGTTTGCTTTCTCCGTTGGAGTTTCATGGTTTAACCGATAGGTCCAAACGCTATCTCTTGCAAATAACAACATCAGCTCTGGTCAGCCCCTTTCAACACTAGCGCACTATCTCCCTAAGCTCGCCAATCTATCACTACAAAACAACAACCTCAAGGTTTGGCGAGATATCGATTTTATCTCCGGGCGAAAAGGGAAGCTCGAGCATTTGCGAGAACTCATACTCCTCGGCAATCCGTTAAGAGAGCTGGAGATTCAGAATGGAAGAGGAGATAAGTACAAGAGGTACGTTGACAGGAGGTCTTCAGGGTCGCTTTATTAAATTATGTTCAGTGACATGGCGCGGCGTTTCACGTCATTGATAATGCTGGATCAGGAGGCCATTGCTACAATAGCATTCGACGCTCCTGGGCCATCGTCTACTCCTGTGACAGCGAAACGAGCTACCGCGACCACATTTCCATACGAGATGGGGCCACCATTTATCACGGGCGTCGAAAACTCAATTGTCAGCAATTTCCTCGTTCGGTACGTCATCTTATCCCGTATCTTTATATTTTGCTTATAAAACGTTATCGCCAGGTTCTTCCCATTATTTGATGATCAACGAGCTGGCCTTCTCGATGCATATCACCCTTCAGCGACTTTCTCGTTCTCATGTAATACAGCCATTCCGTCACGCGCACGTATACAGGGCCTTCACGTATCTAAAGAAATGCCTAATCAGCGCAAGCTTGATTGGGGTCTCTGGCTCAACAGTGGTTCTCGAAATCTGAATCGCATGGGAGGCGGTGTTGACAAAGTCGTCAACAGCCTCCACCTAGGTAGCGAAGAGGCTATTCGAGCAATGTCGACACTACCAAAAACGAAACATGATGTGTCCGGTTCACCAGAGAAGTTCTGCATCGATGCATGGCCTGTGGGTCAGGGCGAGAACTTAAAACTGTTCATTTCCCTACATGGGCAATTTATAGAAGGTACGTACCCGCGATCTACGCGGAAGTATTTGGCCGCCCTGGATATTTCTATACTCCTCTGGGTGCTCTATTGCCTTGGTTGCAATCAGTGACCTTCGCAGCTTCGAATTCTCTCTTCCTCAGTCCCACGTCATTGTGTTCACCGCTGACTTTTTCCTTTCCTGCAGAACCTTCACAAGGTATTCGGTCATTCGACAGGGCGTTCGTCCTAGCTCCAGCGCCACCAGGTTCTCGGTAGGCCGCCTTTTCATCGTGCGCGCTCGGCATTTGCCATTGACACAATGGTTTATCTCATAGGGCTAAATTGAATGGCTGGGACGTTATGGTCCTGTCAGACCAGTGGTCGATACGAGCATACTCAACCCACGATGCATGGCATCCAGGACCGATGCGTGTGCAAGCTGGGGATGCTTTGGGCACTCAGCAACCGTCAGGGTCGACGGGATCGTCATCTTCATTGATCCCCGCTCACGCTCGGGCGCAGCTAGAACAAGCAATATCGACATTTGTAAGTGTTCGCTTCCTGGTGTGCATGCGCTCTCGCTTACGTCTTCATCTCCGCATTGGCGTGCACTTTGGTTAGTCTGAGCCACAGCGTAATCTGATCATGCAGATCTGCGAGCGGACGGGTCTAAATGCCAAGTACGCCGTGGATTGTCTGCAGAACAACGCGTGGAATTTCGACCGTGCGATCGTAAACTTTGAGCAAGTCAAGGTAAGGCAGAGGGTATTTCTAATGAAACATATACTCACTACTGTTTGTGCAGGGGGTGTTGTCAAGGGATGCATTTCTGTGAAGGATGAAACCTGATACGGCGAACACCGAGCTTGCAATCGGTTCGCATCATATTATTAGAAGGTTCGATTACGAGGAGTTTTCGGATGTTGCTCATGGATTTTAGGTCAGGGAAAGACTGCCCGCTATTCATGACTATTCTATATACATTTGGCAAGCTGAAAGTACATGTGCCCCATCGTACCAGTTCCAATGTAACGTTTCATATCATATTACTATCATATCACGAGATATTTCTGTTTGCCGCGCGCAATGAACTGTCGAATTTTCATAAATTGTCGCTTCTCGCTCGGACGATTGTTTCGATATTGCGGGCCATCAGATATAGGGAGCTACTAGTGCTAATTTCCCAGTAGATTGGCCGCCCTGCATGACGGGTTGGGTGATTTTAAGTTTTTGTCGTCGAGCCTACTACCCTGAGCGTCAGAGTGGATGATTGAAGTGACCCAGACGGTTGAACAATGCCGTCGGTGCAGCAGGCAAATGTTTGGTTAGGTGATGAGGGGACAATGTGGAAACGAACAAAGGGTGGATGAAGCTGCATTGTTTGTTTTACGATTTGTTTTATTTTATTTTACGTTATTTTTTTTGCCTCGAGGCGATTCGGACAGCCGGCTCGAGGGCGCCTGTAATGGACCGACTGGTAAGAAGAATGAGCATCAGAACATCAATGAGAAGAACGACTTTTCTGCCTCCTTCTGCCCCATTTGAAAACCCATTATCTGTACGTATACAAAACTCAATTCCATCCTCACAACTCCACAAAATAACCTCTTCTTCCACTGACCGACTCGTCCGCCCAACGCCCATACCCATTCCCTCTCACACTCGCTGCGCGCTATTTACGACTGACGACTAGTAACCATGAGTCGTGTACAACGCTCTTTTGAAAACTTTGCTTTGCTACAGGCTGCCTCAGAAGGCTCTACCGCCGCAGTGCGCGATGCACTCAAATCTGGCGCTGACATTAACGCGTCTGACAACTCTGGCAGAACAATTCTGACATGCGCTCTCACTGCAGATAGGTCGGTCATCCTCTGACGCGTTCAAGTTTACTCAAGGCTCACTTTTGCGTCCTCAGGTGGGAGACCATCGACGCGTCTGACGCGTCGTTTTTGTCCGAGGATCGCCTTCAGGTCCTTCGCATGGCTGTCTCCCATCCAGAAATCTCACTATACACGCTGAATGCACCACAAGACTCGATAAACGACGTAACTCCTCTCGGCATGGCTGCATGGCTTGATATGCCCCAAGCAGTCCAGGTTTTGCTAGAATGTAGTTCAGGCGCTATCTCCGTCGATGCCGAGGACACGGATGGCGCAACACCTTTGATGTGTAAGTCCGACAGTTAGCATCATTTTTTTGAATTTGAATTGACTGCGCCACTATAGACGCAGCACGCGACGGCAGGTTGACGGTCGTCCAGCACTTGGTATGTCATCTGTAGTTTGCGCGGACTTCAAATCTCTCATCGCTACTCGGTAGCTTGCTCATAAAGCTAGACCAGATCTCAGAGACCGAAATCATCGATCTTCGCTCCAGTTCGCTTTACCCCATCCAACCGTTTTATGGACATGCGAACAGGCGCTACGCAACTATCGCCTACGAGAATACCAGGTAACCGATTTGCAGCGCAAGAGTCTAGGCATAGGTACTGATACATTGTGATAGAACGGAAACAAAAGAGGTCTTTGCAAGCCTAGCCTCGATATCAACCACCTATCACCGCAAACCTCCACTCAGCTCATCTTCGCGCCAAGCATTCCGCAAGCCACGACTTTTTCATCTGAATCTATCTCCCTCATCACCGACTCTGTTGTACAAGCTGTACTCTCTGCAGATCTTTCTGTTCTTTACCCCCTGTTGTTTTCACAATGCTTTGACCCTTCCCCTTTGGATCACGGACCTGTTTTTGTAAATGTACCCGATCTGGAGGGATGGAGCGCCATCCACTACTGCGTATCTGTACCAAATCCCTCTATCGAAATCCTCGACGCACTGTATCGCGCTGGCGCCGACGTCAGCTTGTTTACTATCGGCGAACACTACACACCTCTCCACTGTTTTGCGCGGCTCGCACGCGTCTGCGATGACATTCTAGATTCTCCCCAGTTGTTGTATCAATTCGCTATCCATCTTATCCGTGATCTCCGGGCTCCGCTCGCGGCACCCGACAAGCATGATGAAACTTGTATCCATGTAGCCGCCGAACACGGCGAATGTCTTGATGTACTCCTCGCACTTCTTGATTGCGACACCACAGGCACCGTTCGCAATCTGCGCAATTCCCGAGGGTGAGTTCATTTGTGTTTCATGCTCCTTCATCAGGGTCATAACAAATTCGACGCAGCCTTACAGCCTTCGAAGTCGCACGCCCGATCTTCCGTTCCGCATTTAGTCCCGACGGACAGTTCGTCCGTCCGGAGTCGTCTCTCTCTGATCGCACTATTAGACCCGGAACTTCGAATTCTATTACATCTGTCACCTCTTTCACGGACCGCACTACCCCACTTTCCCCGCCCACGATCCGCATTTCCAATGGCCCAGCCTCCCATCTTCCCCTTGATTTTGATTCGACGGCATCCGCAGAACGCCTGCTTGAAAACTTTACCCTGCTCTCAACCGAAGCACAGTTTGTCCGTGATCACGAGGGCCTGGATCGACTGGCCAGCGTGGTGGATGAGACCTCACAGCTTGGGTACGACGTGCTTGCCCACTTCAGAGGGCAGGTAGACGATGTCGCGAGTGACCTACGCGATATGCGGGCAGCTCTCAACGCTGTCGATCATCTGTGGAACACAACTTCGCACGACTTGGAAGAACAACTCCGTACACTTCCTGATGGACGGAGTTTCGAACGCTTCCTGGCACGTAGACGCTCAGCTAGGGACTCTGAGGACTCGCAGATCACCGCAGTGGAAGTTCAACCAACTTACGTCAAGTCTATCCTGAAGGAGACAGAACCCAAGGTGTACGTCGATGCTTCTGTTCTCACCGATCCTTCGGCACCTGTACCTCTTGTGACGACATCTGCATCCGGCGTACGCACTGTTCCTTGGCCCGAGTGGTTGGATAGCTTCATCCTCAGTGCAGACTCCACGACATACAAGGCGCACCTCGCGAACCTAATTGAAATCGAGCGCGAATTGTTCTCCCGTGAGACGATGAGCTCACTCGAAGAAAAAGTTCCCAACAAGGAGACCAAGCTTAAGAGCCTCCTGCGCCGTCGCAAGCGGTACGAGAAAGTTGAGAAAAGCGGAGCGTCGAAACTCAAGGCGTGGCTGAAGAAGAAAATCACGGCGGAGAAGCCCTTGAAACTGCAGATTGCATATGACCTGGACGGCGAATGTGCAGTCGGAACGGAGGTTAAGGTGGACTTTACGCAGCTCTCTATCACGATCGCAGATTCGGAGAAGCCCTCGAGAGCCGCATCGCTGTCCCCGTCTCCTTCAAGCGACGAGGCTCACTCGTCCCAGGCAGTCCTTTCCATTTCAAGCCGTGACTTGTCAAGCATCGACGAGTGCCTTCATGGGGTATGTTCAGTTTCCGCTATCCTAACTCGTGACTCATGAGCTTGTTGTAGGTTGACCATCTTATTTCCACTGCTTGCCATTCAATTTCCCGCGCCGAGCGCATCATCAAGCGCACCATTAAAACGCGTGAAACCATGGTTCATAATCTTCGTTCTCGATACCCTCCTGTCCAAAGCCCCATATTTGCATTCTCCCCCGATACGAACGCCCTCTCTGCATATCACGATATCTCCTCGCGCTCTTTCTACCTCTCTCCTGATAGCGCCGCCTCCTCACAATGCTCTTCAGCCCAGTCATCAAATATATCCCTGGCTGCCACCCTACATGACGATGAAGACGAAGACTCACGAGCATTACGCAGGCTCCTCCTGCGAAAAATTAACGCACGCATCGACGGCGCTTTTGACGAGATCGACCGTGCAAACGTATGGTTGCGTATCGTCAACAGCGTACTGCGCGACCTGAAAACGCGGACGACAGCATAAGAAAATGGACCCGCCAATCGATTGAACAGTTGTTGTAGGTTATTTTTGTAACGTATCTGTGTATATTATTGCTTCATTTTATAGACTCAGTACTCACCGTTCATCACCATTTGCATCTGTACACTTGTAGATAAGTACCGCATCGTAGACATTGACATATGCATTGTTGTTGTGTTTTCTTTTTTTCGATATTTCATTTGTTCGCTTTCGTGTTACGATTTTTGTGTTGGTAAAAACTTGTGAGCAATACAGACGAGATCATATTGATATTGTGCAGATTCCTACTAAGTACTTCACAAGCTGAGTGGTGTTGGATGTGAACCGCTACCGTTATTGACATGGTACATAAATTTTACAGACAAGCAGAAAGGTTTATTGTAAATCTTATCATATCTACCCAGCGCTCGGATCCGATCGCGCAACCGAGTGCCACCCCACAGGTGGTCTACACACTAGTGCTCGTTGACACATAGACGCGATCCTGGAAGGCGACCGTAGTCACGTCAGCCCCTGAGTCAGACTCGGCGACGAGTTTAGCGTTGTAGCCTCGAACGCCAAGAATGAGCCATGGTCCCAGCACAAACATTTGCATATTCCACAAAATTTGAAGAATACCACCATAAATCTGATCAGCTACCGAAGACGAGTCCTAGAGAAATAATGAACAATTGTCACACAGAGTTGGTGATAAATCAGCGTACCGCGAGTGTTGGAGAGAAATAGCTGAGGGTTAAGCAAGAAACACCAACAAAGCTAGTATGTGGGGAACTTCAGCAGAAAACATCGCCGCATTCAAATCACGAGCTCACGTTGTAAAGTAAACAACGTGAGTTTTAATCAACACCACAAAACAGTCCCCGACATTCCATCCCGTCCAAGGTCGATGCGATTCCCGGATGTGTTTTACAGCAATCCAGACCGCGAGACACAGTGCGAGGACCTCCCATACCGTGCCGAGTATCCAGGTCATGGAAGTCAGAAAACTGACATATGCCTCTTGGTCATAACTGCACATGTAGGTGCCAGAAAGGATAAGCTCCTCTGGAATTTGTCTGATGAGCCTGATGTACGACATTCATGGTTAAAGCTTACCTCCTGAAGTATGGATGTTTATCAATACACCAATTACTACGCAGGGGATCGTGACACCCAAAAGGATTGAAACAAGAAAGCTAAATATCTTCATGGATCGCTGGTACATGGCACGTAACCGACCAATCATGATGACTTGCATGTTTGCCAATTAGTTGTCAATATCGCCATGTATGCCAGCTAAGGAGCTCACCGTTCAGCATGGCGGCTACCACTAAAGACATCCAATTTATTACGAAAAAGATAATAATGCCTGAAAAATGCAGCTAGTGATGAGCATTATATGACTAAATACTCCAAACCAGCTCACACCTGCTGCAGTCAGTAAATCGAACCAACAAGCTGGTCGAGAATCTCACTCACCCCTGCATGAGAGTGTAATTAATCAAACGCGAATGACGGTTATTGGTGCGGAACACTCACTGCATCTGACACTGAGACTGGTGGAAGGTTGTCTGTGTGCTGACTGGTAAGAAGACGCAAATGCGGTATATTTCAGGAGACATACGGAGCAGGTTGAGGCTGTTTGCGAGAGATTGTTGTTAGCTCAACACCGACAGATTGGCCTTGACAACGTACAGAGTAAATGATATCCCAGCATAGCGCACCTAAAATATTTCGAAGTCAGCACAATTTGCCAACTGCGCTTAAAACATAACATATGTACACCAAGGTATAGAACGGTCATGAGGGACCAGCGTTGCCTCTGTGTCGGGTAAGCTGCATCCCTTCTGATATGGGATTCTGCTTACCCAGATCAGTTCAACCTAAAACAATTTTTTAATGACATGACTGCTTCGGTAATAGCATTAACCTACCTCTTGTCCGAGTGTCAGTACTGGAAACATTATAAGAATTCCACTGGTACTTGAATAGTGTCTTACTCACCCCAATCATATATCACCATGACAGTGGAGGCAACTGCAATTGAACCACAGTCAGGGTTAATTCCAGACATCATGAATTCATCATTATTAGAGGCTCTCCACGAACCTGCAAAATAGCTATACAAAATATTCGAATTGATTTGTGGCCACGAACTGGGATCATTTGAGATTAGGGTCATATTCGTGGGACGGGTGAGGAATCTAGTGGATGTGCAACAATGGCGTTCGTGCTAAATATACTACCATCCAGCGCTCTTAGCGCTAAGATAGGCATCATGGGCATAATTTGTTGTTCCTGCCGTGGTTGACCAAAGTAGTATTGTACCGTGCGGTGGAGTGGAAAGGGAAGCCACTCCAAAGGCCCTCGATTGAATCAAGTTAGATTTCTTGTTCTTGTGATTCGCCACGCTTGTACTAGTTCTAGAGTTCCATCAGTGAAATCCATTGATTGCACAGGCCTACATCAATGAGCCTATATCTACCGATCTGCACTCTTTGACCCGAGCCGCGAAGCGTACCGATACAAAATGCACGATTCGAAATACGTCTTGGAGCCGATAGCACCAGTGTTGCATCAATTTGCATAGCTAGGGGATAAGTGGATGTGCGATGCGTGGCTTTCTGGTAAACATACAACACCATCACTAGCTCAGATGAGATGACAAGGCAGGGGAAACGAAGATAACTCGTACATGCATGAGCAGCCCAACTGGCTGTTTGTCGAAGATTACAGGTTCCATGGTATCGTCGCCGATATCGTAGCAATTTCGTTTCAATGATACTTTTCTGTTCTAACTTGATTCAGTGTATCAATGCCACCTGCATGGGGCGTCATGTATAAGGGTTCGAGAGAGATAAAGGCAAAGAACGCACCGCGGACATATCACGGCACTGTGGGCACATGCAGTTAGCCTTCCAGTATGGGTTCCACCAAGCACGTCGGGTGAAAGAAGTCTTCAAGGAACTGCATGTCCGATGGCAGCGCGCGCTGTTTCAAGTTGTTGCAGCATTAATATCAATGACAATGAACGGAGGCCGGCGAATTAAAAAGAAGCCTTATTTTGAATGATGGACTCGGACTCATCCGAACTCTTCCAAACTTCGTCTTCAAACTTTGTCACGGACTTCAAGTTGTTCACCAAAGTCCTTGTAAATTGTAAATAATACGGTAGGGCCAAGCATCACAGACGCTTGCTCCTGCTCACGCTCTCGCGCACAATGATATTCCTCAGAGGTCCTGTATGAAATCGCCGCTTCTGAGCTCGTGATCAGCCATACCGCATGGGGATGCGAAGGAGTTTGGCCCGTCACCTGGATTTGATCATGTATTTTTGCCCCCTCCTAATACTATTATGCTCTGAGTTAATCTCTCCAGACCAATCGAACCGAAGGAAGGTAGTCGTATCAAGCCGCATCAACAAGGCTCTGCGACAACCTCTCAAGACCTCCGATCGGCACCACGGATCCACATCATCATCATCTTTCTCAGTCTGTCGATTTGCTGGTTTGTGAGAAGCGTCATGGATGGGGTGTCTCAATGTAATGGTCCAGGCGCCGCAAGACTGACCCGGAATCATCGAGAATATGAATGAAATATATTCAGAGGACTCTATCAGCTGAGAGTTGTTCGCCAGCTAGTTAGCGGAGTCGATGCAACGTCGTGGCCGTATTGGATCCACTGGTGGTCCACCTACTTACATATTATGCTACAGCGCGAGGACGCGATGGTGATATGAAGACTCAAGGACTGCGACAGCAATTCAACAATGATAAACAAGCACATCTAAAGACCGCAGTCACTGAACCCGTTTGCCAGTGAATGCCGCGCTGCTGCAGTCAGAGAAACTGGTGTATGCAGAAACCGATATCTCGCATGACCACCTGGGGCGGATAAGAAGTTTTATCAGAAGGCTTGCTTCATTTCCAGTGTTACTGAATCTACTAATTTCAGTGTAGATCTTTATGTATACCCAGCCATCATTCACAAAACCCGGTGACTCGACTTTGACTTTAAGCTTTGTCGTCATTCGAGCCTCGTGTGTGGGGAACGCGGAATCTTATAGGCCTGGGGATATCGATATCTTATCCCCGTCATCCCAAAGCTATATTTCATATTCAGCTCTTCTGTCGCATCTGCTAAAAGTCGGGATGGAGCGAAAGGACCTTTCCCGGCAGAAGGAAATACGACGCAGGGGTCGCAGCAGGCTTTGGCTACGGCGCATAAATATATTTGAAGAGGGTGAGTCACAAGCTACTTCCGCGCTGTCATATGCATTTGATGAACATTCCTGCAATCATACTCCTTCCTGAATGAATGGGACGTCACAAAACGTGAGCAACAGATTCGCTCGGGGTACTGCGATGACTTTACTACTCAGATTCCTATAGCATTGGGTTAGCTTTGCTCGAGTCATCAGACAACATATACGTAGGCAAAAGACTCGATATACATTCTACTCGGATCCTCGATATAGCCTAACACAACGGAGCATGCCCTCATGGCACCTCAATCCAGTGAGAAACGCCAACAAAGCAGCAGGGATGATTAATGCATATCGTATCTCCGTCGTTCGACAAGTAGAGCAATATTTGAGTACATCATAACTCAAGGGGGATGCCCTGTGAGGGCTCTGTCGGGTTAGCGTTAATTAGAGTAGTAGAAAATGAACTTGCATTCGTTGTCAGGTACCAAGGGGCTGAGTGAGTTGAGAGACGTCCTACAGCTTGTAGCCTGAATTGAGCAGCGAGTTCCAGTAATGTAATATGATATCAGTTTCCCTGGACCTATAAAAGCACTCTCAAATCTTATTCGAAACACTTTATATCAATGCAGCGACAAAAGTCTCATGTTTCCTACATATTGCTACACACCACTGCTAGTGGACACATGTACGCGTTCCTGGAAAGACATTGTAGTCATGCCCGTTCCTTCGTCGGAGCCGGCTACGAGCTCAGCATGATATTCTCGGACACTGAGGATGAGGCGTGGTCCCAGCACAAACATCTGCATGAGAGAGACGAATTGGCAAATACCAGCATAAACCTCTGCGCCCACAGAAGCCGAATCCTGTAGACACGATGAGCCGCGGCCACACGCAGATGTCAGTCCCGGATAGGCGTACCATGATTGCAGGAGAGAGATTACCGAGGATGAGACAAGCAGAAATAACGAAGCTAGCATGTGCAGAACTTTAGCGACAAAAGATGAGCGCACTCAAATCATGAGCTCACCTTGCAAAGTAAATCACATGAGATTTTATTAACACTGAGAAACAGTCCCCGACGGTCCATCCCATGGAAGGTCGTCGCAGTTCACGGAAGTGTTTTGCAGCAATCCAGACAGCGAGACACAGTGCAAGAACCTCCCATACCGTGCCGAGTATCCAAGTGTCGGACTCCAGATGGACACTGCCTCCTTCCTCGTTCCACGCATATGTACCTGAGAGGATATACTCCTCTAGGGTTTCGTATCATGAGCCTGATGGGTTTAGTCAATGCATAATAAAAGCTTACCTCCTGAAGAGTGGCTGGTTTGTATCGCAGCAATCGTTACGCTTGCGGTCGTGAGAGATATGAAAACCACAACCAGAAAGATAAGAATCTTTCTCGATCGCATATACATAGCATGTAACCGAGCGATCATGATTACTTGCACGATGTTTCAGTCAAGTCGATACTAAGATATTGCAGCTGAGAAGCACACCGCATAGCATGGCATTTACGACCACACCTATCCAAGCTTCTATGGCGTGCATAATATTGCCTAAAAAACCCAGTTAGTGATGGACCATGAAGGGCCAAATGCTCCAAACAAACTCACTACTGTTACAGTCATTATATCGCACCAATAAATCCGTAGAGCATCTCACTCACCTCTACATACAATTGTGGTTAGTAATTGGACAGGCATGACAGGTTTCAATGCAGAATACTCACAGCATCTGGTTTCGGGACCGACGGAAGAGTGACTGTATGCCGCTGGTCAGAAGACACGCTCATGGGATGGGAGGAGACATACATAGTAAGCTGATGCTAGAGATGGATTATTAGCACAGTACCACTGAGCTTGTTAGACATGTAAACATACACGGCGTACGGCATTCCAATGTAGCGCACCTAAAATATGTTGACATTAGATGCAACTGCGCCATGATAACATAATAAACAACGTACACCGATATACAGGACAGTCATAAGGGACCAGCGTTGCCTCTGCCTCGAATTAGTCGTATCGTCCCTTTGATATGGCACTGTGCTCACCCAGATCAGCTCAACCTATAAAACCATTCCTGGTGAGATCATGACTGGCAGTAATGTTATGAACCTACTTCTTGTCCGAATGTCAGTGCTAGAAAAATATCATAAGGACATGAATGGTTGTTTGAACTTATATTGCTTACCCCAATCGTATATCATCGCGGTAGAGGAGGCGACTGCAAAACTACGTTAGTGATCGAGACGGACCGCCTCGAATATAATCCAAGTAGCTCTTCACGAATCAGTGAATCACGAACCTACGAAATAGCTAAAAAATCTTAATGTTTTGATTGTAGACCACCAACTGGGATCATTTGAGACTACGGTCATATTCGAGGATGGGTGTGATTCAGTGGTGGACGGATAACCAACCTCAGCGTTCGTGCTATATATCCCAACGTTATCTATTTCAAGTTAAGCAGTTTGGATGCGACGGGCCGAGTCGCGGCTATTCCAATTGTTACTTTGAATTCAATATATTTGATGACTAATGTGATTGTTTCAGCCACATCCGCCGGGTTGCCCACTGATGGCAAACCACCCCGACGAGCCCCGACGGTGTCAAAGTAAGTACTGCCGTCAAGCCCTTCGTTTACCGACGAGCTTAATGCACAGCTGTAAGGTTCGATAAATGAAGTCGATATAATTTGATAGACGCTCACAGAACTATGTACTAGTGTGCCCGGGGCCCTGAGGCAGTCCAAATTCTGCTAGACTGCGGCTCACTAACTTTCACTAGTCTGCCGACTTGGAGGACACGGATCCAGATAGGACTTTGTACGCGTGTACGTTTCACCTGTGTCTTGAACTCTCTCGCTACTGATTCTGTTGATATGCGAAACTGTACTCGCTGCCGATCTTCTGCCCAACCGCTGTTGTTTTCACAATATTTTGAACCTTCCCGGGTCCCAAGTTTATACCATCATTGGACTTTTCACCGGCGCCTGAGCACTACACGCCTCTCACTGTTTTGCGCGGCTCGCACGCGTCTGTTATGACATTCCAAAATCTCCCCAGGTCGGCGGTCTACGGACTTACCTGTCCATCATGTATGATAATTGTGACACACTGGCAATGGTAATACCAATTCCTCAGGGTGAGTTGCATTTGTGTTTCATCAATAACAAATTCGACACTTGTGATCTTCCATTCCACATTCAATGCCGTAGGACAATGGATTTCGTCCGTTCGGGCTCCGGAGTCGTTCTTCTCTCTGATCGCACTGTGAACTTCAAGTTCTATTACGTCTATCACCTCTCTCACAGCCCGGCGACACTACCGCACTTTCCTCGCCTACGAATACGACGTAGAAGAATAACTTAGCACACTTCTCGGCCGACAGAGCCTTCAAGAAGCGCTTCATGGAACCTAAACGCTTGCCGAGGGATTCTGAGGACTCGCAAACCACCGCTGTCGAGGTTTAATCAACATGCATCGAGTTCTAATCTGAAGGAGACAGAACCCAAGGTGTTCGCATTAGCTTTCTGTTCACACCGATCCTTCGGCCACCAAACCTCTCGAGACGACATCCACATTAAGCGCATGCGTAGTACTCTCCTGGGCAGCACACTGCGTGGCGCATCATAGACATTGATATGTACATTGCCTTATTGTGATTTTTTTTTTGATATTTCATTGGTTTGGCATTTGTGGTTACGACTCCCGCCCCAGCGAAACCAAAACGGACGAGATCATTAGATGGAAGATTGTGTTATTTTTGGAGATCGGTGCGCTGATATATGGAGCAATAGGAGAGTTACCTGGCACACTGATGCCGCATCACAGCCTTACGAGCAGCAAATCCCCGCGACCTAGGACTGTTGTACATGTCAGGCTGTTACTATTCCCAGCGCGTTTGGATGTACTGGTAATACTAGGTGCCATAGGTTTGCAGTAAAGCATGTGCTCTGCAACACAACAAAGCATAGCCTGCATGACACGTCAATTCAGTGAGAAACGCCAACGAACCAGCAGGGATATATCCTATCACCGCCGTTCAAGTAGAAGCATACTTGAACCCAGCATTGAAGCAATGAGATTACCCCATGAGATCACGACTCTGGGTACCAGTGCCGAAAATAGGACATCTGCCCGAACTCATTATCAAAGACCATATGATATGATTTGGTTGGCTGCAAGATGCTGGCTATTCCTCATTATTTAAGAAGTGAGTTTCCGGTACAATTCCGTAGGGATGCAACATGGTTTTACCAAAACCAATTTTTCGTTTAGACCTAAGTGCTTAAATACACTACATCAGCACCATGACGAAACTCCAAAATGAACCTGGTGCTCACTGCAGATGACAACCCGACAAGTATTACTCACTTGAAGCGTTTCCCTTGCTACACATCACTCCCAGTTGACACAAGGTCGCGCTCCTGGAAGATGATTGTAGTGAAGGACGGACCAGCATCAGAGTTGATTGCGAGCTCAGCGTCATATTTTCGAACGCTAAGGATGATGCGTGGTCCTAGCACGAACGTCCGTACGAACCACAAAATTTGAAAAACACCATTATAAACTTCAGAGCCTACGGAGGACTGGTCCTATAGAAATGATTAACGGTGTCGCAGGCACACGGAATTTCAGTGATAGATAAGCTTACAGAGAATCTTGGAGAGAAACCACCGAGGGCCAAGAAACAAACAGCAACAGAGCTAGGACGCGGGGAACTTCAGCGGAAAAGATAACCAAATTCAAATTACGAGCTCACAATACAAAGTAAACCATGGGAGCTTTCGTTAACACCATGAAACAATCGATTTTCCATCTCGTTGATGCTTGTTGAACTTCACGGAAATGTTTTACAACAATCCAGACTGCAAGACACAGTACGAGGACCTCCCATGCAGTGCCAATTATCCAGGTCAGGGAGATCAGAAATTGGGCGGCTCTAGCTCCCTGGTATTGATAACTGCACTGATAGGTGCCGGACAGGATGAGCTCCTCTGAAAGCCATCCAATGAGCCTGATGCACTTCAGTCTTTCGTTTATAATAAAGGCTTACCCCCAGAAACATAGATGTTTAATATCACGGCGACTACACCGCAGGTGATCGGGACAGGCAAGAAGACCGTAATGAGAAAAATAAGCATCTTTCCCGATCGCTGATACATGGCATACAACCGAGTGATCACGATGACTTGTGCCGTTCGAGTCAACATCACGAAAGTATTGCAGCTAGGCAACTCACCGCACAGTACGAGAGTTATCACCAGATTCATCCAATTTGTGATGAAGTACATAATATTGCCTGGAAACCCCAGTTAGCGATGAGCCTATGAAGACCAAGAGACTCACAACTGTTGCAGTCATTGTATTCAAATGATAAGCTAGTCAAGAATCTCACTCACCCCTAAATAGGAGTGGAGGTAAACGAGTGAGAACAAAAGGCACCAGCGCAGAATACTGACTGCATCTGTTATCGAGACCGACGGAAGACTTGCTGTATGCCACTGGTTAGAAGAGACAAACACAGTGTAGTGAGGAAACATACACAGCACGACGGCGCTAGTTGTGGGAGATGGCTGGTTAGCACAGCGCCAAATGGTAAGCCTTTCAAACATACGCGGCGTATGGTATTCCAACATAGCGCACCTAGAACATGTTGAAATCAGCACAACTGGCCAGCTACGATTGTAACATAGGCCACGTACACTGAGATAAAGAAGAGTCGTGCGGGACCAGCGTCGCCTCTGCCCCAAGTTAATTGTGTTAATCACTGTCATGTATATATATATGGATGGGACTCTGCTCACCCAGACCAGTTCAAACTATAAAGCATCGTTAGTGATATGGCTACTCCAGTAATAACACTAACCAACCTCTTGTCCGAAAATCAGTGCTGGAAATATCATGAGTACTTAAGCGGTGCCTTAATACTATCTTGCTCACCCCAATCATATACGACCGCAGCAAAGCAGGCGACTGCGAAACCATAATCAGTGGTTAAATCAAGGCATCAGCGACACCCTTCGCGAACCTAAAAAATAGCTGGACAAACGATACGAATCGATCAGTGGCCACGACATGGGGTCATTTGATACCAGGGTCATATTCGAGGGAAGGGACTGAGTGAGTGTGGTGAATTTGATGAACATACGACGATGTTGCTTGCGCTAGATATACCACTATCCAGTGCTTTTATCGGTAACTAAACCATATGGAGATGAGTGTACATGGGATGACTGAAGGGTAAGAACGCACAAGTCCTTGATCGAATCAAAATGAATATGCAAAGCAGTACGGTACCATGTCAAATGCGAGGAATACAGGACTTCGGAATTTCGAAAAGCTGTTCGTGAGTTCGGGAACTTGTTTGTGATGCGATTCTCGAGAGCTTGCCACGCTTGCATCAGTGCAAGAGTTCCATAGCATCACGAGGGGCGATCGACCTGGCACAGGCCGTGGGATGACGCGGCGTCTGTCGCCTCATGTGCAACTCTCGCTCTTTGTCTCGGTTGTCAGGCTATAATGTTATAAGGGTACAAAATGTGGTAAGCGTAGTGTGAATCTGGTGCAGAACCGGTGCAGAACGCATGAGCACATCCATCAAGCACATGGAGAATGAGCACGTGGTGCATCAACTTGCACAGCCAGACCCGATACATTCCTGATTGATGATTGGCAACCACGGACGATTGCTCTGGTCAATAATGACACTATCCTTAGCTCAAACAAAAGCCACGAGTTATAAAAGACAACTGTGTACAACCACGCGCCGGGAAGCCCGCTTACTCGTTCTTAGCATGTTACAAGTTCCCGTCCTTGATGCTTCTGTCCCGCCTTGATCGATTCCGGTACATATACTTATGTTTAGAGATCTAGAACACGATGAGCGTAAAATGAGAGATCAGACGGATAACTCGCCATGTGAAAATATCACGGGCAGGGCACCAAATACGCGCAGTAGTCTGATGGTTGCACCCTCATAAACACAGGGTCGAACTTGTGTCGAATACAAAGACCGCATGTCATCACATCGCGTACTGTATGCAGCACTTGTTGCGGTGTATAAATTGAAATTTGCTCTCTCAGGCTCCTCTCGTCGTCGGAGTCCGCAAAGAAGCTGGTGATTCATTGAAAGTTTGTTTGGCAAGGCCCTCCAATCCAAACAGCAACTTCGGAAAAAGCCGTAAAGTTCGTGCTTACAGCGTCCGTATCAGAGTCATTTACGTTCTGAGCGGTGAGCGCCCAAGTCAGATCGGAACTAGAGCAACTGCACGCCCAGCCTTGATATTAACCATACATCCGCTCAGCCCAACTGGACCGTCGCTGCAGCTACAAATCTGTCATCTGGATCTCTCTCGTCAAATGACTCTGTTGTAGTACTCGCGGCCGATCCCTCGAAGTACAATGCTATACCTCGTGTTATTTTCGCGAGCTTTCGGCCATCTTTTTCATACCATATCTAAATGCAATGCTCGATCTGGATGATGCGCCATCTACTACTGTGTCTATCCATCTCACTGTTCCACTCGCAGCGCCAAACAAGCAAGACGAAACCCTGTACCAGGGCACGGCGAAGGTTTTGACGTGCTCCTAGTTCTTGTTGATTTTGACGTCGCCGTTCTTCCCTTTGGAATTGTCCTTATTGGATTGCACCATTCGGCTGAGGACTTCGAGGACTATCACATCTATCACCTCTTCCACAAACCCCATTGCTTCACTTCCCGCCCACGATCCGCGTTGCCAGTGGCCAAGCCTAGGACCTCCCTCTTGACTTTGATTGGACTGTATCTGTGCTTGAAAACTCCACTCTGCTCACAACCTAGGCATATGTTTGTGCGTAGGGATCATCGCGGGCATCCGAATAGACGCTCACCTAGGAATTCTAAGGACTCGCAGACCACTGCAGTAGAAGTTGAACCAGCCAACTCAAGGATATTCTTAAGGGGATAGAACTCAAGACGTACACCGATAATTTGTTCATACCGATGCTCTGACTCTTGTACCGCTGGAGACAATATCCGCATTCGGCGCACGCACCGTTCCTTGGTCCAAGCGGTCGGATAGAACGTACAGAATGCACCTCGCGAATCTCGTTGAAACCGAGCACGAAGTATTAAGTATTCTCTCGCGATACGACGAACTCACTCAGAAGAAAATTGTGGCAGAGAAGCCCTTGCGACTGTAAATTGCATATAATCTGGACGGCGAATGTGCAGTCAGGACGGAGGTTAAGGTGGATATCACACAGCTCTCTATCTCGGATTCGGAGAAGCCCTCAAGAGTTGCATCGTTGTCACCGCCCGATTCAAGCGACGAGGTTCACCACCCCAGGTGGTGCTCTCCGTTGCAAGTTCTGACTTGTCAAACATCAACAAGTGCCTTCATTGTCCTAAATTATTTGGCTCATCTTGTTCTCGTGATATTTTTTCGAGACCTATTACCGACTTACTATATGTACTTCAGTACCCAGTCTCAGACAAAATTCCTCGTTCTCCCTGAAGATTGTTACTCCACTTGGAGTGTTTCTAGCGCTATATACTACTGCCAGTCGATCAGCTTAACGCATGGATGCACTCCTGGAAGGCAATAATAGATATGCTGGTTCCTGCATCGAAGTCGGCTATGAGCTTGGTGTGATATTCTCGCATGCCGAGGATGAGGCGTAGTCACAAACAAACTGCATGCTCCAGAAAATTTGAAGAATAGTATAAATATCTTCCAAGGAGGTTGCATCCTACAGAAACGATGAATTTCGGTCATACGGAACACCAAAACCAATACCCCAATGAAACTCCAATCATCATGCTCCCTGCAAATCACTACCACACAAGTCCTGGTGTGTCCAGTGCTACACGCTACTGCCAGTGGACTCGTGCACGCGCTCCTGGAAAGCAACTGTAGTCATGCTTGTTCGCACGTCGGAGCCAGCCACGACCTTGGCGTTAAACTCTCGAACACTAAGGACGAGGCGCGGTCCCAACACAAACATCTGCGTGAACGACATAATTTCAAGAAAACCATAATAAACTTCAGCGCCAGTGGACAATGAGTTCTGCAGAAATGAACAATGTCACATGCACATGGGCTCAGTAACAGATCGGCGTACCGAAAGCGTTGGAGATGAATATCCAGAATTGAAGCAAGAAACAACGACAAAGCTAGTATACGCAGAAGTCTCAGTAGACAAAATAACTGAACTCAAACTATGTACTCACCTTGCAAAGTAAAGCATGTGAGTTTTGATTAACACCGTGAAACAGTCCCCGACGGTCCTTCTCGCCGATGATCGTGGAAGGTCACGGATATGTTTCACAGAAATCCAGTGCGCAAGACACAGCGCGAGAACCTCCCATGCAAGGGTGAGTATCCAAATCATGGTAACCGAAAGTTCAGTGGTTCCCATATCATAAGTACATATATGGTTGCTTGACAGGATGAGCTCCTCTGATATTCGTCCGATGAGCCTGATGTCTTGGGGTCTCCTGTTTAAATGAAAGCTTACTTCCTGAAACATGCTTGTTCACCATTTCACCGACCACTCCGGAGGTTATCGTGAGAGACGCGACGATTGCGATGAGAAATATAAGCATCTTTCTGGATTGCTGGTACATGGCATATAACCGAGTGATCGTGATGACTTAGATGGCATGTCATTCGGGTCATATTACTGAGGGTAGTGTAGTTGGATAGCTCACCACACAGCATAGTAGTTACCGCCCAAGTGATCCAATTTAATGCGAACCATACGGTACTGCCTAAAAAATCTAGTTAGCGATAAGCGTACGAGGACCAAAAGACTCACAGCTGTTGCAATTAATTTATTCAACCAAGCTAGTCGAAAACCCCACTCACCCCTACAATTTTTAACAGGAATTGCAGGCACCAGGGCAGAATACTTACTGCATCTGTCAACGAAACCGACGGAATACTAACTGTGTGCCATCAAGTCAGAAGAAATAAACACAGCGTATGTGAGGAGACGTACTCAACATGACGGTGCTGGTTGTGGGAGATGGCTGATTAGCACATACAATTGACAATGGTTAGCCTTGCAAACATACATGCCATATGGTATTACAGCATAGCGCACCTAGAATATGCTAAAGTCAGCACAACGTTCCAACTGCACATTGGCTACATACAGCAAGATATGAAATGGACATGAGGGACCAGCGTTTCTTCTACCCCAAGGTAATTGTATTATCCCGCTGTTCTGCCGATGAGGCACTCTGCTTACCCAGATCAGTTCAAACTATCGTTCCATTGTTAGTGAGATGGTTGCTCCGGTGATAGAATTGACTTACCTCTTGTCCGAATGTTAGTGCTGGAAATATCATGAGCATATCAGTGGTTCTTTAATACTACACTGCTCACCCCAATCGTATACTACAGCAGTAAAGGAGGCAACTGCGACACCACAGTTAAGGTTAGATCAAGACATCACCAACATCATGGGACTGGCTCCCCACGAACCTACAAAATAGCTGGAAAAACGTTCCGCATTGAGTTGCGGCCAGAGACTGGGATCATTTAAGACTATGGTCATAATCAAGGGGTGAGCGTGAGTGAGGGACTCGGACATGTAACGATGGCGTTCCTGCTAGATATACCACAATCCAACGCCGTCATCATCGCCGAAAGAGGTGTTGAGGCGGTATGGATCTTTGTTCCTGCTGTGGTCGACCTGTGCAATCAAGTAGAAGAGCCTAGGGTTGCTTTAGGTTTGATCATCACGAATTTTCGATTCGAGAGCTGTTTGGACCTTATTTCCGCTCAAGATCCGTTTACCACGCTTCTATATATCGGTTCAGGAGTTCGATCAGTCAAATCATGGGCCAAAGTGCAATGTGTCGAGATGATTGCAGTGTCGGCCTGTCGTCTCGGTGACCCATCAATTAGCCTAGGAGAGCGTAAGTGACAACTTGTCTGAAATCTCTCAATTAACATGGTCACATTCTGCCGGCATGACAGAAAAAATGAAAATAGAATGGCTTGAAAAACAATGAATCACTGACCCTTCCCACTCATCTGCAACGCCTCCGGCGAGCCACCCGCCAATGGCTAATCCAACGTGCCCAAAGTTCCTCCACCGGAAATTCTTGGTATCTGTTGCGGGAGTGTCGCCTCGATTTTTGCCTCGTTCATGGGGCTATGCTGCCATAATGAAAAACACACATGGTAATGACTGGTAATGGCCTTGCAAACATGATGCGGACCCGATACAAGATGTGCCAACGAGCTATCATGCGATTGATGGATTGGCGTTGCATCAATTTGCACAGCCATGCATGTATGACCCAATCCCAGTTCAAGTTCTTGACTGATGCCATCTAGGTTGGGACTAAACTGGACTAGACCAGTGAGCTAGTGCGCGCGTGTAGCCACTGACCCTGCCATAGCCATCGATCTCCTAGTTAGCGCTCCTCATAAGGGCCTTACCAGTTACCAACATGAAAAGAAAAAACTGATTCAGATCAACCTCAAACTCCGCCATTTAAACCTGTCTACTCGTCTCTATATCTTTCAATGAGATATTACTCCTCTCGCACATTCCGCGGAAAAGTCCATTATCCATTCTGAAAAGATTGGATGGAGTATCAAATTCCTGCGATAGAGTGTGAGTATCAATATTTGTTGAAAGGCGTTCAAAATAACCTACGGCAACAAGACCGGCGTCGAGGACTAGAATCTGGTCATATGAGATGATGGTTCGAAGTCGGTCTGAAGTATCATCACGTTACCGTATTGCACCAAGAGTAAAAAAAGATATAAAACGCACGAGCAATACAAAGTAGCGTGCGATCCTGGAATTCTGTCTGGATAGTGTGCTGGATCTTGTTATCAGTATCGAGATCTACAGACGCTCTGAAAAAAAATCAACATCAAGCACCCAGGAGAAGAGCACATGACTAACGTGGCCTCGTCAAGCACGACGACTTTGCAGTCTTTCACGAGCGCACGAGCTAGACTGAGCAGAGATCTCTCCCCAACACTGAGGTTCGCTCCTTCGCTCTCAATGATGCTGTCGAGGTCGTAGCGGCTGGTGGAAGCTTGCTCGCTTCCGACGCCATCACTGGAAGATGACTGTTTCGAGGTGCTAGAATCAAGAAGACAAGATCGATGCAGCGCATCCCATAGCACCGCGTCACTGTGTTGGGAGAATGGATCCAGGTTGGAGCGTATGGTCCCTGGTAATATTTAGCGCTTCACAAGTGCATGTAGATCTACGATGCTAACCGCTGAATAGAAGAGGCTATCGAGTTCGTTCATCAGTGCTGTTGTTAGGTAGTACAGGGAAACTTTACAAACATCTTGTGGGATAATCGAAATCTTGGATCGGAGATCTTGAAGACCCATGGTAGATATATCGACACTAGAAGGGATGAAAACCAACATTTGTTGCGAGCAATGACCCACGCACCCATCAATAGTGATTGAACCACCAGACAACTCAACAATTCGAAACAGTGCGAGCATCAACGAAGATTTGCCAGCACCAGTCCTGAGGGGACATTGTATTAGCATGCATATGTAGATCCAACAAACTAGCTGACCTTCCAACAACACCTATCTTTTCGCCTCCCCTGACCTTGACAGAGATGCCCCTCAATACATTGGGAAGGCCCGGCCTATACGCCATTTTTACGTCGTTGAATTCGACGGCGCCATGTTCGGGCCATTGCGCCAGGGGCTTTCGTTCTTCAATCTCATGCGGAGCCTCTTGAGGTATCGTGTCGCCTGCGACGTACTGTACCACTGCGAGGTGTAAGTGAGAGTTGGGGTATCATAGGATTGGTGGCTCACATCGTTCCACTGAATTCATGTAATTCTGAGGCAAACGACGATTTAGTAGCCTCCAATGCAAGATAGTACGGAAAGTTTTACCTCAGCGTCTGCTGTTTGTCTGGTTAATAGACTGCACATTTGTGTCAGCGAGGCTTTGATACAGAAAGGTTAATCATGTATACTTTGGTGGGGACATTAGGAGACTCACTAGTATACGTCAGTACCAACCCTATCTGGGCAGCGTTTATCCCGGAGACGTCGATCACCGCGAGAACAGCAACCTGTCGAGATCGTAGCATCGGGTGAACATGAGGTCTTTGTCATTAATTAGACGCCTACCAAGAAGACTAACATGCCTCCCATGAAGTCCAACCTTATTGAAAGCCATCTGGGGGAAGGTGATAAACCAACGACCGCCAATGTTGTACAAGGTTACTTGCCTCTGGTTCGTAACCACAAGGTATAGAGCTCTGTTCTCCAGATCAACGTAGTATTTGTTGGCAGAAATAAATCGCTTCATTTCCCCGTAGCTTCGGATGGTAGGAAGTCCTGTCAAGGTCTCCGAAAAGTGGGCGTACAGAAGAGAGCGAAACATAGAGTCTTATAACCAAAATCAGCAGAGGCTTTCTAGGTCAGAAATACAACAACAAACCCAGGCGCTTGACCTCACGAGCACCAGCTCGATAGAAGGCAGCGAAGTAGCCGTAACCGAGAGCGATGAAGAACACAGCAATAACTAGGCAAGCATGAGCCATATTCTCGTAAATGATATCCAGGGACTGACTAAAATATGGTTCAAGGACAGCAACGATGATGATAGAGCCCATCACGCTGGACAGCGTAATGACCACTGGATCTCCATAGTCAGTCTCTGTAAGCGAAGCATGCAGCTAACGTACGCAATCTCATTGATTCTGGGCCATGCATAAGCAACATCTCACCATGCAGTGACAGACGACTCACGTGGTAATTGATTATCAACATCTGAGCGAAAGTTTCAGCCAAGCATACCATAGCGCGAATCAGTGAGATACTGACTGTCGACATCTTTGCCAAAAATGCTCAGGATTCGGCCCATTGGCTACAGGAACATGATGAGCATCGGATTTGGCGCTTTCATATACAATCACTCACAGTAGTGTCGAAAAAGGACATGGATGCATGAAAGACGTTGCGTACGGACTTGTGGTGCAGGCCTTGAGACACATAATAGGAAATGAAGTCCATTCCAGCACCGCTGCAGTAAGTTGCGTTGAGTGAGCGTGCCGCCATCTGCGATAGGAACCGACTTACAGCAAGAATGTGAAGATCGCTTGAGCAACCCCTAGGCAGCCATACAGGATCTGATAGAATGAATTTGGTCGGTCGAATTTGCTATGCCAGGATGTCAGACACGGAATCAAAAAGTCGATAAAAAGATACTGACTTGGTCTCCCACCAAACTAGGGTGTACGAGTTCAAGATCAAGCTTCCTTGCATCGCAAGCATGAAGATAAGGAGTAGGGGACCTGTTATTGAACCGCGTCCCGCAACCAAGTAGGCCCAGTACACTGTGAAATTGTTTCAACCCAGGGAAACTCTTCAGAAAAACTTGATCATACCTCCTCGGGACACGGAACCCGTCGACCGCTTCTCTTTGACGATCAAGCGACCTTCGAGCTTGCCCCTGCCAGTAGCCTTTTCTCTGGCTCTTTCTGACTTCAACTTCACACCCTCGATTGTAATGCCTGTTTGCAGAGTGACTTCCTCTGCCTGGTCTTCGTCTTTCCCCTCCGACGCATGACCACCGAACTCCAGGTCCAAACGCGCAAAGTCACCACCGCGGGAGATCAATTCCTCGTAGGTCCCGCTTTCTGTGATGACGCCGTTGTTCATGGTGTAGATATAATCTACTTGAGAGAGGAAGTGGATTGCATGCGTGACCAGAATGACAGTAATGCCACGATTTCGTAGGGCACCCACGATAGCATCTTGGAACAAGGACTTTCCGACGTGAGCATCCACTGGAGGCGTTCGTCAGTATGATAGACATAAGACAAACCACATAGCTCACCTGCCGAGAGCGGGTCATCGAATATGACAATTTCAGGGTCAAAGTACAGAGCACGAGCAATGTTGACCTCGTTGGAAGATAAAAATCGAGTCTTTGAACGGAGATACGCCATGGACTCACTCTCTGCTTTTGGCCACCGCTGAGATTGATTCCCTTTTCTCCGATCTTAGATAGATCATAAGCAGTGTCATCAAACTAAAATCATCCACCGTACCTCAGTCAAATCGCCGTCTGGGAGCAGTTGGAGATCAGGAAGTAGACAAGCGGTCTCGATGACGCGCCAATATCTATCTTCCTCGAATGGTTGGCCAAAAGTGATATTATCACGCTGGGGTAAAATGTTAGATATATTCACCCTTCTGAGATCAATATCATGCTAACCAACGTAGCATTCTGGATCCATGCGGTCTGCGGACAATAACCAACACGACCGCCAAACGAGACATGCCCGGAGACCTTCCTCATCTCTCCTATCAGTCCTTGCAATAGACTGGACTGTTCATGGGTCAGTAGTCGCTTCAAGAATTTTATTTGACAAGGTTACCTTGCCGCTTCCGACAGGCCCAACTACAGCGACGAGCTGACCTCGTGGAATGGTCATGGTCACATTCATTACCTTAAAGAGAGGTGCATCCTTAACAGGAGTGGATTTTTCTTTCACCGTGTCCTCCTTCACGTTCCTATGCTTGCCCCTCGGTGGACCGCCGCCGCTTGCGCCCTTCTTCGAGCTAAAAGCTTCACCAGAGTCTTGTCCGTGCGACTCCCACTCAAATGTCGCGTCCTTCATCAGAAGTGCGGGTTCTTGGTCCTTGTCGATTATGAGTGTATCTCCGGAAATTTGCTCTGCGCGGAACACGTGCGTGAGCCGCTGAATCGCGCTGGCTGCATCGGGGATAGCTGATAGAGCGCGAGGCATGAACAGCATCGGTTGCCGGAGAAGCTATTTATCTATGGGTTAGGTGCATGTTTATGTACGCTGCGGGAAACGATTTCACCTGGAACAAACTCAGCGAACTGAATATGACAGCAACGTTGAAGTTGTGTGCTGTAAGGGTGTACGTGACGAAAGCTAGTGTAGCAGCGAGGACTGGGAGCGAAGAAGCAAGCGCCAAACTGGGTGGATTGAATGAGTAGGCGTTGCTATGCTATACACAACTGAACTTACTTCGCCGAAGTTAAATGAAGAATCCATCGGATACCACGCAGTTCCTTCTTTCTAAGCTCGAAGATTCCTAAGCGTTCGTGAACACATTGTCAATACTCCTTGACATCATGCTTACTTTGAAGGAAGGGAACCTCGTATGAGAAGTACTTGACAATTCGTATAGCTCCTGTACGCCTCTTCAGCATCCTTGCACGTCCCACCTGATACAAGGTTACGTACCGAGTACCTCTAGCAGGACTTTGGCTCGTTGATCAGTCCACTTCATCGACGCTAAGCGAATACGGTGCTGCAGTGCCATTAACCACTGTTGAAGTGGAATCATGAGGGCAAATAGCGAGAAACCAGCGAGCGCAGACGGCCCGAGCTAATTTTCAAGTGCCATTAGAACATAACGAACTCTTCGTTCCGTGCAACAAACCTCAGTTAAAAGAATGATTAAACAAACTGTGACCTGGATAGGCGCAGTCCAGGCTTGAGGACAGTAAGTCATCTCCAAATCTCAATGTTAGAGGTCCTATATACTGACCTGCATGCTAATAGCGAGGGACCGGCTACAATCAGCCAGCAGCATAAGTGTCATGCTTGAGTTTGCAACTCACAAACCACTGCGCACACGCATCAATCCTGCTCACGTCCGTAGAGATATGATTAACAAGCACGGCATTGTCGAGTTTGACACGTGCTTTGCCTGTGAGGTTCACTCCGCGCTCGTAAATGCATGTTATTAGTGCAGCTCTAGCCAGTACGCCTGTTGTCATTGAACGCCAAAAGAACTTGAAATGCGTCATCTGAGCCGCGTGTATCTTCAACTCACAAAATTTTACAGACCTGGTGGGTGCAGATGCTGGCTGTCACGGTGAGTGCAAAGAGCCCAAGAGCCATGGCGATACCGCGACCGACATTGGGGGCAGGTTCCCCGGCAATGATCGCAGCTGAACGCTCCTCTGCAAAGACGATGATTTGCTGCAGGGGGATAACAAACATCAGAGAGGTTTCCACAACCAAACGCAAATTGCTATTTACCCGAAGGACGATAGGACCCATGAGTTGTGCTGTATCACCAAAAACCTGAGTGGTATTGTAAATTTATTATGACATTGACAATTTGTGAGGAAGACCCATGCCTTGAATGCACCCCCAATCCAGAACATACCACGAAAGACGTCATTCAAAGCCCAAGTAAGGCTAGCCTCTTTCCGGCCTTCGGACTCTCGCCAATGATTCTGAAACGCTGCACGTCGTTCAGACCAAGTCGCGCCTTGTTTCTGATCATTCCTGGAAATAGCACGCAAGGCCCAGCCGGTACGCTTGAAGAGAGATGGCCTAAGTTCTCCGCTCTCAAGACGTGCATTCCAGTCAGCTGCAGCCCTAACACGCCGCTGCCATGCAGCTTCAAGTTTAGCGGCAAGGACGTCTGACTCTTGGGATGTGTCCATTTTGTATAGATCAGACGCTTGTAACGTGCGCTGATATCCAAGAACCTGCATATATGCGTCAGAACAGTATACATTGAGATCGGGTTTCAATAACCGACCATTATGTCGGTTATCCAGGTGTAGGTGAGCTGAGAGAAAATGGAAGCATTGGCCAAAGGCGTCAGCTGTAGAACACTGTGTCATTAGGAGGATCCTTAGGAAATTAGTGTACGGTGTTCGCGCACCGCTGCATCCTCCAGAGACGGGGGAGCTGGGGGAGGTGGGTCCTTAGGTAACCTGCTCGCAGCCTGGTGGGAGAGTGCATTGTTTGGAAAATAGCTTCACTTACCACAACTGCCACCATTTTTGACGGAAGTTGGTATACTCATCACCAGTATCGAGCTGAAGGTTTAAAGGTTGAAGAGTGACTGCTTTGGCCTCCTCGACCTCTTCCTTTTCGCCCTTCGTAGATTCTTCTGACCGTTGAGAGGTCATACGAAAAACAGCAAATACTGGGCCAGATGAATGGCGGCTTGCTCAGACTGAAAAAGACTCGGAGAGCCATCGGCCCTGTATTAATAATTACACTTTGCGCGGGCCATTGCATGACATAATGTGACCAGGGCGTCAAGGACTCCGAGCCTTGTCCGAGCCTCACGGCCACCTAGGTCACCTGCCAGTCAATCAAATGGTGATTTCTAATTTGGTTGTGGCAGATTCATTTAGCATCCGAGAGAGCTCATCAGTTTTCCACCTTGACTTGCGATAAGCTCCAAATAGCTATACATGGGATTTGCATTGGATGTGCATCGTGCAAGAAAGCGTGTTGTCCACTGACCGAAACAGTATGATCTCGTACGCATACGGATGCGCAGCTGCCAGCAGGGCACAGGCTCGCAGATTGGGGATGTTCGGTAATATGTCACGGTATTGCCGAAGGCCGTGCTTGTCCTCCAGACTCCAGAGTCCAGGCCCGAAGTTTGAACCGTCGAAGAATAAAGCAAAAGTCGAAAGAGATAAGGTCATATTCCCCTTCATATCTTTAACTGATTCTGAATCAAGGCTGATACTGGCATTGGGAGTCTTGATTCTAGTAACTTAAAGTAGGGATGAGAATCATTGATTGAAGTGGGAAAAGCCTAATCAAAGGCAACCACTGTGGGTTTGAATTTACCACGCTCGGTACGCTACGTAGCCCCGCGCATCACCGACTGATAAAGTCAGTGAGACTAGCCTTCCTAAGAGCTTTTTTGCCGCATCACTGATTTAACTCACCTCAGGCAACCAGTGAGCCCAACAATTGAGCAGCCCCAATGATTCGACTTTCAAACGATTTGATGACATTCGCATCAGTACCCAAACATCTCTCCTCGGCTCCGTGAACGCGCAGATGAAAACGTAATGTCGGGACTCGGTGATGCCAATTGACGATTCGCAGTGGTTCCACTCTGCTGCTGCGTACATTCAGCCTCCAGGATATCTCTTCTCAACAGTCACCCTTAGCTTGCACTGACCCCAACTACAACATCTTTATCATGGTCGCTTCATACCATCGAAGTTCTGTCAATTACCCTCCCCTCGACGGATCTCTGTTGCTCCCTGAATTGGTGGAATTCAATGCGCAACATAACTCGGATGTCACTTTCTTTGTCTATGAGAAATCTGACAGCAATGACCTGGTCTCTATCTCACACTCAGACTTCCATCAAGCTTGTCATCGGGCAGCCCAGGAAATTAGGCCAGGTCGCACAGGCGCAGACAATGAAGTGGTCGCCCTTATTGGGAACTCTGATACCCTTCTTTACCAGACGGTATTCATGGGAATCATCTTCGCTGGGCTGGTCGTATGTACATAGATTCGTTGTATGAACGGGTTTCTGATTATTACTATTATAAGCCATTCCCCATGTCCCCTCGTAATTCGGCTGCGGCAATCATAAGCATGATGCACAAAACAAAGTGCTGCCGTTTAATCGTGACCTGGCACTCTCTTGCTTCCCTGATCGATGACATCAAAGCGAATTTCGTGTCTCATGTTACGCAAACGAGCCAGTTGCAGATTGACGAGATTCCGGCGCTGAAACACCTGTACCCCGCACTCGTTAGTGGTACTCAAGACGAGGCCTTTGTCCCGTACCCTTCCCCAGCTCCGCCGTCATATAAGAACGATGTATTGTTCTACCTGCATTCTTCTGGCAGCACTGGCTTCCCAAAACCCATTCCAATCAGCAACCTGACTGCCATTCACTGGTGCATAACCCGTGAGTCAGCGAAAAAATCTGCATAGCAAAAAAATGCTAAGACGGAGTGGTGTTAGCGTGTATTCTCGACCACACTGACGTTCCTACTCCAATGCGCATCGGTACTGCATCCTTGCCATCATTCCACACCCTTGGTATATATCTTCAGCTGCTCACCCCCATCGTCACCCTGAGCAGTGTGTCTATCTACCCACCTACATCCTTCCTCGATCCCTCGGCGACCCCTGTAGTACCTAACCCGCAAAATATCCTGGACTCTGTACTCAAGACGAAATCGAACGCTCTGGTAGTCGTGCCTGCCTTTCTGGCGCAATGGGCGATTGTGCCGAATGCCGTCGATATTCTAAAGACGCTCGAATACGTCGTAAGTTTGTTATTGATACTTTGACAAGGAAATGACTCACAAGGAAATGACTCACGTTGACACTAACGCCAGGTCTATGCTGGCGGTCCGCTCGCGCCCAAGATGGGAAATACCCTGGTGGATGCGGGCGTTAAGCTGTCTTGTGCTTATGGCGCCACAGAATTCGGCATAAACACTTATTTCATCCGAAACGCGGACGAGCAAAAGCTTTGGGAATGGGTGCGATTTGGTCCAAAGTCCAAGATCAGATGGGCTCCTCAGGACGACGGTACATATGAATGTCAGGTTTTGGTATGACTCGGTCTTTAGACACCCTCTCGTCGTTGAACACTTTCTCGCAGACAACCCCGACACATCAAGTGTCAGTAGAGAATCTTCCTGACGTCAAGGGTTATGCAACTTCAGATGTATTTATCAAGCACCCGACGGTAGAGGGTCTGTGGAAGATGTATGACTTATATTTGTGTTATTCATATTCTCTGACATTTTCCTTGCAGCGTAGGAAGGATCGACGATGTTTTGGTACTCTCGTCTGGGGAGAAGACGGTACCAGCTCCCATGGAAAGCGTCATCGGCGCCAACCCGTATGTGAACGGCACCGTCATCTTCGGCCGTGGACGCAATCAGGTTGGGATCCTCATAGAGCCACGAGCGGGGTGTGAAATCGACGTTGACGACGAAAAACACCTTGCTGAGTTCAGGAACCGAGTGTGGTAAGCCCCCTACAAGATCGCATGCTGCTGTTGAGTCTCAACATGCTCTTGCAGGCCGGACATAGAGGAAGCGAATAACGAGGCTCCTGCCTTCAGCAGGATCTTCAAAGAGATGATTCTTGTGACACGCAGTGAGAAGCCCATGCTTCGAGCTGGAAAGGGGACCGTCACAAAGAAAGCAACCGTCAAGCTGTACGAGAAGGATATCAATGCCCTGTAAGCACACTCATAAGCCACTTTCAACTAGACTTCACGGGCGACAGGTACGAGAAGGTGGAGGGCAGCGCCAGAGCGGGCATCGATGTGCCTTTGCCTGCAAACTGGACTGCGGAAGACGTCGAGGACTGGCTTACAGTCCACGCTGTTGCTGTGAACGCCGACAAGGCGGTTGATCTTGATACAGACCTTTTTGCTCAGGGCTTTGACAGGTGGGTCGAAAAAGTGAATCAAGGCTAGTTCTCTGCTTACTTCTTACACATCCAGTCTCTCTGCGACATTTCTCAGAAATCGCATTATCGGCTCCTTCAGCTTGTCTTCAGATCGCGACGTTCAGGCATCGGCATCGCGGATCGACCAGAACATCATATTTTCAAGTCCTTCCATTCGCCAGCTCGCTAAAAGCGTCATCAGTGCAGTATTGCAGCAGAACGGTCCGGGCATCGTCGACGCCAAAGCTGACATCGAGAATATGATCGCAAAGTATTCGGTCGGATCAGGGGACTCTGCCACAGAGGTCATCGCCACTCCGGTTGATGGGCGCAGTCAAAGCGATCATGTGGTCATCCTGACTGGGTCCACGGGTGGTCTTGGCTCATACCTGCTTGCATATCTACTTCAGCGCGAGGACGTGTCGGTGGTATACGCCCTCAATCGCTCGTCAAATGAGGCATCCATTCAACAACGACAGGAGAATTCGTTCAAAGATCGCGGTTTAGATGTCACCCTGCTCAAATCAGACAGACTAGTGTACGCAGAAATCGATATATCTGATGATCGCCTAGGTCTGGATAAGGAGTTATATCACAAGGTTTGATTCATTTCCAGTGTCACCGAATCAACTAAAGAAAGCGTAGATCTGCACGTCTGTCACCATCATCATTCACAACGCTTGGCGACTCGATTTTAATCTGGCGCTCTCGTCATTCGAGCCTCATGTGCGGGGAACACGGAATCTTATAGACTTGGCACTGTCTTCTCCACGTCATCCAAAGCCGCGTTTTATGTTCACCTCTTCTATCTCATCTGCTCAAAGTTGGGATAGAGCGAAAGGTCCATTCCCAGAAGAAGTACAATACGATGCAGGGGTTGCAGCTGGTCCTGGCTATGGCGCGAGCAAATACATTTCAGAAAGGGTACGTCGCAAGCTACTTCGGGGGGTATAGATTCCACAACTATTGCTCCAAACAAGGTCATCGTCAACAGCAAGTTGCCGGCATCGTCATTCAGAATTGGCCAAATATCAGGAGGACCCCCGCGAGGAGCTTGGTCGACGACAGACTGGCTACCGATCATCGTGAAGTCGAGCGTAAGTCTGGGTGCGCTTCCAGAAGCCACAGGAGTAAGTTTATCCTTGTCGAAGCTATCCATCAATGACGTGAGCGGCTTAGCTTCTGTCTTGGATCCCTCCCCATGCTGTATCCAATACTATTCTTGATGTAGCTTTTGCGGAAGAAGAACCTCCCATCGCGGTCAATGTGGTGCATCCGAGACCGACAGCGTGGAGGACGTTGATACAGCCCGTCGCCGACGCCCTTGTTGAGCGTAAAGTAGTTAGTAACCCGTTGCTTCTTGTGTCGTTCTCAGCGTGGCTCGAAATGCTCGAATTGAGTGCCAAGGACATGAGCGAAGAGAACATCAAGCGCATCGTACGTGTATCTCGATAGCTGCTGGCCAGAACGTTTTCAAATTTGGTTTTCATTTGCAGCCTGCTATCAAACTTTTGGATTTCATGCGTTTCATGGCTCAATCAGACATCGTGATCAGGGCGTCCGGGGAGATGCGTTCTGAAGCGGGTGGCTTTACCCCATTTTCCACTGCTATAGCCGAACGTGTCAGTCCGACGATGCAGGAGCTGGAGCCGCTGTCGTCGGCAGACGCGGCACAGTGGGTGGATTATTGGGCGGCAATGGGGATGTTTCAATGAAAGAGTAAGCTGCGGTCATCTATCGTCCCCTGTGTTCGCGTATGGGCGATCAGAACCTTGGAGATTGTGCTTGTATTTAAAAGTTATCACTTTTTAGAACCCGATGCTATAAACAACTGCAAGGTACCAGTATCGATACACAGAAAACCACATGTAAGAGTACAGAAAACCGTATGTAGGAGTACAGAAATCACTGTGAAGAGTTGATGAGCTTAGTGAGGTCCTTCCAGCTCGACATGGATGTAAACTTGTATAGAAAACCATCGATATCCTCCGGCCCCTCATCGTCGGACTGCTTGGTTGCCCTTTGCTTCAGTAGCAAATTGAGGCGAGAAGCTCGGTCCGTGGCATGCTGTCGAAGCATCTCGACACAATCCACGAGGAAACACCCCATATGGTCCTCAATGCCTGTGGGGTAGTAATTTTCCAAATAGCTTAGGAAATAGTGCTTCCGCATGCCACATGCCACAGCGTCCAGAGTCGCCCATTCATCCAAAGGGCGCAATCCCGTTGGCAACAGGACTCCCTCCCTGTAACGTAAGCAAACCCAGATAAAAACCCACACAAATGATTCCAGATTGTAGCGATACAGATGTTTGACTTCGCCAGTTTGACCCAAATTTTTGGTGAGAAGGTCGGTTGCCATAAAAGGCACCGTGCCCGTGCGTTCGTTGCCCCGAGGACCTAGGTCACTCGCCAATGAGGATAGATCGTAGTCGTTCAAAATGCCTATGAACTTCCCGTCTTTCTCGTACCACATCATGTTTCCAGGGCTGACATCCCGGTGATACACCCCTTTCCTCCACAGAGTAGCATGGCCTGCATGTAGTGTCAACGAAGAGCCCCATAAATGCAATGAGAATACATACACTTAATACACTGCTGCCACGCATCAAAAAACTTTATGCCGTGTAGTTCCGTAATGGGCTGAAGCTTGCGGAATTCGAGGATGTAGAGTACGCGACTGCCCTTGGTGAGTTCTGGCACGCTGAGTGCTTCTCGGATATCGGATGTGGGACTCGTGAGCGTGTGGTGCCAGAGTAGCTCAGGAGTATCGTCGTTTAAGGTAGCGTGCACCTTAGTGATTTCCTCAACTTTGGTCGCAAAATAATCGGCGGCATAGAGACCCATCTGGATGGTCACATCTAGGTCGGTGTCCGTGCTGTCGGGCTTGCTCTCGGATTTTTTCGCAGCGATTCCAAAGTGTCCCTGGCCTTGTGCTTGAAGCTGGACCTGGAGCTGGGCAGCAGTAAGGCGGGAAGATAGAACCGTAGCTTGATCGATTTAGTTTGATCTCGGCATTCGAAATACAACCACTTACATGCCGTGTCGGACGCAAGTTTCTTTTTCTTGAACTCGATGCAAGCTAAAATATGTTGCAACTGGCAGAGGATGTTGTTCGGAGATGCCATTGCATTCTTGTGCATGCGAGCCTTGGGCTTCTCGTCGCGCTCCTCGTCGTGCTTCTGAATCTTGTCCTTTTTCTCGAACGGAGCTCATGCGCTATTGAAGAATGACGAGGACCTAATATTGTTCCAAGTGCAGTTCAACTCCGACGACGCGTTCCCATCAATACGCGCACGTGACCCATTTTGACGTGTTTGATGAATCACGAGTCCTTTCTTCGCGCATCTCTTGGTGCTTTCACCACTTTCTTCAACAAGGTCTCTCTGAGTCGTACTGGTACTTGCAACCTCAGCCTGAGTTGGCAGTTGGCACAGCGTTAATACATTAATGGTTTGCCCGGTTTATCAAAGAGATACACAAGAAAATAGATTCCACAGCAGTTGACTACGAATGGGGGTCCACTACCAAGCCCTCGAACAGTAGCGATGAAAGCTGTTATACCGAAACGCTGTGTAGCACAACGAATTACGGACATCATCTCCGAGCAAAAGCATCACGGCATTGATAATGAGTCACCTCTCCCCTGAAAAAATGGGAACGTCAGAAAATAACATTGGAGGCAAACAACGAATTCACCTAGGAGCATGAACTGCGATGACGCTACTACCCAGACGCTTATGACATTGGGGACAGCTTTGCACAAATGCATCAGACAACATCCACGAGGAAAGAAGACCAGACATACATTCTGCTATCTGTGACTCTGACACGTCTAGACTCCAGCAACATCAGCTTCCTAGCGACTTGTTCATTCCGTGCCTTGTGAATATCGCGGATGACGTGGCTATCGAAAATTGGTGCTCGTAAAGCTTCTTGAAGGAATGGGCGCACGTCGCGAGCTGTGACGAGGGGAGGGAGAAGTTGGAGAGTTTCAACGGAGTCTAAGCGAGGACTGTGTCGACTGATCAAGTCCAAGGCGGGCTGTAACAAGTTCGGCACTGCTTTATCGGTGGGGCGGAGGTAGAGCTTGAGAAGAGTCAAGAAGATGCTTCTGGTAACACCGTGTGGATTATATATTCGCTTGCAATATCTATGACGGTGTCAATGAGAGAGCGAGATTATAGCTGAGAGAAGACATACTCTTCGGCCTTAGCATAATTCATGAGCTTGTAGACATAGAGCTCAAGAGCATGTTCGTGCCTTCCCATACGTCCCTGCAACACAGCTCGTGCTTCGTATAGATCTATAGAGTATCAGAACCAATATTTACGGCGAGGTTTATCTCAAACTAACTCTCAGACAGCAAACCATACAAGCGATCGGGGCGGTAGTGATCAGTGGTGTCAATGAAGCGAAGGAGCTTCGAGTAAACCTCCGACCCTTTGACTAACGGAAATTTGGTCAAAAGTTATCGGCCGACAATAGTAAATGACTAACCCTCATCTCCTCGTTTGCGAGCACTCAGCGTCATGTTCAGATAGAGCTCTGCCAGCCGTTCATGGAACGTAGGACTCTCTTCGCCTTTCTCGTCAATTAGATACTCGATATAACGAGCAGATATGGTGGGGTCAATCTTCTCGAGGTAATCTGTTACTTGAGTTCGAGGGAGTTCAACGTCATCAGATGTAAATATCTTGGGGCAAATGATCGTCAACAGGGAGCTAGACGAAATATGTACGCAAGGATCACCTCAAAAGCCATGTCCCGGTTCTCTTCAAAGATCCAGCGGGAGGACTCAAATACTTGGTTGATGTACTCAGGACCAAGTTTTCGCAGGTAGGATATGGACGGATCAAGCTTATCTCTCATATCTGTTTCCTTCTCGCTTAACCTGGGCAAGGTCGTTGGTCTGCAAGTGCAATTGAGTAAAAGACATAAATACTCACTGGTGGAGAAGATTAAGAGCCTTTGCATGCATCTTCTTTCCATTGTAGAGATATATCAGCTCCGCAAATTTCTGGGACTATTAGAAAATCTAAATTTGAGTGCGAGTGCAGTTCGACGCACCTCTCGTGCCCGGAGCTCCTCCTCAACCTCTGATACTTCACACCAATTGGCCAATCGACAAAGTGCACCGAGGAGGGCCGGCTGAGTCACAAGATAAGACTTGAAGAGTGCTGTGTCTACAATCTGTGCAAACCGCACAAGTTGCTCTGGAGTCAAAAGAGTCAAAGGGATGTTCGGGAGTGCAAATAGTTCCTCGGTCGACGTCTCGGAGAGGAAAGGCCACTGGTGGGACTGAGCGGGTGTAATGTGTACTGCTGCGAGTGCACCTGCGACTTTCGGACGACGATCGGTAAGATATCGCCATAGAGCATCCACTGACCGGCTGAAGTCATCTAGAAAGTTCGTTGATGCGACGAGCCAACGAAGACAAGATGTCTGACTGACCTACTTGCTTTACCTTCTTCTTACCGCTGATAGATGCAGTGTCGTCGTCTCTATCTTTCGAGGAGGATAAAAGTACACCAAAGGCGGTTCCCCGACGAACGGGGGCCCTGACTGGCACCGCAGGGGACGGCGACTGCTCTAAAAGTTTCTCCTTGCTTTCATTGTCATTATGGGACTTTGTTGACATGGTATCATCGTTCTTGGGCATAAGTGACTGCTGGTTTGCAGGTCCGCCGAATAGTGGAATCCAGTCATCTGGAGAAACAGAAAGACGTCCGGCGATGCGCTCAGGAAAGAGAGCCACAACCTTGGCGGGGTTGAGATCAAGCTCAATGAAAGAATTTATTGCATCATCGAACTTTCCTAACCGGAACTGAGACACAGCGTGAAGGGCACGAATATGGGTTCGTCGTTGATCCTTCAGAGGGTAGATGGCGTTATTTTTGCCAGTCAATGTATACATGGAGACAAACCTTGTCTGGTAAAAGAGCGTTGTCCAAAGTATCAAGCAATGAAAGTGCGTCAGAATAGAGGCAGTGTTGGACAAGTTCATCAATCTGTTCTCCCCATGACCTCATCCGAAATTGCCATATCGAGCTGCCCTCGGTAGTAGCTACTGTACGGTCGCTCGGAGTAGCCACAAGGAAGAGAGGCGCCTTGGCGGCAGGAGAAGACGTCAAGAGTCTAATTGTGCAATTGGCGGCAGGGGACGCTGATGATGTGGGTGGGAAGGGAAGAGTTTGTACGGGTTGTGTGGTCAGTGACGATATGACTTGCACAACTGAGGAGGGGATGAGGGATGACTGAGAGGCAGCTGGTGCGACTCCAGATGGAGTAGAAGTACCTCCGTTCTCCGGAACCGTGACGGTACCAGGAGGGAATATCGAGAAAATATATGGGTTGACAAAAGCTGGACGAGACCATCAGGAAACGGCGAGGACTGGACAAATCCAAGTGCTCACCAACTTCATCTGGAGGACTTGGCCAATCGATCGTCGCCGGCTTGGTCTGCCTCCCATCAGTGCCGATGATAAATCCCTGATCTGCCAGAAGCTTCAGTCATCTATTGTCTCGAATGAAAACCTTGTATCCTACTGTCTTTGACAATGAGTGCCTCGGTGTCGCTCAACCGCACCAACCCAGGTTTGGCTCTGGCACCCAACCCGAGGGTCATGTATCCGGTAAGCCCGGAAAACGCGCCCATAGAAGTGTTTGCAGGTATAGGTGTGGTAACATCAAGTGTCGTGAGCTTACTGATGGAGAACAGAGCATACTCGGTAGGTGAGTACGCAAAGCAAACATTATCACTGTCGAGAAACACCACAACACGCGGCGAGTGAGGAAGAACAGTTTCCTACACACTGGCTTAGATGGATCTTCAACAGATGCAGCAAACTCATACCCTGATGTCCTGTGCTTCACCATCCTTCCACGTGTATATCACTACCTTCCTTCGGCACCCGACTATAAGCTGCGTCACCATCGTAGGAATCAGACCTGCCCTGCCGACAATATTAGTACCACCTTGGACATCACTTGGGTCGAGGTTGTGCACGGAAGAGTGAACAGCGAATGACAATGCACCCTTGGCTCTTGTAAGTGGTGTTGGATGAACAAGACTCGGGAGAGGATACAGAGTTGGTATAGATTCTGTGGAGAGACATGCTCAATTCACGATGCTTGACAGAGATGGTTCATGTTGTTGATCATACCGGAGAGGGAAACCAGAGAATTGATGTCCTTGATATAGCCCAGCTGGTCAATAGGTCTACGAGACAGACCCTTCTTAGTGTCCACCAAAGTTGATCCATTCTCTTGGTATTGAAATGAGCATATCAACGCTTACAGAATCTCACAGTAGCATACCGGAAAGTTCGTTGTACTCGTAGATGAAAAGACTGCCCGTTGCTGTTCCAACATACAACCTGTCACCTGAGTATACTGAGATTGAGCATGCTACGCCTGCAACATACTCGAGAGAACTTGCCCTGCACAAGTAAAGCCTCTGGTCTTTCTTTGAATCCGCTGAGGACTGTAGTCGGCTGGTAGAATGGCGCCATGAGTGGGAGTGATCACCAGTGGTGGCAGGTCATTTGAACGCAGGGAGGGTAATTGAATCGCAGTATTAGTGCTAGAATTACCATAAATAGCATTTTGAAATTAACTTCAATTACCAAGGAGGACTCCTTCAATGATTGCAAAGCTTTGACAACGGTGTTGCTGCTTCGTGTACCTGGATATATCTTACTATCGGACAACAGTACTAGGCTATCCATCCACCACGGCCTATCAATATCAATGCTACGTGGTCTCCGCCAGCCTGTCACCTCCCTGCTTTCTGAACGCAATCGATGACTTGCTCTCCGAGCCAAGGGGTGCATATATTAGAATTATCCAAAGCTCACGATGTTCTACCAGGAAAAATGGAACACAGTACCGTTCAGACCGCCCGCTTCAGTCTCTCTAGAACCTTGGCGGAAGGGAAATAGTCCTCCAACTTGCGAATCATTCTCTCCACGGTGCTCAAGTAGTCGTCCAGATCTGAAACTAGTTCTTCCTGAGACAATGGTGGAGGAAACTTCTTTCGAAAGGCCTGCTGGAATGCGGCGTCGGCCTGTTCCGCAGTCAAGCTAAAGACTGTTAGCCTCTGTCATGGAGACCATGGAAAGGCTTACGCCGCAAGCTCCAATTCTTGTTCTTGTTCCCATTCCTCTTCCCATTGGGTGACTTCCATCAACCATTCCTTGCATTCTTGGTATGCCCCTTCCATAATCTGTTTCTCACTGTCAGAAAGTCCGTGTTGAAACAAGAGCTTAGATGGTATATCGTGGCCTGGGAAGCATCCTGGAAAATAGTCGTTCATACGTTCCGCAAGGATACACGACTCCGGCGATGTCACAAGGTAGTAAATATGCTATCTGGAATGAAGCTAAAATGAGGTCGAGCGTGAAACCTAAAAAAACACACCAGTAAACACAGATTCTTGACGAGCAGAATATAATGTAGCCTATTCTGTTCGTCATTCGCAACGTAACCTTGCATTTTCCTCAGCTCTCTTTCCGTGAGCAGTGTCACGTCTGGATCAGAGCTAGGTTCATTTGCATAATATTCCTGCCATGATAGCGCAGCAGAAGACGCCTCGACCGCGTGCCTTCGGAAAGTGTCAACCATGGCTAGGAGGTCAAGCAAATCCGGGATCTGGCCCAGAATAAAAAAAGGGTGCAGGATGTTCCGCATCGCGTAGAATACAAGGACGGGTGGTGCCTGTCCATCTGCAGATGCAGGGTCATTCTCTAGCATCGATGAGATGTTGTCTGTAGTTGCGAATGAGGTTCGTACACCACAGATAATGAACACGAAACACACCATATATTTCTCGGTGGCCTTTTGCATCATATTCATCGCACATTCCCATCGCGGATACCACTTGATGATCAAGATTTTGCATAACAAGACGGTATGAGATAGTCAAGGGGAGCGATGACTGAAACGTTCAGCTGCACACGAGGTGTATGCATGGACAGGAATGACTTTTGAAGTACTTATAGAAGACGCGTTAAGTCAGGTGACTCGTCATTATATACCCTCGGCCATTGCCGGTGGTTTCTCGTCCACACAATGATAGTAGCACTAAGTGTACAACCTTCCATCGAAAACTATTCCTCTTCTTCATCTGAGTCCCAAAACAAACAGGGTCCCCCGTACGTTTCATCGTCATACAGCCCATTGCACTGCGCAGCCTGGGGTGAAACTCGATGGGTGAGTGCGGCGGGGATGCATGGTGACTCTGTTTGCATCTCCGACTCTGCCACCGTCGACTTACAAAGTGACTTGTTCTCCTCGGCGAATGTAGTGTATTTGACGAGACTGGAGTCTGTATGATCGTGGGGCGGGGGCCCTTTTTCCGACTGTGAATACTGTGGTTGGCGGCGGCAATGGTCGGTGTTTTCCCCCAAGTGCTCTTCCACTTCGTTATTCATCGTCTCCTTGGGTTCATCTTCACTGTCTAACTTGATTGACCGAGGGATTATTGTTGGCTCGCATGGTGGATTCCGTGTCTGTGCTGTTCCGTCCAAACGAAGCCTGACATAGCCTACGCCCTCCCGATCGCGAGTAAAATCGATATTATCATTGTCGTGCTCCTCTACAGTCTCGAGGTTTAGGATCTTCCCGATGGTTGCCCATGGGTCCGGGTCGTTGAGAATGTCCAGAGGCAATCCAGGGTCGTGTATATCTGACCCGCTGAAAGAAGAAAATATGTGTGATGAGTTGAAAGAATGTGCTTCCACAGGTTCTGTTCGAGTGGCATGATATGAGGTTTGAAAAGGTCGACAGTGTTGCGTGTTATATATCGCAGTGGAGGATTTCAAAAAAACTTCCGAACTCTGGGCAGCGCAGAACATCTTCCGAGCCTTCTCAGGAGTTGTAGGTCCATGTTCTGTTTCAACATCACTTGGGTGGTATGGCGACTGCGATATGGAGCGCAATTTTGCTGAGGATCCAGATGCGGAGACGTGACCTTGAGGATTGCTGCACTTGATGGAGCTATGCCATCTGAAGAACGTAGGAGAATCGTGCACGATGATGGGTGCAGGGGAACTAATCGGAGATTTGGAGGAGGACTGTGATCGTTGCAGAAAACGGTCGTGACTGGGACTCCATCCACCACGCAACTGTGCAAAGGAATCCGGTGACGAGGGTGGCGATGAGTCCATGTTCAGAATGTACTCCTCTGTTCCTTGAGAATTAGAATCGAAAGAAAACGGAAAGCTGTTTGACGGAGGAGAGGGATATCGATGCGTGTCCAGAAGTTCGGGAGTGAGTATGGATCCACGAAGGTTTCCGGTCTCAGCAGTATCCATGTCAGCATAACCTGAGTCGTCGACCCAGTTTCCGTGGGGACCGTCTACCTCGACACTCCATAACGGACTCTTGTGACCGGTGACCATACGATGGTCCTGCGAAGGAGGCTGCGACTTTCCTTCGCTCAAATGATTGTCATAAATTCCCCCTTCGTCAAGGTCACCATCATTTTCCAACTGGAACAAATAGCTTGCACTTCCTGAAGACCGCCGGGTTTGAGAGAAAATATCACTAGACGTTCCTTGAAACTAGGACACGGTCAGCGTCCTACTCGGATGCTCACCGTTCTCTCTGGTGTTACCTGAACATCCGACTGGCTGTCAGCATCGATAGGCAGGTGAAGGTCTTCTTCGAGACCAACGCCAGGACCTCCGTCTTCAGCGTGGGGACCTCTCATGGGCAGACCAATCATTTCTGAAAGAGGGATCGATAATATGCGGTCAATTGCATCACGATAGGCCACCGCTGACGTGAACAGTGCATATAGGACAGGTTGACATGTATCAGGGGATATATCACATACGATCAGAAATATCAAGGGCTCGAAGTATTTTCGAAGGTTTTTTTCGACGCTTTGAGGTGTCAAGTGCGGTGCAGTGGGCGAATGATGTGTCGCACAATGTGCTTGTATGCGCCGTGGAGGGGAGGCCGCCTTTGACTTTCGCGTCCCGCTGTGCAGGAGCAAGATTGATTTGATGTAAAATAGAGTTCAGGGTTATCTTTTCGGGCTTCCCCCTTTCTTCCCTTGTGTTGCATAATGCAGCTGCCAGCCTCTGTTGACCAAAATGTCGCTTTTGCACCCGACCTGTACTGTCTTTGGTCCGCGCTCGGGCAGCATTCCTGCATGTAAAAAAATCTAAGCAACCACGACATATTTCAGTCTTCACTAACCTTTTCCCTCCCATGTAGTTGGCGCCTGTCATCGTTTCAATGGGGTTGGTTCGTTGTGTAAGTGCTGGACATGCCTCAATCAAACGCGTCGCGTAATGAGCACGTGATGATTTAGTCACATTCCAGTGGCGTGAGACCCCTTGCCATCATCAGCAAAACTCCCCAAGGTATATATAGACATATATACACGTGTAGCCACTGTAACACACTGTAACGACTGTGACTAATATCTATAATAGAGCCTAAAATACATACGAATATACCGAATCGATTTTTTGTGATATGGTCACAGCCACATTCCAGACCGCGTGATATACTCGCCGCCATGTTCCAGAGTGCTGTATGATTGCATCATCTTATATTTAGTTATAACATCAGATCACAGTGATATCCCATAATAACCACCTATCATTGAGCTATACTAATACATGTGGTATGGTAGAATATAATCTAATGTCATAGTGGTAACTGCGTACCGATCGCCTGGACACGATATAGCAAAAAAAGCATATGAGTGATGTCATTGAAGACTGCAATGAAAAAAACGAGACATGCGGGTCCATGAGAGCACGAGAGCAGAAGAGTACTGTAGAGTTCGTCAGAGTAGTACATGGGCAGATGAGCCGGGTGATGCAAATGCGAAAGGAGACGGTAAAAATGATGTGGTAGAGTGAATCCTAATACGATCGAGTGAAGGTTATAAGTATTGAACAGACTACGAGACAGTTGTGACTCACCTTGAATAACTATTTCTTTGCCTTGCGTTTTGGAGTCTTCTTCGGTGGAACAGCAGCATTCTTTCGTTTGCGCTTAGTAGGTCGAGTGATCTCTTCATCTTCTTCAGTAAGAGGGCTGTTATCATCGAAAAGGGCTGATGCGGAGACTTGCTTGCGCTTGTGTGAGTTATCAGGAGGATTGGGAGTAGGGGGGCGTGCAGGTAAGACTTCTTGCGCCTTGCGCGAGTCGACAGGAGGATCGGGGGTAGGGGAACGCACCAACTGTTGAGGAGACGAGGGAGGCAGTGGTGAGGGTTGCTTGTCCTCGCGAGGATTAGCCAGTGCTTGGGCTATTGGAGGATCTGGAGTGGGCGATCTATCAGGGGGAGGTAAGGACTTGTGACGCGACTCTTGTTGCCTGTCGAGTGCCGAAGACTGTGCAGATACCGTCTCTGAGGATCTTGAAGCCCGTGCAGCCCGCGCGGCAAGTTGCCGTTCCATGGCGATCATATCGTCGTCCTCGGAACACTCGGCATTCGCAGAATCACAGGGTTTGGCACCGTTTTCATTGCCAAACAATTTTCTAGATCCACGAACGTGTTAGATAAGATCATAGTGTAGAGAATCACTTACTCATTATAATGTCCTAGCAGGGAGTTGACCCACCCCTCGTCCTTCCTCCCCCGAATAAGATTTACTATCCTGGTATAAAAGTCAGTATAATAGAAAAGGCCGTCATGGTCTTTCCATTTCTCAAGCGAGCTAATAGCAAAGCGAGCCTGTAAAATACAGACTGAGTAAGTCAAGGGTGCATCAAACGAAAAACTTACCTGAACCGCGGCATATGCGATATGCTCGGCCCCCACTTCTTTCATCCCATGGAGCTTCGCATTGCAAGCGCGAGTTCCGCTAGAGATGCCAGCCTTGAGTGCAGATGACGGAGAGGTGAAGATATGTTTAGTAACCTGTATGTATTAGAGTAGCCCAATATAATAAAAACAAAACCTACCCGCTCCAAAAGATATCCGCGAAAAAGCCCTTCAATAATGTCTTCCGGGTCAAAATCTTCGCCCGCAGTGTTGCCTGGATAGAGAAAGGCGGGCCATAAGGCAGCGGTCACCTTTAATGACGCGCTATCGAACTTGTTCTTCATCCTGTAGATATTACTGTTAGTACAGATAACCTGAGAAAAGTAAACATACCCATGCGGATCCTGGATGTAGTCGACCAGATACTTGACTGGACAAAGCAATTTGCCCAGCTGGGTGTGATTAAAACCCATTTGAGCACGGCTCTTGCTGTCGTCAGTGATCGGAGGACGGATGAGTTCTTTGTCAGGGTTTGGAGCGGCGTATGAGCCCATGCGGGACTTGAGGCGACTTGCATCCTCCGAGCGCGTATGATTTATCATGTTTTGCATCTGTAAATACATAGTTAGTTGCAATTGATGTAAAAAAAACATGCGTACCTCGCCAATGAGTTGCGCGAGCTCCTCGCGTTTTTTCCTCCTACCGATCAGAGTCCCAAGATAAGGGGCGTGTTCCATGACGTATTCGAACGTCCGCTTGTACCGTGCACGAGTGATATTGTCACTGAAAATTATGTTAGCATAGATATATGTAGTTAGAGTGCGCATATATGCGGTCAGAGTGCGCATATATGCAGTCAATTGGACATACCAGGTGTCCAGAATCTTCCTGCGGGCAGCCTTGATGTGTTCTTCTTCCGTTTCATCTCCGTCCTCGGCCTCGGCAGCTTCTTCTTGCTCCAAAAGTAGACTTACCTGGATCGCCTGCTTGAGATCGCAGAACATATCAAGTCCGCGTGGGATCCAACGTGCAACGTGGATGCACTGCTCCCGCGGCGTAAGGACTTTAGTGCGTGATCTCCTATACTCTCATCAAGATCAATATTAGATCGCGTAAAATTGAAAAACCTCACCGTTGTGTTTTTTCAGCCTTCTTTTCGGTTCTAACTGGGCTATGCATCCTATAGGTAAGCTCTGTTTGGGACAACCGATATCTTTGAATGACTCACCTGGTCTTTTTGGACTTAAGTCCATTCTTATCAGACGCGTCTCTTCCACGTTTCCCGGACATCCGAGGCAGTGGTGTGCTTGGGAGGGTACTCCCTTCCGATGTCGAAGATCCCGCAGATGACTCAGAAGAGGAAGATGATGAAGTAGAATTGGCGCGATCGTGACGCGCCATAGTGGTGGGAGAGATAAAGATAAGGACGCGTTGTTAATGTTTGTTTGTTAGATTTATCAATAACATATCAACACCCCTGAATAAGGCAACACCACCCGTTTGCTGGTGAGATGGGAAATTTGCTGAATTTCACGAGCGTGCGGACAGACGGAAGTACAATTGAGCAAGAACAAATGATATAGTACATCTACAGGACAAGAAAAAAAAATTACAAGGAGGCCGCTGGATCTTCTACTGACATCTCCTCCTGGTCCTCCTGTACCTCGGTCCTTTTCTTGATGTAGTAACTCCATGGCGCAGTGGGATTCTCGGGATCCGGATTGGGGTTTCCAATACGCCTGGTGAGAAGGCTGCAAGGGGATGCGACTACAGGCCTTGAGAAAGATCAGTCAATATTTGTAATGAAGGCGCTGGCAACTTACTCAAAGTCTGGACTGATCACTGCGTCGAGATCCTCATCTTCAACCTTAACCTCATTTATACCGACCTCCGCATCTTCCGTCTTCATCTCCGCGTCATCCCCGTTACCGCCGTTCTCCTCTTCATCGGATTCATACTCGGTGACCGAGTCATCTGAACCCGAGTCGTGATTATTGGTTTGCTGCCGGATGCGAAAAACTATTTTCTGTTATAAATTAGATTAGTTTGTAGATAGAGAAAAAAAAAACCTTGGGGCCGGGAGAATCTAAGTTGAGATTGAAGCAGTAAGTATTGTCTAAGGAGATGGTGTTTTGGATGTCGACGAATACGACATCCCCGAAGACGTTTACCACAGAGGTCCAGGCGTTGTCGGCAACGGTTACGTTAGACATATTGATATCAATGTTGATAAAGATAGCCACCACACCTTGACTTAATATAATCGGAAGATTCCGGCGGATGTTGAATTTGATATACCAGATATCCTCGATCATGATATCACCTTACTTCCGATCGTATGCCCTTATTTTCGATCGTATGCTTCAGTGAGCTACCACACATCCCACTCAAATGTCTAGGTGAGTAGCAAATCCTTGACACATCCCACTCAAATGTCTATTACAGATCCTACCACATATCCCACTCAATGTCTAATAGGTGAGTCGCAAATCCTCCACATATCCCACTCAAGTTTCTACCTTTCCTAGGACACCTTATCCTGAGATCCGCGAGATCCCACCTCCTCGGGGGTAAATATCCCGGCGATGATTCACAGGATACTCCAATGTGGAGTTCTGGCGACTCTCATCAACATGATCGCGCGCCGAGGATTTTGTAGGTATGTTCCATCGAGTATTTTACATGGTGTAACAGAATTAATGCTTAATTTCAGTTGTTTAATTAATGTAAATTCACAGTAGATGATCTGTTTAAATGATGATAGCGCTGGACAACTCAATTCTGCAACTAGTGAGGCCTCGTGAGGACGTGTCCCCTCTCCCCCTTATCCGCATTGTGTCCATGGTCAATGACCTCCGCTGCTTAGCTTGCAGCGCAACATTTGGTTCACGCAAGCAGCTGGCAGCGCATTCAGGTCAATGCGCTGACAATTTTGATCTTACTGATCAAATTTTCAGTCGGAAACGCAAGTCAGATAAGAAGAAGAAAAAAGACAAGCGGGCGCGTCGTGATCAATCCCCCGTGCATGTTCCTGAAGATGTTGTCATACCAGATCAGCCCGAGATTCAAGATCTCCCGCCTATCGATCATGAAGACATATTTTACAATGACGTATGTATTAATTTTATTTCTACAGCAGGATTATACTAACTACACATTTACTAGATTGAAATGGGTCGTGCACCATCTCCCTCACCCCCACCTATTGTCTCCCAGCGCTCTGGACGGAGAATCCGCATGCCTGCGCGCTTTGCGGACTTCTTGCCGGGGTCAGCGACTCACCTTGCGCATATGCCGCCCTCCACCCGTCAGCAACGCGGACATGATGTCATCACGGATCAACATGCGGATCAACACGCGCCTCGTATGCCTTCCCCGGTGCAGTCAGAACACGATGCCCCCCCGCTTTTCATACCCTTTGAGACGGAACCTAATGCAGCAGGTCTCTACCGGGTTTATCCTACCCGCCCCAGCATACTCCCCATTGAAAATACCCTCGAGAGTGTCACCGATGCTCCTACACTCGCTGGAGGTGATCGGGTTCCAGACTCGAGTCGAATCACCGAAGGATTGTCGTCCAAGGTGATTGAACAGGACGACCTATATGCAGCCTTCTCCAACCCGACTTCTGGCCTCCTTATGGCTTACCATTACTCTGGAACCGGCCAGCAGTCAGTTGCAGAGTTGCAGCGGCTCACCGGCTTCGTTGGTGATCCGCTATTTAATAATAGCGATGCCAATTCATTTTCCCATACCCGGGAATCCAAAAATATCGACGCCTACCTGGAGAAGAAGTCTAATCCGTTCCACCAGGAATATGGCTGGCGCCAATCTGCCGTCAAGATCAGGCTACCTAAAGAGGGTGAGAAGTGGGACGCCGAGTCCGAGGCCCCAGAACTCGAAATTCCTGGTGTGCATCATCGATCGATCACTGATATCATTGAGTCCGTTTTCCAGGATGACGTCGCTACAACTTTCAACATGACGCCTTATCGCGAGTTCTGGAAATCTCCGGACGGACGGGACATTGAGGTCTTCTCAGAAGCATACTCTAGCCCCGAAATGGTCGAAACATACGCGGAAATTAACAATTTGCCCCGCGAAGAAGGTGATGATCTCGAGCGCACCATCGCATCACTCATGTTCTGGTCGGATGCCACCCATCTGGCGAATTTCGGCGACGCATCACTCTGGCCGTTCTACCTCTATTTCGGCAATCAATCTAAGTACATCCGAGGCAAACCAACCGCCTCTGCATGTCATCACGTCGCCTACATTCCAACAGTAAGTTTTTTTATGTATATCTGCATATGTATATAACTCTAAACCGATCTTCAGTTGCCCGAAGATCTTCAAGATCAATACAGGGCTATATTTGGCGAGCCTTGCACAAGCCAGGTCTACACGCACTGTAAGCGTGAACTAATGCAGGCCATATGGGCTTTACTTCTCGACGAGAAGTTCATGCACGCGTATGAATATGGTATTGTAATAAAATGTGGGGATGGTATCACTCGTAGGGTATTCCCCCGTTTTTTTACATATTCAGCCGACTATCCCGAGAAGTGAGTACATTAATTAATTTCTCGGACGCAGTACTAACGCTTCTCAGAGTTATTCTCACAGGGATAAAAAATCTGGGGCAGTGCCTTTGCCCACGCTGTCTCACAAAGAAGGACGAGGTTCCTTTGATGGGATCAAGGTTGGATATGAAACGTCGGATCAGGCGTATGCGGAAGGACGACAGGGCAAACCTCCGAGAAGTCGATGATGCGCGCGCGCTCATTTTTCAACTGGGTGTGCCTGTTGATGGCACCCGCGTCAAGGCTATTCTCAATGACAAGTCCTTGGTGCCCACTCGAGTAAGTTTTTAACATTTGATTGACTTTCTATCTAACTAATGATATTTGATATATAGAATTCATTCTCTGTCAAGCTGTCACCTCACGGATTCAATCGATTTCGAATGTTCGTGGTCGACGAACTTCACGAATTCGAACTCGGTGCGTGGAAGGCAAAGTTCACCCACTTGATGCGCATTTTGCATGCCGCTGGTGGTGATGCCGTCCAGAAACTCAATGAAAGGTGTGTATTTAAAATTTTTCATTACATCTACTGATCGATCTTAATAGATACCGCGCTACGCCGACCTTTGGTAGAGGGACGATTAGAAAGTTCAATTCAAATGCGTCATCGATGAAACGTTTGGCCGCAAGGGATTTCGAAGATCTTCTGCAGGTAAGTTTCGGTTTCAACTTACTCGATATGGTTATTTACGATCGTATGTATGTATAGTGCGCAATCCCTGCCTTCGAGGGCTTACTAGTACTTCCGGATGACGACACGGATGATACTATGGTCCTGGATCTTTTATTCGATCTAGCTACTTGGCACGGGTTCGCAAAATTGCGAATGCATACCGAGGACACGCTGCAATTTTTTGACACTGCCACGGCTGTTCTGGGCCAGACGGTACGAAGATTCGCTCGAACTACATGTAAGCGCTACTATACAACCGAACTACCTCACGAGTATGCAACACGCGGACGACGGGAAGCTGCCTTAGCTTCCAAGCTTCCAGAAGCAGACCCGAAAGGCAAGGCCAAGGAAGTTCTATCGGGTCCGAAGCGCAAGAAGCTTAATCTCAGCACTTACAAATACCACGCGCTGGGAGATTACCCCAACACGATCCGACAATTTGGTACTACTGATAGCTACAGCACACAGCCGGTAAGTTTTATTCTTAATTCATGTGTATATACATACTGATCATACTATTTTAAATTAACTAGGGTGAACTTCAGCATCGGCGCGTGAAGCGTTGGTATTCGAAAACCCCCAAAGGGAAGAAGAATACAGTCTCTAGTATGACAAGGATAGAAACCCGGGAACGACTCATGGGTAAGATTGTCAAGGCGCGAGCTACATTAGCATCAAGAGAAGGTGATGCCGGTTCACAGCGCCGCCAACGCCAACGCACCTCTCCATCCGATCACTACCATATTTCCAAATACGCGACAACTTCATTTGATCTCACAGGATGGCTTAGTGAACTACCAGAAGATGATCTAGCAGTAGTGGTACGTCTTTTTTTTACCTTTTAAAGTTATTTCATCTGATGGGAGGGACAGGACTTTATCCCTAAACTCAAAGATCATCTTCTCGGACGTATTCGTGGGATTGAGTACACTGGAGATGAGCTTGAATTCACTGACGAAGAACGCGCCCAGCTAATCATCGCCAACAACAAAATCTACGAGCACAACGTCCTCCGCATCAATTACACTACATACGACTTACGGCGGGAACAAGATTCACTCAACCCACGTACCCGTGCCGACGTTATGGTCCTATCACACGAAACCGATGACGCACGGCACCCGTATTGGTATGCACGGATCATCCGGATCTTCCATGTGGACGTTTGGGACCGAAATGATGCTTCTATGGAAGAACCACGCCGAATGGAATTTTTGATTGTGCGGTGGTTTGGACGCGACGCAGGTTACCAATCCGGTTGGTCCGCAAAACGATTGCATCGCATCGGTTTTCTCAGAGGCGAGGATCCCAGCGCCCTCGGTTTTCTGGATCCTGACGTCATAATTCGAGGCGTCCATCTCATCCCAGCATTTGATTCTGGCAAGACTGATGAGTTTCTTCATAATTCATTTGCTCGACACGAGGCAGATCTCAATCAAGATTGGCGGTATTTCTATGTAAACATGTGAGTTTTTTTATATCTATCTACTTCTAATCAATTCATTGGTCTATTGCTAGGTTCGTAGATCGAGATATGTTCATGCGATACCGAGGGGGAGGTATCGGTCACGCTATATCCCGCAAATGGGATGAGTTCCTGCAAAGTGATGGGGCGTATGTGAATGAAGAGGCTGAAGAACAGGAGAATGAAGGTGGGGAGGAAGATGCTAAGGGAGAGGGAGAGATTGAGGAGGACGGATATGACGAAGAGGAAGAGGAACTGGAAGAGGAGGAGGAACTGGAAGATGATCCCGATATGATAGAAGCGGACGAGGGAGAAGACTTAGACGATCATTTTCTTATAGCAGAAGGCTACGGCGCTTTGTAAATTGTCACTCGAGGAAAAAGTGCCATGTGGCATTGTACAGCCTGCAGCGCTGTGCTTAGAAAATATTGAAATTGGTTGAATCATTGATCGATCGTGATCAGGATTTTGTTTGCATGATATCATATCATTGCCGGCTTACAGGTACAATACATTGTTCTTGTAACATTATGACAGTAATATAACATCTCTACCACCTTATAACTATGATGTAAGAGCTAACCCACTATGTTACAGCTACGATAAGGGCCATGGGAGGGTGACGACGATTTTATAATGTGTAGTTTGCGTATGACGTATGCATATATGCGTCGTATTACTCGGACGCTTTGACGATTACTAATAAGGTAGTGTCACATGTTGTGACATTTGAGGAGTTTTGCTGATGATGACCCCCATTTTCCGCCCAAAGCCAGTTTCCTGGTAATTTCCGCCATAGTCAAACAGCTCACGTCCACGATTGATGACTTCCCTTCCTATAACCCTGCTGCCCACTAAAGACGTTTACAATATTGCTGATGCGGTGACCTCACTGACATCATGGCCTGCTAGAGACGAAGCTCTATTAACAGCTTCTCAGAACACGCTCGATGACTTTGCGTGTAAGCGGGCAGTTGCGCGATTATGGGCCTTGTCGCATCGATGGGATCAAAGATGGCTGCAGCTGCCATAAGTTCAAGTTAATGGCCATGGAGCAAACATGCATGCATGCAAGATCACCGAATTCGAAAGTCTGCAAAGGCTATTTTCATTTTGCATTGACAATTTGAAGACATTTTACGCATGGTTCGGCTACTTGGTGAGTAGTGACTAGCATACAGTGAAACCTCTATTTATCCTGCATTTCCGTAGACGCTTCCGCTCACGAACAAGCCCGGTTTGTTCCCTGTACGCTTCTCCCGTTCTCAGAGGATCCTCACTATCATCATGCCACAGAGCCTGTGCCAGCTACTGTGTGGTACGTGCTTGCTGGATTTCAGCCAACCCGATCATCGGCGAAACTAACCGTGCTGATTACCTGAATAGTACATCTGGAAAGAAAACGTGTAGATGTACGTACAATGGGACTAAAGGACACAAGAGACTAGTACAGACAAACAGAAAAAGGTTAAAGCTACAATCTCATGCGAAAAACATCCTGGCCAACATCGATGAATGGGTTTGTGCGTAGCCCGATCGCCATTGGCTTAAGTTGAACGACCCCTTCTCACTAGAACTAGTACTCGTTACAGTTGCACAATCACTGTCCATGTACCGCAAACTCGCATCAAAGTGATACTCTGCGCGAGCGCAGACCTTCTGTAAAATGTGAGAGATACAATCAGTTACAGCTCCCAAGTGTCGAGAAAAAAATAGCCGTACATCCGCATCTTTGAGTGAATTGTCAGCAATTGGATTGGTAACAGATGCAGAACCACGTACAATAGACTGGGGCTGGTATGGAGACGGATCGGGTTGCGCTCACATACGCGTGGCAGAGGGTATATGCGACCTCTTGTATGCTAAGGATGCACAAAATTTAGTCGGTACTTGTGTGTTCCTTCGGCTGGAACTTACGGCCTGATATCAAAATTGAAATTCTCGTCCTTCAGTACAATGTAGTGGGCGGGTCGGCTTGCTGGAAATGGCCAGGCATAAGCAGTCAGTCTGATATCGCTGCTTATAATATGCACTAACTTCCGAGTATCCCACCGTGAGACAGGAGATAGAAGTCCTTGGCTATTGGATTGGCAATACCTTCACTGGCAACAAACCCAGCTTCCACATTGCCGCTCTTTCGGTCTCCATCTTGACTATGAGAATCACTCAATAAAGGACAAAAGCGCGGGGAGAGGTACGTACGCGGTCATTGGGAAGAAGCGAACATGATGTCTGAGAGAAAAGTCAGCGGTCATTACTTGGCCACTTGGAGTGGAAGGCTACCTCTTCCCCACGATGAGGTAGGTGATTAAGGGTGGAGAGTCATTTAATTTGACTTCAGCCCAAACCCTTTTCACGGCCTCTACATAAATATTGTCAACGTTCTGTGAAATCTTACTGTCTTTACAAACCCTTAATGTCTTGGAATTCCAGTTCGCCGACACCTGCATATTCACCTTCAGAGAGACCATCTCTGAAGAATATGAGTCTTTTCGGGGCTTTCCCGTTGACCTTGCCATATCGCGTAATGGCATCCTGTGAGTGATAAGTTGACTGTCCGACAATCAGAAGCCAACGTGTACATAAACCATAGGACCGAGTTCGCCTATTCTCTCCTGCCGCGGCTGCTGCACCCTCGATGTTGCACTGTACTTGACACCATGCCGGTCATACGAAAAGACGACGCTGGCAACCGAGGGCTTGTTCTGAATGCCAGGGCCGGGATGACCAACGTCGGCTCCTGAAAATCGACGTCGATTTCAGTGTAAACGACGGATCATTGATGGCATCACAGACCGAAAAACATGAAATCTTCTTTTGTGAACCAGTCATATGCAGGCGATGATGGGATAGAATTCACTCCGGTCAATCGAGCGTTAATTCTGTGGGCGATCAGTCTACATAAGCTTCACGTAAAGACTATGTTTGAGATATCACGAACTTGATTGCGATGTTATTACAATATTGGTCAAGTTGTCTGCCCGTAAACTTCGCAATATTGTCTTCCCGCTGTGAAATACGTATTTGGAAATCATAAACGGTCAGAATTTAAAGCTGAACCCACCACACACTGTGTAGACACCTGGTCATGAAGCCAAGTCAGCCCAGCAAGTTGTGATTAATGATGATACCTACGCCAAGGGTGACATCCCCCGCTCTTTTGACATCTTGGCGGATGTCAGCGGCAGATTGAGGCAGGATAACTAGCACGATCTCAGGGGGCTTGGCATAACCAGGAGGGGCTCCAGCTGAAACCAATGCCAGAGAGCATGCCTCTTTGATATCCTTCAAAATCCTTTAGTACAAACAAAAACTGAATGAAAAGCGTGCCTACCCGATCTACTGAGCCGACACCACTACCTCGTTTGTAGGATGGCTTAGCTCTCACACCTACAATACATTGTGAAACAACACCCTCACAAACGTAAGGAAAATCCTACTCATTCCTGGAATACGATGGTGAATGCAAGCTTTCAACAGCGCGATTAATACACACCTCGTGAAATGCAACATTGTTCAAGTGTGTCCATAAACCCTTTGATGACATTCTGGTCGAGCCTTAAACTGTAGTCCACAACTGCCCACGCCCTGATAATCTCGGGGGAATGTAAATGTTGCCTCGTTATGTTCCAAGCTCCATTATTCACAACCTGTGGCAAAATCTCGCTAAATAGAGCAACACACGAGGAAAGCTACTTGCCGCCGGTTGTTTTTTGCCGTAGAAAATAGTAGGTGGTCTGAGAAGTTGTCCTTGTAGGATGATTGGTTGCTCTGATATTTTCATTCCCGCGTCTTGAATATAAGGTGATGTGGCGTACTCGAGCGTCTGAGCAAAATTATTAATTAATCTCAGCTTCGGCTAAGGGCTTACGGGAGGTTGGACTCGGTCGCCTTTCTGGCCGACGATCATTTCCAGCCGTTTCTCTGGCCTGAATTTGGAGAAATCAACCATCATGCTCGTCATGTTCTGCGGTAGTTTGCGGGTGTATCGCTGGCCTGCAGCCACAGTGCAAAGTTCAGCCGGGATGACAGTGTTTTTTCCAGAACCTCGGCTCAATTCAATGCCAATGATGTCCGGAAAGGCTAGGCGTATGTTGTATGTTTTGTAGTAGTATTCCTGTGTAAATGTCAATCATATGCAGGACGAGACAATGGAAGCAATTGATGCAGAGCGTACCGCCACAGTTGTGGGAAGGGATGAGCCGTCTTCTTGCTCTTGAGTAAAGGGAAAACGTCCAGCGGCTTCAACGAGACCAACAACTTTCTTTGTCACTGTCTTTTTTGGCAGCTTTATGTCGATAAGGACATTCCGGAAAAACTGGCTGAGAATATTCCACTCTTTGCTATGCTTTTTGTAGGAGAGCGCCCGCGCGTTTCCTCGAAGGTTCAAAACTTCTAGAGCAATATCCAATAACGGCCCCGGTTTGTACCTAATGGACAACACGATGAGAAGGAACAGAAGCGAACTGCATGACATACATTGCGGCTGCGCTGATATCGACATTCACGAGAACTCTGCCTATTGCTGGTCTGACACTCCTACGCTCCAACGTGAGGAACGATCAATAAAAGTCTTGTAACACGGCGTACTGAAAGAATCCACGAAATAGCTGAAGACCTCCGCGAAGATCTTTTGAGCCGCCGCTGGTAAAGTACGCTCTTCCGTTGTTCGGATACTTACTGGAGCAGCTTCAGTAGTACTATTGATTGTGTAATGTATGGCTTACAGATTGGGGGCCTGGCGAATGATGAATTGGAGGAGATTGAGGGCGACGGAGACCTTCGGTGTCTGATCACTGATTTTTCCGTTGAGAAAGTTTTTGAGGTCGCTGCAGCATATGTCATTAGATATGCTTAAACTTGAACCGGAAATGCGCACTCAAATGTCACGGTCTCGCCTGCGACGCGGGCTACCTTGACTGTAACTCGACCTTTGCCAGGAACCGTAAGCGTGTACTAGCAACCGATATCAGGCCGTGAATACTGGACCACAAACGAGATCATACGTTGCCAGAAGTGCCATCAGGGAGATCCAGCGGCGCGGCAGAGTACAGAATGCTCTTTCCGTCAAATAGACAGAGACGAAAGACCTTGGGTGCTTCGTGGTTTTGGAGTCTTTCGAGTATTCGATGCCTCCATCGCACATTTTCCACATCAGGTGTCATTACTGAAGAAGACTTGTTCGAACAGAGTGATTACTACTGGCACGAAGGCGCACGCACCAACTGCGTAAATTATTCAGGACGACGATGACCGCGAGTCAAGCATATATGTACTCACCATCATATTGTTCATAAGCTTTGACTGGGATTTGTGTTACGTCGAAAGCATTCGCGTAGACAGCCAGGGGTCTACGTTGACCCAACGGCACAGTAGACGCTAAAGCCATCTGGAAAGATATGTCTATGGTTGATAAATGATGCGATCCAAGAAACGAAGATGAGAGGGTTTATAAAGATACAACCGTGCTTTCTGAAGCACAATAATGGATAGATCGTGCGAAGGGATGATGGCGAGATGACAATAATCGTACACCTGCAGGCTGGCTGCAAGAATCGTACAATATCCGACCGACTCGGATTTAGTCTTCGTGAACCATAAAATTGGAATTTCTCCCAAGCTCGTGCTCAAGAAGACGAAGGTCGCGGTTCGGCGGCCTCGAGGCGAGAGGAACAATGAGCACTCAGCAGATGTCGCGGAAAAGGAGGTATTTTCCCAAAAATTCTACTTTGAACTCGAACCACGTGTAAATCGTCGTGTTTGGACTCGACACGTCGTTGCTCAGCTTCAACGATCTTGACATCGACGCGCACGTCGTCGAGCATCTTCGGCGACGATGGAGGCAACAACAGAGATTGAAGAGCAAGATATCGGGTTGCTTTATCCTTCTCGATCAGGGTCCTGCACAGGATCAACTGAAACCATTGCCTCAAGGCTACCATCTCGGCAGCCTTCTCCAACCAAATTACATGCTCCGATTCATGTTATCGGATCGTTTCAAGGCCCTTCAAGTCCACTCAAGTCACCCTCACTGTCCAACGTTCAGGATACACATTTTGGACTTCGCCTGGTTGGGCAGAAGACCGTGACACGCTCTAGGACTCTTCCTCATCTGGCGAAATCTGAAACAGATGTGCATCTAAGTTCAGACTTCGCTGGCTTTGAGTTTCAGCGAGATAGAGCATTGAGAATGTCCCAATGGGTCCTGGCTTTCGCCATAGGTCAGTGCCACATAACATAATCGAACTTGCAATTTATCCCATGCACCATAGTCAATTTTGATCTGGATCTCGGTCCTGTTGTTTGCGGGGTACACCCACCCTTGTATTTGGCCCCCTCAGAGAAAGAAAACATGTAAGCTTCTATCATCCCAATCAGCCCGATAGGTGTTGAAATTGGTTTTCAAAGTGCTTTCTCATCCTTCCCGGATTCCTTACAATTCGAACAAGGATCAGAAGTGCATTCTTTTCGCATACGAGATCTCGGCGCATCAGACAAAGGCATCGATGCAGACACTAACAGCAAACCAGATAGCATTGATGGATACCTTTATGGATATTCGCACTTTTCCCAGAGAAAAGACAACACCTCGAAGCGAGGATACCAACAGGTAAATCAATATTCATGCGTCGAACCACTTTCTGGAATATTGCTAACGTTGATAGACTTCTCTAGTGCTTCTCTCGCACCTACAGTACCCTGCACTCTTTACCACCCTAATTATGAAACTCGGGCCCTTGTTCCTGACCCATGGTGTACCTATGCTGGAAACGGCCTGTCATAATATTGCCAACTGGTACGTGCGCCGCTCGTGCTTATTTCGTGTCATCAATCAATTAAATCTTATCTGCCAAAGAAAGGTGCAGCCCATCACCCGGTTTGACCGCTGAGCTAGGATTTCTTGGCTCAGTCCTCCATGTCGAGTTGCCGATGACTGCAGATACTCAGCAATTGACAGAGACTGCATCATTTCGAGAGAAATTCGACCCCACTTTGCATGTAACTAATTTATCCCTCGCATCTCCGGTGACTGACTAATCCGTATCAGCTATTGTCTTCTATAGCTCCACTTGAGCCGCCTCCAATATCCATATTCGAGGCCTCCTTGTCACATTTATGGTCCATATGGGAGTGCCTGATTCTTTGCGAGCCGATCTTGGTATTTGGATCTTCGCCCGCAGCCACGAGTCAAGCAGTTTGGTGGCTCAGGGATCTGTTACGTCCTGTGCGCTACCTGCTTGTCATCTTTTGAATCGATGGTTGACATGTTCCATTCTCAGATACCTCTTGCGAACGATTTTCGTCCTTACTTTACCATTCATGACAAGGATCACTCGCTTCTGGTCAATAAACTCCCACCTAAAACTGGCCTTATCTTGGGTGTGACCAATCCATTCTTCCAGAAGTCCTGTGCCCATTGGCCTCACGTCTTGAGCGTAGGGCTGAAAGCAAGGTGTGTCCTGAACTTTTGTGTTCTCAACTCTCGTTGCTCAGATTTGCTACAGTCCGCGCCGTCAGGGGAATGCGACGATTATCGCAGGGCCGCCGCCTGGATGGTGTACTAAAACTCACCGGCGATACATTTCCAAAGACCGTCAATTATTGAAGGCTATCGAAAAAGCTTGCCATGCAAGTGTCCAAGACAGTGCGTGTCCCGACTTATGATCAGTACTGTGTCTTACTCATTATTCCCAGGGATGCACGCATCATTAGACCTGAGAAGACATTTTTGTTCGCGCACCAACACTATGTTAGTTCCGCTGAACAGATACCTCAATACTCTGATACCTACTCCGACGGAACGCACCACTGTCTCGGATTGTCGACGCCTAAAGCCATTTAGCACTGTCGACTTTTTCTCTTCGCTTAAGGCGAATGGGTGCCCTCTACCGTTTAAGTCTGCGACTAAGCGAAGGGAATTTTACGAAAGGTGGCTGAAGACGCCAGCATTTGGGTTGTGGTTGGCTCAGCAAGAGGAAGTAGTGCATAGAACGCTGCAGGACAAATGGGCTGGCTGATGTGGCAATTGGTTCCTGTTGATTCCTGCATCCGTAAGACTCTAGGCTAGCCACCCTAAATCCGTATATCAGGAGATGTTCCGCGAAATGATCATCATCAATTTTCAAGTCAGCGGTACGACGAGAAGGTTAAGCGCTAGCTGCGCCACCGATTGCAAACAGCACCAAACAAATGTCGCCTCTATAGAACATGACGGATTTGGTGAAGTTCCTTGAACATTCTCTTGCTTTTGCTCTTCCACGTCGTTGTCGCGCAACTTGTACGCTCTCATTGCGCTCCACGGGTTTTTTCTCTGTTCTTATTGCACTTTGCTCTACGTCCTGTATTTCGCTCAGCTGTTGGGCGCGTAATCATTGTCACTGTATCCATACCTATCATGTAAGAGCTCCTCTACTTGTTTGGTAGCTGACGTGGGTAGCGCGTACGGGCGGCTTCGTGATGCGCCGTGTGGGGGTTTTGCCTCGTTATCATCTGTGTTACTCTCATGTCTGTTGGTACTCAAATCCTGTCATTTTACTTTTTTCCAGTGCAAAAGATTTTCTGTTCTTCTGCTTGAGTCAGCGAAAACATGCCTGAGGAAGATTATGATATCTACGGCGAATACGAAGCTTATGCTCCCGCAGGAGCCAACCAGGTGGGCACATAATATGCGTCTACTTGGTTGAGCAGCTAGTTGGACTGACTGTATGCGCGCTTAAAGGATATTGACGGACAGGAATTCGACGCACAGGAAGAGCCAGTGGAGGCTATAACGACTACAGTCGAACCCGCGACAGGTGAGAAACGGCCTCGAAGCGACGAGGAAGAGGAGGAAGCGAAGCCGTCACCCACGCAACACTCGCCTCCAGCTCCTCACGCCCAGTCAATCCAGCAAGGGCAGGTTAGGACCGAAGGTATCACGCATGGCATGAACGGTAACTACAACCCTGTTGTGCAAAACGGTGGTCAGATGGGAGGCGGGATGGACCCGGCGATGATGGGCTATGATGCACTGTATATTGGTGATCTGCAATGGGTCCGTTTGTCCTGTCGTTTAGAATCCTGTGTATATCTTTCTAAGCCTGTTTTCGTGTTTCTCTCTCCCTACAGTGGACAACGGATGAGGACCTGCGTCAAGTCGCTCTTAATGTCGGCGTGTCAATCGATCACCGCGATATCACCTTTTCTGAGCATAAGGTGAACGGCAAGAGTAAAGGGTGAGCAACTTCCTGGCCAAAATGAGCTGTTACTTAGTCACATTAGTATTGCCTACGTGGAGTTCAGTAGTTTCGAGAACGCCAACGCCGTCAAAACATGGTTCGATAATACGTATGTGTGGCCTGACGCTTGGATGCGGACGCAAGGTTGACCTTTCACCCAGCGACTTTCAAAATCGACGTGCTACAGCAACTCTGACAAGTTCGTCACAAGGGAATCCATTCCGCACGCTCCCAAAAGGTCTGTTGATCGCTTGGTGCTCTTGACTGTAGTTTTGTCTAATCCATATGGTTTCAGAACCACCACCACGGGATGCCCGAAGCACCCAACAAGGAACCCCCGTATCCACATCAGGGACAAGCATGGGCCGCGGCTCGGCAGGCGGCTTCCGCGGTAATGCTTCCAACCAGATGGGGGGAGGCATGATGGGCGCACAAGGTCGCGGGGGTGGTATGACGAGTAACATGATGCGCGGCGGCATGCCCACAATGATGGGTAACATGGGCATGGGCATGGGCGGCATGAACATGATGGGAATGGGTAACATGGGGAACATGGGCATGGGCATAGGCGGCTTCGGCGGGCGCGGCAACATGGTTCCCCAGGGACCCAGAGGTGGTGGTATGATGGTGGGCGGACGTGGCGGCATGGGAGGAATGGGTATGGGCTTCTAACGGTCTCGTGCATGTGGATTGTCGTTCTTACTTGCACTTGATGTACGCTATAGGTATGGGAATGATGGGAGGACGCGGCGGCTTCGGCATGCAAGGTCACTTCAACCCAGCGTTTATACAAGGCCAGCAAGGCGGTCAGTTTGGTGGCGGCGGCTCAGACAGGAAGCGATTCCGAGCGGACGACAATTGATCTTGCATCAAGACAAAACACCCATGGATCGACGTATCTAAGTATTTATTTATTTATTTCTATCCATCCTCCACTCCTTCGTATCGTGCGCTCAGCATTTTAACTTGTTGATATTTACTGTCTCGTCACTGTTGACATTGCTGATGTTCAATAACCTATCCTTGTAATATTGATACGTGTGTCGTCTATTCTCTGTTGCGGATCGGTTCCAGATCTGGTGGTGAGCAAGGGAATATTGCATTGCACGAAGGAGCATGAGTATGACTCGAGACTGCGAATACATGGTGTAACATATAAACAAAATTGCGTTGACTAATAGAACATGAGCGACGGTGATGTGTAGTATGCGTATATCCCATCTAAAGCATCAAGAAAGACAACGGGATAGGTTCCACTATCCATGAGGGTATGAAATGTCCATGAAATATAGCATGCCGATGTCAGAAAACCTTATCCCCGCCTCTCCCTCATTTCCCTTTCCTTCTTCTTGCGGCGTTTCTCTTCCTCGTGGCGCTTCTCCTGCTCGAGGGCCGCTTCGTCTTCTTTTCTGGCCAGACGCGCACTGAAGGTATCTTTGTCAATGGTGCAATCCTGGATGTAGGTGCAATCACTGACCTTCTTTGCTCCTCCTTCTCAAGAACGCCGGCACCAACTTCCATATCCTCATCGTCGCTATACACATCCTGCTCAACGTACGCACGGCGGTCCTTGCCAAATAGTTTCCAAATTTCAGTGCTGTAAGATTCCACTTCAGTTGAGGCAGGACGCCTCTTTGGAGGAGGAGGAGATAGCGAGGATGACGGGGATCGAGGTCGTTTTTTGGTCGGCCCCGCAAGGCGTGCTGTAGATAAAGGCTTGCAGGCCTGTGACTTCATTGATAGAGTAGAGCTTGAAGTCGGCTTGAATTTCACATCAGCCTTTAGTGACTGTGAGCTATCTGCACCCTTGGAGTGCGAAGTTTTTGAAAACGACAAGACAGCAGATTTCGGAGCACTTGAGCTCTTTGGCGTGCCAGAGTTGGCTGACCCTACAAAGTCGCATCGAGGATGTAACAAAGATTTGAAGGATTTTGCCATCGAAACACTCACTGGCGGCTGAAGGTCCAGGGGAATTAGAGCCAGAAGATGCTCTAGACGGTGCAGCCGTAGATGCCTGAGCACTACTCTTTCCTGCATCCTTCTTCCCCTTGCCAAACCAGTCATTAAACTCTTTGGCGTCGTCACCGTCCAATGTGGCGGTTTTCGCCTTGGCTCTGTCCTGCAAAATCTCGTCTATGGTCCGTGTGTCTCGCTTATGGACATTGAGCTTCGTCAATGTATTAGGGAGTGCGGCAAGGCGGGCCTTGACGGACTGCGAGCTGTTACAGTTGTCTGAGTTTGGCGCTGACGTGGCGTCGATAGCCCCTCCTGGAAGCCGCCTGCCAACTTTGTGGTAGCCGGAGGATGTGGCGGCCCGCTTCATTGCATAACCCCTGCGCATTTCACTTTCGACTCTGCGCTGTCGTTTCTCCTCACGGGTGAGAGCCATTGCTGGAGAGCCGGAACGAGAGCCATTCTCCTCATCGGACGGTAATCTGCGCTTGCGAACGTCCTCCTTCGAGGTTCCGTTGGACGATGGCCACTTAGAGCCTAACTTGGCCCTCTTGGGACCATAAAGCAACGCATTGCGTTGTTCCTCCTCTCGCCTTGCCTGCTCTTCCTGCGTGCGTTTCACTTCTGCTTCTCTCTTGAGCTGCAATTCTTGCTCCTTCTTCTCGTCCTCAAATCTCTTCTGTCGAAGCTTCGCAGCTTGTTCTCGCTCCTTTCTCTCAGACTCCTCCCGCTTTTTCCGTTGGAGCTCCTCGTTGCGCTGGCGCTGTAACAGTACACTTTGGACGGCGCTTTGAGATTCCTTAGTCTGAGAGGCGCTTAGCGCCATTAGAGCAGCGAACGACATGATGACAGTCAGGCTCCGTCCTGGAAACAATGCGAGCTAGCAGAAACCAAGATGAAGGGAGGACGTGCGCTCAGCAAATGATGGGGGTCCGAACGGTTGTGCTGTGGCTTAAGTATGGGCCACTTGGTGGTGCGTGGCAGTGTACTTTGGTGTACAGGATGTCACGACTTCCCCTGGGATCTGTGACATATTATGACAAATCATCCGAAGGGTGTGACCGCTGAATACAATACCCAGTTGTGATAGCCGAAAATGCCACTAAAATAACAAGAGCACAGTGAACAATTCAACTTTGTCTCACGAAACTGATAAGTAGGTCAAGACTAGTGAAACTTGAAACTTGATGACAATGTAAACGTCTAATTCATGGAGATGATTCTTTCCGAGACCCCTTTCAGCGGCCTCGGGGAAAACATCCGCGGAACCTGTGATTCGTTAATGCTGATTCTTCCACAGCTGCCGGGGAAGTAAGAGCGACGTGCAGATGCCCACACAGACAAGGGCAATCAGATAATAGTAGACTATCCATGCGTGGTGGGGGTTTTCGATAGATAGCGAAAACGTGGACGTGGCGGATGCGGGGCCGATCGCTCGCATGATCGAAACACCCAACTGAGCAATCCCATTCGTTGCACCAAGAGATGCCTGGTTCGGAGACGCCGCGGCGATATAAATAAATACGCAGGCTAAGGGGATCGTGATCAACGCAAAGAATCACGATGTAATGCAGAAACTGACCATACGCCAGATTTACTATCACTGAGAAAGCAAGTTGCAGGCCAACAATCGCCCATACCATGGGGCTCAACCCTTGTACTCTGGCCAAAGCATTGAGGATAGGAAGAGTGATAATCATCGGAATTCCAGCAGCCATTGACACAGAAAAGATTGTCTTTGAGCCGAAACGATCATGGAGATCGGCGAAGAAAATGACTTGGAACAAGCCATTGATCACACCATAGATAGCTAGAATGTTGCCGATGCGCAGGGGATCTAATCCCAGCCCACCAAGTTCTATCGGTGTGGCAAAGAACACAGGTTGCACAGCACGAAATGCAATGTCAAAAAGTGACAAAGTGGCATAATTTCCAGCGGCTATGATCACTCTGGGTATCAAGAGCGAACGAAGGGGTAGCGGCTTGGGGTCGCCATCAGCCTTTGCACGTTGAGTGGTATCTTCTGCGGTGAGGTAACCAGTTGGTACCGTGGGAGTCACAGGGCCCTTAACAGGGGTGGAGTCTTTCCGATGTTTTCCCCTTAGCAAGCGCCAGAGAGTCACCCTGGTAGGTACAGTCTGTCAATCAAACGTTGTCAACCTTTTATCTGGGAAAGTACGCATGCTAGCTCAAAATAACGCACCTCTTGCAAGAAAAGAAAAGTGACAACCCAAGCCAACATAGAAAAGGTAGCAGGTACAGCGCATGCAAGGAAATAGGGATAGGTCTTCAAGAATTGGGAATGTCCGAAGATATTCGGAAATTGATCAGCTGGTCGTGATAACGATCCGCCAATCAAGGGTCTGGGAAGGACATCTGATTTCCAAAAGGGATGTGAAATATCACACAGGTACATACCCAATGGTGCCACCGCTTGACCAAGCTATCGGCATATACGAATATGCCTGGGCCAAGTTGGTAGAGTCAGTAATTTCCACCATCATACTTTTCATCACACCGATGTTGCCGTTCAAAGCACCATTTAGAGCACGGCTGATTGTTAGAAGGTATCAGGAATCAGAAGTCACGGGAAAATGAAATGATCGGACCTTAGTACGAGCCCCCAAAAGGTTTTAGAAAGGCCGAAACAGTACATTGAAATGGATAATCCGAACAGCCCCGTCAAAATGACAGGTTTTCGTCCAATGTGGTCTGATAGACGACTCCAATGGAGAACGGTGAGGGCTTGTGTGGCAAAGAATAGGGAGTGCTGAATACGTTTGAAGATAAGGATATACCTATTATTCAAGTCAGACTCACCATCAATCCAACATAGTATCCTACACGGGTTTCATCGCCATTCGTAATCCCAATATCTCTTATCAGCTGGCACGCGAGTCGCGATGAGCCTCAAAACGTATCAAGTGATTTGATTGCGGAAAAAAACATACCTGAGGTGCAAAGGGGGCAATCACTTGTGAAGTAAGCGGTTCTGCGAGCTGCAGAAACAGTATGATAGAGAATTGACGCCAAGGCAATGGTGTCCTAGCCTTTTTCTGCTGTGCGGGCCGTAGCAACGGCGTCTCCTCGTCCACCAGCTGTTGGGACATGATGGTTCGCAAGAAAGAGTCGAAGAACGAACAGTCAGAGGTTCTGTGTAGTACATAAGCAATACATAACCGATATGACCCCAACTTTGTCATGACTCACACAACATACTTTTGACTTCAGGGTGTCAGCTGCCATCCGATGCAAACTTGACCATACGGGGATCGCTGGGCCAAGCCGCTGTCTACTCGACGTGAGTCCCACGAAGGTGTCGGGGCGGGCTTTCGATAGATCTATAATATGCGCAGCTATATTCGTAGCAAATTCGCAGTCCATCTCACCGTGACCTTGAAATTTGACACAGACAAAGGGAGTCAATATTGCTTCCGAAGTTCCGACTTCCGGTGGTATTTTTGGCACTCACCGTTGCTTTTACCGCACGTGACAGTGACGCGCTCGTTCAAGTTGACGCGACTCGACGACAGGTGACGAAGGCGAATTGCAAGAGATGGATGTTTGGTAAAGCTTATCATGTTTACTTCCAGAAGGTTCAATCTTATGCATCCGTAATATGCAAAGGGCAGCTATGGCATGCTCTCCGGTCAAACGCGCCACTGGCAGGCTCAAACTCTGGTCACTATGAGCCCGCCATCCTGGCCCGTCCAGGGCACTATGGGCAAATGCTCCATCCACACTGTCATTCTTTGTTTCCAATATTCCGTCCACAGATTCACAAAGCGTACCTTCCCATCTAAAATCCACACCACTTCAAACGCTTTGGTGTTTAAATCACCTCGGCTTTGCTGTCAATGATTTATATCGCCCCCCTCAGCTGTATCTTTACCATCATGTCTCTTAAAGTAGACAAGGAACTTCATTCGTTACCCAGAGTCTTGAGCACAGCTCCTGGCGCGAGGCCGACGCCCCTGGCACCTTCGTCCACTGGTGACCGAGTTGATATGGAATCCCCTATTCCAACTCTAGTCCTCGAAAAGTTTCCATCGTTCACAGAGCTTGCACTTATTAGTGCCTGGCATGATGCTACCGCGGCGGTATGTAGCATATGTACTTATAGATGGTCAATGGTCACTCACTCATCTCATCCAGCGGCACGTTCGCTTTCAGCGCCAGCCAGTACCTCGTGGCCATCTGCGTTCTGCCCCACCACCAACTTCAGAAGCAGAGAACGTTTCGGTAAGCACTTCAGGTGAAAAGTACAACGCATCTATGTCCGTACCTCGGAAACGACGGGGATTGTTCGCGAGGTATGCACAACCTCGACAAAATATTCAAGTAATTAATCGATCCACGTTATGAACAGAAAACAGCCAGTAGATTCTCAGAAATTAGAAGAGAAAGAGCCGAATATATCAATGCCTATCCGCTCCCACGACTTCTTGAACAGAGCCAAAGCAGCAAGGTCAACGCCCAACCTGAACGCAGCTGCCAAAGCTGGTGCACAAAAGGCTTCTTTTTCTGTGCATCCCATTCCGCACGAAGCCACTGCTTCTACCCCCATGCTCACGCAGCCCACCAATGCCCCTGTCAATCAGCTCGATGAAGTTTCACAAGCACTGGGAATTGACGTGAATGATGGAGGTATCTATCTCACTTTCGATCCAGACTGGAGATCCTCCAGTGGCGAAGCCGTCCTTACTTTCTTGTCGCCAATTCCTGACGAGACACCAAGCTCTCCCCTCGTTCACCGGCGCCGCTCCTTTCAGTCTTTCCTCTGCGTTGAAAATTGAGCTGTTGTAGCCATTCCACGCCAGCTTTGCCGACTTTCCATATCACCATCTTTTTTCAACTCATCTCCGAGTCACATTCTTTTATGGCCATTCTACGCTCCCTTCATTCTATATCACTTGGCATTATATTCAAATCATCTGATAGCTGTAATTAGCCTTTCGTTCTCATTGATCACTATATGTATCCAACTAACCGATTCGTTTGTATCGCTACATGTATATCATGCTTGTCCCCATGTCGAATTTGCTAAACAATAGATTTACCCCTAGCCTAATTCACTGATTCGGGTGATCACTTGATATGATGGCATATACAGCGCACCTGGGGCCTATGTATCGCCGTACCAAATGATTGATTCGGGCGCCCAACACTGCGCAAACACTGCGCGCAGATCAAGCGCAGATAATGAATTTTTGCGGCACCCGCTGTGATCTCCGTCTCTGAAAGGGGCATAACCCAGGACCCAGGTCACCCGCGGAGTTTCAAGTTGAGATCCGTATGCGGCTGGCACTGCCGGCAGCCAACTTGAATTCGTGCAAGTCGGACAGTCCTAGTCTATTTCAACCCAACAAATTATCATGTGGACGCCATGGCCAATGTTATCTAGCACGAACGCCATCATTTTGCATATTCATCAAGTTCGCCACTAGTACTGGCGCCCGCACCCTGGAATATGACACTAGTCTCAAAGGATCCCAGTAGTGGCTGCCGCGCGCACCTCGATTGGAATCGTATTTTCAACTATTTTGTACTAAGTCTGTGGAGCCGGCTCCAATGAGTCGGTGGTGTCGCAAAATTGCCTCCTGTGCTGCAGTGTATATGATTGGAGTGAGTAAGATGATGGCGCTGGAAGAATCGATTAACCACTGATGAGATCTTTTGATATTTATTTCCAATACTGACATTCGCACAAGAGGTAAGTTGATGCTACGATCCGGAGAGCCGTCTCACATAGAATTCCATAGGTTGACCGGGTCTGTGTGAGCATCCTGGGCGTCTGGAACAATATGACAACACAATTTATTCGCGGCAGACACAGCCTTACTTATGTTCAGCGCATTGTGCAACTGCATCAGGCTCATAAGACACATAAGCTTGTCCACTCTTGTACCTATCAGTGCGTTATCGGTGGAAGCAACATAATTCTGACGTCTGACACTTGAATACTCGGCGCTGTGTTTGACAACCTGAATTGCTATCCAACATTTACTACGTCCATGGTCAGCATGGATCATCGATGACTGTTTCATAATGTTGATAATGACTCGTGTAGTTAAGCATCTAAGGTGAGCTCGTCATCGAGCGTGGTTATATTTTTGCGCTAAAGTCAATCGTGTGCTGGGTTTGCTGCTGTTTCTGTCCTCAGCCTCGGTGATTTCTGTCCAATGAACCTGGTACGCCGATCTGTCACGCTGTCAGTCTTCCAATCACGCTATGTATTACAGCTGACCGCCGTTCATCATTTCTATCAAGACTCATCTTTCCTGGGAAGTTATATTTATGCCGGAGTTCTTCGTATTCCCCTGGTCGTGCGGATAGTTGTGATGGGACCACGGCTCATCCTTAGCGTGCGCGAATATTACACGAAGCTCGTAGCCGACTCCGATACAGGAATGGCCACAATAATCTGTCAAGTGTAGCATATTAACGCTTGTCATGCGTTTTGCGGATAGCATCAATTTTGTCGCGGTATTGGCTATCCACCAATAGGGACGACTAACTTCCTTCTTGAAGGTCTAATTACGGGAGACAAACGGCATACTTGTATCAAGCTGAATTCCGGAACTTATCTCGCAACCAAGTAAGATCCTGATTGCTCCAAACTGAATGCAGGTTACAGAATCATTTTCCACAGCTCGACACTGTCGACGACCAACTCGCTGTGCATCTGGGGCTTCTTACACGGTAGCTACCAAATATCCCGACCCCCTCACATTATTGCTAGATTCAAACACACCTCTACTTAATTGAAACGGCGGCAATATGGCTGTCACGGGAGTGATAGTACCATGCGAGCCCCACGGTCCGTCCCTTCTGTGCACCAACCTAGATAAGTGAGCGCGAGATGCCAGTGGTGCAGACAGTAAACAGCTTTTCCGCCGAGATGCCTCGAGATATGCAGTGCACTGGATGTCAATATTGAGGCTGTACTGGTGAAGCTGTTACAGTTTTGTGTGCCGGTGATGACACACGCATGTGATGATGCATCCATGTTCCATATGCATCGGTTGGATCACAGCGATCACAACGAACCGACACAAAGATAGACGCGCTGTTGCAGGCAATCTTCATGTGCCAGTTATTGATCGATTAAATAGGTGTGCGTTTTAGATTGTCAGCCGGGAAACAGATCCCTGACCCAATAACACTCATTGCCGTGGGTGCCCGCTGCCCAGTACTAGTTATCGTTCGCCGAACCGCGGACTACGCCCAAACACGTTGAGTAGCGTAGCAGCCAAAATGTCCAATAGCGAAATCGGCTTCTGTCATTCATTATTGGAAGGGTGCCGCAGTCCTTGACAGACAGATGCAAGCAAGTGGGAGTCAAGACCACCCGGTCAGTTGCTTCGACTGCGCGTGTGTCATGTTCTCGATGACAGCCACGAAATCGACGGTACCTGGGTAGTTCCGTTCCAACGCTGCTTTCATGACGCTTCTCGCAAGCCGCGAATCGAAGGACTTGACAAGATGAAGTTTTGGTCGATCCGCGATGCTGACGATTCAACGTCTCCATCTAAAGACGAGTCAAGATACTTAATGCGGTTGTTGAGAAATATTGCCAAAAGACCAGAGGTATGAATTGGTCGATTTTCGTTTTGCGATATGGCGAATGCGACCTTACATCCCACGAGGGTTTATGGTCCTCGCTAGTGTCTTCTTCCTGATTGGCCTCTTGATCATCGCCGATCCGGGTATATCTAGTCCAGACTTGACTGTGTAGTCTAGACTGATCAGTGATTAACGGCCATGCGCGTGCAATTGATGTTGTCTTCGGATATGATCGCATTATGTCCGCTGGTCCAGACCCCCAACACAGTTTAGACACTTCGCGACTTCGAGTCAAGCAGTAAATTGTTAGCGGACTGATCCAGACCCCCAAGAGCAGTTTCCGCAGTCATCTGTTTTGTCTTCTTTTTGAAGATGGTGCCAACAAAGGAACATTCGTGGGTGGTTTTGTGGTCACATGTGGACGTTCGATTGCAAGCGGAAAGCGGTGTCACGCTCCGAGCTTTTATACCTCCGCTAGACTGCTGGCTGACAGTAAGATTTACTACCACACACCCACGTCGCTCACATCCAACTAATCGATTTTTTTCTCTGTATCCCGTACTAAATGACCTCTCCACCACATCCTCATCCGCCTCAAAAAGTTGCTTGCAACGAACCAGAAAACGATGATCCATCTTCGCCACCTCCGTCACCCACTAAACGATCTTTTGCCTTTACCGACGAGGCGGATCATACACCAAACTCTCTTGGTTATTTCAAACGTCGTCACGTACACAGTGATGGAGAAGCAGCCAAACGAGCACCGCTTGGTAAGTTTAGCGCCTACCACAGCTCTGATGCTATTGCGCTGGAACACACTGTAAACCCAGATCCCTTGTCAGCTTCAGAGATTGACAACAAACCGCGCAGCGATCCAAGATGGTCAGAAACATCATTACACTCCCTTGCCACTGCCCCTGAACCGCGATCGTGTGATGCAAACTACAGCATCCCAAATGACGGAGCTGAGGATGAAGTCATTTGCTCGTGGCCCCCTGCCGTCCAGAGTGGCAGAGCTGACAGTACAGCTGGAGGTAGTCGCAGAGAACGGCCGCAACTTATCCGTGGCGCAAGGTATAGCTCCGATGCACGGGAATCGATTCGCGCCTCAGCAGCTGGATCCGTATCAGCGTGGCCGCCACCGTTGGGGAGTCGGTCCGACCTTTCCTCACCAGAGCGCAGGGCGTCGTCTCGCGAGTGGAATGTGGACAAGGTGACGCAGCCCATAAAATCGCGTACCTCATCCATGCCATACGTCCGGCGTCCTCCTCGGGAACTTTGGAAGCCCGAATCCTCATCTAACGAACCTGTGCGGACGGTTTACGGCCTCATGGACAACCGTGATTCAATATTGGATTCTTCTCCGCCACCTGGACTTACAAGACGCAGGGGATCCGTGCCCGATATAACTGGAGGCGGTGCTCGGTCATTATCACCGACGCCAGGCAGTAAACCACCGCGTGCCGATGAATCCAAGTACTCGCGACCCATAGGTGCCGAACAAAGTAGAGTGGTGTCAATGACACCGCGACGATCTAGGTCGTTGCCTCCTGCAAGCTTACAGTCGTCTAAACCAAGCGATGCAGATAATAGTACCCGAAGACACCATTTCCAGCTAGATTCCATTGCTACATGGCATGGTACTTACCTTCCGGGAGATCCACTTACTTGTGGCGTGTTGAAAGAATCTCCATCTGATTTACCAATCACTAGGGATGAATTCTTTCGTCTTGTACGACAAGCTCATTACAATAAACATACTTCGAAGATTTTTTCTCCTCTCAGCCCCCTCCAAAATCCACAGCCCGACTCCTCCCTGACTACCAATGAAACATATCGGTACTTCAGTCCATCCAATATGCCCAATGTGCGATCAGCGCGATACCACAAGAAAAAGAAAGGACAAGACGAGCGAGACAGAAAGTGAGAGCACTTTTGCGTATGCACGTACCACGCAGTTCTCATGTACACTTGATTTCTTTGTCATACAGTCTCTGCGATCCTCTCCAGCCACTTGTAATAACAGCGGAGTGTACGCACTGCCAGGAATGCATACGCGACACGTTAGGCAAACGACTGCTAGCCAGGGATTATCGACGCAGGTGCCAGGCTGCCATCATGTTGAGGACCACCCCCCTCATGCACCAGCCTTTAATCTCGTCCTCCTACAATATAGATGAAGATGAGAAAAGTCTTTGGAAAGAGGTGACAGCCGCCACTTCCACCGAGCCCTTACCAGGTAGTCCTCGCTGGCGGGACAGGAATGACTCTGATGATGACGACTACCCGGAGATACCAGATGAGAATCTGCATTCGGACGAAGAAGATGCGAAGCTTGGGGGTGGAGGAACGTCTGGGAACGTCTGCTGAAGGTTGATAGCATGCAATGTATCAATAGAAAGTTTTCATGAACACTGCTAATCTAGTGCTACTTGGATAAGCGTTTGCATCATACTGCTCGTACACGAGTTTTCTATATATCGTGGACGGAAGACACTCGCACAATGGTTAACCCTACGTTTCAAGAATCCTTTGCAGTCTCCGAGTCGTATGACGAGTTGCGTTTGCGCTCAAGCCGTTCGGACAAGCCCCTATCATTTCCCCACGCCGCGTGAACACGCCGTTTTCTACCCCGGGCCATGACCACCATCATGACTCGGTATTCGCATTCAAGTCAGTCGTGATTCAGTCTAGATCTCTGTCAACGTTCGTAAAAAGCGCTATGTAAGGTACGTACGTGATAACCAAACCCCTGAGGTAAAGCCATATCAGCTTCTTAGCTATTCGCTTTGTTCACTTTTGGTTTTGGTTTTGACGTTTTTTCTTTCTCGTCGTTGTATCGTCTCAACCACTTCATACCCTGTACCGCCAGCCACTCCTTTGTCCATACACTCCTTAGCTATATATCAAAAACCAACCAAATTCTCGGCCACGTGAAACCTCGTCTGATCCCTCAGTCTATAATACCCAATGTTACTGTCCACGATATTCCCACTAGTTTCTGCGATCCTTCCTTTCACCGTTGCCAATACGCATGGCCATTTTCGGCGTGAACGCCATCAAGAACTAGCACAGCGGGCGCGAGGCGACATCGCCATTCACAAACGCGGATTCGATAACGCACGCTTTACCTATTATGACGTTGGCTTGTGAGTCTTTGAACCAAGGATTCACTCGTTGGGCTGTGTAACTGATTTAAATTCAAGGGGTGCTTGTGGGCAAACCAACTATCCCAACGATTTCGTATGTCCCAACCATAATAATTACTTGGCATAGCGTTTTCGATACTTATTGTATGACAAGATTGTCGCCCTCAACGTTGCCCAATATGGCGGGGGTTACCCGGGTCCGCAGTGCTTCAAGTCCATCACCATCTCCTATGGTGGTAAAACGGCCCAGGCCACCATTATGGACGAAGTGAGCACAGTAACACGCTATTTTTCTTTTGTTGACGCGCTCTTCTCCAGTGTATGGGGTGTCCGTACGGCGGGCTTGACTTCTCTTCTGGTCTTTTCAGTTACTTCGCTTCTGAAGACGCTGGCGTCCTTTACGGATCGTGGTGGTTTAATGATGATGGCTCCAGCGAGCCTACATTCACGAACTCCGATTGGACGCCGACGCCAGCCCCTGATGTGTCATCGCCCACTCCCAAACACCACCACCACCACGACGCCGCCGAAACCTCCTCCACCTCTGATACATCCACTAGTACTGGCAGCGCTAGTTCCACTACTACGTACGGGGCCAGTACTACCACTACTAGTACGTCCGAGACCTCTTCTACATCTGAGACCAGCACCACGTCCGACTCCAGCACCAGCACCACCAGTACATCTGAGACCGGCTCCACATCTACGTTCTCGACGTCGTTCACCTTATATGACACCACGGCTCTAGCAATGCCTACTGGCATCATAGTCGTACCCATTCCCATACCCGTACCCGACATGGAGAATCCAGAAAACATTCTGGTGATCGGTGAAGCCCTCATCAACCTTGGTATGATGGTCTCAGGCCAGCACGGCCATTAGGCTACTTTTGGGCAAAAGCCGTTCTTTCTCGTCGGTGTTATTTATTGGGTGGGGATTCCTCTGATCTAAACTTTGTTGGGTATGGCATCTGTTCTTAATACGTGACTGAGGCTGCCGTGATATCTTTGATGATTCTGAATTTGTAGGTGATGAGGTGATTTGCATTTATGCCGAAAACGGGTCGGTTCATTTCCATTGGCACTTTTACACTGGTACAACACGGGTACAATACACTAGTATACACGGTCTTCATTTTTTGTTTTGTTTTTGTTTTTGTGTTCGGCCGTCAGAAAAAATTATACTCTTTCCCAAGAGGCAGCTTGGTCGCAGGCTCGATATCAGCTAACATGCCATCCACCTTCACCTCATAGTTTTCTGCATCAACAGATATGTTCGGCAGCGTATCGTTCCACTTCATATCTTTCTTGGTCACATTCCTACAGTTGACAACAGCCTCCGTTCGCTTGGAAAGTCCATATGAAGCGATAGTACCAGTCTCGATCGAGACCCGAGAGACGAACGCGACCGAGTTGAGCGCGGCTGCAGAAGGGAAGGAACCCCACATCGGTCTGCCACAGGTTGGCTGTACGGTCGGAATTGAAGCGTTTGCGTCGCCCATCTACAAAGACCATCAGCGCTTTTACCGAAAAAGCTCGTTTGTGAACTCTAACCTGAGCCCACGCTATCACTCCTGATTTCAGCACCATTTCAGGTTTCGCGCCAAAGTTCTCGGGCTTCCAAAGGACAAGGTCGGCGAGCTTTCCGACCTCTACTGAGCCGACAAGGTGGCTGATACCGTGCGTGATCGCGCTAAAGAAGAGGATCCTTCAGCGCACGACCGTGACCACTCGACATGGCAAAATAACTAACGGGTTGATAGTATACTTGGCCACATATCTCTTGACCCGTCCATTATCGCTCTCGCTTGTATCGTCAAGCTCAGCCAGCGGACCTCTGAAGTCCTTGAGCTTGCTTGCAGTACGCCATGTTCTGGAGGTAACTTCTCCGACACGTCCCATAGCCTGAGAATCAGAGCTGATCATAGATATCGCACCGGTATCGTGCAGGACGTCTTCTGCCGCTACCGTCTCTGCTCGGATGCGAGACTCTGCAAATGCCACGTCCTCGGGAATCGATTTGTCAAGGTGGTGGCAAACCATCAACATCTACTATGTGTTTTAGAGAGGCGGAGATAATCGGCGTGCGTAGAATGAACTCACGTCAAGGTGTTCGTCTAGGGTGTTCGTGGCGTAAGGTCGTGTGGGGTTGGTAGATGAGGGAAGGACATTTTCCAAACCGCACACGACGATGATGTCTGGAGCGTGACCACCACCTTGTTTCACGATCAGACGATGTAGTGGGAGACTATGGGAAACGAAAACATACCCGCGCCTTCCGTGTGATACGTATGGATAGTACGACCACCAAAAGCCTTGATCGTGTCTGTATTCCATCAACATCCGAAAGACCGATAAATAGCACACCTCTTACCCTCCACAAAACCGCTCTCATTAAGAGTGTCCGTATGGATGTTGACCTGAACGTCAAACTCATCGCCAACGTCCAGGGCGTTCGAGATCACAGTTGGAGTAGAACCCCAGTCCTCATGCAATTTCAAGCCCGCCGCACCTGCACGAACGATATCCTCCAACGCATACCTTCCCGAGTCATTCCCCTTCCCGGTAAATGCAAAGTTCATCGGAAGCCCATCCGTCGCCGCAAGCATCGTCTGCAAGTAGAACGGGCTCGATGTGCATGTCGTAGCATTTGTCCCGGCGCTTGGACCCGTCCCGCCCCCTATCATCGTCGTCGTGCCCGCTGCAAGCGCTTCGGTGACTTGTTGCGGACAGATATAATGTACATGTGCGTCGATAGTGCCCGCAGTCACGATGAGCTTCTCGCCCGCGATGACCTCCGTTGAGGAGCCGATAGTCATGTTGGGGGTGCAACAGGCCATTTCGTCGGGGTTGCCGGCTTTGCCTATTCCAGCGATCCTGCCCGCCTTTACTCCGATGTCTGCCTGCAAGCAAAGGTGTGCAGCAGGGGGAATTAGTGGAGGATATAGATTACCTTGTATATCCCGCTCCAGTCAATGATAACTGCATTCGTGATGACGAGGTCTAGGTTACCCTCCAGGTATCGGCGACTAGTTTTCTGGCCCATGCCTTCTCGGATAGTCTTGCCTGTAGGTAGTGATGAAAATTAGGGGAGATGCCAGAAATCAACACTGACCTCCGCCGAATTTGACTTCGTCGCCATAATAGGCCTGTACTAGAGGTGAGCCGGCACAACAACATAACCGTACTGATCTAACGAACCTCATCTCTCTCGATTTGGATCCATAGACTGGTATCACCAAGCCTAACGCGGTCACCAACCGTGGGCCCATACATGGAGATGTACTCCTGGCGGCCAATAGTAGTGTCCTCGTGTACATTGAGCGCATCAGGTTCTGGGCAGTGTCGGAAAGTCTCTAGTATGAACCCCTTGTCAATGTGGGTACCCATCCTCAGAGCATTCCCCATGCGAGAGGCAATGGAGTTGCCACCAGTTATGGTTTTAGTACCCGCAATAGTACACAATGTGACGGTCTTGGAGTCGCCGGGCTCAAAGCGAATAGCAGTGCCAGCGGGAATATCAAGATGCGTCCCGTTTGCTTTGACGCGATCGAATTCCAGGGCGCCATTAGTTTCGGCGAAATGGTAATGAGACCCGACCTTCCGAGGGAATGAGTTTGGACGACAAAGTAGGGAAGGGACGAACCTGAATTGGACGATCGCCGTGGTTAGTGACCTTCAACTTGATGCGTGTGCGTCCCTTGTTGATGGTAATCCTCTCTTTCTTGGCGATGATAGCTCCTGGAAGGCTTTCGCGTGAGATAACTGTGGTCTCCGCAGCAGGGAATTTGTTCTGTAAAGGTACAGGAAGGAAAGATCCATAGAGGGCGGCATCTAGGTTGCCATGATCCGTGCAGATGGGATCGTGTACAGTGACTAGGAATACGCTTCAACTGGGCGTCAGTTGACGTGATCTTGCAGGGACATAGGACTCACCCATCTGGGAACGTTCCTTCTACCTGTATCTCGTGTAGACGGGGTGGAACGCTGGGTAAGACATGTGTTCTCCCCAATAAGGTTTTCCCGTGCTGCATCAAGTCAGCGACCGAATGCTGTCCATCACGTATACGTTCTTGCAATTGAGAAGCAATCAAAGCGATAGCTTCGTTGATATTGAGCTGTAGGCCTCTAGCGAGTCGCTTTTGAGCTAGAAAGCCAGCCTAAGTAGATAAAGAAATAAAGAGACTCAATTCCATTCCACGAATCCAGGATTGTGGGGAATACCTGGTGCAAGAACAACTTCTCGTGTTCTCTCGGCAATATATGCATTCTGAACCTTACCCCGCAACCTTGAGCGAATAGAAAAGCTGTACGGAACGTTTGGTTGATGAAGAGCGCTTAAGATAGTCGGAAGTCGGTTCTCGCAGGTCAGACCCATAACAAAGTTGCTTCTAATAAATTAATTCGTCATATCGAATTTCTGTCTCTCGGGAACGTCACTTCAAAGTTTGAAGTCAAGAAATGATTCTATCCGAGTCACTGCTATCTCTTCGGCTCATCGACACTCTGGGCGGTAATCCTGTTTCACTGTGCCACTCACACAGCCTCCCTACCAACTGAACGTGGGCCCTTGGAAGTTGGCATCCATCACAACCAGGACAATGTTTGGCTCGACGTAGGCGACAGTCTATATGTAACATCACCATCTTGGGTGCCTTTGTTCTAGCTCTTGGATATAACGAAATCCGTCAAGGTTGGGTATCGGTGTTTGTAGAATTTGAGTGCTCTATCATTGCGCAATGGAATGATTGTTCGACAGGAGCATCCTCTGCGCGCAACATTCCACTATGGACTCCGGCAATGTTTATTGTTTCAACTTTCAAAGCAAGATTCGACCGAGATTCTTGAAATGGAATTGAAGAAGACAAGTCCTTATTTGGAAATAACATGTTTACAAATCTGATTCCGTCATCATTTCCGATCATATCTGAACCTAGTCATCGCTGTATTCTTGCCCATGGCTCGGCACTGCTTTTGTTTAAGCCACAATCCACAAACTGATATGAATCCCTTTGTCCTGTGCCACCATCCGGTCTCACTTACTCTTTCCTTCCCTACTTATGCCTGCTCTTAAACTCACTCCGCCTCCTCCTTCCACTGTCAACATTCGCAAGCGCACTTCATCTTTCTCTCAGCCCTACCCACCACAGACTACACGCATGTCTCTTCGTCGCACTGCTTCTTTCCTCTCCTTATCAGACTATGAGAGTGATGAGGATTCCCTCTCACAGTCTGGACCATCTTCCTATTCAGTTTATGCAAAGGTCCAAACCCCTGTCGTTCCCTATAACCGTACTCTGTGCCACTACAAGGAGCAGCGTGAACGTCGCAAAGCTGTTCTCAGCCGCAGCCGTGCCGAGTTTACCATCTCCCCACCCTCCACCAAGCAGCCTGCAAAAGCAACTATTCACATCCCAAAGCCTCGCCAGCCAACAAAGCAAATGGCAGGCCTCCGGACCTCTTCCCCTTTATCACCGACCCAGAAACTCCTCCCTCCCAGAGCTTCTTTTCCTCGCTCGAAGCCAGAGCCGGACTTGTACCGGATCGCAATTAAAGCCCGCATGCGGTGCTCCCCTGAGGGCGCAAAGATTCTCCGCATGGGTCCTCGCATGGCTGTGTCTATATTAGCCGCTACTCGGGACCTTGAGATGCTTGTATCAACACATGAGGGTGAGTAGCCGGGGCCCCTGAAACCACATCATCTAAAATTTTCCACTAGTGAACTTCAATGACGATTGGGACATGCTCGACTGCAGTGCGTGAAGCATCCCTGATGCTATCATGCGAGATTCGCATCACGCTCTTACAAATGATCTGACGATCTGGGACGAACCTGAGACGATTCAGATCTGTAAAGGAGCAATCACATGTATTTATTGGATTTTCACAAGGAGGAGGTCTTCATTCATTTGGCGATCTATTACTTCCTCCACTTCGTCTGTCTAATATGCCGGAGGATTATTAGGTGTTTTAGGATTAATTTGTTTGTACGAATAGTTGTTTTCACGCGCGTTCTCTTCGACCCAACCATACCCCACACGACCACGCATTTGTACCAAATCACTCCATCAATTATTTACTTCTCATACACACTCCTTACCACGCATTTACTTTCCCAGAAACAGAGATATCACGTTCAAGGCTGTGTTGCCCGTTCCACGATCCCAATCCGAGATGTTTTGATTCCATCACCATGACTCGTCACTTCGCCACCTGACGACTACATAAAAAGGAAATAAGATGGGAGGCCCTACAGCCAAACGGGCCCCATCAGGATGCGTACATGATCCGTCTATCTAGGTACTGAGATGATACGCGACACAAAAGGCGTATTACGCCTCCCGAAGAACAAACAACCAACTGATCCTGATCGATTCCCCAATATGAACAAACGCGCGTCGTCATGACCGCGAAGTGAACTTTGCGAACAAAACCATGATGGCCAGGGCCCAATGTTCGAATTGTTCCTTGGATACAAACAACAACGCCTGAGAAAGCACGGCCTTGATTATCTGCGCGGACATCCCCTGTTCAATTTGGTCAGCGTGGAATAAGGAGTGACAGATTGTTGATACCGACCTGATACCATCCCACAAATCCTTCTTTCCTCAGCACTCTGAGGAGGAGGCCGAGGGCACCGGCATGTTTTGCTTTGGGCTTAATATTTCCATTTAGACCACCAGGCAGACCCTCGCTCTCTGATGCGTCGGCATCACTTGTACGGGCCTGAATTCTAACCTTGGCCATAATATATGGATAAGTTACCTAGGAAGCAACGTCAAGAGGTGTCACTCAGCCACCCAATCACATATCAAGCTCACAATAGTGGCGAGCGTCTTGCTAAACGCCCCAAGCAAAAATGACGTTCCAGGGGTCAGTTTACCATTCACAGAACTTGCGAGCAATAACAAGCTCTTGAGGCGCTCATAAACGCCGTATGTGATCGCAGGGTTCACGGTCAGGACCATGCCGGGCTTAATGCCCAGCCACAGCCCTGTGACACCGTCCTCGCGAACAATCTCACGAGCAACAGCTATGAAAGACTCGTCTGTTTGTCCTTCACCTTGTGATGACTGCGAGGACTCTCGGACTGAGCGTCCGACTTGTTGTCGGGTTGCGATCACCGATACGGGAATCGTGAAGATCTGGGATAGTGCGCCTGCAGCTGCCCCAAGGGAGAGTTCAGCAGCAGTAGACAGCGCAGGAGGTCTTGACCCAGGAGGAAGCTTCAAAGTTATCCGTTTGATGTATGATGAGCGTATGAACGAGTAGAAGAAGAAGTAGGCGTATTCTTGGGGGCGTTCAGTTCGATGGGAGAATTGTGAAGGAGGTAATTGAAGACACACGCATCGAGAAGGTGTTGAGCATGGTTGCAGCAAAACCTCTGTACCACCCGTTGATTCCTTCTTGTTTGAATATTTCGAGTAGCATTGATAGCATGTTCAGCTCGTCTTTGCGCTTTCCTCGCGCAGCTGACGAGGTCACTTGGATCCTGGTCTTGGCACTATGACAACATTCAGAAGCATATCGTATGAAATGTCATTATCAACGCACACATCGAGAGGATACACTACACTGTTGACGTGTCAGGACCTGGGCTGGTGCGTGGGTACTTGAGTAGTACTCACGCGTTACTGAAGCAAGCTCCGAGGGCACCAGCCAACGCAGATGCAAAAGGCGTTAGTTGCTGCGCCTGCTTCGCTGGTTGGGACTGCGTTGACATGATGAAATGAGTGACTGAGATATTTCAGCCTCGCGTTGAGACAACAGAATTCGAAGAGCGGAGTTGCCGGCCCCAGAACCGGTTATAATGTCAATTGCACATGAATTCCCAAATGGGTCGTGACACGTCCCCGAATAGAGGGCTGAAGCTTCTGAAACTAACATGAACAAATAATGGTATCAAGACTCGGGTGCACGACGCACTTCAGCGTTTAAGGAGTCTGCTGTCAAGTCCGCTGAAGAACCCCTCAAGATGGCCGTGAGGATGAAAATATCCCACGAGCAACCACAAAATCGATCCCCATTGCACGTCGCCACAGTGCAGAATTCACCGACGAACTGGCTGATCCGATCCAGAGAGTAGATGCGGCCATCGCTGGAAAGCATACCGACTCTTTTTGACGACAGACACCCGTGACCCAGCTCTACCCACTTCCACTCCTCCAGAGACTATCCCACTATGTGATGATACCCTCTCTCGTTGTCACGCCGGTGTCTGAAGTCGCCGTATTTGAGCCTGATTTTGTGAGATCGCGAGTCTCCATCACCCAACCTGCATCCACCGAGGAGCACGAAGGGACTTGGTGGGTGGCGAGAAGTTGCGCATGATGCCAGTTTCGTGTGGGAGTAGTCATGATGCTTTGCCCAGACCTACATAACCTTTCGTGTCAAATCTACTTCCGCTCAACATATCAGTACCACGACGAAATTATAAACAATTTTATATTCTCCCTGCAGAGTACTCCACAGCTCTTGAGCACTCCGAGTATTTCCTGTACTATACACTACTGGCAGTTGACATGTGTACGTACTCCTGGAAAGCAATTGTAGTTATGTTCGTGTTTGCATCAGAGTCATCCATAAGCTTGGCGTAATATTCTCGAACGCTAAGGATGAGGCGTGGTCCCAGTACAAACATCTGCAAGACAGATAGCAATTCAATAAAAGCCAAATATGTATGAGTCTCCGGGGTCGAATCCTATTGAAAGGATGAGAAGGAAGTTACATGCCGACATCAATGACAGTTCGACATACAACAAGTGTTGGAGACAAAGAACCAAGGATGAAGCAAGAAACAACGGCATAGCTAGTATGCATAGAACTTCAGCGGAAATGGACAGCCAATAACAAATATTGTGCTCACCTTGTGTGAGTTTTTAATAACAGTGTGAGCAAGCGCCCGATTGTCCAGCCTGTCGATAATCGTCGTTGGTCGCGGAAGTGTTTGACAGCAATCCAGGCTGTGAGAAACAGTGCGAAGAGCTGCCAAACAGGGTACAGTGCCGAAAACACGGTATCTATAACCTCCTTGTTTGACCCACTGCTGGATGCATGCAGGCATGCATAGGTGTCGTAGAATACGAGTTCCACTGATATTCGTCCGATGAGCTCGTTGCGCTTATCCTTCGTCCATTATCAAAACTTACCTCCTACAGTATAACTAGCGTCTCTTGCGGCGATCACTCCACAGGTGATGGAGACAGCCAGCAAGATTATAATGAGGAAGACAAGCATCTTTCTCGATTGCTGATACATGGCATGTAGCCGGGCGATCATGATGACTTGCATGATGTTTCAGTCACTGACTCAATGTCACTGAGGGATTCCAGTTGAATGACTCACCGCCCACCATGGTATTTACGACTACATACATCCAAGATGTTGCAAAGTACGCAATACGGCCTGAAAAACTCAGTTATTGATGAGCCCCAGAAGACCAACATTCGGAATAAACTCACAGCTGTTGCAGTTATTATATTGAATCAAGAGGCCAGTCAAGATGTACACTCACCCCTTCATATAAGCGCAGTTAGTTGGATGGGAATGGCAAACATCAGTGCAGAATACGTACTGCATCTGTCATCGAGATTGTCGGAAGAGTGGCTGCATGCCGCCAGTTAGCAGGAACAAACATAGTAATATATGAGGAGACATACACAACATGTTGAAGCTGATTGTGGAAGATGGCTCATTAGCACAGCGCCACTGTTGTTTATTTCGCAGACATACATAGTATATGGTATTGCGGCATAGCGCACCTAGAATATTGTGGAGTCAGAAATCTTATTCATCTACACTTATAACATCACCTACGTACACTGAGATATAGAAGTGTCACGAGGGACCAGCGTCTCCTCTGCTGCGAGTCAATTGCATGATTCTGTCATTACGGGACACTTCTCACCCAAATCAGTTCAACCTTTACGACCGTTCTTAGTGAGACTTGTGTTACTCCGGTAATGGCATCAACATACCTCTTGTTCGAATGTCAGCGCTGCAAAATATTATAAGAATGTCAGCGGTTCATGATTGCTATCTGCTCACCCCAATCGTATACAACTGCAGCAGATGAAGCAACTGCGAAACCGCGGCCAGGTTAGATCGAGATCATCACTGACATAAGCTGCTCTCCACGAACCTACGACATAGCTGTAAAAACGAAACCAATTCATTAGCGGCCACAAAATGTGATCATTCATGACTACGGTCATATTCGGGGGTGGGGGTGAGTAGCGAACTTGGTAGACGTGTATAACGATGTCCCGGGCGTTCATGATATATTTTACCACCGTCCAGGCCCATCATGGGATGAATATTTGTTCCTAATTGACAGAAGTAAGTGACACGAAATTTACCAAGTAGAATAAAGTCTTTTGTCACACGCAAGAAATCTGATATTAGCAATTCTTCCCAGCGTTTCCTCTGCCCCGAGTGAATTATATGCTCCCGCTATTATATGGAACACTGCTCACCCATACCAGTTCAACCTATAATGAGACACCATCCTCAGTGAGATGAATACTCCAGTAATCATCATCAACCTACCTCTTGTGCGAATGTCATGACTGCAAAATTAATAAGAATTTCAGTGGCTCTTGATGACCATCTTGCTTACCCCAATCGTATATGATCACCGCACAAGAGGCAACTGCGAAACCGCAGTCGAGACATCATTGACATCATATGGCTGGCTCTCCACGAACCTACGAAATAGCTGTAAATCCGAAATGAATTGATTACTGGCCAGATGATGTGATCATTCGAGATTATGGTCATATTTGAGGGATGAACTTCCACGAGTGAGTGGCGAACTCGGTGGATGTATAACAATGGTGTTCGTGATATAAGTACCACTGTTCAGCGCTCAGCTTTTGTTGTCGATGGGCATCGTGCGATGAATATCGTTCTTGCTGTGATTGACGTAAGTATTGCCATATGAAACCAAGTACTTAGAATGCAGAAGTAAAGCTTCTATCACGCATGGGGAATCTTTGAACACCGCATGGCTCTCGTCGTTCCCATACGACATCATCAGCTCAGAGATGCCAAGATTAGCCCGCTGTCTCAATAATTCTGAGCCTCACTTCCATCTGCACAGACTCCGCCTAGCTGGTCCGAGGCCGGGGAGTGTAACAGTTTATCCGAGGTATCTCTCTTAACAAGGTCACATTCTGGCATGCCCAATAGAATAGAGAGGACTCACTTCTTCCACCCGCCTCCGAGTTGCAACGCCTCCAAGCTCATGCCTCAGTTTGTAAACTTCATCTAATGCGCGTGCTCAACACACATGCCTCGTGGTGCGCCGGATATCAGGTCATAATGCCATGAGGACTCGGATACCAAGAATGTGGTGAAAACGGTGCAACTCTGATGCGAAACCGATCAACACGCACAAAAATATATCCATCATGCACATTGATGCATGATTAACGCTGCATCAATCTGTACAGCTGGGTGATACACCTTGATTGATATCGGGGAAGGTATGACGCCACACCCGTAGCTACAAACAGTTGAATGAGAGGGAACAGAGGAGACAAGGCAACTCGGATACATTGCATGATTTATTGCCCATCGAATTGTACAGGCTTATCAATCGGTAAAATATCAATAGCCATCATTGTCTTATTTTCTTCTGGCTCCCCTGGCCTATATGTGCTACAACAATGTGAGTGCACGAGAGTCGACAAGTATGGCCAATTGAAACCCACCACGGGACCCTCATTACATGCGCAGTAGTTTGACGGTTCCACCCTCGTACAACTACACGGTCATGGTGGGTCAAAGTCCAAAAGACTGCATGTCATAATATCGCGCAATGTTTGGAGTATGGTCCATCTGGAGTGTAGAGAGATTCAGAAACAAGGGCACATGTGCAGCTTACGACTTTCAGTAGCCTATCATAAGTTCATCTTCAAGCTTCCTGATCAACTCGCTGAAATTGGGGGCCGAAGACAAAGTCGTCCTTGCAGAGTCCAGACAAGCCGATAATACACTTCCTGATACGCCATACTGACGATATGCGCCCTCAGAAATATCCGGAAGCGTTGATTTGAGTATTTGAGAGGTAATAGTTGCAAGTTGTACTTGTGGCTGTGAGCAAATTGTAATTGATTGCTCGGAGGCCCCGCTGGCAGCACGGAAATTTCCGGGAGGACTCCGAGTCAGTATGGTGGTTTGAAGTTGAACTTTGAGCTCACCAAGCGCCACAAGGTCATTAATATTGGCCATGTATCCTAGCGTTAAGTGCATGTCCCAGCTGGCAGCGACGGCTGGACGGTGCCTCGCAGGGCTGATTCACACCACTCTGTGATGTAGTTCATCAGGGTGTCTACCTTGCCAGCAGCCTATAGCCAGAACCACCAATCCCTCATCTGGCCCGGAGTCGCTGCGCCCGCAAAAGGGCATCGCGTGATTATATTCTAGCAGCGACGGGCACATTCTGCGTCCATAGCGCATTCGTTTACAGCGATACGGGGTCTTCGAGTTCACAGAATTTTCTCCCTGGGGACATAACGTGTCAAGTATGGTGAGGCCTGATGAAATCACCATTTAGCAGAATACATTACCCTGGACGCCTGCAAGACCGTCTACAACTTCCTATAGTGGTGGCTGGGTAACGCCCCGACCAAGGAAACATTCGAAATGATGGACAAGTCAGCGTTTAAGGAGTCTGCTGTCAAGTCCGCTGCAGAACCCCTCAAGATGGCCGTGAAGAGTGGCGGATAAAAATGACCCACGAGCAACTATGAAATCGATCACCATTGCACATCGCCACAGTGCAGAATTCACTGACGGACTGGCTGATCCGATCCAGAGA